AATTATATCTTAATTAATTCCCCTTAATCTACCCCTAATCCTATCCTAATCTACTTTAAGATTCTATTACTTATCTAAATAGATACTATATAGGGGTTTAAACCCTAGTAGGACCTTCCTATAGTACTAATCTAGGTCTAGAAAATAGCCTATAATAGCTAGATAAGATTAAGAGTATAGAGATATCTAGTAATCTAGGGTAATTAAGAGCTTAGAACCTTCTAGAAGTATGCTTAAAGTGGTTATTTATTAATTTAAGCTTTTATCTCTTAGGCGATAAGATAAGGTTTAAGGGAAGGGGATAGATAGGACTAAAGTAAGCTAGGCTATTCCTTTTATAAAGGCCTTAAATTACTAATTATTTAAGATATTAAAAGGTAGATAGTAGATAGTAAAGAAGTTTATAAGTAGCTTAAACTATACTTAATAGATAATATACTACTTTAACTAAATTTCCTAGCTAAGGTTAGTATATATAATATATATAATATATATAATATAAGGTAGTAGGGTAGTAGGGTAGTAGGATAGTAGGCTTACTATAGTAAAGATAAAGCTACTCTTAATTAAAGTCTAGCTAGGGTTAATAACCCTAGACTTATAGGCTTTCTTAATATAATAATAAATAGTAGAAGTCCTATTAATAGACCCTCTACTATTACTCTAATTAGGGTAGTTAAATAGTATATTATATATTATATAGTGTACTTTTAGTAATCTAGTCTAAACTTCTATAATCTACTTAATATAGGACTAAATTATTAAATTTCTATATTTTACCTAATTTAGAGATAGTTTAATATCCTTTAATCTATTTAGGGTAGTTTTCTACTATTTTAGGAAGCTACTATAGTTTATTTAGGACTATATAGTATAATTTCTAGCTTTTAGTATAGAAAACTATAGAATTCTATTAGATAGGGTACCTAGGGTAGATAGGTTATTTAGGGTAGATAGGGTACTCTAGGTAAGATAGAATATTAATATTAAATTAGATAGAGTAATTAGATCGCTCTAGAGAGGGTTTAGAAACCCTAATTCTAATATACTAGATATATAGAGCTAAGAGAGAGCTAGGATAAAAGGATTTTTAAAGATATTACTTCTAGAACCTAATTAGTTAGATATTATATATAGGTCTAGTTCTATAGCTTTAACTAATTACTATTATAGTAGTCTTATCTATATACTATATAATTAGGAATACTAGTTTAATTAATCTATATTTCTATAGAACTCCTATCTAAACTAGTTAAAATAGAGCTTTTAAGCTTATATATAAGATTATTATCTTATATAGTAGCTTATTCTTTATTTAAATTATATATATAAAAGGTAGTTAGGGCGAAGACCTAGATATATAGTTAATAAGGTAGTAAAGCTATATATTCTATATATATATATCTTCCCTATTAATATAGAAAATTAACTACTTTAAAAATTACTACCCTATATTATACCTAGCTACCCTAAATATAGGGTAATCTAGAGTAATATAGTATAATAAGCTTATATTAAGCTATATTATATATAATTATAATAGATAGAGTAGAATATAGAAGAAAACGTGGTTACTATATATATATAGACTAGAATAGACTATAATTAAAAAAAAGTCTTAGTAAAAAATATATAAAGTTAGGTAGAAATTAGGCAAAATTAGGTAAAATTAGGTATTAATTTTAGAAAAATAGGCCTATAGGCCCCTATATAGGGGCCTATATAGGGGTATATATTTTTTAGGTTAGGCCGGGCCCTAGAATTTGAAAAATAGGGGCCTATTACTAAAGCCTATGTATAAGGCATTAGGAAGAAGGTAAGTATATTACTTCTTAATGTTTCTAGAGCGTATAATAACGTCTCTCACGAGCGACTTCTCTATAATATCTAGAAGCTTTATCTTAGCTTCTTTATACTATAGATTCGATCGTTTCTATAAGGACGTAATACTAAGATTAAGCTTCTAGGATATCTTAGCGAGCTCTTTCTAATAGCGATAGGGATTCTATAAGGATCGCTAATTTCGCCTATCCTTTTCCTTCTCTTTAACGCGCCTCTAATCTAGGGGTATTCTCTCTATAAAGGAGATAGAGTAACTTTATAAGGATATAGGTAGGTTAACGACGTAGCGGTTATCGTGGAGTCTAAATCGTACGCTTAGAATATAGAGATTCTTAAAGAAGTCCTCTAGAAAGTAGACTTATAGGCGCGGAAGCACACTACGAAATTCGCACCTAATAAATTTGAGCTTATCTACTTTATAAATCCCTAGGAGAGAGAAGAAGAGATCTTAACTTTATTATAACCTATATAATAATCTATCTAACCTATAGAATATAATATTTTTGACTTTATAGTTCCTAACCTAGGAACGGACTAGCTCCCCCTCTAGGATATCTAACTATTACTATATATAAAATACCTTAGTATCTAGCTTAATAAGGAGCTCTTATTTAATACCTATCGCTAAAAGCTAATTAGAAAGGCGAACGCTAGCCTTAAAGCTCTTTAAAGTCTTATAGGATCTATATAGGGAGCCTTACTTATAGTAATATAGACCGTCTACTAAGCGGTCGTGATTCTATAGATACTCTATAGAGTCATAGCATAGTTTCTAAGCCTCACCGCGATAAAACGAAACTAGGTTATTAATATACTCACTAATCTATAATAACGCGCGGTAATCATAATCGCTAGAGCCTTTAAAAGCATATCTATAGCGGCGTTAAATATAGAGCTTTTTCTCCTCCCGATCTAGCTCTAAATCGAATAAACTATTCAAGAAACGGCAATCCAAATCTAAACAAGCGTAATATAGGCGTAACTATTCTACCTAAGCACGCTTAGTAAGAGGATGGCGAAGGAGACATATCTTAGGGGTTTTTCTCCACTTAAGAAGCTCTAGTAGAAAAAGGGCGGAATTCTCTTTAGTAACTAGTAGGAATCAAGACAAGTATTTATTTTACCCCTATAGGAACCGTGAATCAAATACATCATCGAGAATTCTATAGAGGCAGCGATTAAGTCATATAATTAAATAATATTAAAAGGAAAAGTAGTCTTCTTTATAGATAGAAGTGGTTTTAAGGGTAAAGTTAGCGCATCCGCGGTCGTACCTAACCATAGAATTTAAGCCCATAGATTTCTTAGCACTATAGTATAAGCCATAGTCTACGCTATAGAACTTACTAGGATTAAGATAGCACTAGATAAGTTTAAATCTATTAATTCCTCTCTATATAGGACACGCGAACTAGTTATCTCCGCTAATAGTCATACTATAATTTAAGCAGTCTAGAACCTAAAGCGCCCCTCTAGCTAATATATTCTCTACGCGATCTACGCGTACGCTCGATCCCTTTAAACGCCCACCCTCTTAAACCCACTAGACGACGTCTTAATTTTAATCCGCTAGATTCCCGCGCATATGGGCGTTCTAGGCAATGAGCTCGCGGACGCTATGGCGAAAAATACGGCTCTTAGAGGGGCTAAAAATACGGAAGAGAACGCAGGGTCAGAAGCGGAGAATAGGATTCTCTAGCTCGCCATAACAGCGAAGCAATAAGTTCGAAGGCGGATTCAAGAGAGATAGGCACTCTTATAGGCGAGGGAAAAGACTAGAAAACCAAACCAGAACTTAGTTCCAACGCCGCATAAGAAGATATTAAGGCTCTTCGAGGGCCTCCTAAAACACTATACTTCTATCTTAGTGTAGATACGAAGCATACGGATTGCGTTAAATCACTTCCTATTCAAAATTAGCGAAGTCGAGTTAGATCTCTACAGCTACGAAGAGGGCTTATAGACGCCAAAGCACGTTCTATTACGTTATCCGCGCTTTATAGACAAGAGGAAAGAGATGCTAGAAAAGATCCAGGCACGGACGGATCTCAGAGGGCTAGATTATAAGGCACTTTTGTCTTACCCGCGTGCGACTCGCTACGTCGTAGAATTCATGCTTTAAATAGGTCTTCTAGGGCAATTCCACTACTATAAAGTGGAGCTGGAGCTAGAGCCCGTAGAAGACGACGAAATAACTAGCCAGAATTAACTAGCATAGATAGGTGGCGAAGACGCTACGTATTATAGAAGCACGAAGCTTGTGACTGCCGAGAAGTTACGGGAAAAGACAACATAAGCAACATGAACTTTAATCGACAAAGCAAGAGTTCGAAAGCTACAATCTCCAGCAGCTGAATACGGGGTGGAGAAGCAGGGTGTGGGAAAGATATATATTGTGGGATTTAACTGAATTTTGTGGGATTACTTAGATTACCTATACGGGCAGACGCCCTTCTCTTTTGTCTCTAGTTATCTTCTGCGTGGAGTTTGGAGTACGGGCATATTCTTGCTTCTCGGAAGAAGCGCCTACATTACCACGGCGATGACTAGCCAGGTAGCATTAGGTTAATAGAATATCATCATCATCATCATCATCATCATTACTGTTTTCGGCATCGATCAGATCGCCATGAGACTGGCTTAGGCAATTAAATTTCTTGGATATTTATAAACTAGCGCGATCCGTTGCCGATCATCAACAAGTAGCAGCCGTTAGACCTGTCACTATTGCTTAATTTTACAGAGCCTCAATTTCCTAATACAATGTGGCAGCAATGAACCCTAGAATAACGTCTGTTAGCGTAGAAATGCTATGACGTGCGGGGCTCAAGCCACCGTGGTACAGTTCGGGGCATTACGCATGTCACTTAAGCGTGACAGGATTAGTCGCTGATCACCGGAGATTAATTCGTTGACCTCCAACGTCATTCCACTGACGTCATTTTTAATATATTTGGATGGTGGAACAAGTAAATAAAACCAACCTGCCTCGCCACCCAGGGGAAAATTGTCTCTAACCTAGTCGAACTGCTGCTCCTAAGGTATGTTATGTGAACCGAGTCGAAAGATTAAGAGAAGAGGGGGAGAGGACTAATAAATGACTCGATCCATTCTAGAACCTTATCGACATCTACCTCAACCAATACTCCTTACCCACCATGCCCACCATTCACGAGCGAATTCGAGAGGAAGTCCTCCGAAAGGAGCGTGCTCTCTGGACAGCGATCACGTCGGCTGATCCACCACCGCAAATCAAGAAATTAAGCAACCCAGAAGTTGTGTTGTTGTTCCCGAAAATGCCCATCCTCACCTTGGAAGACGAAGAGCAATTCGACGAATGCCTGAAGGCTCCATTCCATCGCTTTGACGGATTCCAGCTGGATGATGTGCGCACGATCATTATTGATCTCATGGCTGCTTCGATCACATATAAGGTTTACGCTGTTCGGGGGGATCAAGAGTATCGAGCGACCGGCTCTACGACTTGGAGTCAAGCGGCAGATGGTGAATGGCGGATTGTGACACATCATGAGACTCTCCTGTAGAGGGAATTTGTTTAATATTAATATCTGTCAATGATTCTATGATCGGAACGACGTCTATCACGAATCGAATTTGTTCATACCGGGCGAAGATAGGCACATGAAGGGTCTGTCATCAATATGCTAAATCTCTATGTACAATCATCATGCATTCTACATGCATTCTTTAATCACATATTCGCATGGAGCCAACAATGGGTATAAGTTGCACTAGAGCTTTGCTGTCCACAGCTTCGGTGGATCATTCGCTTTTCGTCCATATTCTCCTTTCCCACCCAAATCCACCACAATGCCCTCCCCAAATGCAGCCTCTTGGCAATCCTCATCATCAACCCCGTTAACATGTTGCACCACGACGAAGTCCACCCGTCGACGACCCAAAACCACCATGGGCGCATGCCACGTCCCAACACCGTATGTCACAGCCTGTCCCCCGCGCGCAATAAATGCCTTGATATTCTTGAGATCAGGTGGATCCCGGATTTTAATCGTCTCGCCCGCGGCGTTCTTAGCCGTTGCGACCTCACCCTTTAGAGTAGGTGCAACAACAACCAAGAAGATAGGTTCCTCCTCTCCATTGCCGACCTTCGAGTGGCTCGACAAATCGACTGGGATGAATGTCTGGTTGGTGAAGGGGTGACGCTCGAGGATGCGTACATCGAATACCTCTTTCTCAGAGCTTCGGCCCTGCGTGATCGTGCGCAATGGACGCGGGAAGCAGCAGAACATTGTCATGCGTGCGGAGCTGGCCGTCCCAGATGGACCGGTCGAATAGCGATCGAGCATTGGGGAGATGGGACTGTATTTCAGGGCGGAATTTTGGTTTGCCAGGACTGGAGCTGGACTATATGGTGGGAGAGTTGAGGGCTGGGGAGCGACATTGAGATCTCGTGGGATGGGAGAGCAGATTGCTGTGCCGAATGGTGCGAAGTTGATAGGTGTGAGAGGCTCGGGGGTTAGTGTGAGGGTCGGGTTGGTGGTGAGTATTGGTGCCATGTTGGCGTATATTGATGACAGCAGCGACCGAGAGTCAGGTGAATTGTATCGTTTGAATGCGATTGCGAAAAGAAAAGGTCGAAAGATGTGGAGATACTGGGGGAAGCGGAGAACATGTCGGCGCCCTCCGCCGATAAGATAAGCGGCGGGCGCCGATGCGCTGTCAAATATGTTGGCCTGAGGGTACACCTTTTTATAACTATGAAAGAGTAAACATTTGCTTAGTCCACCAGATGAGAAGGGGCTTTAGGCCAAATAAAGCCAGTGAGCTTGCAGGTATAACAGATTAGATTAAAGCATATATTGTGAAATGATGGAAAGAGTTCTATATACTGAAGCTCGGGAAAGAATGTAAGGAGGGTAAAGACCGAAACGGCCTCGAGAACGAAAAGAAAGGTCAAAAGAATGATAAGCTGGGAGGAAAGAAACAAAAGCCAGCGAGTCTATGATAAGTGTGAAATACACAAGTCTATGAAATGCACAATATATACCTTGGTATGTACCAAACATGCAAAATGAGAATGTCAACATTCTATGCAGGTCGTCAAGTTCCGTGGAAACGAAACACGGCCCTCGCTAATTCTCAAAAGGGTATGCTTTTAAGAGCTTCCCTTGGTCTTGTTTCCCTTGGGAACACGTGCCCACCAGTAGATTCCAAGGGCAGCAACAACATTGAACACCAAGTAAGCCCACATGATTCCAAAATTTCTCCAGGCATCGCTGTAGTAAGAGTCCACCCCGGCGAGGAAGGTATCAGTAGAGGACATAGTGCAGTACGAGCATGAGCTCGTTGCGTTGGGGTTCTCGATATATCCGCCAGTCCGCTCGGCATATGCGTTGAGGTATTCATAGCAGGTTTGAGAGCCCGGAGGGTTGAAGGTAAGGATTTCGTCGGTGCTGCACGTAACATCCGTACCACTGACGGCAGTCGACAACATTCCTGATACCAGATAGGTGAATGGGGAGACCCGATACATGAAGATCCAGAATCCGGGCATCTCATCTGGGGTAGCGACGACACTAGAAACGAACGAATTAATACACAATAGGGATAGATAGAGACTGGCAAGACTTACCCGCAGAACAGAAGCAGAAGAGCGAAAAGCAAATTGGCAATGTTGCCTCCAGTTTCCGCAGTCTCCACTCCTGCAATGACCATGTTCGTGAATGTTGACGTAAACCAAAGGAAAACTAGTAGGAACAGGAACATAAGTGCACCGCGCTCATGCACAGCATCAGTCGGTTCGGCGTTTGCATATAAGCCAACCGGGTAGTACCAGCAGAAGAACATCAAGACTGCAACCAGGAAGTTCCAAGGTAGCTCAACGATAATATTTGAGGCCATGAACACTTTCCACGAGTACATCTTGGATGGGCGTTCACGAACTTCAAAGATGGATCGTTGAATAATAAAGTTGGGCATAATCTGTTGAACAAGGTTTCCAAAGATGGTCATGAGCATGAAAATACTGAACATCTGGTTCTGCAGTCCTTGCTGGGTATTTTTTGCGTGGAAGAAAGAGAATCCGTTGTAAAGGGCCGTAAGAATCGAGAGAACAAGCTTGGACCAGATGTAGGCAGGAGTACGCCAGTATTGGGAGAAGACTCGAGATAGACACTGCACAAGCTGATCTTTTGTCGAAGATGCGAATTCACGGTGCTCCGTATCAGCATTATCTTCTGGTTGCTTCTGAGAAAGAGTAGACTTCAATTCAGCCAAGTGGTCAAGAACAGCCTGCTTTTCAGCACTGTTGTTCCAAGTCTCAGGCCAATCGATATCACTGTGGGATCCAGGAGCAGCTCCAATAACATCAAGCATCCACTCTGCCGGGTTTTCGCCCTCACTTAGAGCATGACCACCATTGCGCATGAAATAGTCTGCCAAGATTGAAGAGTTGTCGCCGATCTTACCGAAGTAGACAGTCCGGCCACCTTTAGCGAGGAACAACAGTCTGTCAAATCGCTGGAAAAGCATGGCAGAAGGTTGATGAATGGTACACAGAATGGCCTGGCCATGCTTGGTCAAAGTTTCAATTAGATCGAGAATGGACCAAGAAGTTTGACTGTCCAAACCAGACGTAGGCTCATCGAGAAAAAGCAATAGCTGAGGTTTGGCAACCAGTTCCACGGCAATAGTCAAGCGCTTACGCTGCTCAACATTCAATCCTAAAATCCGTCAGAAACTGTTGAAAACAAGCGAGGACAAAAATTCATCAAAAGATAGTAGCATACCTTCACCTGGAACACCGACGACTGCTTCAGCGTATGTCTGCATACCAAGCAGTTCCAAGACCTCGTCAACGTAGTCGAGCTTTTCTTTCCGACTAAGATGTGCTGGTTGTCTGAGCAAGGCACTGAAATTCAAAGCCTCACGCACCGTGGTAGTAGGCAAATGAACATCTTGCTGTTGAACGTAGCCGGTCTTGCGCTGGAATGAGTCGTCTCGAGGGCGGCCATCAACCAGGACATCGCCAGTTACAACGCCCATAGTCACACGGGTTGCAAGAACATCAAGCAGTGTAGTCTTTCCTGCACCAGAAACACCCTAGTAAATGGTCAGTGAGTTGTACTATGTTATGCGAGAAGAGTCTCTTACCATCAATGCGGTTGCTGTACCGGGCTTAACCCATCCATTCACATGATCAAGGATACGACGCTCCTCGGTTTTGATCTTGATATCGTAGCAAAGATCTTGCCACTGAAAAATGGCAGTCTGTCTTTGAATATTAGCTTCAGTACCCTCCGCCTTCTCTTCCGCTCGGTAGGTTGCGTCTGCGGTGGTCTCAGCATCGCCGGCCTGGGCCTTTGGCTGAATGCCCCGACGGAAAAGAAGGACTTCACCCTTGGAGGCAGCTTCGGTAATATATTCAGTCGCAATGAGATAAACGAACATGAAGAAGATCATGAAGGCGATGACGATACCCAGATTACGCCAGAGATGGTCGTTGGTATAAGCATACGCAGTCTCAATGTAGGCATCTCCGCTGACGTATTCTTCTCCGGCGCTGGATGAGACAGTGCTGCAAATAGTATTGCTGATATCCACGTTTTCGTATCCTTCTCCAGAAGGAACGAAGGCCGCGCAAGGGAACTCTCGGTTGCGGAATTCATTGACCATCATGCTTTCAAATGAATAAGCAATTGGATCGATGTAATTCATCCAGCGAGACCAGCCCAGCATGCCTTTAGTAGGAATGATGAAACCTGTGTAGATAACGAGACCCAGAATGAGTAGAGCAGCAGGGACCAGAGCTTGAGCCAGCGAACGCGATGCTGCACCAAATGTTCGGAAGACCATTGACATGGTCAATGTTGTCACGATCGAAAAGAGCCAAAAGATGAAAAAGGCACCCGGCTCACGTTTCAAATTGGCCATGAAGTAGATTGGAAGGTTGAATGACACGGAATTCGCGAATTTATACGGTAGATCGCACAACATGGACGCAACAGCTTCCGTGAAAGGGTGATAAAAGGCATATCGGGATTGTTTTTCCACAATGGGTCGTTGAGCATAAAGGGTCAAAATCTATTACAACATGGTTAGATCGACCAGTAAGACCCCTTGTGGGGTGTAGTGTTGTTGGCTTTGTTGGCTTACCTCCAGTGCACTAGCAAACGCAGCGAGCAAAACGGCATAGAAAAGCAGAACTTCTCGCGAGTAGAAGCTGGCCGTGTCAGCTGCAAGGTTGTAGAACACACTTCCCAGGATGAGAGAGATGAAAAAATTTCCAAAAAGAGCCGAGTAAAATAGAGTCATATCAGCCTTAAGACGCTGGAAACCACGGACCAGGTTGAGATTGATCTGCTCGACAATAGAGAGCGTGTAGGGAGACTTAATGCGCCTGAGATATGATAGTTAGCATTTCCAAACTGGACATTCAATAGGACAGGTTTGTCTTACTGTTGCTTTGACTGCATCTGGCGACGAGCTTCTTTGAAAGTAGTCAAAGACTCACCACCGATGGGGTATTCCTTGTCAAAAGCATCAATCTCCTGAAGGAGACGGGCACACTCTGGGCTATTCTGCCAGCGCTGCGCAAACTCCTGTGGTGTCCGGGGCACTCTTGCTTCGTAGCCTGGCTTCACTCTGCGCTCGGCCGGACTGGTCAGGGAGGTGAGGAAGTCGGCAGTGGTTTGGCGCGACGGGCAATCGAAGCCCATGGTGGTAAAGAAGTCACGGGCTTCACTAGTCGGGCCGAAGTAGATTTGCTGGCCTTCATAGAGAACAACGACCTTGTCGAAGACCTATCATGATTGGTGATGATTAGTGAGGTTGCATCGGATCACATCGACGACTCCTACTTACATCGTAAGCACTCTGCGAAGCCTGGTAAATGGCCACGCAGGCTGTAGTGCCTGCGTAATCGCTCATCAAACGCAAGTTCTTGCAGAATTCTAATGCGTTGGCACTGTCCAGACCTCGCGTACTGTTGTCCCAGCACTGAAGGGGGGCTCCACTGAGGATGGCCTCCGCAATACTAACACGCTTGCGTTCACCTCCACTGACACCACGCACATAGTCGTTGCCAACTTTAGTGTTGAATGTATGCCGAAGTCCTAGCATGGCCATGACAACATCACGAAGATGCTCAGCGTATTGCTTTCTCGTCAAGTCGGGGAAACGCGTGCGTGGTGTACGTGCCATGGCAGCGAATGTCAAAGTATCACCGACCGTGAGTTGAGGGAAATGAACATCATTCTCAGCACTGAAAATCGCCTCTCCCTTGAACTGCTTCTGCATAATCGGGGCCGAAATTCCTATGTTCATGAGTTGGTTAGTTGAATCGCATCTGATATGTTAGACTTTGCTGCATACCTTGGTAATTCAAATAGCTCTGGTCATCGACAAAGATACCGTTCATCTCTCCGGAAATTGTTTTGAGAAGTGTTGAGCAACCACTAATGAAAAGTTAAAGCCGTTTTACACATAAGAGATCACATATTGGCTGGGCAGACTCACCTTCCAGGACGACCTAAAACCACCAGCATTTCTCCACTTTTGACAAGTCCATTGAAGTTATTGAGAATCTGAACCTTTTGTTTATCACTTCCGACAAGGCCACGAAAGAGACCGCCGATAGTCAGGAGAATATTGAAAACGTCCTTTTGGTAGTCGGTGGGACTTCCAAAACCATGCACGGAGAGCTTCTTGAACGCCACACCAGCGGAACGTGAAAGGAATCGATCCGGGTCTTGCGATTGAGCCGCGATCAAGGCCCGGATCCAGTCTTTTGTCCTGAAATTAGGACTGTCGGGGTGCCAGGTGGTTTCCTTGTTCTCTTCAAAGAATGGATTGGATGTATTGGCCTGGGAGAAATGAGTTGAGTGGCGGGTGAGTTGCCTCACCATCTCTTCGACTTCGCCCTCCATATCACCCTCAGCCTCCTTCTCTTCTTTTGCATCATTGTGGAGTGTAGTAGATGAAGCATAGTGTTGTCTTGATTCACCGGTTGTCAGACGCTGCTGATGCTGCGTATCCGTGGAGGGGATTCCCCCCAAGACCGACATGATGAAAAGGACTTAATGCACTAAGTTTGTTTCCAGAAGAACAGACAATATCTATGTGGGCCTTGAATTCTTATAAGAGATCGACGGCATTGATTTGATTACCAAACTAGCTGATGAATCAACCAAGAGCCGTTAGCTTCCGCGTTCGGCAGCGCATATCAATACCGTACTCCAGGGCCGGGACTGTCACGGACCGAGATGTAAGTCTTTGATTCGGCTAATCATATTGTGGAGATGTTCTGTGGAGACTAGAATATCTCCATCACTAGTTCGCAGATATTGACCAGGGACCACAAAGATAGAGGGTGGGGCGTCACATCTCTCCCTGAGTAACGAGTATGCCATCGAAAACCGGTGTTTCAGCCCTGGTAGATCCACTAACAAATGATCATCGACGAGTTATAGATCCATACCAAAGCTTCCCAGTGGGGCCAGCTATAGTGGCGGTTTCCAGATGTGGTTCGGCGGCGGTACATTCGCGGCCCGTAGGCTTTGATAGATCTCCGAAATTTACGCTCCCATAACGCTCGGAAGCCACACTTCCCGGCGAAATATACCTCGGGAAGAGCTGTGATTGGTCAACCGCCATCTAGATGTAATCTATTCTACTACGGGCTGATGAAACATTCATCGCTTTCTCAATGAACGATGAGACTTATCACACAGAGAATACAAAAACTGATGTGTAAAAAATAGCCAAGAAACATGACTGTATTCGAATCCACCCATTTTCTAGGAAGCTTTATGTATTCTGACCTTTATTCTATCCTATTCTACCGAGAAAGTTTGTCTGTCACATTAATCAAAATGAATGAGAATGGTGTTTTCTTCTATTGCTTCCTAAAAGCGACTCTCACCTAAGCAACTCGTGAACAGCAAGTTTCGTCATCATCTAGTGACCACCTAAAGTGTATGCATTGCACATTTTGCTTTAGGATAATAGAATTTAAATTGCTGAGTACAGAGCCGTAATAATACAATATCCGAAAAGGGATAATTAAAATATTTCAAAAAGGGGCATACCAGACCCATACCTTAATAGTAAGCTGAATAGTCCAGTCTGTTTAGTATTAGCCGCACAAAATCCGATCCATGGGCACCGGTGCGACTCGCCACGATCTCATCGCCTCCCTTATATGTTTGAGAACTTATCCCTAGTCCACTCTCGGATACTTGCATGCTCAAACCCTTTCTGCGATCGCAAGTATCAGCTCAACTTTTGGTGGGGCCTAACAAATAAGGCTAGTTCTCACTTCGGTAAAGAACTTCAACTTTTTGTTCATACAAACACATAATCTGTATGCACTGCTCATATAATTATGCCACGCCAGACCACGAAACCAGCAGTGTCGAGAGATTCGCCCTATTCCACGGACGGCGCTCGTTCGAGGGTACAGAAGGCTTGTGATCGCTGTAGAAGAAAGAAGACGAAGGTATGTAACGGTGTAACGTACGAAAGGACTTGATCTAACCGCATTCAGTGTGATGGAAGCACTCCTTGTCAGAAATGCCGAGCTGAAAATGCTACTTGCATGTTTGGTGATCGGAAGAGACAGCGAGAAAAGGTGTATCCTAAGGGGTAAAGCAACCTATCTTATCAAGCATGAATAGAACAAATTACTCATTGACTTTCCAGATACACGACATTCTTAGAAGAGCAGCAAGGCTGGCTGATTCATGGCCTCAGAGAGTTATATCGGCACGTGCAGGCCGGGGATGGCTGGCCTGGAGAACCATTAAGCTGTGAAGCCGATGGCCAGCCTCTGGTACACGATATCCTGTCTCGGCTGGGATCCTTGGACCAACCTCATGTTGAAAGCACAGCAATTACGGAGAGTGCACAAACCTCCAGGCACCAACAAAAGCTACAAGATCAAAATGCCCGACAAATGCAGCAGCCAAATCCTTGCAGTGGCTCTCACAGCGTCACCTCAGTTTCGGCTCCGTCAATTGCTCCCAGCAATGTCCCATCACCAACGGTTGACCAAAACCAAATTTTTGAAGCTGAAAACACCCCATCTTCGCTATCGACACAGGATGTTCCCCATGCCAATAGTCTCAACAATCCATCCCAGTTGCATACTAATATCAATCTGGATGAATATACGCCAGACATTGCGAGTCACGCCGGATTGTTATATAATGATGTCCAGACGAGCAGCCCGATACTCGAGTATCCCACTGAAAGTGATCCCGTGGACATGAATTTTGATATGTTCACGAGCATAGGTAATGGCATTGATGACTGGGAAATATTCTTCGATCCATCTAGCAAGGGTCAGTTATCGACTGAGGGTTATTTGACGCCATTTTACGACTCCCAGCCCTTGCCATTTGAGTATGCTGCTTAATGAACCCCCCGCCCCATGCTGAATGCAGTTTCATGCCCCTTCTCCATTCTTAATTTTACTATGTATCTATGTTCTCCTATTTCTTTTGTACAATATATTATTATCAGTCCGTTATGTCATAAGCTAGATAGCTCTAGAGACCTCGCCAGAATTGGAGTCCCCTATATTGTCACTAAATCCTGACTACACTAGGGAGATTGATGACTAACGAACTTTGAGCTTGGAAACCCTCCCTAATTGGATTGATCGCCTATAGAGGCTACATTGCGAAAGACCCGCCGTAAGCAGGGAATTGCGTCACCGTTTCAAGGGGCGTATAAGGTATTAAGCACGACCCTTGGCACTCTTGAAAAACTTTGCAAGGAGGAACCGCTAATGGTATATTATTGCTAAAAGAATTGATCGAACGGGGGTATTTTGTTGCTGTAGATCCACTCACCCGTCAAGATTGGCTCAGGGCCCACCAGACTTGTGGATTGTGCGCGTAAAATTTGCTTATGTTCAATTTTGCCTTCATTAACATGATTCAAGCGGACTAATGGATTTGCAAGCCCCGGAAATGTAACTGACAAGGTTTTCCACCCCGTTCGGAGCCACCCTTCTAGAACACCGGATCCCGGAAAGAATGTGATCCGGGATCCGCAATTTACTCTTCCTCCTTTAGTTGATAGGAATTTAAAATTCCGCTGAGATGTATGAAGTGCTAATGAGAAAAACAAGATATGGATAAAAATCATATTTCCGTTCTTCCGAGTCTAGAGATGGCTAAAATAAACTTGACAGGTCTATCGCTGAAGTACTGTACAGTATCCTTCTTCGGGATTTAAATTATGACGATCCCAGAAATTTGACCACCGCTGTATCATATTGTTAGTGATCGAATGTATGAAACTGGCGTTCGAAAAATTACCTTGCCGGAAGTCTTCAGGCTTCTCGGAGATAAGCCAATGTCCCGCCTCGACGTCCGCAATCTGGGCTTTGGGGAAGAATTTCTTGATTGCAGGAATGGTTGCATCAGTGACATACTTGGACTTAGTACCCCGAACGAAGAGGGTAGGTCCATCATACTGGACCCCATCCGACTCGCTGAAGGGGAAATCGGCCATGTTGTCAAGAGAGTTCCCAATCACTGAGAGAGGCACACGGAACTTCAGAGTCTTATGCTCGTCATCAGAGCGGACAAGATTTGTCAAAAGAAATTGGCGGATTGGAAGGGACTACTTTGAAGTTAGTCACGATCGGGAAGTATACATCAGTAAATTCCATACCTCTTCGTAATCCTCGAGGATTTTGTTCGCGTCTGATTGCTTTTTTACTTTCTCCCGCTCTACGTGCTGCATTCCTCGCACATACTTTGGGAAATCACTCTTCAGTGTTGCGTTCAGCGGGGCATTATCGACCGGGATTAAGGCGGAAACGCTCTCCGGGGACTGAAGAGCCACTGTCATTGCGGCTTTAGCACCCCTGTAAATTATTAGTACGGATTAGATCACAGATTGAGTCAAAGCTCTATATGAGCCACGCGTAAGGGACTTACATTGAATGGCCAATCAGGACGCATTTCTTGAGCTTCTGCTGCTCTATGAACTCCTGCACATCCTCGGCCATAGCACTATAGTTGTGCTCCGGGGCATGGAAAGAATCACCATGATTACGAAGATCCTGCAGGCGTATGTAAGTATAGATAACATTTGTGGTATCTCCCTCTTCTCTTAGTGGCAATTAGAAGATTATGCGACAAGCGTACCAATGTGAAGATCTGGCATTTCAAGTCCTTCGCCAGAGCTCTGCAATTTGTGTCAGATCCCATAATTATTACCGGCCGCGATGTCACATACTTGCTAATACTTCGGTTGTTCTGCTTAGAACCGAAAAGTCCATGCAGGAACAAAATGGGGTCGCGAATGGCTTCCTCCTTTTCCGGTCCGTAGACCTGGTAAGACAGCTCCGCTCGGTACACACGAGCTGTGGAGAATGCCCGAGCGCCAATAAAGCTTCGCGCAGCTGCCCGCGTGAATAGCATGATGGAACGCTGATATTTGAGTGTCGATCGGAGAAGCCAACATTTGACGTGAAGCGATCGGGAAACCAGGTCGGCTGACTCAGCAAATCGTTCGCGCGTTGGGACTCGAGGTCACGGCGACAAAAAGCTTGACAACGTCAAAATTTAGTGAGAATTCAAGTGTATAATTGAGGAAGACACATTGCCCTCTGCATTTTTTGACCTAATGAGCCTGCTTCATGGCCTGGATAACCCACTAATTGTCTGCATGGTCGGCCAGTTGATCCAGCCCTGCCACCGGGAGTAACGCGCTGAGTTCCAGATCTGGCCTTTTTACTACTCTTTACATAGCCTCGGGCTCACTGAGATAGCCTGAATATCATAGGCGACTTGTCTTTGGGTCAAATATCTGTCTCGTGCTCTGGTGCTGAATGGTGCTTATTCTAAGTCCCCGGACCGCGCAGTGGGGCTAAGCGCGCTCACCAAATCCAAATAACCGCCGTGTGCTAGTAGATAAGGAAAAATGAAGGAAGCCTTCCAGAAAGCAAAAGCAAATCTATAGAAGACATTGAGTTTGATCATCCTGTTCAGCAGTTTTGATATGTCATTGCGGTTGCTGTTCTCTTCCAAGGTCAGTAACACCTCGATTTACCAATCTAAGTTGGCCTCAGTGACACAGAGATAGATGCTCACGAAAACATGGACGTCCGATTGGCTGATAGGTATGGCCAGCTCACTCAATTATGTTGGTGAGTCTCTTAGAAGGTTGTTCTATTTCCGACTACATGTACTATATTTATGTAGCACTTTCTCCTTACAAATTGCGTCACTTCATTTCTTACATACCGCCCAAGGGCTGGAGAGACTTCACATTTGAGTTGCTGAGAAGTCAGGCGTGGAGAAAAAATCCAAAGCTCAATTTTAGTAATTTGATATGTTATACTATGTATGTTTGAATAATGTTTTGTAGACCTATGGACTGGGGATGGTCAACGCGTTGATTAAGGCGGGACCGCGGGGGAGGACCGCGATAAGCAAGCTCCACGTTATAAAACCCGAGCTGCCCCTCTTGCCACTCAACTCCAACAACTCTCTTTACCCTGTTCTTCCCCTGCCGCGATATATTCACCTATTCAAAATGACCAATCAAGTCCGCACAATCAACCCTGCCACCCACGAGGTCGTTTTCGACCACCCGGGCACCTCCTTCGCCGAAGCAGCCAAGATCGCCACCGCCTCGAAGCAAGCCTTTGAATCATACCGCACCACTACCCTCAATGAGAGAAAGAAGATTGTCGCTCGTGCGCTAGAGATTATTTCCTCCAAGATCGATGTTCTGGCCAAGGAAGTCACCACACAAATGGGCCGACCCATTCGGTACTGCGCCGGCGAAATCAAGACTGCCATCCTTCGCTCGGAACACATGATCGATATTGCGGAACAAAGCCTGGCTGATCTCCCGGGCAAGCCAGAGGCGAACTTCAAGCGCATGGTCAAGCATGTACCTGTGGGCCCAGTTCTTATTGCTGGTGCTTGGAACGTAAGAACTTCCGGTTTACAACAAGGAGGTTTTCTAGACCGCTGATTTGTCCCTAGTACCCATACCTCACTACTGTCAACGCTTTGGTGCCTGCCCTTCTGGCCGGCAACTCGGTTATCCTGCGCCCATCGCCCCAGGTGCCTCTGTTCGGCAACCGTCTTCTTGAGATCTTCACCGAGGCCGGTTTGCCGCAAAACGTTCTCCAGGTCATTCATATTGGTAGCTTGGATGTCCTCGACCAGGTCGCTCAGCTTCCTGAGATTCAGTCCGTCTCTTTCACCGGATCTACTGCTGGTGGTTTGAGACTTCGCGAAGCCACTGCACGCCAGATTAAGCCTGTCCACCTGGAGCTTGGTGGAAACGACCCCGCATACGTGCGCCCGGATGCAGATGTGAAGGATGTGGCAGAGAACCTTGTTGATGGTGCTGTCTTCAACTCGGGACAGAGTTGCTGCTCGGTCGAGCGTGTCTATGTTCACGAGAAGATCTATGATGCCTTTGTGCTTGCCGTGCAGGAAGAGCTTAAGTCGTGCGTTCTTGTCCTTCCCCCACCTTTTTTTTTTTGAGATTCTAATAATTCTTAGATACAAACTCGGTGATCCCCAAGATACTACCACAACCACTGGTCCTGTCATTTCCGCTGTGGCCAAGGAGAAGATCCAGTCTCACGTTGACGATGCCTTGTCTAAGGGGGCCGTCAACGCGACTCCAGAGAACGCTACCTTCTCTCTGGCCAAGACTGCCGACAAGGGCAACTGGCTGGCTCCTGTTGTCCTCACCAATGTGAACCACTCTATGGTTACCATGAAGGAGGAGACATTTGGACCTGTGATGCCAATCATGAAGGTTTCAAGTGACGACGAGGCCGTCCAATTGATGAATGACAGCGATTACGGATTGACTGCCAGCGTGTGGACGAAGGATATTGCTGCTGGTGAGGAGCTGATTGATCGCATTGAAGCTGGCACAGTGTTCGTTAACCGCTGTGACTACCCGGCTCCGGTAAGTTTTTGTTCATTCGCCCTTTCCTGTAGCATCAACTAACCGTCTTGACAGGATCTCGCGTGGACCGGTTGGAAGATGTCCGGACTTGGCTGCACTCTTGGACCTCGGGCATATGATGGATTCACTAAACTCAAGAGCTACCACATCAAGGGTGTTTCCGCTTAGAACATAGATTTTCCCCCATTTTCATGACCCGCGACTTCGACTATGATACCGGATATATATTTCCACAATTGAATGACATTTTATAGACTTATTTGTTTCAAGTGTCGCAGAGCCATCAAATTAGAGCATACTAGCCTTCTAGGTACCTGGAAAATTGCATATTTCCAGGGTGCAAACACCAGAAATTAGAGTAGAGTTGATTGCTTCTTGCACCTGCGCATTGGCATGAAATATCCTTATCTTCAGGCTTATCGCTTATCTCTTATCTGGTTACTTGCGGCGGTCCGGGACCGCGCTCTTCAGTCCCACCAACCACAACCTTGTGTCCTTTTCCTTTTCTTTAGAATCATTAAAACGACATCCACGGATGGAGGATAACTGAAGGCCCAGATAAATATATGTTCCATGCTTTGATGAGGCTTTATGAATGCATCCTTGCTGAAAATCTCTGGCCTGTTATGTATCATCCACACCCCTCAAGCATTGTCCGTTTCCTCAAAGCTGCCAAAATGCCATCATTAAGCCGATTTGGCCTCGCGGTACATAAGCGCAAAGGAATTGAAATCCCCTTTTGGGCCACCCCATTTCTCTAAGTCAACTGTCACTCGGTCAACTTCTTTGAATCCATGCTTGAGATAGAGCCCGAGCCCCTCTGGCGTTGCCTCAGTATAGGCAGGTAGGCAGAGTTCGTCTGCTCTATGAACACCATACGCCACCAACAGACCTCCAAGTCCCTGTCGCTGATATTCAGGAAGAACAAACAGTTCTTTGAGTTCTACGAAGCTCAGATGATCAGCCATGAGGCCTGCCTAACAAAGCAGCCATGATGCGCGACTTACGGAAGAATTTCTTCTCCCCAAGCAGATTTGCTCGTTTCATATAACGTACGCCTCCAGTAGCATCCATCAGCGCACCATTCATAGTTGGCGGACGATATCGGTTGGCATATCCCTCTTCCCATTGGGCCTTTGTCTGGCCCTTGCTGTGCGCCCACCAAGTAAATGCCACAGGCTTGTTGGTCGCTTGTTCCGTTATGAGTAGGTAGGTATTCTTGGATTCCTCCAGCATCGGAATCATGCGGCGGATCTCGTCATCCTGTCCATCTGATGCTCTTGTTGGTGCCTCAACCTTGGTCTGCAGGTGGGGAGGCCAGAGCAGGGATCCGATTGAGCTTTCGTTCTTCCTATTCCTGTCATTATTTGCAGCACTTTCGATATCCCAGATCGTGCGAGCTCCTTCCTCTGTCGCAGGCACATGGCTCACTATGAACCCTGGTTTTTCAGGTAATGTCATGGTGCAAGAAGAATATGATTCACGAAATGTCTGATCGGAGGATAAGGGGCAGTTGACGGCTAGGTCTGGGAGAACGGAAACTTCCTAAGATATAGGGCCGATGGTATGTAGAAGAAAAGAATCACAATACTAAGGCGGAACTGGCTAGAAAGAAACAGGAGTAAGTGATAACACGTATCTAGAAACTAAGTACAAGGTCAAGCCAGCCACTGAGAAGTGCAGCCGATGAGAGATTCGAAAGTGAGCAACGGGAGTCAAGAACTAGGCAGCCAAATAACAATAAAGATGGCGTTGGATATCTCGATTTAAGATATAGAGTGCCTAGCATAAAAAGCTTAGTAGCCAATCAGTATTCTCTCCGGATGTCGGACTCCGGACAGGCACCCGGTTGCGATATGCTATAAGGAGAATGCGTTAGGGTAAAACGATAACTTTAAAGCTTGTAGCTTACCATAGCATGTGTGACTATATCTGCAAGAGTTGTATATTTATTATAACGACTATAGACTAGATCGACGTTTCAAGGTGATGTGTAGTAAATCCATTCAATCACACTTTTCGGGAAGGGCTGCCGCGACCCGCACAAAGCGGAAGTGGGGCATATCCATTTCTCATCCATGGTTCCCATGACATGGACGTGACTTTCCACCTATTTAGGGACGTCCCCCGGAGTATCGTATTCTTTCCAGAAAAACAAATGAAGAACGGCTCCAGAGCCGAATTAACGTGGCTTTAGTCGGGGTTTCTGCGCGGTGAACAAAGACTGGAGCCCCTAACTGTACGCGTAAGACCTGACGCGCTAGCCATGGCCATGCCCCATCAGCTACTGTTATTTTTTTTTCGAGTCCGATGAAATAGATCCTCGCGATCACTACAGAAAACGGTACATTGTTGTAAAGCTGTAGTACAAGGTAGAAACTTTCTTCATATTGTCACCAAATTGGTAGTGATCTACAGGGAACTGACCTATTACCATGGTTCGGCTTGGCCGCCATGGCCCCTTGTGGAGAACATAACTTTACGAGATTTGAGGGTCCAGGAGATTTTCTTGGCCGCATGCTGGGAGTCCACGTTTCCCTTGGCATGGGGCGCTCCATATGCCTCCCGAGGCTGTGGGATTTTTCAAGGCTTGTCGTCCCCCCTCTCGCCTCGCCATGCTCCTCCTCAAGAGACGGCTTCCCATACTGAGGTTAGAGAGCGGCACAGGCTCTCATGTTCTGCGTGTGTTTCTCTTCTTTCTTGCATTCTACCTGCTCCTTACATTTTACGTGCGCGGACAGTCGTACCGCGATCCCGGATCGGTATTCTTCAACCCGTGGACTGCATATGATACTTCCTACACCGATGTAAGGCTTGAAGAAGCGGATCTCTATATCGAGTCTGTGACCAATGCGTCTATATTGCCAAAGGCGGGACCAGAGCCTGGCCTTTGCGTCGGCATTGCGTCGATCGCACGACATGGAGTCCGGTATTTCAAGAGCACTGTTGGAACAGTTCTCGAAGGGCTGAGCGAGGCGGAACGTGCTGATATCCACCTCATTCTATTCATCGCGCATACCGATCCGACTGAACACCCTGCATATTCGGAACCTTGGCTTCATCAAGTCGCAGATCAGGTTCTGCTGTATGACCCTGAAACTGTCGATATCGAGCATATTCATTCTTTGGAGACAGATGCGGCAAAGGTCTCGGGGCGCGAAAAGGCCCTGTTTGACTACACTTACCTACTGCAAGCATGCGAGGCAGCCAACACCCCTTATGCTGTTATGTTGGAAGATGATGTTGTTGCATTGGATGGATGGCATCATCGTACTCGCAATGCTTTGGACTCCGTAGAAAAGCAGACTGCGGAAATTGGCGCGTCAAAATGTGAGATTGGCATATTTGAATAGTCATTCATTTGACTCAAGATCAATTCATGTGGATTTGAAGCTAACAATCTCCTCTTCACCAGGGCTTTATCTCCGTCTTTTCTATACCGAAGAATTCCTTGGCTGGAATTCCGAAGATTGGCTCATATATCTTATTTACTCCGCCCTCGCTGTCTCCTTAGTTGCCTGCATCTGTCTCGGTATTCGACAGTACAAACCACGCACCCAATCCCACCTCTCCAACCCAACAATCCTTCTCCTCTCCGCAATCTGTACCCCGCTACTCATCGGCCTTTTCTTCGCCGCTGGCCGCGTCACAACTCTCCCTCTCCCAGAAGGCGTCCACCAAATGCCCCGCTTCGGTTGCTGTTCGCAAGCCTTTGTCTTCCCACACTCGCGCATTCCCGATCTTGTGGATTTATACCGATCAAGGCATATTGGATATGTCGATATGATCACCGAGGAATTCGCCAATGAACACGACGAGCTCAGATGGGCAGTTACCCCGATCATCATGCAACATGTTGGTCGAAGAAGCTCTAAGGGGGCGAGCGGAGATCCGAACGTACCTCTGAGACATAAATATAAAAGCGAGTTGTCGGATGTGGAGAAACTTTGGAATTTTGGCTTCGAGACCAATAATGCGGACTCGTTGCGTGCGGAGCATGAATATGTGAAGGAGCATGAATGATTGATGGTCTAGCATCATATACCCTGCATATATTGCATATATGTGAATATTAGCTACGTGAAATGTAGTGCACCCGTACATAATCAACAACAGGGACACAGATACATAATATGGCCCAATTACAAGGCGCCATGAATCAAAATTTGAAGATTGTGAACTGTGTACATTTAACGACACGATCTAAATAATGAATATTGAGAGCACGCAAAAAAAAAAAAAACAATCATCGTAGACAACTGCAAATGCTCCCTAGAAACTGCGCCATAAGCCCAAAACCCAACTGACCAATTTTGAAAACGTAGAGCGTGGTTTCCATTTTTCGTGTAGCACTTTGAACCAGGGACAGGTATCAGCAAGTCGCTGAAGTTCTACCTTCCTGTCATATGGTCGCTTCCACAATTCTTCAAACAATTTGGGTAGATTGGGACCAGCAAATATACTGAAAAGACCCATTTCGAAGTCCAGAACAGTCTCGGCTGATGCCATCATTTCCCGGCGTATTCTACGTGTGTGCAAGGCAGATTCAGGATATTGAGAATGACGGTTCATGAAGATCTTGGCGAAATCCTTATAGTCATCAACGTATCCACAGTAGCTATTTGATCGTTGGAATTCGGGCATTTGACAAAACGAAGGTAGGTCGACAACCAGGCCTGAGAATTCATTGATGCCGATGATGTTGAAGTCATCATCGATCAATTAGGCAGTTAGCATAGTATTCAGAATAGACGTGGGGATCTATTATCTTACTAGAGTCTCACCAAGCTCGAAATCCCACATCAGATAGAAAGGTCCATTGGCGTATTCTTCATTGATGATCTTTTCTTGGAACTCTGTGAAAAGCTCATACTCTCCCACAACCTCATACTTGAAGTCTGAGTCCATTTCAGAATCTTCATAACAGGGGTCTACGAGTGAAAAGGCCCTGCCAAGTTTGGCTGCGGCGCCATAGTAATCGGTGGTGGAAGAATATGGGCCTCTCAAATGAGGCTCAAAACCATGGTAGATAGACGTCTTCTCTTTAAAACGCGCATACGCGGGGTGGAGGACCGGTCCAACATAGAATTCACCATCCGGGCCTTCTTGAAGAGATCCTATCTTGTCGAATGGCAAACATGCTATTCAGGTTAATGACTTTCGTTTATCGAAGTCAATCGTTTAAGGAAATCAGAACTCACTCAGTTGGAGCATGATATCTGTCCACTGTCCATGTATCTTTCGAGCTTGAGCAAACTCTTTCGTACTGTGCCGGTTGGTATAATGTTCCAGATCATCATAATCTTCATAGTCCAAAGATGGCAATATGCGGCCCTCTAGTCGCTGCGTGAGGACATATGTTGCGTTGACCTTATTTGGTTCATCCGACCGGGCGAAAGATCCATATACCTCGGGTACAGGAAGAGTAGTCTTCTTCTTCAAGAATTTCAAAGTAGCGGCGTACGAGGCACTCATCTCTTCCGATAGGTAACACTGATATGCCAATGGAAAGCGCGCTATCCAGACAATTCCGTCCGAGAACTTGATTTCGTATTTGACGTACTCACCTATAGTAGATAAGTTAGCATGTTATTAACGCATATTGAAGGTGGACGCTATACAATCTAAGTGTCGCAGACCCAGCTGACATAACATCCCATCTCGAGAGCTTGAGGCTACGGCACAGAGCTCATGAAAGTTGATACTGTCTGCGAACTCTTCAAATTCAGGTGTGGCGTAGTCGACTGTTGGAGAATCCCAAGAGCTTGAATGGGAGGAGGACACGCTATGCGGGCTCATGTTGGGGTCTTGGAAACCTTTCGATAAAATAGAATAGTGTGATGGGACGTTAAACCAAGCATATAGGGGCTTAAGTACTGGGCTTGATCTTGCATGTAACAAAGACTCGAATTTCCAGTAGATGGATTATGGAGATTAATTCAACACAAAGGAAAACCCAAAAGCTGCGAAGTAGTACATCAAAGATATGCTTTTATGAAGATGACCATACAAAGCGAGTGACCAATGACTTTGAGTTCTAGTGCGGACGGCAAATTCTCGGCGAATGAGAGGCACCCCGCACGCGGTGAGACCCACCGCACGTCTTTGACTTCACATTTCTCTTTGGCATGTACTTCTATTCTCGTATTTCACGTCCAGCTGTCAATCAAAGCTGACCTATCACCCTGCCGTAGTCACCTTTTGACCAACAAGTTTTCATTGTGCGAGAAAATAGCTTGCTAAAATTGCTCTAGAATGAGCACGCCTAATGACAATTACGCCATTCATAAAGTTTCTCTCAAACGTACACGGCAGGCGTGTGGACCATGCCGGTAAGTTTGTTTGAAGCTGATTAGGATATTGAGTCTAATTGATTTCTAGTCGCAAAAAGGCTCGTTGCCCCGGTGAGAAGCCTGCATGCTCAACATGTCAGCGATTGGGACAGCGTTGCTCCTACGGGACACAGATGGCTACTCGCAGTCAAAATCAAAGATCCGCCAATCATGGTGATGGGTATAGCTCTGAAGGCTCAGATCAACCCAAGGCTTCCGGTGCACGTCTTCAAAGCATAGAGCAACGGCTTGAAGAGATATCATCTCTCATTAAGTGTGTTACGGGCACTGAGTTGTTTCAGCAATATGTGACTGACTCTTCATTGCTAGAGAGCGACTACCCGAGAGGAGCTCCCAGGTTGAAGGGTTGGATGGGAACCTGCCGACCCATGAATACAATGCTCAGGGTGATTTAGCCCCGACCCCAGAACAGGTCCACCGGGACTTTGCGTCGAAGTAAGCATTTTCTAATCCACACCAACCTTAGCATTACTTCATTCAACTGACACAATAAAGCTCTCCATTATCAATACCTCTCATTGAGTCTGAGGTGCAGGTGTATCTGAACGACTTTCATGATCAGCCCTATTGCGTATTCGACAGGCAGTGGCTTCTGGAAAACAAAATTGCCCTCCCACAAGAAGTCTTATTTCCATTGGTAGCTCTAACGCGACGTCTTTCGGCCAACTCGCCAGGTCTACTTGATGGGTCAGCGGGAAATCTATGCGCGGAGCGAGCGTGGCAGATGCTGTCGATAAAGTACCGAGATGGCAAGACGGATCTTTCCTTCCTGCAAGGCACATTCCTCGTTGCTCAACTTGACTTTGCTGATGGCAATGCTCACAGAGGGTGTCTATCTGTCGGTATTGGTGTGCGGATTATCCAGTCACATGGGCTCAATCAGGGTAGGAAACTTTCCTCACTAGGAGATTCTGAAGCAGAGGCCTGGCGACGTATCACTTGGGCATTCTTCATTCTCGATCGCACCTACAACGCGTCCCGAAATTACTCCATCTGTCTCTCGGACAATCACTTCACGCTTTCTTTCCCTCTGTCATCAACCGATAACAATGCCCCTCGTGCATCTCTACATGACAAATCTTCGAATCATGAACAGAAGGGCGATCAGGATATCTTAGCTTCTCTTTTGCGACTCTACTCACTATGGGGTAAAGTGACAGAATGGGTCTTCGAGCCTCAGGTGCCAAGCACCCTACCACCCTGGCAAAGCGGATCAGCACTCTCAATTCTTGAGTCAGAATGGATGCAATTCGAGACACAGTTCGCAGATATTCATCGATATTTGAATGTCGACTTCAAACGACGCGCGCGTGAACAACCCGATTCTCATCCATATTTATCGACCTGGCTATGTGTCCAATTCCTCTTCCACTCAATACAGTGTCTACTACACCATCCTTTCGTGACCATGGTCAAGCTCCGTCATATGAAAGGCAACTTATCGGCCGCATTTCTCCAGAAATCGTTCGAAACCTCGTTGCTTCATTCACGGTGGATAGCACGGTTTATCAATGAAATGAGTGAAGTCGGTTTGCGTCTTTGTGATCCATTCTTCGGATATCTCGCTGCTATTGCAGCTACCATTCAACTTGAGCATACGGGTAACAAGAACCCAAAAATCGCTCTCTTGGTTAATAATGAATATCGGGTTCTGGTTGGATTTATCACTGAACTGTCTTCTCAGTGGGGGAATATGAAGGTCTTGGTAAGTCTTGCAACTTGTATAGAACGAATTGCTCTAATACGCTTATCTATGGACAGGCTGGCCGATTGAATGAATTGTCCTCGCGACGTCAAAATTATGGCTCGTTGTTCTATAATCAGGATGGGTTTTCAGGCGCACTGTCTAGCATGGCAACGCCGTCTAATCTTCCGAGGATGTCGGCTCAGGATGAGGCTCTCATGTGGAGTATCCTTGACCTGACTTCGTTTAACCCTGAAGAGAGCATCAGGAGATCACCGTCTACAGCAGATCTCCGAGCAGAAACTCAAGATTTGAAGGCGCCGAGTCTGCAAGAATCGGTTACTGTTGGAATCAGGCCAGATTTAGTTGAGGCAGCTACGCCAGAGTGGCCCTTTGAACAACGAGGTACCGGATTTGGATCCGGCGTGCCTGATATACCAGACTGGATGATTTTTGGGGACTTCATGTCAGAGCATCTTTGATTGAAAACTCTCTTTATCTCCAAAACCCAGCACCTATGGTGGGTCATGGTGATTATTGCACTTTGGCGCCTGTTATCGCCTTGGAATATCGAGATACTCAATCACATGATGCGCTAGGAAAGTCTAGATCTTCTAAAACAAACCATGCAAACTAAGCAAACCATATGTTGACTGTCTATCTACTGCTTACTTCGAGTCGGAGGCATTTCTCTTCTTCTTCTCTTCTTCTCTTCTTCATTTAAAACTTCTCTTCTCCTTCTGTTGCTTTGCTGCACTTTATAGCACTTTGTCAGCATCAGATATCACCAGTGGCAAGATGAAACCCATTCTGTCTGCCCATGAGATTGGTGAAGGACTTCCCGTTTTGATCATTCATGGTTGGGAAATGAATGGAAGAGTCGAAGAGCTAGACTTTGAGCCAATTTTCAGTAAAACACTGGGATTTCGCCGGATTTACGTTGACCTTCCCGGCATGGGCGCAACACCTGCGAATGATGTCGAAGATCTAAACGATATGTACCTTCGCCTGATGCAATTCATTGATTATCGATTTGGAAAGTCAAGATTCTTACTTGTCGGCTCGTCATGTGGCGGCTACCTTGCACGCGCGATAGCTCAAACATATATAGAGCAAGTCGATGGTCTGTTGTTGCGCGTGCCGCTTATCGAGCCAAAGGACAGCATGCGCGATCTCGATGCTCTCAAACCTTTGGTTGCGGACGAAGAACTCATGTCAACCATGTCAGCCGAAGACAGGACACTTCTTGGGAACGTCCTTATTCAAACGCCTGCTTACGTTGCAAATTTGAAGGCAAAATACGAGGAGGTTTACGGTCCAGCAATGAAAGCAGCGGACAATAAGGTGTTAGATCCTATCCGAGCAGATCCAGGTCGATACCACTTACCTTTCTCGTTGGACGATGAAAGTGCTAAATTCTTTGCACCTACACTTATTGTATGTGGTCGGCAAGATGAGAGCGTGGGCTATCGAGACAGCCTTCGCTTGTTGGAGCTCTATCCTCGATCAACGTATGTTGTACTAGATCGTGGTACGCATGGTCTTCCTATCGATGAAACCAGTGTTTTTGCAGCTCTTGTTCGTGATTGGATAAGCCGGGTTGAGGAATGGCGAGGTCGTACAGGAAAATAAGAGCTATCATTGGTACCTATCAATAATCTCTGTCTACAACTCTGGTGCAGATCACGGGTCAGCCGCATGCGTGGCATAGTCAATAAGAGGTGACCGCTGTCTGAAATATTACCTCTAATTCTATGAGTATTCTTTTGGTTTAAATTGGTCTAAGCATTCAAGGGTATAGATAATAAAACTACCTTAGTAACAACTGAAATACCATCAACTCCGAAACAATGCTCTACACCCTCGCTTTGACATGCACCTTAACATCTTTCGCAGGCAGGAAAGCACCCCAGGCCGTCTTGTGAGGGGGTACAACGAGGTCTTTTCCATCTGGCGAGGAAATAACCCACATAGACACGATCGATGCCGTGAATGCCAGGATAGCCCGTTCGGTGAAAGCGTTATTCTTCGTCGTATACAGACCATCTGCAAAAGGCCCGAGGATCTCCGGATTGGCCACCTTGTTACCAGATGTACGGTCCGTAACGAGATACCGAAGCGGGTCATACTGATCTGGGTTTGAGAATCGCGTTTGATCGTTCTGGTAGACTCCATGAGGCATAAGCACCTTCTCGCCCTTTCGAATCTTGTATGAACGAGGCTCTATGGCTTCTCCTGCCGACTCCGTAAGAGTCAAGTCCGAATCTAACTCCCGGAGCGATATTCCCGCAGAGTGAAGACGAATGGTTTCGTAGTGGCAAGCTTTCAGTAGGTGGCATGTCTGTAGCATTTTTTCAATGTCGAGATCAAGCTTTGGGGGCTCATCGAATGGGAATCCAGTCTCTCGCCGATTGGGGCGTGAGGAGTCTACAGCCGGGGCCATTTCCTTTCGGATTTCCTTCAGCAGCTCTTCGTCGGCAAAGATGTGGATCAGATTCCAGAATGTCATTTTGACGATGTATTCCATCAGATCCCAGTGAAGCGACATGTTCCCCGCCGCACTGGCTTTTGGCGACAAGCCCAGTTTTTTGGAGTTTCGCATTTGCTGCTTGAACAGTTCCGACACATCATCAAGATCGCGGAGCTCGATGCCTGGGTCAATGCCATCATCCCAGGCACTAAATGCACGGTAAAAGACCGACATGATATGCGTGAGACGATATCTTGCAGCGTGTCCTGCAGAAATACCAGGTGTAGGTGTCCATCGTTTAAATCCCGCAAACATCGACACGAAATTGGCATCTAATGACCAAAAAAGCTGGAGAACACTGGGGAATGATTCCATGAAGGCCTCGCCTAGCAATAACGTAGTGATGTTGTGGCCCACAAACTCTCTCACTAGTGCGAACAGATTCGCCTCGCAAATTGACTGGTCCTGTTCAAATACCGACGTGGAGCTGTCGCGCTCCCAGGGAGCTTGATCCACGGGGCTTCGAGAGAAGGTCACCAGGTTCGAAGCGTTGCGCTGTAGCAACCGGGTGATTGCCGCTGAGGTATCAGAGATAAATGAGTCTTGGCTGATAATTGACGAGACATGACTGATTTCCTCGTTGCGGTTTGAACGTAAGCTGCGCACCATGGTTCGGTCGCCAAAGACATTTCGCATTGCTTGATCAAGTACTGTCATATCAGATGACTCTCCCGACAAGACTGTTTTGATCATTGCTGGTGACACCACAGTCTTGTGGACCTCCCCTTGCAAATAGACCCCAAACACGGGCTCGGCCATCGAGTCGCTGTATTTAGATTAGCAGCGGTAAATTGTGATGGAGGAGGTGGCGACCTACCGTAATGATTCAAGGAGAGCAACATGATTCCATAGAAAGAATGGCCCATGTCCGAACCGGGGGAACCAGTAGGGAGCTAGTCGTGGTGTTCGCGCCTCTGTCGGGTCAGATCTCCGTTGGCTACGCAGACCAGTGATCACACGAGTCAGGATGCATGAAAAGATCAACACCGCCAGACATTTTGCCCAGGTTAGCTCCGACAAGACCTCTTGCATGGCCTGGATCACACCATGAGACATGCGTCTGTATTCCATATTTCTTTTCCCACGTTGACAGTCCAAGCTTAAATGTACGAACAGAACAGGTGGGAGATCCCTTGCTTATGTCAGCGTAGATGCCTGAATCCACAGTTTGTTTTGTTTTAGTTTCTATGTACTTTACCACGAAGTACTTCAATCTAGTGACACCTGTACTTACCCTGTACTTGCATTCTACCAACACGAGAATCACAGAGACATTGCAAGTAATTGGGTTCTTCCCTGTTTTATGTTTTGCGATAGCCCCGTTATTTCCTTTGTGACCTTCATTTGTCGCTTTCCACTGGATACATCATACCGCTGTTGCCCCACTGTAGTGTTGTTGGGTTTCTTTGATGCGTTGGTTGAAGTAGGGTTTGATTGGACCTGATTGAAGACTTGAATTAATCCCAGTCAAACAAGGCCAGGCTGGGCTTTGTTTGACAGGGAAGATGTAGCCAACCGTAGAATAGTGCGTAATGGCTCAGATGAACGGATCATCATGTAGGACCCATTTCCCATATGAAAGGCTAGGCCGTTTTCCCTACCTATAGACTTTCTTTCTTCCTCTCTCAATGGGGAATATCCTCTCTTCCCCATTTCCATCTATCAATAACCATGTCTGATAACCCCCGTGGTCGGGGACGCGGTCGAGGTGACCAGGGATACGGTCGCGGCGACCGTGGCGGTGGTGGTGGTCGCGGTCGCGGTCGCGGTCGGGGAGATATGGACCTTCCCTTCCGGGAAGGCCGTGGAGGTGCCCGTGGAGACTCTCAGGGATATCGTGGCAGAGGTGATCGAGGAGACTCTCAGGGCTACCGTGGCAGAGGGGGTGATCGAGGAGGACGTGGGGAGTTTCGTGGTGATTTTCGTGGTGATTTTCGTGGTGATTTTCGTGGCCGCGGTCGCGGGGATTTTGGAGGTCGTGGAGACTTCCGCGGTGGTAGAGGAGGCTTTCGAGGTGGCGGAAACCAAGGTCCGCGAATCTTCAAGTAAGTATATCGTAATCAATATCAATGAATAATGATTAGTCAAGTTTTGATGGCGAATATCCTGACACAAATCACAGCGAAGGAAAACCAATACCTGCTCCTGATCCCCAGGTTGAAAAGGTCGAAAATGATACCGCCAAGACTCTGGTGGGACATGAGAAGACAGCGCTGTATCCCAACCGTCCAGGATATGGCACACTAGGCAGGCCTGTTACCCTCTATGCCAACTACATGCCATTCACGGCGGTTGGCAAGCCGGTCTTCCGCTATCATGTCGCTGTCGGCAAGGAGCAGGGCCGGGAGGTGCCAACCAAGAAAGCGCGTCAGATTGTGCGACTCTTGTTGGAAGAGCACTTCGCCAAAGATATTAAGAACATCGCCACCGATTATCGATCCACATTAATCTCATGTATCGACCTTGGGCTGGCGAGTGACAAGAAGTATGATGTGCGGTATAAAGGCGAGAATGAGTTTGACTATCTTGATGAGCCCAAGATCTACAGCGTGACCGTTGGACCGACAGGCACGCTGGACCCGACAGATCTAATCAATTATCTGTCTTCGAGTAATATCGATGGCTCTCTGATGCAGCAAGAGCAATTATTGGCGGCAATGAACATCATTATGGGCCACCAGCCAAAGACCGACCGCTCGGTGGTCACGCTCAGCGGTAACAAGCACTACAGCTTTGATGCTGCCACTGCCGAACGCATGTCTCTGGGTGGTGGTCTCGAGGCATTGCGTGGTTTCTTCATCAGTGTGCGTGCCGCCACCGCCCGCGTTTTGCTTAACGTGCAAGTCAAGTATCTCGCTTGCTACCGGGAAGGCCCTCTGCCCATGGTGCTTGGAGACTATATGCGTACGAATTCGCGCAATCCTTACCGACTTGAATCCTTTTTGAAGCGCATGCGTGTCCGAGCCACTCATATTGTTCGCAAGACGAGCAGCGGCAAGCCTCGCCCTCCTCAAATCAAGAGCATTACCGGGTTGGCATCTCCAACAGATGGTCGGTCCGGCACGAACCCGCCCAAGGTGCTTCGTCACGGTGCTGGTCCTTTTGATGTCCAATTCTTTTTGGAAGCCCCGGGGTCGAAACCGCCAGCTGCACAAGCTGCGCAGCCTGCCGAGGGCAAGGGGAAGAAGGGAAAAAAAGCCCGCCAAGGCAGGCCCACCCCCCGCAGGCCAATACGTCTCTGTCGGCGCATATTTCAAGCGAGAGTACAAGAGAGACTTGGACCCGAACTTGCCGGTCATTAATGTTGGCAACAAGCAATTCCCCATGTATCTTCCTATGGATGTGTGTGAGGTCGAACCTGGTCAGCCCGTTGGAACCAAGCTCTCCCCTAATCAAACATCTGATATGCTCAAGTTTGCTGTGATGGGTCGCAAGCCTGCGCAGAACGCTCAGTCCATTGTGACCAAGGGAGTGGGCATGTTAGGTCTTGGCGAGCCGTTGAGTGCCACTTTGGCTGCCTTTGGTGTCCGCGTTGACAACAACCTCATTACTGTCCAGGGTCGCGTTCTGGTGCCTCCGAAGATTCTCTATGCTAAGCAGAGAGAGGTGCCGACCACGGCAGGCTCCTGGAACATGAGAGCCATTCAATTTTCAAAGGCAGCGTCGTTGAAGAACTGGACGTATATGTATCTCACGACCGATCGCTCCCGTACATACTGGCAAAACGATCATCAGATGATGGAGTCTCTGAAGAAATTCACGTCGGTACTCCGAAACATGGGTATCGATGCCGAGCTACCTAAGGAAGGCCAATGTCTCGTTCTCAATGGCAGAAACGATGCCGAGGTCATCGAGAAGTCCGTTCGTGAACTGCAAGGTCTTTATAAGCCTTCCTTGATCCTGGGTGTTTTCCCTGGCAAGGATACCACCCTTTACAATACGGTCAAGCAGGTCTGCGATGTTCGTTGTGGTGTTCGCAATGTCAATGTGCAAGCTGAAAAGCTCGCTGAGGCACAGGACCAGTACTGTGCCAACGTTGGCCTGAAGATCAACTTGAAGCTCGGCGGAGGAAATCAAACTCTGAAAAACTCCGACCTCGGTCTATTTGGGAATGGTAAAACGATGCTCGTCGGCCTCGATGTCACTCACCCCTCGCCTGGCTCCGTAGGTAGCGCGCCTAGTGTCGCAGCAATCGTGGCATCGGTTGATTCTGCGCTCGCACAGTGGCCCGCCGAGGTTCGCATCCAGGAGAAGCGCCAAGAGATGATTCAGGATCTCGATGCACTTATGCAGTCCCGGCTCAAGCTTTGGGCCAAATTCAATAAGAACAAGTATCCAGAGAACATCGTCGTCTACCGCGACGGTGTCTCTGAAGGCCAGTACGATCTTGTCATCGAAAAGGAACTTCCACTCCTCAAGCGCGCCTGTGAAGCCGTCTACCCGGCCTCTGAAACCAAGCGCGGTCTCCCAGCTATGTCCATCATCATCGTCGGCAAGCGCCACAACACTCGCTTCTACCCGACCACCGATGCTGACGCTGATCGTTCTGCAAACCCAATGCCGGGTACTGTTGTTGACCGTGGTATCTCTGAGTCCAAGCACTGGGACTTCTTCTTGCAGGCCCACTCCGCACTTCAGGGAACTGCCCGCCCGGCCCACTACTTCACTGTCTGGGATGAGATTTTCTCCCCCCAGCATCCGGGTGGCAGTGGGGCCCGAGGCGCAGCTGATGTTCTTCAGGACCTGACGCATAAGATGTGCTACCTCTTCGGTCGCGCGACGAAAGCTGTCAGCGTCTGCCCGCCTGCGTACTATGCGGATTTGGTCTGCACACGTGCGCGATGCTACCTCAGTGACCTGTTCGATCCGAGTATGGCTTCATCACCGGAGGCGAGTGTTGCTGGGACCGAAGGGCGTGGACAGCCTGATTTTGAGAATGTCACTGTTCATCCCAATGTGAAGGATACTATGTTTTACATCTGATTGAAGATGAAATTTGGTTGGTTTGAGTTTGGAATGCCCTATTGGTAATTTGCCAGCAGTTTAGCGATTGGCTTAAGTTTTGGTCATGTGGCAGATTGACTTAATTGGTGGATAATGATGTTTTGAAAATACCTTTACGAAATGAATGCAGTACACCAACAATATATTGGTATTGAGATTTTGGCCCATGCATATTGCGTCACCGTAATGAAGCCTTTTGGTTACTTGGTCTGCTTTTCTATGTCAGTGTCTCTATGTAGATCACGAGAAGACCATGCCTAGATCGAATTCAAAATTTGCATTTATAGCGTACTGTTGATTATGGCTTTCATGGGTTTAAATACAATCTCTACAAATAGCGCTACCACAATATTATAAGAAGTGTAAAGAAATCTATTGCGAATTGTCTAGACCAGCTAGGCAGGTATATCGATCACACAAGTAACATAAGAAAAGACCCAACATCATCCCTTAGTAGTTAGGGATGCAAACACCGGCGTTCCACTCGGTGGCGCCAACGCACTGCCAGCCATCGCAGCAAGGGTCACCACCAGAGGTGCAGGCAACGTCGTAGTCTAGAGAGAATTAGCTAAAAGCTCTTGGAGGCTTAAGCTTCCAGATGAACTCACTGGCGACGCAGGAACGCTTCTCGGCGGTCTGGGAGGCAGAGGCAACGGCGGCCAGGGTAGCAATCAAGACGGTGATGAACTGCATTTTGTTGGTAGAAGGTGATTGATCGGGAGATCGGTGGGTTGTTTGTTAAAATTGGTTTGTTGGTTGGTTGGTTTGATTGATGGATGGATAATGTTCAATTTGACGTGGAAGTCCCCAGCTATTTATCCTCGAATCTATTCATAGGGAAGAGATAAATGACGTCCAGCTTCAATGGTCTCTATGCCTATTCAGGTACACGTTCGATCTGGTATGTTTCATGATCGGAAACTGTTGACCACCGCAGTATTATGCCTTCGCATATTCTAGGCCAGCCTCGGACCCCACTAATATCACCCATGAGAGACCTCACTTCAAGGAGGCATTGGAGGCGTTGCTTCCCCTTTTAGGGTCTAGTCTAGTCCCGTATACTGACTGATATAGTAATCTCACCTTTCTATTGGTTATGACCTCACTCCACCTACGGGATGGGGTCCATTCCTGTTTAGGAAAGTCGGTGCTGCTTCAACCAAAACAGGCAACATCCTGTCAAGAAACCTGAATCATTCAACTGCCAAAGGGGATGAAGCTGAATTATATTGTGAGACTGATATTTTCTGTTCGCCTTGCCCCTGAAGCACACATCCTAGATGATTCAGTGCATCGTCCATTATCCCTTAGAACGTGGGACTGCGTAGAATTTTGGGTGCCTTTAGCCCTCTTCGCCTTCGCGGACTTCTAAATCTCCGATGCCTTTCTGGCAAGTTCACTTGCTATTGAACAATCCCATCTCTTCTATTACGAACAGCGAACTCGATGGAATCTGTAGTTTGTTCCAACCTTGGAACCCTAACAAATGTCGTTCAGACGATTGACTCTTTTTTGTTAGGCCAACACTCTGGAAAGGCTGCATTAAACCACTCGGGACAACAATAAAATGCGAAGTCATTATGTTGGAAGTCGCACCAAAGCCAGTAATTGTTGAGGAAAGAACAAAATATGACAGGATTAGTGATAGAGATGTACATGAAAACCTTCTATGTTGGCGTTTATGTGTCCGCCTCTTGTCTAACGCTTTGTAATAGAACCTCAGCTCCGCTTTTACTCCCAAACTGATCTTAGGATATTACAAGAAAACTAGGCATCATTGAACCCAGGCGACGATGGAGTAACCCATGCCGAAACCGAGATTCGGCCCCATTGTAAGCTCGAAGCACGCTAAATCTCGGTTTCGGTTCGCCTGCCCGATCTAACCACCACAGCCCACACCGAGAGCCAATCAAATTGTCTGAATGGCAAACACGGCTGTAGTTGATTCATGGGACTGAGGCTTTGCAATTAAAAAGATCTTCAAATTATCAACTAGAAATTTCAAGGAGTCGGAAGACAAAGATAAAAGGCTTTATTTCCCAGATCTCTCATCAACTCAATTTATTATTCTACACATAACCTCCATCATCCGAAGAACTTATTCACCTGAATAAGCGGCATCATGACCAATATACACTCGACAGAAGGTCTTGAGCTAGCGGAAATAGCCTTCTATGCCATGGCAGTCCTTCCAGCTTTCGTCTGCTTCGTAGCGCATGGCAAACATGGAGTAATGGGATGGCTCTACGTAATTGCCATGTGCGGTCTACGTCTCGCAGGGAATGGCATGGCCTATCATTCCTTATCCACGACTGGTCATGCCAATGAAGCTGCTCAAATCATTAGCGGGATCGGATTGTCGCCTCTCTTACTTGCGGCCTTGGGAATACTTCATGAAGCGTGAGTGACTGCGCCATGAGTTATTAAATCTTGCGTCAACTAACCTGTTTCCAGCAATCATTCTATTCAGGTGACACTTCCGAATATTCTTCAAGGGCCAATCCTTCTCGTCCCCCATCTCGCTATTCTTACTGGTATTGCTCTCGCCGCTGCCAGTGGGGGAAAGTCTAACTTACTAGAAGCTGGCTTGATTGTCCTTACTATAGGCTGGCTTATTATTGCGGCATTTGTTGTGATGTCTCTGCGGGCAAGATCCAGGAATTTGCGAGTGAATGATGAGAAAAAGGTAAGGTCATCTCTTGGGTTTCTTTGTTGCTTTTGCTCACACTTCGAAGCTCCTTTGGGCAGTCATAATCGCTATGCCGCTTGTCGGCGTTCGCGTAATCTATTCCGTTGTCATTGTTTTTGTGGACGGGCGGGCTGATGGAGGTAGCCTGCCGATTCAGGTAATCTTCGGAACGATTCCAGAGTTCCTGGTCATGATCACATATATTTCCGCCGGCATCATGACGCGTAACTTGGCGTCCGATCGTACAAAGATGAACTTGGAATCATCCGGTCGGGGCCAGAATACTCTCGTGTAGATATATGAAAATAGATAGTTCATAGAGCACATTTTGTACAAACTCTATATTTGTTATCTGCTTATCGCCGTCTCGGTTGGAAGCGGGTAGTGACGTTCTCCCCGACGCCAACCGAGCCCTCCGCATTTTACTTCAGTCAATAATGAACCCCTCGATTCCTGATTTTCTCTTCTCACGATCAAAATGTCTTACAGAACGATAACTCGCCATTCATGGCGAGCCACATGCTCCGTGCGTGGGTTCCAGCCATGCTCAATGGCCGCTTCACGGCGATGGGGGAGCTCAATCTCACAGCGGCCTGGTTCTGATCGGTAAGTGTGGGGAAACCATTTCTCAAAGAGATAGATGCTGATTCCTGATGTTCTGTAGCGTACATTTCCCGGGGGCTGTGAACAGTAAATTTACTACCGACATGTCTTTTCTCAAATCTTCAGATCTTCCGGCTATCCCTACCTACAGAGTGATTGACTCCGACGGTGAATTGGTGGATAAGACACGCGGACCTCCAGATGTCTCAGATGAGGAGATTCTGACGTGGTACAAGAACATGACAACTGGTACGTCATACTTAGAGTTCTTGTGTGGTGTAATTAGCTAATAGATACCAGTGAGCGTGATGGACGTGGTGATGTTCGAGGCACAGCGGCAAGGACGGTTGAGTTTCTACATGGTAAGAAGACATAACATGATCTACTCAAGCCGCGGTAGTTCTATAAATAAATGCTAATATTGAATAGGTTTCTGCCGGAGAAGAAGGAATTGCCGTCGGCTCCGCTGCCGCATTGACACCGGACGATGTAGTTTTCGCTCAGTATCGAGAAACCGGCGTCTTCCAGCAACGCGGCTTTACGCTCAAGGATTTCATGAGCCAGTTATTTGCCAATTGCAATGACAAAGGCCAGGGAAGGAATATGCCCGTGCACTATGGTCAAAATTATCCTCGCATTGTTAGTCCACCTGAACCTCCTATGATACTGTAGTATCCCTGGCCTTCGAAGAATCAGCATGCTGACCTGATAATACAGCATACAATCTCATCACCCCTGGCAACTCAAATCCCACAAGCTGCTGGAGCTGCATACGCATTAAAGATTCAAGATCTACAAGATCCTAACCGGGAGCCACGCATTGTCACCTGCTATTTCGGCGAAGGTGCAGCCAGTGAAGGTGACTTCCATGCCGCACTCAACATCGCCGCAACCCGATCCTGTCCGATCGTGTTCTTATGTCGGAATAACGGTTTTGCTATTTCCACACCTACCCTCGAGCAGTACCGCGGTGACGGAATCGCTAGTCGAGGTATTGGATATGGCATTGACACGATCCGTGTGGATGGTAATGACGTCTTCGCCGTCTACGAAGCAACAAAAGAAGCAAGAAAACGAGCACTAAGTGACGGTGGTCGCCCGGTCCTTATCGAGGCAATGAGCTACCGGGTTTCTCACCATAGTACGAGTGATGATAGCTTTGCTTACCGGGCTCGCGTCGAAGTGGAAGATTGGAAGCGTCGTGATAACCCTATTATTCGATTGCGAAAGTGGCTTGAGAACAAGGGACTTTGGAGTGAGGAGCAGGAGAAGGAGACTAGGGACTCAATTCGGAAAGCTGTGCTGAAGGAGTTTAGTGAGGGGGAGCGTGAGAAGAAGCCTCCTCTTCGTGAGGCTTTTACGGATGTTTATGAGGATATCACTGAGGAAGCTCGTGAGCAGATGAAAGAGCTTAAGCGCATTCTGGAAAAGTACCCGAATGAGTATGATCTGCGGCCTTACAAGGATGGTGTCAATGGACTGGATTAATTTCGAAAATGGGGGCTTTTGTTCATAGAGTTCCTGTGATATCCCATACAATGCATATACCTTGACTTGGTGAACGTGACGAGGACTTATAGGATAGCGGATCGCATATCCGCCCTTATCTTTACGGTAGTATTCAAAATACCATTATACTCTTCACGTAATCAAATCGATGTATGCGTTGTATTCGTTTATATTTCATTTTTGTTCATGATGTGCGTCAATATTTGACCCAGTCATCGCAGTATGTCCCACAGTTCTATATTTTGTTTAAACCAAGGTATCAAAATCGCTATACAGGCCAAATAATTTCCAAGTGAAGCGCTTAGTCGAAGACAACGGTCTTGTGTCCGTTGAGAAGGACACGGCGCTCAGCGAAGTACTTGACAGCAGCGGCGAGGACGTTGCTCTCGACATTGCTACCAGCGTGAGTCAACTCCTTGGGGCTCATACCGTGGCCGACACGAACGACGTTCTGCTCAATAATAGGACCCTCATCGAGGTCGCTGGTGACGAAGTGGGCGGTGGCACCAATAATCTTCACACCACGGTCGTAAGCCTGGTGGTAGGGCTTGGCACCCTTGAAAGAGGGCAAGAAGCTGTGGTGGATGTTGATGATACGTCCGGACATGGCCTCGCACAGCTTAGGCGAAAGAACCTGCATGTAGCGGGCCAACACAATCAAGTCAATGTTGTTCTGTGCCGCCAGCTCGAGGATCTGACCCTCCTGCTCGGCCTTGGTGGCGGCAGTGACGGGGAGGTGGTGGAAGGGGATGTTGTAGCTTGCGGCGAGGGGCGCAAAGTCGGGGTGGTTGGAGACGATGAGAGGAACCTCAACGCTGAGCTGGCCAGTGGACTGGCGGAAGAGGAGGTCGTTAAGACAGTGGCCAATCTTGGAGACCATGATCAAAACGCGGGGCTTCTGTGCGGTGGGGTGGATCTGGTAGTCCATTGAGAAAGACTCGGCGGTAGGCTTGAAAGCATCACGCAGCTGCTCGAGTTCGGGGATGTCGGTGGTACCCTCGGGGGCAAATTGCATGCGCATGAAGAAGCGCTTGGAGGTGGGGTCACCGAACTGCGATGAGTCGACGATGTTTAGGTTGTGCTGGACCAGGAATGCGGTCACGGCGTGGACGATACCCGGGCGGTCGGGGCCCGAGAGGGTCAGGATGAAGGAGGGTGCCATGTTGAATATTAGCGGGGACGGTGTTGAATCCGTAGAGTATAGATGAGTCAATTGACAAAGGAAAAGCCTTGAGATCACAATGCGATAAAATAATTGACACCCCACTGCCGATCCCGGCGATGACTCAGCGGGGGCTAACCGTGATCGGTTTAGCTTAACGCGGAGCTTATTACTATTTCGATTCAACTCCGGCTTGTTTCATCTTCTGTGTTCTTATTGCCTGCCTCAAAATGACGGGCTCGGAAGATTTCCGATTGTGTAGCTTGTCAAAGACGGGAGCACCGCGAAGCCCAATCAATCGGACACCGCAGATCCTTTACAGGGTCATCTAAACGTCTTCAGTGGTCGCGCAGCAATAATGCGCCAGATAGTTTTATAGTCTTGGAGGCATACACTTGGTTCTTGAACCGAGCAGTCAATTAACATTTCCACGCAAGCTTTGAGGGTAAATTTACTTCGCCACAGCGGATCGTGACTTGGACTATCACCTTCCCCCCAATCTAGGCTCCATCCCTTCCGCGCCCCAAAATCTGCATAATCACCCAAGACCAGCAGTCGCTAGACGGCCAACAATGGTATGCTCCAACACTCAAGCATATAAGTCTCCTTCTACATAGGCGTCATACCCAACAAGCTCGGTGCGTATCCAGCCGGCACCAGGTACGAGCGCCGTGCAAGGAGTACTGGGGCTTTCTCTCGTCATCGTCGCATCTGGGCTCGGCCTAGCTCCCTGCGTCGCAAGCTCAATGACTACAATTTTCGAGCGACATGTAAAGATGCAATTACTCTGCATTACTGGGAGACGCTCGGCCTATATTCGCAATTGAAAAGCTCATACTGAGTAGGCAACGTATATTAATTGACGTACAACAGGGAATATGCATTTGGCAGTCTTTTGATGGTCGCTTTTAATGGTCGCATCTGGACTAGAGTTGAAATGTCATTATTGAGTCATGGAATGACATCTTCAGGTAGCTAGAGACCGCTGATTTGGCAACGTAGCCTTGCGAAGAACTCCCATCGCAGTTGGACTAAGTCCCCAGTCGCCAACCCATTGGTTCATCCGTATCCCATTCTTGAAATGGTCTCCCAAGTGTTCTGCCCGAGCAGTCCACGTTGATAGTGACTGGTCGCAGAAACCACATCGGCTTTGAACATCGGCACCGGCCCCTCGCCATGCTTCTAGATCAGTGACAGGGTTCTTATTACATCCATGAAACTTTCGGAGATGCTGCCATAGGTAGTCTTTGCGCGTGAAGGACCGGTCCGCCACGGGCTTTGTAGCACAGACGTGGAATTCATGATCTTCTAAATGAGAAGGACCAGGACATACTACGTCACAGAAGTTGCATTCAGCGCCTTGGGTGTGCCAAATTTGTTGTATTTCCTCCAAATTAGGTGTGCAGATCCAGATCTCAAGCGAAAGATGGACGCTTTTCTCATGTCGAGCCCAGTCATGTCTCTTCTTAAATGATCGGGTACAAAAGGTGCACTGGTATTGATGCTCTTCTGAATGATCCCGCCGGCGAGTGCGAGATGGCTTTGGTAGCATTGGGAATGACAGACTTCCCTCTCCAGACTGATGACTCCATGCTGACGAGACACTATCTGAAGTCTCTGATACTCGGCTCCCAAAGCTGGATGCGGAAGAGGGAAGGTGGGATGACGACTCGTCAAAGTTGAACAGATCCATGGCAGATCCATCAAACTGAAAGGGGTCCATCGATATGTCGAAAGACGTAGATGCAATCGCATCCTGAATCACGGATTCTGGAACCGCTTCGTCTTCTGGCGGCGATGCTTCCCACCGCTCCATGGGGGTGAGCGAACTCAGCGTACTCTTAATCAGCGGGGAGCCAGCACGAGTACGAGTGTTGGCTGCTAGATTTGATGACTGGATTTTTTGCTTCTGCCGACGGCGGGCATTCGCAAACCAGGTAGTGATTCGTTTCTCTGAGAATCCAGTTTCACGTGAAAATTGAATCTTCTGGTCTTCGGTAGGATATGGATGTTCTTGGTTCTGATAGAACCACTCTCGTAAGACTCTGGCTCCCTTTCGCACGAATTGTTTAGATTCTTTACGCTCTTCTATGTTCTCCACGCTAGGTAGAACCGGCTCCTGTATCAATTTAGTGAGAAGGCTTTCTTGGTGAAAATTGTAAACACTTACGCCATCCTCGGTGTGCTCTGGAAGTCCGTGTAAGTGGCCTAATACCGGAGCGAATGTCTCAAATCCTGAAGGCAGTCGTTTTTCTCCCTTTGCTAGACTGCATTCTCGAAAAAGGGCCACACAGCTGGAGCAGGCTGCGACAGGGTTTGGATTTGCAGATGTAGTGCGGAGAATCAAGCACTGGAGTCGATGTCTGCGGCAATAGCTGCATGAAATTGGCGGGCGATATGCGCCATCAAGCCACTGTGGAACATTTGCGAGATTTTGAGGCCGCGGCTGATACAGGTCCGCGGGACTCTCGGCTGTGACTGTTTGGAATGGCTCATTTTGTATATCCGACGCTTGCAGATCCGAGGCCTGGAGAGCTGCATGGTCGGGTGTCTCGTGGGGTTGTGCGTCATGGTCTGTCCATGGCCATTCCCAGGTGGGCTCCGATGAGCAAAAATAGAAGTCATTTAAAGCATTCCAGTCATCTGTTATATCATTGAGATTCCAGCTGTTTTCTGGGGTATTTGTATCGGGCATCCCCTGCAGCCCAGAGTCAGAAAGCGGCTGTGGCGATTGATGGGATGGAGAGTCACTAGGCTGTTGGTAATTCATTGGTCCAAGGATCCCCAGATATACATGAATCAATTCCCATACAGCTCAGCAAAGAGTCTATGATTATTGAGGTAGTGAAGCTCGAAAGCACATATTCGACGTCAAAATCGGGTGGAGTCACGAACTCCATTACTAATCGAGGGTCGTTTCCCGCCACAGGATTTGAGCCTCACTTTTGACACTGATCAACATACGTTATTTCTCAATGGATCTAATTAGGTCTTTAGGTACATCTGAAGGATGGGACCTTTTTCTGTTAGTTGTATGTCAGTTAATTTGATCAATGTAAAGGCCTCTCTTTATTTTTCCCCATTTCCACTCGTGACATGTCATAAACATTCCAGTGATATACAAATTCGAAACCCCTCCTTCCCTTTTCCTGCCTTAATTTCTCATCTCTCACTGTCTTTCTCTTGCTGCTTGTAAAGATCCTCTGCGGAAACTTCAATCACCCCAGTAGCCAGACTTTTGGCATCAACTCGCGAATCGCGATGGAGGATCCCAGGCATGTGTCGTACATCGGTCATGGTGAAGTCAGAGCAAGCCCCACACTTCCTACAGTCTTCAATCCTCAGACCCATCTACCCAACGGAGTTGCTCTTCATCCACAGACGTTATTTCCACTTGATGTAAGCCAGAACGCTGTACGACCCGTCCTTCGATTCATCAACCTCACCAACTCAACCGAATTTCTAATTTACACCGACGGATCTTGTTTGCAAAATGGCCAGCAAAATCCCAAAGCCGGGTGCGCCTTCGTGTACAAGAATACCGGGCAACAACCTAACGGCTATGTACGCTTTCGGCTTGAGGAGGAAGGCCCCACCGGTGTGAGATATCGCCCGACAAGCAATCGCGCAGAGCTTCGAGCCGTTATTGCAGCTCTACGATTTCGGGAATGGAGTAGGGAGGGATTTTCGAGCCTGGTCATCGCAACAGACTCTACCCACGTCGCCGAGGGAATGACATCCTGGGTTCGCGAATGGTTGGAAAGGGACTGGACAAAGAGTGACGGGAAACTAGTCACAAATCGGGACCTTTGGGAGTGCCTGCTTGACGAGGTAAATCACTGTCAACGAAATGGTCTGCATGTTAAATTCTGGCGGATCCCAAGGAAGTGGAATGAAGCGGCGGATCGTCATGCCAAACATGCTGCGACGCACCTGCGCGCACAAGAGAAGTTCACGCACTTGGTGGATGATGCTCGCTGAACTGAAGTGGCTTCTTACGTGGGATCGTGTTACAGTGGGTATGTTTTAGACCACATTAATTATCCATATACCCATTAGTTCGGGAAATTTGATCATGTATTTATTGATTCCTGGAGTTGCCTCTTAATGCCTGGATGCATTAGACCATCTACAAACCTACCATACATCCGTCCATTACTAAATTCGCGAAAGAGGTTCGAATTCATGTATTTCATTTCATATTCCAAATTATTCAAGTGCCGAAAATCATTAAGTACATAAGGAAAGATAGCAGAATCCCACGCGCCAAGCCAATGCATTCAACAAAAGATATTAGTGCAATATAGGTGTAATCCGATAGCGTAAGTGATATCCGATCTCTATTGAATGCGGATCTTCTTGGGCTTGGGTGCAGCCTCCTTAGGCACAAAAACAGACAAGATACCGTTCCTCAAGCTGGCACGCACTGCATCCTGATTGACACGAGTAGAGAAGGTGAAAGTACGCTGGAACTCGCCGATAGAGCGCTCTGAAGCCCAGTAGTGGGGCTGAGCCGGGGCTGTAGTGGACTTGCCAGTGGCAGACTTGGCAGAGTTGGTAGACTTGGCAGAGGTGGCGGACTTGGCCGAGGTTGCAGACCTGGCTGAGATCACAGAAGTTGATGAATCGGAGTCGTTGGAATCAGAGTCCTCATCTTCATCTTCGACAGTAGGCTGGAGCCGACGAGGCAAGGACTCTTGGGGCACCGCAGCGGGCTCGGTGGTCTGGTAGTCTCGCACAGTGTGGCCTTTGATGACCAGGGTTTTGGCGTCACTGAATTCAATGTCGATGTTTTCTTGGCTCACACCAGGCAGCTCGCCGTCCAGGTAGTAGCCATCGGCCAGTTCGCGGACATCAAAAGCTGGGGTGAAGGTGCGGCGAGGAGTGGGGCGGGTTTGGCGGATCTCATGCTTATCGTAGTTATCAAGCAGCTGGAATAGCGGCGAGAGATCGGAGGCGCAGGTCAGGAAAGACATGGTGAAGTGATTTTTTGAGAACGGAAGATGGAGGTTGGAAGTTGTTCAAATGCTTTATTTGATTGAGAGGCTTTGATTTGATCTGATGGTTCTTTTTGCTCGTCGTTTTCGTAGTATATATAGTATTTTGGGGCGCTGTGAATGGTGATTGGTCAGAACCGACGGGAATGGGGTGGCGCGTTCGAGCATCTTCTCCAACTCTCCAGATCTCGGCTTGCCGCAACCATCATCAATCTTGAATCTTCTAGATAATTTCTAAGCAGATGTTCTTACTAACACACGTAGTATACTCCGAGCATGAACTATGCCCAAAAATCAATATTTTGCCCATAAGCTCGCCAGTTTCTTTCCTGAGTCACGGGAATATATTTCAAATCACCGGGCAGAGCCGCAACCTCTCATAGTAATCTCAAAGAATTTCTGTATAGTACAATTTAGAGGGCTCTGATATGGACCTATGTCCAGGTGACAGATGAGGAAATGAGCTTTGTCATGTAACCTTTTCAATTCCACAAACATCTATGTAATGTACAAAAAGTTTTCTGCGCCCAAGGCAGGATAGGGACTCGGGATATCGTACATGCGCAACACTCAATGTTAGCTGCGCGCACCTCAAGAGGATGATCTCGGGTGCAATCGGGAGGCCTTGGAGTCTCTTATATGCTGTCCAATGAATGAGTCTCTTGTCCATAGCTTGGTGTACAGAAGGGGAAGAGCCACGCGAAACCTACGGGATGTGTCATAGCAAAGTCTGACTCTGAGGCCCCTTCATCGGATGTTCCGTGTTCCTGGGGAAGCATACATCTCTAATTGGCGCTGTCCCTTGCGCAGGAGATATTCGATAGTGCCAAAGTCCTTCTTGCTCACCGAGAGGTGTTTTTGGAACTCCGCCCTAGGACCCTGTCAGCCGGAATGCACCGATACCATTAAGAGCGGGAAAGAAGCGGGAAAGGAAGAAGCTACCGGGCATAGTTTTTGAAATTATTTCTAGACTCCTGTGGTTGAAAATGTAGACAATAACAGTCAGTCGCGAACCGGCAAAAATGTGAAGTGTGGAGCACGCACGATCGGCTTCTTGCGGATTTCGCGGAAACATTGGCGATAGAGGGACAAGACCTCCCGCTGTAGGCCGGAGAGTTTAGCCATCGTGGAGAGATGAAGAATCGCGGATCATTGGATTGGATCGGAGCGAAGCTGGGGAAAGCAGCGCGAGCTCCGTTTCCCGCCGGCAGTTTTCCCGGCCGAAAGGACCTCTTAATCCTTATCTCCACGATTCCCCAACTTCATCACTTTACGCTATATCTAGAAAAGAGACACGATGGCTACATTCACAGTGAGTGACAATCTCCGGTTTATTACAATTGCTTCTTCTTCAATAGAATTAACCCTTCCCTTAGCATTTAGTTCGTTTCTTGGCCAAGGATGGTCAGGTTTACTATGGTGACGCACTGCTCCCGGCGGGCGTGACAGATATCTCCAAGGCTACCCAGGCCAAAGTGATCAAGGGCGATATCTTTGGTCAGCACCGAGTGACCGAACAGGTGGCTGATGTGCGCATGCTGCTGGCTCCCCTGGCCCGCGAGGATATTCGCACTGTTCGCTGCTTGGGACTCAATTATGAACAGCATGCCAAGGAATCCAACTTGCCGATCCCCCAGTACCCCGTCTTGTTCTTCAAGCCGGTGACTGCCATCGCAGGCCCCACAGATGACATCCCAGTTGGCCAGATGGCACAGGAGGGCGAAGGCCTAGATTATGAGTGTGAGTTGGTCATTGTGATTGGTAAAGAGGCTCGCGATGTGCCTGAGAGCAAGGCGCTGGAGTACGTCTTGGGTTATGCCGTCGGTAACGATGTTTCCCACCGTGACTGGCAGATCAAGCGCGGCGGTGGCCAGTGGAACCTGGGTAAAGGCTTTGATGGCTGGGCACCATTTGGTCCCGGTATCGTCTCATCCAAGGTCATCTCCGACCCTAATGCCTTGCACATTTCGACCAAGTTGAACGGTAGGACTGTTCAGTCTTCCTCTACCAAGGACATGATTTTCAGCGTGGCCAAGACCATTGCCTTTTTGTCGCGCAGCACTACCCTACTACCTGGAGATTTGATTTTCACTGGAACGTGAGTACACCCCCTTGACCAGTATTAAAAGTCATGTGACCCCTACATTCTTTGGATCGGAGTTGACATGATGTTTAGACCGCAAGGCGTGGGCATGGGCCGCAAGCCCGCTTTGTGGATGAAGAATGGCGACCAGGTTGAGGTTTCCCTAGAGGGCGTTGGATCTTGTGTCAACCGAGTTGTCTACGACAAGCTTGCATCCAAACTATAAATAGTCATCGCTGTATATTTTATTGCTTATGAATCCACGCTTGTCCATATCGCATCATGGAACCATCCAAATTGCCATTAACCCCATGGCATCACAGCTCTGCAATGCATGTGCTAGGATGACTAACCCAGCTTTGGCAGTCCATAAAGGGGGAATAGTTTCCACTCTGCATCTGAGCAATTCTAAAAGGAGTAAAGATGCCCCGTAGTGTCCACACTCGACCATCGATAAGAATGGAATAAGCAATTAGTGTCGTCACCCTGATCTCGATAACTGATTGCTTTCTACGGGGTACACAGTCACAATTCTCTGGGTCCGGAAGGTTGTCGTCATCTATGGGCGGTGCGCAATCCCACAGATCCACCGGTACCCGCGTTTCACCCTTTCATTCGTCCACGGGCCCCGCGATGCACCATGGGAATTGCCAAATATGATGGATTGTCGGCTCCATTCTAGGCCCTGCGCTCCTAGCCACTCCTTTCCTGCATCGACTCTCCTCATACCTTCCCTTATTCCTGCGATACCGCGCCAAATGGTTGGATTGCAATGATCTCGCTTATTGTGTATGTATCGAAAAGTCGCATGTCTCCGCCTTGGAGCGACGGCTCCTGAATCTTTGCGACCCTTGGTGGTACAGAAGTTAACTTCCATCTGGTGCGACAGATCAATTCTCCGCGTATAATCCTCCGGACTTATTCCATGATTCTCTCACGGCGCGCAGTACTCTCCCTCGGCCTCTCCTTTTTCGTCGTCCTCTTCTTCGCAGCCCGGCATCTTACACAACCATGGGATAAACTTCCCCAGGCTGTGGGTCTAGGTGATTTTGTCTACCCTGTTGGCAGAAATGGAACCAAGAACCTCAATGGCACTGTAGGGCATCAAACCCTGTATGCCCCCCAGCCAAACTTTGTCCCCGGTATTCCCAAACCCCCTGGGGTGGAATATTCAAAAAGGCTCGTGGTCCCGCGCACGAAGACGGAGGACGTGAGTTGGATTGATACGGAGCTGCCCGATTGGGACACTGCAATCTATGTTGCCAATGACCCTCATGCACCGCTTCACCCGCCGTCGAACAAAGGTCACGAAGTCATGGTCTATCTGACCTACGTGATCGACTATTACGACGACCTATCCGACATCTCCGTTTTCATACACTCCCACCAAAACGCGTGGCATAACGATGAAATTTTCGGCGGCGATACGGCAGAGATGCTCCGGCGTTTGAACTTGGCTCGAGTCGTTCGGGAGGGATACATGAATCTACGCTGTGGTATGGCCCCCGGGCTGCCCAGCCTGGATGCACCCCGGGGCTACCGTGGAAGATGAATCAAAACAAGAAGAGTTGATGCTGGCTCGCGCATGGGGAGAGCTCTTCCCCGATGATGAGGTTCCGTCCGTGCTCGCACAGCCGTGCTGTGCGCAGTTTGCTCTGTCGCGCGAGCGGATCCGGACGATCCCTCGCGCCCGCTTCGTCTACTACCGCGATTGGCTTCTGCAGACTGATCTCAGTGACTACATTGCTGGTCGCATCTGGGAATATCTTTGGCAATACGTTTTCACCGGCGAACCGGTTGTCTGTGTAGATGAGAATATTTGTCTCTGTGATGGTTATGGCATTTGTTTCGGTGGACCAGACGAGTTCCAGGCCTACCGGGATGCAGCCGACCAGCTGAAATATCTCCAACAAGACCTATCGGAATGGTCATTCTTAGCGGATGATTTAGCGTTCGCTGAGAAGCTTGGGGAGTTGGATGAGACGATGGAATTGGATATCCCGCCTCTTGGTCGCGAGGGCACAATGAAAGAGGAAGCCGATACCATTGAGCACGAAGTTGCTGAGCTTATCCACAATGCCTTGCAACGTGGTGAGGACCCCAGACTCCGTGCGTTAGAGGCTGGCCGTCCCTGGAATGAAGGCGATGGCTTCTAGACGTGGTCTTGTGTGACTATCTTGCTGAAACATCTGTGTCATTGTATTGGTATTGATCTATGGGGCGTTTAGATGATCTTTAGGGCCTGAACTTCTCTAGACTCTTTTTTCTTCTCTTTTTCTTGTCTTGGTTTAGTCTCCTGGAGAGGCTTTTTATTTCAAAATGTTTGACATATACTGCTCTTTGGCCTTTGCGTGTTTATATATACTGGGACTCATTTGCATGTTTTTATCCGATAAAGATCGCAACAGTAGACAAGACTCTAATCTATTGACCTATTTGACACATTATAACCATTGCAAGTACTATCTCAGAGTCATAGTTATTCACATGTTCTGGAGATGACTCATCTGGCTTTCTAAGCACGATGACATAACCCCAGGGCCATGGAATCAAAGATTAAGGAAAATCTTCCAAAACCTCATCGGGCTACGACTAAGCCCTATCAAGTCGTCTTTCTTTCTCAGACTTTCGTATAAATCCGTGCATTTCATTTCGTCTTCCTCAGTCACCCTCAACTTTTGATCGATCGTGACTGCAAAATCCACTAGCGACCGAACTTTTCTTATCGTACCCCGCCGATAAAAAGGCGTCCCACACATTTTTTTCTTATCCCACCAACACCTGATTATTTTCACATAACAAGAGAAACAACGTCATGTCGTCGAATCTCCCATACACCTGCAACACCTGCCTCGTTGCGTTCCACCGCAGCGATGCGCAGAGGGATCACATGCGCAAGGACTGGCAGTAAGCGCTCATTCTGAAAACTCAAGTTAAAAAATACTAACCACTCCGCAGCTTGTACAACATGAAGCGCAAGGTCGCCAGCCTCCCACCTGTGACCCAGGAAACATTTAACGAGAAGGTCCTTGCCGCCAAGGTCAACTCTACTGAGGCCGCCGCCAAGGCTGCTTTTGAGAAGAGCTGCCACGCCTGCCAAAAAGCCTTTTTCAGCGAAAACTCCTACCAGAACCACGTCAACAGCGCCAAGCACAAGCAGCGTGAGGCCCGCCTCAGCAAGGAGGGTGACAATGCTTCGGTTATGAGCTCGGCCTTCTCCCTTGGAGAGCCCGTTGGCAAGGCACACGATGATGTTTCCAACGTCGCTGATAACCTTAAGGCGGCAACCATTGCAGAGGACAATGAGGATAAGGAGGACGAGGAGATGGACGAAGAGAAGGATGAGTTCTCCGCATCTGAGTGTCTTTTCTGCCGTACAGAGTCTGCCGATGTTGAGGCCAATGTTGAGCACATGTTCAAGAACCACGGCATGTTTATTCCGGAGCGCAAATACCTGGTCAACCTCGAGGGTTTGATCAACTACCTCTACCGCAAGATCAACGATAACCACGAATGTCTCTACTGCCATGCTATCCGCAACAATGCCGAAGGCGCCCGCGCCCACATGCGTGACAAGGGTCACTGCATGATCGCATTCGAGGCCGAGGAGGAGCAGATTGAGATTGGCCAGTACTACGACTTCCGCAGTACCTACTCTGACGACGAGGAGGAGTGGGAGGATGAGGATGAGACCATGGCTGAGGCTGGTGGTGTGAAGGTCTCGTCATCGGATGCCGATGAGGCAGGCTGGGAAACCGATGCCTCCTCTGTGGACGATGACGAGATTGATTCCCGCCGCAAGGCGCCCGTCATCTACCAGGATGAGTACGAGCTTCACCTGCCCTCCGGCAAGAGTGTTGGTCACCGCTCGCTCGCCAAGTACTTCCGCCAGAACCTGCACAACTACCCCAGCCCTGACGAGCGGGCTACCCGCCAACTTGCTATTGAGAATGGCGAGATCGAAGAAGATGAGCAGAAGTCTCGTGGCCGCAACCAGAAGCGTGCTCTCATTACTCGCGCCAATGGTGGTGATGGTCTGATGACTGCCACCACTGAGCAGAAGAAGACCGCTATGGTCAAGGAGCGTCGTGAGCACACTCGCGCAGCCCGCGCTGAGAACAGATGGCGCGCTGGTAACGAGAAGCAAAACAACCACCAAAAGCACTTCCGTGATCCTCTTCTGCAGTGATTGCTTACGTTGGCTTCCTCTCTCGCCAACAGCTATTCTTCCCGCTGTTGGATCCATCGTTCGGTCAATACCGAAACATCCGGCCTCACGGCTTGATTGTTGTCGATATGACCTTCCGCTGCGATTAGAGTCCTTCTAGAGCTCTACTTGATACCAGCCTGGTCTCGTAACGAAAAAGTCGCGAGGTCTTCCATTCAAAACCTTATTATTGGAGGAGGGGCCCCATGGTCTCGAACGATGTCTTCGACTGAACGACCTTTGCCTTAGGCCAAAGCCTTGTCTTCCACTGGGAATCATCGCGCTAGTCAGGGCCATGAGGCCTCATCAGCTCTCCACGCATGCCTTGTTCCATGAATACCCGCCACGCCTTTATGATGTCGCATGTGTGTTCGTCTGCATACTTCGGTTTATTTTTATTTTTTGATATGGTTTTGGGGGCGTTTTTGGGATCTTAAATTCAAATGCATCGCAAATTCTGATCTTACATTATTCATTGTAATTTACGTAGTGTTAAAAACGTAGTGGTTGCAAGTGGAGCTCCGGTCGGCAGTTGCGCGGAGTGAAATGCCATTCGGACCTTTTGAAAAGGGCCGAGGCTTAGTCGCCGCCGAGCTTCTCCATACTTTTAACTACGCGGGGAAAGGCGCACTTCCTTTGTGATTCTTTCCTTCCTCCATATCACCATGGCATCTCCATTTCGCATTGTTGAGCATGTGGTGCCTACCCAGCACATCCGCGAGTACCCCGGTGCCATTGCGGACAACCAAGATCAACCCTTAGGCCTCGCCGTGAAACAATATATTCCGCTCGACAATCCCAATCCTCAACCAGGCGATGTGACAATCCTTGCTGCCCACGCCAATGGCTTTCCGAAGGTATGAAGGGGATGGCCCCAGAAACGCGACCGGCCTGATCGCGTGCAACCCGAGCACTTTCAGCTCGATTACTGGCCCTAGACTGACTAGTACATAGGAACTATACGAGCCTCTTTGGGAGGAGATCCATGCTCGGGCAAAGGAGACAGGATTCCGCATTCGCAGCATCTGGATGGCCGACGTGGCGCATCAAGGCGAGAGCGGCGTCATCAACGAAGACCGTCTAGGAAATGACCGTACGAGATAGCCTATCCAGAAAGCCGGCAACAGCCACTGACTATATCACAGCAAGCTGGCTGGATCACCCCCGCGACCTTCTCCATCTAGTCAACGTGAAAGCAGCTGAAATGCCCCGACCCATCATCGGAATCGGTCACAGCTTCGGCGGCGCACACCTGTCAGTACCATCAACCCAGGAGTCCATTTCCAACGACAGAGACTCGCTCAAACGCCATACTAACATTCCTCATATATAGCACACAACTAAGTTTAATGCACCCTCGCCTGCTACACACTCTAGTCCTCCTAGACCCAGTAGTCCAGCCGCAATCCACGCAAATCGACGGCTTCAGTCGCCAAGAGAACAAGCGCGTCATCGCAAAGACAACCCAACTATCAACCTACCGCAAAGACATCTGGCCCTCTCGAAAAGCAGCTGCAGAAGGTTTCCAGCGCAGCCCATTTTATCAAGCCTGGGACCCACGCGTCCTAGACCGCTGGGTTAAATACGGTCTACGCGACCTCCCAACCCCAATTCACCCCCTAGACAACAAAACCAATATTGACAAAGCTAACCCGCCCGTTACTTTGCGCACAACGCTTCACCAGGAAGTCTTCACTTTCTCTCGACCGAATTATAACCATATCCCCGGTAGTGACGCGCCCGTTAATCGCGTCACGCACCCGGATCTCGATGCTAATCATCCAGACTCGCATCCCTTCTATAGACCCGAGCCTGCGCGTATCTTCGCGCAACTTCCGTTCCTGAGACCTAGTGTGCTTTACATCTTTGCTGGGAAATCGGACATGTGTTTGCCGAAGATGCGGGCGGACAAGCTTGCTAACACGGGCACTGGGCTTGGGGGTAGTGGGGGTGTTGCGGCAGGACGGGTGCGAGAGGTTTTCTTCGAGGAGTTTGGGCATTTACTTGCTCAGGAGGCTGTTAATGAGTGTGCTGATGCAGCTGTTTGTTGGCTTGGACCTGAGTTGAGGCGGTGGAAGGATGAGGAGGAGAGCTTCCGGACGGCGTGGGAGAAGAAGAGTAAGCTTGAGAAGAAGACTATTGATGAGGCGTGGTTGAAACACGTTCCTGCGCCGCAGCGCAGACCTCAGAAGGAGTCTTCGAAGCTATAGGATGTTTTCACTGTGGCTTTATTACGGTTGCCCCTTGATATTTCCTGGCACCTTGAGAACTCTGTATATACCTAGAACCTGAATACTCCTGATCATTGGTAGATCTTTAAGTAGAACAATGCATTGCCACAATCTATCCAACTCGGAGATCAAGGTTATGAGTCCATTCTTGATGATACATTAAACAGTCCCACCGCCAACCAGAAACCCATCTTCCTTACGGCCAACGTCTTGGAGCCAACCGATTTGCTCAAAATTCTAATTTGGGCATACTAAAAATAATCTATTCAGGACCCATTCGGGATTGGCTCCGCGACAAGCTTTTCAGGTGAACCGTTGGATCCGAGAAAATGTGTCCACGTAACTCTACTCCATTATCGTGTTTGCTAGTTCATGACCGCATAACTTCCATTAATGGCTCACTTTATGCACTGAAAAGTCCGGCGATATTCGGAAAATGTGAGACAGCACGAGTAGCCCTGGAGGTCACTCGCGCCCCTTGGTGAGTCCGAGTTCGGGGATGGCGAAGTTCAAGCATCGCCCTGGGCTGGCGCAAGCCTTTTTTCTATATATTTCTGACCTTGGTTCCATGACTGCCTAATTTTGGTACGGTCAAATACGCTATATTTTCGAGTGCCTTTCCACTCTACATTCCACAGTGAATGACTTGTTGATATCCACGATTCATTGACTATAGTCCCACTCTACTTATACACTACGCCCAAAGCTCATATCAGAATTACCCTGATCTTCCGTTATTCTTGGGACCATGTCTTTGAGCGCCTCCGCTGTCATCCTCATCATCCTACTCGGCTGTCTCGCAGCCACCGCTTTGGGCGCTGGCCTCTTCATGCGCTACCATCCCGACGGTGAAACCAATTACAGTCCCAATCACGAGCAAAGCAAATATTTGCGGCAAGTCCGTGAGCAAAACTATAAGCATTTACGACAGGAATCTACGAGCGGTCGTATCGACCTCGAATCACAGGGTAAGCCCAACCAGAAATCCCTCGATATGCTCGCAGCTGACTGGATTAGTGGACATTGTCCCAATTGTGGATTTGAAAGACGAAGCTGAAAGACTTGATGCTTAAAGCTTCGGATCAAGTCTATTGCCTCTAAAATGCCGTCATATGCCGTCTATGACCTTAAGGGGAGTTATGATCTCGCGACACGAATGATGACTTACACTCATAACGAGGTGAATTCTACACTATGACAATACTGAATCAAAGAGATTTGCTGGAGTCACCGAGGCGATTAGGCATTAGGCTGTGGAGGGTTTTTTCAATCGCTTTTGAATCTCGAGACACGGCACCTATACATGTCTAGCTGGTCTGTTTACATTCCCGTTTCAAGGCTACTAGGCCTTCTTAGCGCAATTGTACGCTCCACTGTCTAAAAGGGGGAATGAAGGGAAAGAAGTAATTGAAAAATTTGGGATTTTCAATTGCTTGTGCAGTGTGAAAAAAGGAACCACTTTGGGCCAGGCGATGCGTTCCAGTGATAGCAGGAAAGTCATTGAGCAAGTTTCTACCACAAAAGGCCATTGTTACGCATAAAACTTTTTTGAATTTTTATGGAACTTCAAGAGAAACAATGCAAAGGCCTTGGTGATATTTGCCAAAATTTAGACCAATCGCCCCTGACCATCACTTTCAATCCTTCCCCAAAACTTCCATCTTCCCTCATCTCAGACATTATGATGTTCTCAAAGATTGTTCTATACTGGCTTGGGGCCTTGATCGTTGATAGTAATTTAGCGATAAGAAGCACAATAGTTGCTAAGGGAACTGTATTGCGTTTCTTACGAACGAGATCAAATTAGGATCGGGATACCGTTAGAAGTATCCCGATCCCAATATACCGGTATCCCGGCCTTTCCCCGGTACTTCGGAATTGTGTCTGATTGGATAGTAGATGTGGATACCGGCAGAAGTATCCCGGTATACCCCCGGGGCGTTGAAATGAGTCTTATGCGAACAAGCGATCAACCAAATCGCACTCTCATAATGTGAAAGATAGACAATATGCGCACATACGAGTGCTTGAGGTCGAAATACCTAATAGCATGGCTAAGAGGGGCTGGGCCTAACAGCATTGTTCCGCACGTAATTGATAGGCCTATGTTTCACTTGATAATTTTCTACCCACGATATTTTCCTCTTCTTTAGTGATCTTCACCGGGAATGGGCGGAGCAGAACTCGAGTGATTATTGGCTGGGAAATTGCACAGATCGGCCCGGTGGCTGGCAAAACTAGCCTTCACGGTTAGGCTGTAGCTTCCAAGGTTAACTCGCGATTCAGGTTATTCCAAGCAGGGGTATCTTAAGTCGACAAAGTTTAGGTGGAGCAGGTATACGTACTCAAAATGAGTGAAACCTATAATTATCGTCAGTCTTCTACGCTACTGCCAACTTTTAGAATGGGTCGCAAATATAAATTAGTGGATATGTGAAGTTTGGTGTATTCGATTCCCGCTAGTACCAGATAATGTGAACAGCGAGGAGATAAAAAGAAAAAAAAAGTTTATCCCCCATCAGGATCGACTTGGCATTCCTGGGTCGCTGAGGCCCTACTACAATTTTACTGTGGCTCGATAGCGATTTCCTCCCTCTTCATTCTATCTTCATATCGGATGCAACCTCCTGTCTAACTGACGATGCTAGACGCGCACCAACTCAACTACGAATCCTACACGCATATACCTTCGCCTCATTGGGCCCATTGTATTGTACTCGGAAATCGTCCATGCCACGAAGGGCTAACCTTAGGTGGGAACTCGCATGATAGTCTGAGAAAGGGGACGTCGACGTTTTATATCCCCAAAACACTATGGACGCGCACTTTCCTCATAGTAGTCGCCCTCGAAATAGTCGCTACGACTGTGATCGAAATGTACGCGCTCGAACTACCCCCTTGCCTGAATCGAAATTTCAAGAACCCAAATTGCAACGAAAATTAAAATGACGGTTGACCTAGATGGATCTTGATTGATATATCAAAATGGACCCCCGCCAACCACTCTCAAGGCGAAGGCTTGTTATGGCTCCGCTCCTTTCTCGCACTCGCTGTTTTTGCCCTCCTCTACGAGCTTGCCCTCTCGTATGAGGGTCTGAGCCGCCAAAATATTTTTCAGCTTTCCGGAGTATGTTTGTGTAATATGGGCCTGCTGTCATGGGGAATCTTACAAATCTGGGGGGTGAGGAACGTTTTGAGGAATGAAATCTTCACACAGTATCATCTTCGCCTGATGCTTGTGCCGATTTTAATGGAAGTTGCCGTTATTGCCATGGTTGGCATTACGTGGAAGCTGAGAGCGGAGTTCTCATGGTCGCTTTATAAGACTATCAGTGCCGATTCACAGGTGCAGCGGAAGCTCTATAATTATCAGGTGACTGGAGACAATTCGTGCTTCGACGCTCGCTTAGATTTGTTTACTGATAGTCCGTTGTAGGTTTACGTTGCCTTGCTAAAATTCGACTTCTTCTTCATCTTTCCAAGTCAAACACAAGTCCTGATCGCCTTGGGCGAGATTGATAATGTTTTTATCTTCAACGCCGTCATGGTTCCCGTTGCAATAGTGATACTGTGTCTGGCTGCGATATTCTGCCGAAAAGAGATGAGAATGTCAATGTCTCTTCCTATAGTATGACCTTTCCTTCACTCTATCTACCCCCTCGTGCTGACTACATAGGTTGGTATGGGCGCCATCATTGCTAGTCAGGTCAAAACGCTACTCTCACTATACAAACTAGATGGTAGCTTAATATCGCACCGGGTGTCATTGGGCCTTTTCTCATCAATATCTATTTTACTGATCACCTGCACGATCATTTATGCATTTCTATGTATCGTCGGCTTTGATAAAAGGCCCCGGCATCATTCTGATGAGGTTCGAGACAGAAGGCCGAGTGCAGACAGTATGTAGGAGGCTGATCTAGGTTTAGATTCACGCTTTGTATTGAATTGATTTACTTTCTGATAATCCTGTATATCAAGGTTTACCATTCAGATGGAATTCTCCACTTTGATCAAGCATGTTTCTGTCGCCGAAGTACTGATTTAAAGGTAAGGATGATTTGAAGGTCTTCCATGTAGCCTACCTCGTAGCCATAACCCAAAAAACTTAACTCTCGTGCTCTAGAAAACACCATCCTTTGCTTGCTCAATAATTCATGATCACATGCGTTTGGACTTAAGCAATCTCACATTGGTCCAAGTTGGCAGCACTAGCATGGGAGATAAACCGGCAGAAAGAATTAAATAGTTGGCCAAAGGTTTTATGAGAACCAGACTATCCTAGGGATCCTTTCAAACTTTATCTAACATGCACTCGAGTGGATTTTCGTAAAGGCAGACTAAAAGCAGGGAAAGATGTATGTGTGTCTATCCATGAACAAATGTCCATAAATGGTATTTGAATGAATGTCTCAACGAATGTCTGTAAATGAATGTCTGTAAATGAATGTCTGTAAATGAATGTCTATATATGAATGTCTTCGACATGAATATCTTTGTACACGGCCGTGCTTCCGAAGAAGCAGTGTTATGGCATCTTTTGTACAGGGACGGGGCGAGTGATATGTTCTCCGGCGCACGTGAGTTGAGGATGTCTGGGCACCTTCAGAAATCCTGGGACTTGTCCCTCTCTTCCTTAGTGACTTTCAAGATGCAGACCAATGCTCATCCTCAACAGCCGTGGTATCCACTCCAATTGTGATGGACCCAATCAAGCCCTTCGAGAGATCATTCTCATCGATAGCGACAACCGAGACAACTGGGTTGTATCCATTCTTAGTACCTTTGGAAAATTCCATGTCCACGTCATTGCGGGTGCGGTTAATCTGGGTGTGGGAGGCGTAAGGCTCCATTGCCATGATCTTCTCCTCTAGCGCTTCCTCGAAGTATAGTTGTCCGGTACTGACGGTATTCTCGAAGACCAGCGTTCCGTTTTCGCGAGTAGTCCAATCAGTGTGCACTTGGACGTGAATATGGATTGCTCTCTCAATGTAGAAACCTATCGATATTGACATGTTAGCTGGGAACAACTTCTCTTGGCAGAAATGGCGTGAAATTAGTCTAACGCACCTGGGAAAATAGTCTTCATTTGCATCATTCCGTGCTTATCGGTTGGCCACATGCCCCGAAGCCAAGTTGAGGAGTCGGTGTGAATGTCCGTGCTGCCGACAACAAAGTTTGAGATGTTTTTACCCTCCTCGGCAAGTAGCGTAGGGAACTTGACGTTGGGAGACAACTCGGTGAAGCTAGAGTAGCTTCCCGTCGCATTGCAGTGCCAGAAGTCAACCATCACGCCCTCCAAAGGAGCACAGGTGGCCATGTCCATAACTCCAATATCCAGCCACAGGGGCACTCCAACCTGATCTTCGGTCATATCCTGTCGGAGGGTCTGAGACCTTGGCCAATAGTATGGGCCTGCAGTGACCTCAGGGGTTAGAACACAGGTGTCATTCTGCAGAGCCTCATAATGGGGGGCCTGCGTTTGGATCTGGACAGTCGTGTTTCCAGGACCCGTGAGATCCCTCTTCCAACGCTTTGCGTTGAATTGAGCGACATGTTGCTCACAACGACCGGAGAGCTTTGCCTTGCGCGCCATTTCGGCATTGGAGCGCTCAACATGGGGACCAGGGTGGGCAGTAGCCACGAGAGCCAAGCTGGCTGATGCCAGTACAGAGAAGAAGCGCATAGTAGGAAAGTTTCCTGTACAGTTTGAAGATGAATGGATTGGGTGTGGTTCTATTCTGTGCCATGTACTTCACGGCCAGACTTTATAGCCTTCAATTACCTGCTTCAAATACAGCAACAAGATTGGAGAAATGAAAAGAGCCAATGGTTTTGGCTGATATGGAGTGATCTGGATCAACATACGTAAACCTCTTCATAAGCCTGGGAGTCTGCGGGTACGATGAACCTTGGAAGTGATAGACACGGGTAGGCTCCAAATATAGGGTTGAGAGATCCACTGCCAACATGCAGACTAGTGATTCTGCAGCATTGCTATCGCCTATCTCAGTGGCTGTTCAGCTCCGCATGGAGCCGTGGTGAACCACCTACAGGTTCCGTCAAGCCCCTACGAGCATATGTTCTGGTTGTTTCGATTCAACATGGCAATATCAAGACCTTTTGTTTTATCAGGTAGTACCCACGCCTCAAGGAATGAATCCCTTTGGCGAGTTTTGCCGCCTCGTGATAGCAATGGCACGATACGGAATTTTACTAAGTAGCAGCGATCACGCTTGCTTTGTAATCTCATATTACCTTGGTCTAAGTTTGTATGAATTCTCAATAATGATTGATTGTATTAATAGCTTAGGGAATTGATCCACAGTTTTTGCTGATCTCGCAGGAAGTGATACGTACCTGCTTTTCGCATATACCTAGCTCTTATCATCACCTTCTCCTGACTGGCTCAAGCATATTAGGATCTGCTTTCCTTCAAACGAACCGTCTGAGACATCCCCACCTATTATCTTTATTGTGGAGAATATCTAGGGAAGAAGGTGGATGTCGGGGAGCATGACCCGGACTTGCCCCGGGGCCTTGAAATTGATGTTGAGCTTAGTGAGGGGACTGAAAATTGTCGTTTTACGATCACTTTCCTGATATTAAGCAAGCCATCGGCTTATCTTTCATTGAATCTCAAGGTTTTTTGAATAGAGTGGTAATTTTAGTCCATCGAAGAGGTAAAATGTATTGGTATTCCGGACCAGGGCTATAACACCTCTCCGGCGGTATAAAACCACTCCGGGTAGGGATAAGAAGAGGTTTCTATAAATAAATTACCGGCTAGACGCTCTGTAGGCAGCGTTTCCAACTCACGCTGTAAAGAGAAATTTTCGTCTCCGGTATCCCCCCGCTTGGTATCCTGGGACTAATTGATGTGTGCTTGAGCTGGACCTGGTCTCGGCACAGCGGCTAAGCCCCTTCGAATATTTCGCTTTAGTGCAACCTAGTTAGTCTTGGCAATGATGATGGAACTATTCATAAACATCTATATGAAATTATTCGATTGTATCCTCTAAGCCAATGAATCATGGTGAATACTACCCTCAAGCTCCACTTGGGTACCCAAAATAATATGAATACGTAGATGTAGATTCTATTAATGGTCTGACCAGCCTTCGACTGAGCTGAGCCAATGGCACAGGCGATTTGATAAGGTGGTGCCAGTCCAATAGCAGGAATTCTTTCCATGGGCCAATGTTCTGTGGGTCAGCTAAGGTCTAGTCTTCGAGTGAGGGAAGTTCAGGCGGTTGGAACATGTATTTATATGCTCGATTCCCCGTATCAGGCTGAAAGCTTTCGTTACCTTGTCATCGCACCAACTACTTTCAATCTATACACTCTTTATACCTTGGTGATTCGCTCATTCAATCTGATACAATCTCTTCCACAATGTCTTCCGCCACCTCTTCCATCGTCTCTTCCACCACCACGACCTCAGCAACGGCCACTTCCAGCTGCTCAGCAAAGCTCTACGAAATTCCAGCGCATGCAGCTGCATGCGCTATGCCAATGGCATATACCAATTCGTCTGCCATCATGAAAAGTTGCTGCGGCTCAGCGACTGTCAAATCTTACGGCAGCTGCGATTACTACTGTCTTGCAGTCGATCAGACCGTTGGTGTGCTGGCTGAATGTCTCATGACGGCGTCTGATTCGAGCGAAGTCTGGTGCAATACCAATGCCAACGCTACTGCTTCCTTGACAAGTAGTTCAGCAACTGAAACTTCCACTGCTTCCCCCACCAAAAGCTCATCATCGACTAGCAGCTCAGGGTCCGTTAAACGCGCTAAGATTTCAATGGCTGCTATTGGCGCGATGGGACTACTACTTTTTGGATCTCTTATGTAAATAGCCCAAGCCCAAGCTCTTAAGGGCGCTAAGTTACTTATGCTCCGCTTAGTCAGTTTACCTAACCAATCAGAATGTTTAAAAATCATACACTCCCCATCCAGTTTCTAAGCCTGGATTAAGTGGTGAGATTCGAAACCTATATAATATTTGAAGTAATTGAGAAGCTTGGTAATTATAATAACATACCATTTGACTAAGTTAAAGTTGGACCCTATAGAGGAAGATACTGTTCCAAGGTTTCTGAAGATGAGATCGATGGGGAGATAGTATGCTGATATGGAGAGTTCGGAAGCGCAAGATATCAAAGATAAATGGCCACTGTCGGAGGGCTATCTGAAAGCTATATTATCATGGGCAAGGACCAAAGCAAATAGTACACAAGACCATATCTACCAGGTTGAGAGCTTAATCAGTGATTGGCAGGATTCAGGTCGATTAGAAGCGTTAGGTGACCTTTGAAGATATGGGATATAAGCCTAAAAAAGGCAGTACGGCTTAGGGCTAGCTAGATTATTATCCATGTCATCCTCTCACTCGCTGTACTGCTCGCCTATTGTACACGATTTTCCTTGGACAAGAGGGTGTACTATAAGCGGGAGATGGCTGTAAATCCTGAAACGGTGCTGAATCAGAAGTGATTCAGCATCTAGACTAAGGGTGAGCTCTAGGTCGATGATGCACTCAGTGATACGAGAAGTGAGCTCATCATTGTCAGCTCACTTAGCTCTGAATCTCTCTTTCTTAAGGGATCTTGGAAGAAGAACCTCTCTCTTTGCGATTCTTTCCTTAGGAATTAGTTTTGCAACCAATATGAATCACCCTGACTTGTACTTCATTTTCATATCGATGTAGTACTATTTCATTTTCACATATCTTCTTCACTATCTTCTTACCTGGCCTTTTATTCCTCACAAGTTTCTACTGGTACCACGAAAAGAAAACACCAGAAAGAGACAAAACAGAAAGCCCAAATTACATCTATAAACCCGTAGAAAAAAGCGTGCATACATACAGGTCTATTTGGCCAGGGACAACTTTAAAATCGAAAACCAACGCTGCAAAGAAATAGACATCGGATATTTACACACACGGTTGCAGTATGATTTTAAGAAACCGTTTATTCATCAAACATCTTCTTCATGAACTTGTGAGCAAGCTCGACACCCAAGCTGGTAGATTGTTAGTAAAAGACCCTAATGAGAAACACACGGAAAATGCTTACAAGGTAGCCGCGTTGGCCGGGACAGCACGAGCAAGTGCCGGTCCGAAACCAGGGAAGAAAGCCTTGAAACCACCGTTGCCGTACACAGCACGGATAGTTCCACCAATAGTGGGCTTGCCCGGTGCACTCTGCAATCGGGACTTGATAGTGTCGACAGGGAAGACAGGGATCCACATGGCAATACCAGCAGCACCACCAGCACACACGACAGCCGAGAGGGAGAGGTCACCGGTGACGTTACCATCGGCATCCTTGGGGGTGAGAGATCGCTTGATGTACTCGTATGCGGCGAAGTAGGCAGCCGAACCGGGGCCGTCACGGGCCAAGGTCATGGCGCTACCACGGAAGACACTGCGAATACCACCCTCCTTGTACAACTGGCGGACGACATCCGTACCGCCAGAGTACTTGGGCTTCTGGCCGGGTGGGGGTGGGTTCTGGCCCTGGATCTGGAGGAGGACCTTGACACGCTCGAAGGGTGCTGTGATCAGGGTCATGGGGATGGCTGAGAAGAAACCGGCTGCGGAGATCTGAGCGATGGAGTACTGGGGAGTGTTGTTCTTCACTGGGACAACAGAGAATCTCTCCACAAGTGTCTTGCCCACATCGTAACCCTGTTACTGCGTTAGTGGTGTCTGAAGCGGGGTCGAATTGCGGTCGATTTCGAAGACTGTAAATGGCAGTTTTGTACGTACCCAGAAGCTAACAGCGACTTTAGAAGAACATGTTAGCCAAATTCAACATACGAGTGGGAATTGTAGTTCTTCCCGCTGGGACTGCACTTACACATCGGGGTCACACCCACAAGCGGGGCAGATACACCAGCGTATAAACCCTATCACCAAAGCCTGTCAGTGCCACTGTCTTCGCAGGAGCTGAGAGATATCCTACCCGAGCCAATCCCTCGCGGGCAACAGTCTTGCGCACAACGTCCATCGCACTGGAGTACACACCCTTCTCCGCAGTCTGCAGTCGCACCTTAACCAGGTCAAAGGGGTGACCGACAACCACGGCGCAGAGACCACCAGCAGCACCAGCAGCGAGCGATCGTAGCTGTGCAATAGTCTGGTTCACGGCCTTAGCCTCGACAACTTTGACCTCATCCTTGATCTGCTGCGGGGAAGAAGCAGAGGAAGACATGGTGGGAGGAACTGTGGGGGAATCCGGGGAAGAAGGGGTAAGCACGAGTCACGACCGCGAACAAAGACAGAGATGGGGGTAGAGGAGAAGTGGAGGAGGGGAACAAAAAAAGTGAGTGTGGTCAATTGAAAGCCAAAAAATAGTCTAAAGCTGATCGGCCTGGGCACGCCGACCGAAACCGAGTCAGCTTGAGATGCCCCGGACAACTGCCATGGGCCGAGGCTCGGGGCCCGGAGAAACCGGCTTACCGCTATGTCAACGATCCACACGCATCAATGGCACAATGTGCAATAATTATCCCAATATCCTTAATACTACAAAAGGCTGGACTGGAATGTAGTATTTGTGTATTCTTCTATAGTCTGATATGCACACAGACAAAGTCGGAGGACGCCGGGCGAACGGGAAACTGGATTGTTTTCCACTTTTCCGGCGGGACTATGGAAGTTCCCGCTGGGGTCTATTTCGACACCAGGACCATAATGGTCTTATGACTTGTTCCAAGGCTCATATGGCATTTATAGTTGGTCTGTGCCCAAGTCACGTATATCGGGGACATGGACGAGATTTGATTTGATACCCACAGTCACATGTAAGATGGTAGCACGTGCGGATGACTTCATGAATGGACTAGTCGCATGACAATGGGATCTATTAAAGGCATTTCCAATAAGTGACTTGAAATATAGCGTATGATGTAACACCCGCCCGGGTGGTCTAGTGGTATGATTCGCGCTTCGGGATAGTCCCAGATTATTGGAATAGTCTATTGTGCGAGGTCCCGGGTTCAAATCCCGGCTCGGGCCCATCTTTTTTCTTTTTGTCGCATTTTGTGTGTTTTTATCTTTATTTTCATCTTTTTTAAATCATTCTAGTAGAAATTTTTACTTTTTCGTCACATTAATATGATAATTAATCAACGGATACTTTTTGAAAGTTGAAATTGCACACGTGAGTGCCATGGCGTCAGTCTAGATACCATGTCAATGCGTTCGGTCATATGTACATCGCGTTATAGCGTTTCTGTTACGAAGCAAAGAAGAAAGGAAAGATACCATTTTAAGACGTAAGGAAATCTTCGAATGCTTCACACAGCTGCAGCAAATCTTCCCTTCGACGCTGCCGATGGTGCTTTTTCAGTATTTTCATCCGTGTCAATGTGTCTTTCTGTATATCCGACCGATGATTCCCCGATATGCGATCGCGACCGCCATTGATCAACTATCCAACGTATGCCGCACATCGAAATCAATGCTTGGTCGAAGAAGGGCTACCAAGATACTGATAGTGGTTCGTCTTTCAATGAGAACCAAACCAGAGACATCCGAGCGGTCAATCTTGAAGCATGTCAGATAGGCCATCAATGATGCCTTCTAGCGAGTCCAGTACTTCAGATATGCGTAGCACATCTTCCACCCGCTCGACGTCTGCCGGTTTGATCTGTACGTAATCCCTGTCCATTCATGTTCCTTCCCCTCTCAGTTCAGCTCGAACATTGTATCTCCGCGACTGTGAGACGCCGGCTGAGATGTGGTTGACCGGCGTCTCACAGTCCCAGGTCGGTTACCGTCGACCAGTGACCGAGCGTGTTGAGGTCCATGTCGGAAATCAAGAACGTGCAGTGAAAAACCCATGTCGGTGGTAAATACCGTTCGACTCCTGTAAGGTATCCGTCCAGTAATGTACCGAGTTCACAGGCTAGGGGGCCGTTGCGCTAGGCCTGATGCCTATTTAGAAGTTCCTGGCTTCGACGAACAGAGAGCTGTTGATTGGTGAGGGAGAGGTATCACAAACCCCCTTCCTGGAACATCTTTGTATCAACCATACCATTCCTTGACCTGATCAATCACACCCTGCTTTGCTTCTCAATCACCAGGTAAGCCACCCGCACCTCTGCTTCCTCTGACGATGCGCACCCTTCGACCGAGGCGATTTCTTCCTTATTGAGAAGCGCCTGGCAATAGTATGTCGCTGGTACCCCTCTCTTCTCGACTCTCCTTGATTTGAAGACAAGATTCCCCTCGAACTTGACCAAGCTTTGAGCCATATTTCGCGGATGAATGACGTCCACACCTTCCGCGAGTATACGGCGGACGTATGGAAGCAGGCCAGCCCGCTCCATGAATTGCCTGCATTGGTCAAGATCGCCACCAGAGTCGATGAAGATGGCACCAAGGATACTCTCCATGATGTCGGACATGAATTTGTCAGGGCGTAATCGGGTCAGAGGCTCCCATGGGTAGTCCCCATGCTGCATCTTCGCCGAGATCTCATCACGCAGGTCGTCAAATCTTGCCAGACAAGCTTGTCGGGCAAAATTGATAGTTGGACCGTTGAAGCGAAGGTAGCGCCACAAGTAGAGCTCATTAGAATCGCAGATCATGCTAGGATGTGTAACACCCATAGAGTTCTGCGTGCCGCTAAGTCCCATGCAGAAAAATGCAAGAAGATTTGCATTGACAACTGAGTGCTTAGTCAAGGTCATCTTTCCCTGAGACATCTCACCTTGGTCAGTGTAAGCGGCTAGCAATGGGAGAATGAGCATATCGAGCACAGCGTCTCCTAGATATTCGATTCTCTGGTATGACTGAGTGCTCGTGTCATGCTCACATGAGGGATGAGTGAGAGCTTGAGTGAGAAGGGAAGCGTCTTTGAATCTGTATCCAATAACAGATGCAAGGCTGTCCGCATCAATCAGACTTCTCTCACCTCGAGAGCTATCAGGGGTGGGAGTGACATATGATGAGATATCACTCGTGAAGATATCAATCTCAGGCAGGAAGCGGTGAAGACACGCCTGAGCTTTATGAATTCCACCGTCTAGAAACGCGGCGCCGACAAGAGCCTCGACCACGTCTGCTAGGACCTTACTGGATAGGGTTCGTCGCGGAGCTGTTGACTTTCCAAATTCCGCAGGCTCATTTAACCTTTCGGAGATCAGGGGAGCAGTCCACTTTTTGGGTGTGAACCGCTTTGCTAGGATGAAGCTATCCAGACCAGTATTAAGCGCGGCATATGCGAGGTGCTTATTTTGAACAAGTTTATCTCGGTTTTCGGATAGGCACCCTTCATGCCACGTCGGTTGCCGGAAAAAGAGCTGACAGGCCACAGTGAATTTCAGCACGGAGTCGCCGAAGAACTCATAAAGTTGGTAGTCGGTACTCGCTTGCGCTATCGGCGTGGTAATTGCAGTGAGAACATGACCGAGATTTTGAATACCAACATCCTTCAAAATCGTATCATTTAGCCTCTTGGCAACCATAATAGCCTCCATGCGATCTAGAATGGCAGACATGAGCAGCCCAATCATAGCTTTCTTGGCCGGCAGCTTGTCTACGGTGCAACCCACTGCTGGGATCACAAAGATCTTAGCAGGGCCCTCTCCGCGCGCTTCAGCCGCCGTTCGCGGCTGCAGGAAATTCCGCCTTTTCGGAATAGTCTCACATTCTGTTTCAACCCGGATCTTGGTTCCCTCCCCAGAATGAATCCATCTGCGAAATAAGCGTGGTTCACTATACTTGGCTGTGTCCCGAACGATGCCTATTGGTAATGTATCGCGCTCATAATGCTCCATCAGCATTTGCGTGCCCCCGTTGACGTTTTTCCACTCTTGTAGCTGGTCAAGGGGAACGGTGGGCATGAAAAGCACCACATAGTCTCGATCAGGATTTTGTAAACGGGAAGATGGTGCCTGGAAATATATACCTGTGATATCCCTGATCAGGTGAAGGTTTTCGGAACTAAGTGAATGAAGTGGCGTTGAGGGCTTGAATTTCGCGGTCAAGGTTGTTTCGGAGTCCCAGTAGATGGGAATGGTATCCGGCATTGTCATAAGCTTGGGTAGGACAATCGAAATCTTTAAATCTTCATCCAAACATTCACTTCTGAAGAATTCTATGTCTGTCTGATAGAAATCAGGTGATAACGATAGCCATGCCTGTGACAATTCCACATAGGGGTCCCATTGTTCCGCGCAGTCTACCAGTGCGGGAATCTCTTTATCTTGATCGAATCCGAGACCAGCATTTTCCAATGGCAAAGCGTCGTTGAATGTAGAAGTCATGATAGCATATGTGGGCTTCTGATGCCGAACTTGTCCTTGCCGTTGGACGGAAGACTTGAGAGTGGACGGCTTGTCGAAATATACTACCAGACTGCAACTCACATCCAGGCTTTCTAATTCGTGAGTGGCGACGATAAGATTCTTGAGGCCAGCTCTGAATTCTGTCACAGTGTCTTTATGTATGTCCAGACTGATGAAATCGCCAATAGACTCGCGATAGCGAACGCCATTTTTCGACCCCCCTCGGTATGCCGCACACCGAAACCGATGTTTGGTCGAAGGATGTATTGACAAAAGGGATGTCAAGACGCTGACAGTGGTTTGTTTTCTGACAAAGATCAAGCCAGAGAACTCCGATTGGTCCATCTTCAAGAGATACTGGAGCAGTCTCTCAAACTTTGAGGAGAAATGGACGACGGAGTTAGAAGCGTCGGCAGTCCCATCAGACATCTGGATCGGCGCAAGGACTTGAAGGATATAGCCCATATCTTCGCGATTCAGACCACCCATTTCCACCTCGCCGGCCAAGTTCCGCAGTTGAGATACGCATGCGTCAATGAAGAAGTCCGCTGCACAGCCGCCAAGCTCTTCGTAAATATTGCAGCTTTGTTCAAGAAAATCGCTAAGCAGCTTGGCGCAAAACCTATTGCCTGAGCCCGAAGATGCGACCATGTCTGCCTCGCATTCTGTCTTATGTTGTTCATGAGACGAAACGCAGAGTTTAAGCTGCTGTAGCATGGGGCTGCCAGCACCTATATTCTTATTTGCACTCGGGAAGTAGAAGATGCGCTCCAGATGGAAGGTCTCATCCATGGCGTTCATCTTGTCGATGTACCAGGGTCAGAGGCCAAAGACATGAATGGCTCAAAATGGTTCTTTGTTTGCCCGGTGGGATGTACCCGGACGGGTGTTTCCGTTGGAATCAAACGACGAATAGAATGGACGGCAACGTGGGGTTTTGGAATGTGATTGGAGATACGCAAATGTGGGGTCAAACCACACGGACCGGCGGTTTATCCGGAGGAATCTGCCAGGAGATGTGATCAAAAGAACCCACTTCTATGCCAATATGAGAAAAAGAATAGATGCAGGAGAAAACAGGAAGCTAAAGGGGAATAAGACTAGATGCAGCAAAGAAGAAGGAAGAGCACGAAGCGCGGACGCAGGTAAGAAGAGGGAAGAGCGCGACAGGAAGGTACTTATAGTCACAGAATCAAACGCGTCCTACTAGGCCAAACTGGGAAGTCTTTTATTGGCAGTAAGCCACACCAAATAAATCAGTGCAAGTCATACAAAGAACCCGGGGTAACTGCCGTAGGGGACATGCAGACTTGTATTATTCAATACTGTCTCGTAGGTTATGCGATGCGTGCCCAGCATACAAGCGTACTTAAAACCGGCGTGATGACATAGGTCGGCAAAACCACAATCTAGTCTTGTCTTCTCCTCCTGACGTGATCATCTCTTTTGTATTAAAATATTGCGATATACAAGAGGCAATCAAATTGCCTTTAAACCGTACGCAGACAAGAAGAAAAGCAGCCCAGATCGTTTAGTCTATACATTATACAGATGGTCAAATAATATTATCTCTTACACTCGAGCTGGATCCGCTGTTCCAAATAAAGCGGTCCAATACTTTGTTACTCCACTGCATATATCTGTTCTGTTCACCCAGCTTCCAAATTTGTTTTCTAGCTCACACCCTGTCCAGAGGATCTCCGCCCAAAACTGTTTCTCAACATCGGCCCCAAAAGCTTTGATTTTGTCCTCGGGTATCGTCCAAGCACGGGTATAAGTTCCATCGTCGTTGAACGCAGGGTTGACCGCTTGCTTGGAAAAGACGGTCGCGGGATTGAATTTGGGGAAGTTGGCATGAATGAAGAAAGCCCGGGGGGTAGGAGTCGAAGACCCTTTATCGCGCCCATCCTTTTTCTGAGCCATTTGGTAATCCTCAATCGGATCAAACTGCAGCATTGCAGATCCTGCAAGACCACCTTCTGTTCTGTGACCTATTGCGCATATTGGTTCGCTGACTTGGTAAAATGGCTCGTTAACCGCCATTGCGGCGTTGATGAAGGTTTCTTTGTCTCCCTCTCCGGCAGCTCCTTGGGAAAGCAGACGGTAGTAATGTGTCGGGCCCCAAAAGTTATAGTAGGTGCAAAGAAGGAGTGTTCGCAAGTGTGTTCTTTTCGAAATAAGCACTTCGCCGGATTCGGTCGATTGCCGGGATTCCATTGCTGGAACGCTCTGCGAGGCAATCTGGTAGTAGAATGGAGAAGCAGAGGATGCCCAGAAATCTGGCCAAGTGATTAACTTGGTGCTCCGGAATGGCTCTTGCTCGAATAGGGTCTCAGGCTTTGCAATTGGAAATGCGTCCGCGTCTAGAAACAGAATCTCTTCAAATGAAGAAAAGAGCATCGCGAACGGCTTCAGCTGGTATTTTTCAATCTCGGTCGTACCCGGCACTGCCTTCATAACATCAGACAGCACAACACATTGTGCGTTCAACGAAGGTAGGACCTGGTCACAGATATACTCCTCGTATTCGTCTGGTGTGGCCAAGAAGACCTCCATCGGCAATTTCGAGCCCGTGCGGCGCAGCATGCGCAAGGAGATCACCAAAACGGGGAGATAAGGTCCGCCTGCTGTAGTGACCAAGCCTTTGGTCCCAGGTATATAGGCAAGAGCGGGTGGATCGAGTTCAATGGCTTCAACGAAGTCTCCGTGTGCCTTTTTCATTGTCCGAACATCGCGAGTCGTCATTTTTAGCAAGTCAGGACGAGGACCTGCGTCCGATGACTTGAAGCCGGTAGCTGCTGCATATCCGAGACGCTTTGGGGAGTTGCATGTTGGTTTATGTGTCTCCAAGAGGGATTGAAACTGGCGCCAGAAATTGATATGCTCCGTCGTATTTCGAGAGTAGGTTGTTGTCAACTGATCTGTCAAATAGGTACGATAACTAGGAGCCGCTGCCTCTCCCGTCAAATACCAAATAGTTGTTGCAACAAGACACAAAGCAAGCACTATCCGAAATCGACGAGTCATTGTGGTGAAGCCTGTTGGACAGGACGAGTCGACATGGATAGTATGTATAGAACCAAAAAGCAGATTGAGTGGTGAACTTGGAAAATGTTTCCTTGGGGTACAAAGGCAAATAATTCTAAAAAATTTACTTTTTGCTTCAAAATAGTCATCAAAACGACCGGAAGCGGGCTACGGGCTTGATACTCTATTTCATTAGGAGATGCGACTACCCCGGTTTCTTCCCGCTTGCGACCGTCGTCGCCCAGATTGGAGTAATCCTGGGTAATGATAAACATCGTAATTTCAAGCAGATTTACTCATTTTCTGTTTCAAGTTGACGTTCGCAGATTGATTTGTGGCTTGTGATTCGTGGGTTACCGGATGCGGAAGGGGGTGTAGTCCCAAGTTGACAACACATGGGCAATTCGTACATTCTTTTCCACTTCAACCTGAAATTTGCTGGTTCCTATTTAGGTGGAAACTATGTTCTAAAAACAACCTTTCTTCTTTCTTTCCAGCGTAGTTATGCGGTGGTTCACAACATTGCCTCGGTTGCCTGAAGACCCCAACACACTCAGTTCACGGGGCGTTTTGAAAATTTCAGAAGTCCATGGATGCAGCTCCATCAATATAGAGCGACAGATCAACTTGGTATCAGTTTAGTTTGGACGCCAAAGCTTTCCGGGGTGCGAGTGCATGTAGGCGAACATGACGAGTTGCAATTTACCTGATGGTTCTCGCAAAACTTGTAATCTGAAAGAAACTTTTGTGCGCGACCACGATGCCGCTTGAATTAGGAGGATGGATATATACATTCTCATTGCAGGGAATTATGTGTTATGTTTTTCTCGATTGACCTATCTGTCGTCCTGGGAATGTGTACCCGAAGTGCATGTTCATCCTAGTCCCCTGGAATGTTGACGCGCCTGTACGAGAACGACGGGATACTGTATGCTGTACAGTACAATCCTCTTTTGCTTCAAGGTGGAAAAAATCTTGCTGGTATTGAATATGGGTAAGAAAGAAAAGAATTAGAATTCATCAAGTTTGATGGCAAGTCGTGGTTTAATGTAAAAGACGACTTGACCGAACAAACATCCATGGATATCGCAACCGGCAAACATGATAGACGAATCTAGATACTTTCAGGGCATAATTCTTCATGCAATAGCCGTCGATTTCTTGCGGTTCCTTTTATAAGCTTTCTTAGCCAATTGTCGTTCTCGATATATCTTATGCATGATACTTCATCCGCACAGTTTCATCGTGGATGGGGGTGAAAGCTTCTGGCGAGGATGATGGATTGGGAGCTGTGAGACAAGTATAGGTGGGATGTAAAAAAGGAAATGATGACCGATCCGATGGTCGTCAGTCTCGTGATGCTAGATCTAGGTATGGGGGGTTTCAATATCATTATTAACTGATTCCACTCATCGGCTGGTCCTTCTAAATCTGTGGAATTGAAGATCGGTATTACGGTTACGTTATCTTCCTTTAGTGAGGATTTGACAATCTCCATTGGTGGAGCTCGCCGAGCGAGTCTCGGTCCAAGCTTTCTACCCGACAAAATCACCGGAGTATGTAATCTATGTAAACCAAATACAGAACCTTCAAAGTTGTGGATGTCCGGTGAGAACAATACAACCCAAAACATTTATTGGTGCCGATTGAATGATCAAAGTGATCTGAAATGCTCTTAAGAAATGGACTTGTAGAGAAAATAAAATAGCATAAGAACTGGTGGAGGGATTTGTAGCTATGTGATATAGAATACACGAAAAACGTCCCGCATTCGGGGATCAATTCCCCCAGAAACCAGTAGCGTATGACATCAATCCCCGCTTAGCATCCAGCTTCCCTTCTGAGCTTGCGCCAACGTCGGCACGATCTCCTCGGTGCTTCTCGGGTCTAAACATCAATCACCATCGAGCCCCACGGAAGCTTGAAATTCATTCCACCCCCTCGCCGCAAAGTGCCGAAGTACTTTAAAAGCGCATCTCCAACTCCCCGCACGGAACTTTGACTCCGCTCGCCATTTCGCTCTGTATTAGTAAAATCCTATCTCCCCGCCCGAGTGTCGGTTCCTCATAATGGAGCGACTTATCCGCCCCGTCTCCCGGCAACTCCTGCGATCTCGTCTGCGATACCCTTACGCTATTCCCCCACCACCGATTGCGAAGAGACTCTACACCATGGGACACAGCAAGCCTGAGGTGGGTTGCCATCAGCTTTGACTGGGATTTGAGAAATACTAATGTCGAATACAGTTGAAAGATCCATCTCTCTTCATTGAGAAATGCTACATCAATGGCGAATGGGTTGGCGCCCAGTCTGGCGAGACCTTTGAGGTGCACGGTAAGACCTTTACATTAAGAGGGTCACATTCACGGACGCTAATATGTCTTTCCTTGAACTTACAGACCCCGCTACCGGACAGCTTATTGGTAAATGCCCGGAGCTCGACTCCTCAGACGTCGAGAAGGCTATCCAGGCCGCCACAGAGGCCTTCCCTACATTCCGCACAACCCTGGCCCGCGAGCGCGCCCGTATGCTTCGCCGATGGTACCAATTGATGATGGACAACGCAGAGGATCTGGCCAAGCTGATCACATGGGAGAATGGTAAGCCATTGGCCGACGCCAAGGGCGAGGTGAACTACGCCGCCGGCTTTTTCGAGTGGTTCAGCGAGGAGGCCCCTCGCATTTACGGAGATACCATTCCGGCATCAGTGCCCGGTAACCGAGTCATCACCCTTAAGCAGCCCGTCGGTGTATGTGGTCTGATTACTCCCTGGAACTTCCCGGCTGCCATGATTACCCGGAAGATTGCCCCGGCCCTGGCGGCTGGTTGTACTGTGGTTGCCAAGTCACCCCAGGAGACACCCTTCACTGCCAATGCGCTGGCCGAGTTGGCTCACCGTGCGGGTATCCCCAAGGGTGTTGTTAACATTGTGACTGCCTCGAAGAATACCCCATCTGTGGGTGAGACCATCACCACACACCCAGAAGTGCGTAAGGTTTCGTTCACTGGCTCGACAAATGTCGGCCGTCTGCTCATGAAGCAGGCTTCGTCCACTCTGAAGAAGGTCTCTTGGGAGCTGGGCGGTAATGCGCCATTCATTGTTTTCGATGATGTTGAGGATCTCGACGCCGCCGTTACCGGTGCTATTAACTCCAAGTTCCGCAGCTCCGGACAGACCTGCGTCTGTGCCAACCGGATCTACGTGCAGAAGGGCGTGTACGATGAATTTACTAAGCGGTTCACTGCCAAGGTTAAGGACTTCAAGCTCGGCGCCGGTTTCGATGAGGGAATTACTCACGGCCCTGTCATTCACGAGCGTGCTGCCGGCAAGGCTCACGAGCACGTCCAAGACGCTATTAAAAAGGGTGCCAAGGTCCTGATTGGTGGCCAGAAGGCCTCTGCTCTTGGTCCTAACTTCTACGAGCCTACTGTCCTGTCAGGTATGGACAAGGACATGCTTCTCGCCTCCGAGGAGACCTTCGGCCCCGTGGCCGGTCTTTTCCCCTTCGAGACTGAGAAGGAGGTTGTTGATCTTGCCAACAAGGCCGAGGTTGGTCTCGCCGGTTACTTCTTCAGCGGCAATGTCCGCCGTATCTTCCGTGTCGCCGAGGCTCTGGAGGTTGGCATGGTTGGTGTCAACACTGGTTTGATCAGTGACGTTGCTTCACCGTAAGTCTTTTGTCCTTAATGCAAGGCCGATTATATACTGACAAGAATGCAGGTTTGGTGGTGTCAAGCAGAGTGGTTTCGGCCGCGAGGGCAGCAAGTATGGTATTGACGAGTTTATGGTTATCAAGAGCGTTACCTTTGGCGGTATGGGAGAGCCTCTGCAGGAATAGAGCTTTCCAAGCATATTAAATGAAAGCTGCCGTTGATGAAATAAAATACATCGCGCGAATATATGAATTTCTCTCTGCATAATCCGTTGATGGATCAGGACTTCGCACGGGCGACTGCCCACTAATTGATGTTAAAGGCCTGTAAAGCGGAAGTGTGCAAGCGGCAAGAGGAGCATGTCATATCAAATTGAGCGTCTTCAGTCACACAATCCGTTTTCAGGCGAATTACAATATTCTTGGAAGCTGCATGAATGGTTGGAATTAAACAGTAAAGTGGCTTATCCCAACCTAAATCTAGCTAAGGACCCCGCGATAAGCTAAACCGCCCCACCATCCCTCGATAACAAATATCTTTCGCAGCTCCTCATTGAACCTTTACCTTCAAGCTACTAACCTCTATAGACCTGCCGACACAATGACAACCCCAGAAGCCCTGATCTCCAAATTTCAGGTCACCAAGCTCTTAAAGCAAGGTAAGCCAAACTCAATGTCAAACACAAGAACAAAACTAACCCCTCATAGATCAGAATGGCCGCCGCATCACCCTCCTCGGCACAATTGACGAGCAACAGGGTATCATGACAGCCGAGCGTGCTGCATTCGCAACCGAATCTCTGGAAGTGATCCGAGCCTTCCACGCAGCCCTTACAAGAATCAACAACCTAGGCGACAACGACATCTACCGTTGGTACCTTGCTTCCTCAAACGGGGATACCACCGTTGCCACAAACACCGATTTCCAGCATGACCTAAAGCTAAACTTGATTTGGCCTTGCACTGAGCAGCATATCAAGAAATACTCTGATCAGCAGCTTCGCATGGTTACCGAAACACCGGAGATCTACAAAAGCCAAGTCCGCCCATACATGCAAGCGAAACGCGAAGAAGGTCGTCTGAACTGGGTATTTAATATCCTTGAAGGCCGGACCGAGCAGGAAGACGTCATCATGCGTGATTCTGGACACGGACCGGAGGACGCGTTCTTGATGTTGCCTGATCTGAATTGGGATCGGAAGACACTCAATTCGCTGCATTTGTTGGCTTTGGTGCATCGGCGGGATATTTGGAGCTTGCGAGATCTGCGAAAGAGTCATGTTCCCTGGTTGAAGTATTTGCGGCAGCGGGTTCTGGAGGCTACGGTTTCGATGTACCCGGGTTTGGAGCAGGATCAGCTTAAGCTTTATGTTCATTGTGAGTTTCTAGCTTGGGCTTTTTGGGGGTGTGCTAATCGTGCTGTTTAGATCAACCGACTTATTATCATTTCCATATTCATGTTGTGAATGTCATGCTGGAGGCTGGTGCTACGCAGGCTACTGGGAAGGCGTTTGGCTTGGAGAATCTGATCTCGCAGCTAGAGACTATGAGTGGCGGGGAGGATGCTAGTATGGCTGATGTTAGCTTGACCTATTACTTGGGTGAAGCGAGTGAGCTCTGGACGGATATTTTTGCGCCGTTAAAGGCAAAGCAATGAGGATATCTAGACAGGATTTACGAGCCAATAAAATACAGGAATTTTTTGCTTGTAGTTGTTCTTTTCAAGTTTTGGGAGAGCGTAGAGAAATAAGTGACATAGATCGTGGTACAATATGTACATTGTTTTGGGTAAATGCTATTTTATTCCTCCGATGCAGAGTCAGCATTGAGCGACTTGCTGACTTCATCCATGACCTTGGACCAGGTCTGCGACCAGACAGTAAACTTGTCCTCGGATAAGTCCTCCTTCCAAGGTGCCGTCACCGAATCAACGGCCTGTGAAGCGTGCTCGTGTGTTTTCTGCAAGAACTCGACAGATCGGTCCACATCCTCTTCATACAAGGCCCCAGCAACCTCATCCACTTGATCAGGGATGTTCTGCAAGTTGACAATCAATTTCTCCAATCGCGCAACGTTTGCTACGGAAGACAACGGTGCATCCTTTGCACTCTTCAGGCGGTGGGTGATGATGGCAGGGTAAATTTGGGCGATGGGCTTCAGGAAGCGGAGAGTAGTCTTTTTCTGTTCTTGCATAGCGGCAACATCCTTGTCTTTGTCGGATTCTTCATCTGACTCGGCATGCTCATCATCATCCTTCTCGTCGCCCATGATCTCGTCAAAGAAATCATCGTCTTCCTCGGGATCCCAGTTCTCAAGTTCCTCCACGGCGTCCCGGACAAGGTCTCTCCACTGCTCGACACGGTGGGTGATGAATCCCACAACGCCGTTGTTGGAAAGGCTGACTACCGAGTCGCATGTGTCCCAAACACGACCAGTCGCGAGGGTAATTGCATCCTTCTCAGCCTTGGAAAGGTCCTCCTCTTTTTTCTTAGGGTCTGCCTTCTTGGCCTGGTCCTTCTTCTCGGAGAGATCCTTCACTAGATTCACGAGAGTGCTGAATTCGGCGAATAAGGCTTTGACTAGGATCAGGGTCTCGGAGTGGAATGTTTTTGTGTATTCGGCGGGGTTGACGAGGAGGGTCGCAGTCAATAATGAAGGGAGAACGGAGTCGTTGCAGGCGCGAAGAATGCCGGTCACTGCAGAGTGCGTAAAGGGCGTAGTAATTGCTAGTAAGGAGAGTTTGGTGACTTGCGCCTTGAGAGCGCTCGATGAGGCTGAAAGGAGGGGCAGGGCCTTTGCGTCTTTGATCGGTTTCTGGGTGGACTGCGCGATGTTTGAGGGGGAGAGAGTATCCTGGAATTGAGTGATGAGGGCGAGCGATGTCGCAAGCACCGTGACGAGTTGTTGCGACATGTTGTGCGGGTTGGAGGTTCAAGTGTGGTTCGAATGAGGAAAAAACGTTGATCGTTGATTTCCGAATATTTTAGAATCCGCCCCACATTGAAATAACCCCTCGCCGTTGCCGCTTTTCTAAGGTTAAAATGAAACCATATACAGCTTTGAACTTTCAGTTATATACGGCACTGGGCCAAATGATCATTTGACAGTAATTGACTTAATATACATATATCTAATTATACACATTTCCTACCGGACAAGGCTCTCAAACCAATTCGACTCCCGAGCCTTCTTTTCCCTCTTCCTCTGAGTGAGAACGTAACCACACCCAGTACCAACGAAGTACCCACCAAGATGAGCTGCATGGTCCATCTTGGCAAGTCTGGATAAGGGGAAGACTCGGAGGAAGCGAGCCGGTGTCGCCATACTCAGAATCTCGGTGCCAACAATACAGGCGAGGAAGATCCAACCTTGTGTGTAGATGATATCTCGCAAGTCATGCGGGAGAATCCACATGGTGATTTTGTCACTAGAAAAAACATTAGTTGTTGGAAATGGCGGGATATGCCTGGCAGGTCTACATACTCGAAATGATACATGCACCATGCAGCGACAATTCCACTAGTAGCAGCACTGGCACCGAGAGAAGTGGTGGCAAGAGCTCCGAATAGAACGCTGCGAGACAAGGATACCAAGGAGCCTATAGCGCCGGAAGCGAAGTAAATGGCTAGGAAGTTTCCACGGCCGAGCTCATCGTGAACTATAGATTGGTAAGTTTGCTGCTCGGCAAAGGACGCATGGGGACTATTTACCTCGAGTTCCCATAAGACCCAGCACAATCATATTTGTGGAAAGATGTCTCCATGTTTGATGGCTGAAAGTGCTGCCAATCATGCTCAGCGCGCTGGGATAAAAGGGAACAATGATGAAGAAGCGATTCAGCATTCGCCACGCGGGGGGAACGTATTTCCACATCAATGTAACGACCACATTGGCACCAATGATAGCCCCCACTGTTGCCGCGGCCGGAGGAATGTTAGGCCAGAGGCGATCCTTTCTTGTCGGCGCCTCATAGTTCTGGGCGAATGCATAGCAACAGCCGAGAACACCGATAGCGAACAGTATAGACGACAGCAGGCGCTGGGTCTGAAATGAGTCTACTAGTTAGCACAAGAGCACCAGATTTATTTTCGATTATATGTACCGTCGTCATGTCCACAGCGTCTGCTTGGTTATGCGTTCCCGCAATATGGTGCTTTTGAACCCAAGCAAGCAACGGCCGTTCGTTAGGGTCCGCCCGCGGACGCGCTACAAATGTCAGTATGATTGTGCTCGCAATAAATTTTGACATAGAACCTACCTTCCATCAAAGCCGACTCCTGGTATTGTTGAAGTGCTTTGCTGCCTTCAATTTGGCGTTGCAGTCGCTCCTGTTCCTCGTGTTCACCTTCCAACCATTGTTGACGCTTCCGTTCCTTCTCGGCTAGCAAACGTTTTTCGTTTTTCTCACGTGCCTCTTTAAGCACACTCTTTCCATAGATCGATTTTCCCTCGCCGAGTTCAGCCTCGTATGAGCCGCTCTGTGGCTTGTAAAGGCCGAGCTGCTCAGCGCGGCGCACCAATTTCTCCTCCGCCTCTCGCTCCTCCCGTTCAATCCGAGCTAGAATTGCGGAATCTTCGTCAATCGGATATTTCTGCCGTAACCATTCTAAAGCAATGTCCAGTTGTGGTTGGGTGACGGCACGAGTGATCTCCGCGGGGAGATCCAAATCCAGGGTACCCTCCAACCTCCGCGCATGTAAGACTGCCAGGGTACGGTTGGCCAATTTGGTGGATATTTGTGAGGGAAAAACGGTCTTAAGATCGGCTTCTGAGGCAAGGGTTGCGTTAGGCGAAGGTTCGGGCTTTCGCGAGGATTTGCGAGCCAGGGTTCTTTTCGTTCTGGTCCACAGAGGGGCGGGCGTGGAGTGCTGGGGCGAGAGGGGGGATACCGAGGGCCGTGCGGATGGAGGGAAAGAGCCCAATGAGCTAGACCAGCGGATGTTACTGAGTGCGCTGCTCCGTATGCTGCTTGGCCGTAGGCGAAGATTGCGGTATTGAGGCCGGAGGGTCGTTGACAGCATACTCGAGGCCCGGAGCCCCGAGCATGGGATCTGCCATGCGAATCCCACCGTATTACTCATATTTCAGAGTCTGGCGAAGAACGCCTGGAATGATGGGTAGGATGTCGGTGATCGATGTACTGCTTTTTGGTGGTTCGATACATGCGGATCCCGGCGAGCGGGTTGTTCCGCCCGAATCCCGCACCTTGTCCTTTAACTCAAAAAACAGTACTTGCATATTCCATCAAGTCACATTGTATTCCGCTACCATTTGGATCTTAATTTATGATTGGGCTGTCAAGCATGAAATAGAGCCGTTAGCCCCAGCTTGGTGTAATCTTTCACATAATCCAACTACCTCATTCGTTCTGATTAAACAAGCTCTCCCGGAAGCCTTAGTTACACTGCAGAGCTTCCGATCTACTTAAATCCGTCCTTGCGTTGTCATCAATCATTCAACGACGCTTGGCGAATATGTAGTATCAATCACACCGTGGCACTATAGCCCAAGCAGTCAGCAGGCTTTGGAAAAGCTGTCAAGTCGAATCACATTTCTAGCTGCCTTAAAAGTCTTACCTTCTACTCATCTTGCAAGTAAATCCCCCAATGTTGGTTTTCGAACCGAGAACCAGAACAAATGTACCTATCATAATTGGAGCCTATTCCAGAGTGCCGGTTTTGGCTTTGCAGGATGACTGCTAATCAGTGCTGTTGTGTGGCCTTGAGCTAAGCTCTTTGGTTGGTTTATGACTAAATGAGTCTTCTCACCAACACAACTAGCTCATATGAACGCTGGTCATGGGGTCAAATACCACATTCACAGTCCCCACAGTGCTAGCTTTAGGACCCTCATTTGTATACTTTGTTGCCTTGGTCTTGTTTGTGGATATTAGTCTGATCCCAGAGTGGCGCGTATAATGGATGCTGAGTCACGAAATAACATTTGTGGAATAAAACTGCCTTGCTTGATCTGTCGTGCCTGTGTGACATATATCTATACAGAATGGTTGGATGACGGACATGAACGTTGTATCACGCTTACTCTAGTTATCGTAATACATATGATGCGGGATGCATTGAGCTCATTTGCGCGGATTGTTTCTGACCACTGGGAGGGGTAACTCACCTCATACAAGAAAGGGAGCTATTTGAATGCACATGAGAAATTTACGCCATACATATTACACCGAGTCGAGGTATCAAGACTGTTGAGACCAACGGAATGCAGAAATCCATACACCAATCCCTTTTCGCAAACTATTTCTCAAGTTGATATCAGATGCCCTCTCCTACTGCACATCTTACTCACTTGCTCACCTTGTCCCTTCTTACTCAATAGCTTCCACTTCTACTTCCTTCACTTCCTGTCCAGCCTCCTCAGCTCTCCTCAAAATGGCTTCCAAGCCCCTTCATATTGGTGTTCTTCTCGTGGATATAGTCCAGCTCCTCGATCTGGCAGCCGTCGATCTCCTATTCATGACCTGCCCTGAGTATCTCAAGGAACTGGGAGTCCCCAAGCCTATCGTGGATCTTGGCCGGCCTTGCAAGATATCTTACATTGGCCTAGACGGTCCGACTTCATACCGTGACCTCACCTCGCACACCTCAATTCCTATTACACATTCACCGACGGATCCAGAGGTAGCGCCAGGTGAACTCGACTTGATCTATCTTCCCGGGCCTCCACCTAAGCGTATGCCCCCAGCGAAGGAGTATCTTGATTTCATCCAGAAGCACAATGCCGCAAATGTGACAATACTCAGTATTTGTACTGGGGCATTGGTAGTCGCTCATGCAGGCATAACAAAGGGAAAAGTAGTTACAGCGCCACGATTTCTGATTCCAAATTTGCGAAAAAGCTTCCCCGATGTCAAGATCTGGGACGACACGCTGCGAGTCACTAAAGATGGAAATCTTTGGATGTGTGGTGAGTAGTACTTTCAATTTTATAGCGTACCAACCTCCGCCCTTCTGTAATATGTCTCATGAAGCCATACGTGACTAACCTCTTGATGAGAAAAGGCGGGATCACAAATGGCCACGACCTTATGGTCGAGTACCTCCGCGAGAACTACCCAGCACCTCTTGTCAACACTATTCTCACCGCAGCGGAGATCTCACCTCGCAATCTGCAATATCCGAATGGACCTATGGGGGACTTCTTGTGGATGTTTTGGCAGGTGGTATGCGCCCTTCCATATTCCGCCATGCGCCTCGTAAAGGGCAATGGAATTGGCAATGAATGATAGCGTCTAGAGCCGTCTGTCTCCAAGTTGCAGCCCAGCACCACTCTAGAACTACACCAAGTAGTCCACTTTAAGTGCCCAAATACTAAGGCCTTTATACTATGTTCATGATAGTTCAAGTAGCCGAGGCAAAAATGCCGAGTAATGCCAAAGAGCCTACTAGCCAGCTCGCATAGGTATGTCCACACGTAATCCTAGACTGTACTTTGCTTGGAGAATTCAGAAATGTTGGAATGAGGAACTTGCAACTATCAGATTTCTCGATAAAACGTCCAAAACGAAAGTCATAACAGATGGAAAATTAGTCATGCAACCGTATTTGTCAATGACTCCCAACCGAATCACAACACCCATCATCACATACGAGCCTTCTCCACACTATGCCCATAGATCCGATGTATCCGTTTCTTATTCAGACTGTCCACCTCAGACTTGCACGCCCGCATACTCAATGGCCCACCGACCTGCTTCAACCAATAAGATCTCCCACAATCAAACAGCCAATTCCTTGACGCAATCTGCACCAACTCAGCTAAGAAACACTGGGGTGCATCTCGATCTTCCGTGAAGACAATCTCAGGAAGCTCCTTGCGGATCGCCGGCGGGGCATTGCCATGCACAATTTCAATGTACTCATCGAAGGTCAAGGGCTCGTACAATTCCGATCCAACCTGTACTATACCCGTTGTGTGGGCCGCAGCATGTAAAAGACAAGCATTTGCAACAAAGTCTACCGGTATCTCGTCAATAATGTTTGCACCTGTGCTGTACCCTTCTGCCGAGTGCCAGATCTGGGTTGCGCCTGAATCTTCCATGAAGAGCTGGAAGAACTTGTTCATTGGTGTAGAGTTTTCAAGTCCGTAGAGCGGGTATGGGTCCCGGATGGCCTGGCCAAAGATTGTGGGACGGAATAGGAGGATTGGGAGAAGGGCGAAGCGCTGGAGAATGATTCGTTCCATTATGTACTTGGCTTGGGCGTAACTGGATGAGAATTTTGCTGTATGTGGTGATCTGTCTAGGGACAACACGGATGCAAGTTCTTGCTCAGGGTCTTCATCGGGGAGACTATATGACTTCTCTAAGACTGGGCCATCGGGGAGGAAGCTATTTACGTATGCGGTTGATATCAGGACGAGAAGCTTCAATCTGCGGAATCGTGAAACGACACGGGCTAGTTCCAGTGCTGGGAGGCAGTTGTTTTCGAATGCGTCTTGGGGGCTTGCGTCCAGGGTTATCTTAGCGGCTGCGTGGATGACCAATGTGACTTTCTCTTGCAATTCCTGGAGGGTGGCTGGTTGGAGACCGAATTCTGTTGATCGGATGTTGCCAAGCACAAACTCTACCTTCTTGGAGGCGAGGATGGCCTTGTATTGGTTTGGCATGGACTTCTTCCACTTTGAGATGGCTTCCTCGGGAGTCCCACGAATCAACGTATATATTTTGCTTGTGGGGAGCTGCAATGCTAGTTTGTACAAGAGACATCCTCCCAGTGACCCAGTACTTCCAGTCAGCAAAACTGTGTGGGACTGATAGATTTTTGAATAGCCCTCTCGAAGGATTTGATCTGCCTGAGAGGCTGCTTGAGCAGGCGACAACATGGTCAAGCTTCAAGTTGGCTGTCTTGGATCAAAAAGTTTACAAGTGAAAAATGGAATGTTACCTTCTGGACTTAATATATGAGGTCCTTTAGGCAATGCGCCGCCTCCTTTCGGGGGATTTGGATCGAAAGGTATCATTTCGTGCTACGTTGCCATGGCTCCGGCTCGGAAGTCCCTTTGGGCTGCTGGTAGTCCCTAGCTTTTATTGGATAAAGTAAACGCAGCACATACGGGGGAGGAGGGAGGGGGCGCTTGCTGAACACCATCAATTTCAAGCATTGAAGGCCCATCGATCTCCAGTCAAGTCAAAGAGTGCAATAGATTCGAAGCCATATTTCTTGAGGTAATGAAATATATCATGTGTTCCCTCCTGCGGTTGCTGCTTCAGGGTTCAAATTGAACTGACAGAAGCTGCCTGGAGATATGCAGGAACGTGTAGTTCGTTAGAGATTGTGGAATGGTTGGTTGTACAGGTACTACAGTCACACCCGAGGTACCAATCTACTGACTTTGATTAGCTACATGTGATTGATGTGCTCATGAATCATGATGACATTCATAGATAGCTAAGTATTGAATAACGTCCAAGTAGCCAAGACAACGCTTCGTTCGGCTGAGATTGACCGCAACTCAACAAGAAATACCACGGTGAGCACCTGGTCAGGTAGAGAAGGCGCAAAGCTATGGACAGCACGATGGACAGGGAAACTCTGAATAGACCCTGAAACCATGAAAATCTTTCATCAAAGAGCGTGTCTCATAAGTCGGGTTAGGTATATAGGAAAAGCCATTGAAGTACCAAGGTTTATAAAAACATAAACTACGTCCTTGCATCAAGATCAGGCAACATTCAATTTGCCACGAAGGCGATCCTGATAATAACGCAACGGGTATGCACGCATCTTGCGCGGCATAGCTGGATACACAGCTGTCGAGAAGCCCATCCATGTCCGATACAAAGCACGAGTCTTACCAGTCGACCTTAATCCATAAGCCTCCCGCAACTTCGGCGGCAACATCTCAATAGTAACAACACGAAGGAAAGGTTTAATCCGTTGCACCCACTTCGGCATGTCAGTACTCTCCCGAAGGTCCTTCGCAAACCGCGCCGCGTCTGGCGAGACAACCAACTTTCCAACCTGATCATCCCAGTAAGACCAGAACTTTTGCCGAGTCTCAGGCCATGTACCGGGGGGGGATACCGAGGCAGTTCATCAGCATTGTAAACTCAGTATACCCCTGCTGAGCAGTTTGGTAATTAACACGGCCGTAGACGCGCTGATAGAAATCCGTTGCGGTGGCGTACAACGTTGCGGCCATCCAGAGCTGGAGGGGAGGGTGGTGTGCGAATCTGTTGTTACGTCCGCCGCCTAGACCTGGGGCCTCGCCGCGGTGTAACATTCCCAGGAGAGTTTTGCGTTCGGTGCGTGTGCCGAAGACTAAGGTTGAGGTATAGCTGATGTGTGCTTGGAGTGCGTCGAGGAGCTCCGTGGCTAGATCTTTGGGGGTATCGTTGCTGTTTTCCTCTTCGCGGATTTCGGGCATCGCTGCTTGGAGAAGGAGAGCCGCGCCCGAGCCGGCAAATAAGATTCCTTCCTGTAGGATCTGGGGGAGTATTTCTAGTTGCTCGAGGGCGTGAAGGCGTCCAGAATCTGTGGTGACATCGGATTCGTCGTGTTGGAACCCCGGGAGAGCTCCACCTTTTTCATTTTCTAGGGACGAAATTGAAGAGTGAGACATTTTCAATATACATTCAATTTTCAGAAGGTGGCATATGTCGTGGATGAAGCTAGTCCACGGGTGGGGAGTACAAAAGAATCAGTTAAATGAACTGTAGTTTCCCCGCAAAATGAAACTCGAAACCTAAAAAACGGCATCGAGAACCTTATAATCTCCACCTGTATCCACATGAAAGTGATATCTCTAGGCTCGGCTCATGTGAACGCCTTCGAAAGCCGCGGTTTGCAGATCTGCACGACGCGTCTATCACATTGGCTGTATCTTACGCTCGTGCCTCTCCTAAAATACTCCAGCCTATGATATGCTAGTAAAGCTGGGCCGATGGATAGGTAGATGGGAAGTAATGAGTTCAAATCCTTTGTCATTCATTAACATAGCCTATACCGCATTTCGCACTTGCTGCAAGACCTCGTTCTCCATTTTCGCAAACCCTTCAACAGCCATGCCGTACTGCTCGAACACGCCAGGCTGATACCCTTCTGCGATTTTCTCAATAAATTCATCCTCATTCCATCGCTGACCAACAAGATCTTCAAAGGTCTGACCAGGTTCCTTCTCGATGCCCCAGACGGCTTTGTATGCTGCACCGAGGGCGCAGGCATTGTCGCCAATATCAAGCTTATAAACACCCTCAATGCCTCCAAGGATCTCACCGGCGATCTTGGCAATGGCCTTGTTCTTGGATCCACCGCCGACCAGGTACACGCGTCGTGGCTGGGCCGGAAGCCCGTTTCCAGGGCTCTCTGTGAGGCCCTTGGACCGGAGCCGGAGCGATAGCATCTGGCTCTCAATAATAGCGCGGGCCTCATCTTGAGGCACGGTCCATCCTTCCGTTGTCTCGGTCACGGTAGCGGTCTTCGCATCATAGATGAACCGCCACTGTCCTGAGTGGATGTTAGGTACGATCTCTGGCCGCGGGAAGAAGAGACCCATCTTCATTGGATCTGTTGTGATTGCTTGGCCTAGTGCTGGGGCATTTAGAGCAAGCTTGTCAAAGATGGCCCAGGGTTCCTCGGCGGTGTCTTTGAGACCTTCGTTGATCGCGTCGCGAACATGTTCACGTGCGAGACCACCGTTCTTGTAGCAGAGCATAAACATGTATAGTCCCGCGGTGGTTGGGTGGTTGAAGAAGTGGGTGGCCGGGTCAGGCTTGTAGCTAGGGGTGGACATTAAGAAGGTTGTAGAGGTACCCAATGATACCATGGCGTCTGAAGGCCGCAAGGGCAATGCCAGAATAGTCGCTGGGTTGTCTCCGGTCGCTGGAATCACTGTGCAATCGGGACTGAAACCGTAGCGCTTAATGTAGTATTGGTGAACGGATCCCAAGTGCAGTCCACCATCCTCGGGCACATCGCCGAGCTTCTTCTTCAGGTCCTCGACTCCGAATTTACCAGCGCAAAGCTGTAGGAGACGATCATCGTAGGCACCCTTCTTAATGTTCCATAGATTCATGCCGCACACGTCCGAGATATCAAAGGGTGCGACATGGCCGAGGAATAGAGAGGCGAGGAAGGACGAGACGAGGGAGATACGGGCTGTCTTCTGGTACACTTCGGGGTGCTTTCTGGTAAATCGGAGGACTTGGGGACCGGTGAATCTCTGGTGATGATGTTAGTAAGTCCTTCATCACACAACCGACCTAGTCTCTTACGTGGTGCGCCTTGCTTCCAGTAGCCTGAGCCAGCTCTTCTGGCCCACCAAGGATGGCATCAAATTCATCACATTCCTTCTGGGTGCTTGAGTCTTGCCAATTGGGGCTGAATGGGTGGGAAAAGGCGGGGGGCAGCTGTTCCTCTAGCGACTTCCCCGGATCGAGGTTTTGAAGCATGGACTCCGCCTCTTGACCCCAATAAACACTTCCATGCTGTTGTCCGGCCCCGCTGATTCCCTTAATTCGGCTGAAATCCAAGCCTTGTTTGCGGAGGCTCTCCAACACGGTATCCAACGCCTGCAGCCACAATGCGACCGGGGCGAAGACTTCATGCTCGGCTTCATTTGTGAGGACACCCTTCTTGATCGGGAATCCGGTAGAGTCGGCATCGAAGTCGAATTTGGCGATATAGACGACTTTCAGGTCGGAGTTGACGACCAAGCCCTTCAATTGTTGGGTTGACAGGTCGAACCCGATGTAGAGTGGGGATTGCGACGCCATGGTAGAATTAGGTTCGCAACGTCGCTAGCATAACACGAAAGAAGAAGAAATTCTCTGGGCAAAGAGGAACTGCCGGCTTATATCTAATTGATCAGGTGGGGTGAGTGTTGAATACTGAATTTACCCTGCGGGCAGAATGCGGCAGGTAGACTACGAACCCTTGCGGGATCCGGGGGACACGAGTCCGTATGATGTCAAGGCCCCTCCGGTGGATCTGGTCTGAGTAAGACACAACAGGTTTGCTTCCAAGGCTATTTTCGCATACACAGAACCTGGTGAAGCTCGACAACATTGATCCCGAGGCCTCAATTAACCCGTTAGCTTCAGTTGGGGGTTGCCGGCTAAATGCGAATTCTGCTAATAGCTGACTCGGTTGAATTCAGCCCCACTAACGATATTATCCTTCTAGAATCCGATCTCTGAGTTTATGGGAGATTGAAACTCAATTCCCAGGGAAAGTGGGCTCCGTCATAAATTTTGTTTATACATGGAGACCCTAGATCACAGATAAACGCCAACGAACTTCCCCAAATTTACAGTAAATCTGGTTGCGCAGGTCAGTTCCCACTTTTCTGAGTGTGGTATATGCGATCTTATCTTTCCAATGAACCAATTTTCAATAAAACACCGGCGGTAATGTTCATAGTGACGTAGATTCGCCTTTGCCATGTCAGAGGCAAGAGGCGACGGCATTCTCCATATAATGGACGTTTGGCTATTTTACCTAGAGGACACATAAAACTTCATCTTGTGAAAACATCCATTCGGTTCATACCTCCCTGCGACACTTCATCAGGCCCAATTGTCAATCTCATCGCCATGTCAGTTGACGAGCAAAGACGCTTGATTGTGGTATCTAATCGCCTTCCCGTGTCCGTCAAACGAGTCGATGGGGGCTATCAATCATCGATTTCAAGCGGAGGGCTAGTCACGGCATTGTCGGGATTGAACTCTACCAAGTTTCAATGGTTTGGTTGGCCGGGAATCGAAGTTAAGGACACCGCGGACAGAGAGCAAGTATCGAAGAGCTTGGACGAGCACAGCGCCTGTCCGATCTTCTTGGACAGCGATCTTGCACATGAGCATTATAATGGATTCTCCAGTAAGTTCCGTCGATATGTTGCGGGACCACCTGGCTGACCCACTAGACCGTATTCTATGGCCGATCCTCCACTACCAGTCAGGAGTGACATTCGATGACGGTCCCTGGCAGGCCTATAGACGGGTTAATGAATTGTTTGCCGACCAGATCGCGAATGCAGCTGACAGCGGGAATCTGATCTGGATTCATGATTACCACCTCATGCTATTGCCAGGACTGTTGCGCTCCAGACTTGAACAGCAGGGCAAATCTTGCGCAATTGGATTCTCATTACACACCCCATTCCCGGCGGGTGATTTCTGGAGGGCACTGCCTGTTCGCAAGCAATTGATTGATGGCTTGCTAGCCAGTGATCTTATTGGATTCCACACGGACGAGTATAAGCAGAATTTCATCGATACTTGTTCGAATTTACTGTGAGTCTTTTCTTTTCTGATTCTGAGATAAACAGTATGCTAATACTGTTTCAGCGGTGCCCACACGGAAATCCCTAATCAAATCCAGTATAAGAATCGGCTGGTCTGTATTGGCAAGTTCATTGTCGGCATCGACCCTCAGAAATTCACCGATACGCTGAAGACTCCCGAGGTCGTAGAGAGGATCAAGACGCTTGAAGAAAGGTATAAGGGAATGACGGTGATTGTTGGCGTGGATCGACTAGATCATATCAAGGGTCTGACGCAGAAGCTGAAGGGATTTGATTCCTTCTTAGACGATCATCCGGAGCTACGGAACAAGGTCGTTCTCATCCAAGTCGCGGTGCCTAGTCGCGAAGATGTCAAGGAATACCAAGAGTTGGAGACAGAGCTAAGTACATTGGCGGGCAAAATCAACGGAAAACACGGCATGTCTCCACATCCCAGTATATGGACACCAAGCTGACTGGAATAGCCACACCTGATGGCACCCCGTTGCTGTATATGCATCGATCTGTTCCTTTCAATGAACTAGCAGCTCTGTACGCAATTGCGGATGCATGTCTCCTCACGTCGACTCGAGATGGAATGAATTTGGTCTCTTTTGAATACGTCGCCTGCCAGGAAAAACGAAACGGCGTTCTGATTCTATCTGAGTTTGCAGGTGCAGCCTCATTTATGCGAGAGGGGAGTATTTGTTTCCATCCAGCTAACAAGACTGAAATGTCTGAGGCTATTTTCAAGGCGCTTAATCTAGATCCTGCCGAGCGCAAACGGAAGTCTGAGCAGCTTCGAGAATTCGTCCACAAGTATACTAGGTCAGTATCCTGTTTTGCGCCATACAGTTCTGTCACTGATTTTTGTAGTTCCCGATGGGGTCAAACCTTTCTTGAAAAGCTGAATGCGAGAGTGGGGGATAAAGCAACGCGTAACTGCGCATAGTTCAAGGACTAGGTCTCAGCAGTGGTTCCTATGATCAATACATATTTGTTTCATCCCCCTGTAGTTTCAAAGGTATTCTATAGGCTGTAGATAACAGTGAGCGCATTTAGTTCAGAGCGGTTAGTGAATGTTGTAATTGGTAGGTTCTCGCTAGCGGATTACAAGGGTGTTTGCCAGCGCTTGCTCTGTTGGCAGGTGTTTGCAGCGTTGGCACTGTTGGGCCAACAGTTGGTCCCCATCCTACCTGAGCCGACTTCGTATTTTTGTTTTTCTCACTCAACGTAGTCAACAGAGTCAATACTGAGTTTTCGACTTTCTGCTCGCCTCTTGACAGATATCATCAGCTCGTCATGGACCACAAAGGTCTTTCAGAATGGTGACTTGCCCTCCTCTCCACCTTGGAATTGCACAGAGTTCTAATCGTGAGAGAATGCAGGTACTACCAAACAGGGTCACGAGTCGTAGACCTCGTTGGGGATTTTGTTGGTCGTGAAATCTTTATCATCGATGGTGACTCTCTTCTCCTCGAATGTTTTTCCAATGAGAAGCTCGACTTTTACCCGGGATTCCAGGTTTTGCACGCTACTTATTTGGTGGAAAGATTGCTGCAAAAGCTTCAACAACGCAGATGTGTCTTTGAAATAATTTTCTTTGCCCAAAATGCCGGACTTTGTGTTCCCTGCGGTGTTGATGGTGCTCTCCATAGCAGATATCTTCTTGCCAGAGAAGCCATCATACAACACCTCATTTCAGTTTCACACAAGGAAACACAATGCCTCAGAGTGCGCAGGCTCGAAAGTTTTCAGTCGCCCCAATTCGAAGCACATCTGGTGAACTTAGGCGCTTACTTATTCATGTGTCACGATGGGGCTTTTGCCGAAAAAGAAGAGCACAACATTTCGAGTGATTCAGATTCAGATTCGGAGAACGATATCGACCATGAGGACCTTGAGGGCAACAAGCCTGAAGTCTCTATACAGAGAACAACATCCAGAGATGGACTCAGGCGAATGATTCACTGGTTCATTACTCATGGATGCAACGTTTCTCTCATCAATAGCCTGGAGTTTCGTGATACCAAGGTCTATAAAACCCTCAGTCCTGAGCTTTTAAACAAGTATTGACACATTACAGGTGATGTCCATGGTCATTGAGGGGGTTTTCAGACACAAACGTGGGGCTCCTCTACAACAGAAGACCCTACTGATAAACACGCGTACTCCAGAAACTACGGGCCAACTCATGGACGGCCTAGAGTTGAATGATGAGAACAACAGCACTCTTTCGGGAGATTTCAGCTTAGGAGAATTAAATAACATTCTTGAGCAGGTCATTAACGAGCAGCCGTCACTTAGTCAGCGTCAATGCCTTCTCATTGTCACCCTTGTGACCATGTTTAAGGAGTTCGGCTTTAGTGCCGAACCCAAAGCAGAAGCGACAGCCATGATCCTACACCTTATACTTCTGCAAGACACTCAGCTTGAAGACCGAGCGGTACAGGGCCTCGATTTCCAGAGCTCTTCTTTCTTCAATACTTTTTTGCAAGTAGCCAAAGGTGTGATTAGTTCACCGCATTGGGAGGAGTCCACGAAGACCCATCAGCTTCCTTGTGACCTAGCAGATTTGATTGATGGAAGAGTTTTCATCGAGGTGAACAGAATGATAAAGAGACATGGGATTGATTATATCATTTCACCAGCAACTCTATTACCATACAATGACCTTGTATCTTTGTTGAACCGGCTTTGTGGTGCGGGCCTTGACCTGGCAGTGATCAAGGAAAGTAAGAAGAGTACTTCGAAGGCTATCATGGGAAAAAGTGCCAAGGGGAAGCAACAGAGGTTCCAGACAGATACGAAGATTCCCGCGAACGTTTCTTCAGAGGTTCACACGACAGTTCTCCCATTTAGGAACGAAATCTTTGATGATCACCTCGCCCCCGTTCACATCGAGGTGGACGACTCTATGAGTGCAGAAGTCGATGTAAAGCATTTCATAGAACAGACTCATTGGCATAACTCAAAGCCCCTTGATTCGAAAAAGGTACCTCATTTGACGGCCAAGGACCAATCTCGGTACCAAAAACGAAACCAGTTTTATATGACGGAGATGAGACAGTATGCAGAAAGCTTGTTGGGGTCCGCGGGAATGTCTCAACCAGAGATTGTGATTGCTGGAACCCCTACAATTACAAAGGGAAAGGCACAGCCTTTGCCTCCAGTAAGAGTTCATCCAGGGAATGGAAAGGGAAAGCCTTCAGTCAGGGAGATGGCTGCGGTGACCATTCAACAGAAGGCAGCTGATGGAGAACGAAAGCAACGGCTAAAGTGGAAATCTAAGCTCGAATCAATGACTCTAGGCCCCAATGATCCAATGAGCCGATTCTATATCATCGAGAAATACTTGTCCGGCCTGTCAAAAGAAAGTCGCGTCCTACTTGAGGCTGAAGTCCTAACTTATCTCCTGGATGCATCGTTCCAAGTCATTACTGGAGACGAGAATGGCAAAGATGGAACCATTACTTTGACACACATATGGGGTCTAATCAGTCGTCTCATGAAACTCAGACACGGAATCAGTGTTGTCATATCTGAATTTGTCCGACAAGTCTGCCAGTGTCTCAAATTACCAGGTGTTTCTCTGCCAGTCCAAACCAGCCAGCCGCTATCTTTCAAGCCTTCGGCAATAACCCAGAATTCCAACACTACAATTCAAATGTCTGGAGTAGACTTTCAGCTCATGCATGGAGGCCCATTCATGGAACGTGGTATAGGTTCCTTGCCAGATCCCCGAACACCCGATTTTGAGCCTGATCTATGGCAAAGAGAGGTATTGGACCAGATTGACGCAAAGAAGAGCGCTTTCATTGTAGCCCCAACCAGTGCAGGAAAAACGTTCATCTCATTCTACGCGATGAAGCAGATTCTCAAAGAAGATAATGATGGCATTCTTGTCTATGTGGCCCCCACAAAGGCACTGGTAAATCAAATCGCAGCTGAGGTACAGGCTCGATTCTGGAAGTCCTACCCTGCAAAAACCACTGGAAAATCGATATGGGCTATTCACACTAGGGACCATCGAATCAATAATCCGAATGGTTGCCAAATACTCATCACAGTGCCCCACATTCTTCAAATCATGCTGCTTTCTCCAACAAATGCCAAAGCATGGACCCCCCGATTGAAGAGAATCATTTTCGACGAGATCCATTGTATTGGTCAGGCCCAGGATGGTGTCATCTGGGAACAATTGCTTCTTTTGGCTCCATGTCCTATCATCGCACTGTCGGCTACCGTTGGTAATCCTGACGAGTTCTACAGTTGGCTCAAGTATGCCCAAGGCGTGAATGGGCACGATTTAAAGATGATCTCGCACAAGCATAGATATTCCGATTTGAGGAACTATCAGTATTGTTCTGCAGGGAGATTTTCATTTAAGGGACTTCCCAATCCTGGTGGCTTATACCAGTTGGGACTTGACCAGGCCGATGACATGAAGTTCTTGCATCCTGTCTTGAGCTTGGTTGACCGCTCAAGAGGGATTCCGAATGACTTTAGTCTTGAGCCACGGGACTGTTTGACCTTATGGAAAGCATTGCATGATCTGCAGAATGAAGCTTTTCCGGTCGATGCCTCTCTCAGTCCTTCTTCCTTTTTCTCCGATGCCATAATCGGGAAGAAAGACGTCATTGAATGGCAAAAGCCCTTGATTGAGCTTGTCAGTGATTGGATGAAAGACAGAAGTTCCCCATTTGATGCCCTTCTACTTGAACTAGGTAAAAACAATAACTGTCCCACGGCTTCTGCTGATACAGCAGGGTCTCCATCGAGTTCTCCTCGGCTGGCTGTGTCACAGGACGATGAGCTCTTATCTACGACCCTCCCATTGATCTGCTCTCTTCATGCTCAACGAGCACTCCCGGCACTATTTTTCAATTACGACCGGGGTAGGTGTGAAGACATATGTAAGCACTTACTGACCCAATTGCGAGAAGCGGAATCTGCATGGAAATCAGAGAACCCAGCATGGAAGAGTAAGCTTGAAAAGTGGAGCGAATGGAAAAGAATACAGGAGGAGGCTACGAAGAAGACCACAAAGCCCACCAAAAAGAAAAGATCCGATGATCAGGCAACTTCTCGTGCTGATGAAGTTAGAGATGCGGCATCTGCCGAAGGCAGTCTGTGGGAGCTCTTCGACCCAGAAAGACCTGTGGAAAGATTTAGCTTAGCTGATCCAAAGAAGCTGGCACCGTCAGAGTTTTTAAATTACACCGAGGAACTTAGATGGCGCAAAATCCCGTCGTGGCTGATAGATGCCCTGGAGCGTGGCATCGGTGTGCATCATGCCGGCATGAATCGAAAATACCGTCAAGTCTGTGAAATCCTATTTCGCAGAGGTTTTCTGCGTGTCGTTATCGCAACGGGCACATTGGCCCTGGGTATTAATATGCCATGCAAGACCGTCGTCTTCTCAGGTGATTCTTTGTTCCTCACCTCGCTCAACTTTCGACAGGCTAGCGGACGTGCAGGACGTCGTGGGTTTGATTTGCTGGGAAATGTTGTTTTTCAGAACGTTCCTACCGCCAAGATTCACCGACTGGTTAGTTCAAGGCTTCCAGATCTAAATGGACATTTTCCCATCACGGCTAGTCTGGTTCTGCGACTTTTTATCTTACTACATGGCTCCAATCATGCACCGTCCGCGGTGAAGTCTATTAAGTCGCTCCTGTCAAGCCCTCGAATCTGTCTTGGGGGTCCAGAGATGAAGCATACTGTGCTACATTACCTTCGGTTCTCGATTGAATATTTGCGTCGAAATCAGCTTATTGACAGCAATGGAGCTCCATTGAATTTCGCGGGATTTGTTTCCCATTTGTACTACACAGAGAGCTCCAGCTTTGCCTTCCACGCTCTGCTGGACTCTGGATACTTTCATAGTGTCTGTAAACGCATCTCTGAGAAATCTAAGAGATCGCTCCAGACACTCATGCTCGTCATGTGTCATATTTTCAAACGACTCCCCTTACGTCAATCCACGATAGAGTCCTACCGCACCGCATATAAAAGGGGATCCTCCGTTGTGGTACTCCCTGATCTGCCGAAGACAGCAGCCAAGGCACTGATCAATCACAATCGCCAGGTACGGGATATTTACACGGGTTATGTATCGACCTTCATCAACCAACATGTTGACGCGCGTGATTACCACCTTCCATTGAGTGGTGCCGAGTGCGGGGGACAGAAAGCGGCCATGGAGCTTGGTGTCATTGATACTCAGCTCTCTGCCTCAAAAATCACATCTCCATTCTATGCCCTCTCCGGGCATGGTGACCAGTGGGATACTGTTGCCGATCTGTGCGAAACAGTTCGCGACGGTGTGTGGCTCGAGGAGTCTGTCGTTCCCTATGTACCTATCGCATCTGAACGCTCTCCACTGAATGCATATCTCTACGACTTTTTTAAGCATGGAAATGTTCACGAGTTGGAGAGGGCCAATGGGGTCCGTCGAAGTGATATCTGGTATGAACTGAATGATTTCTCCATGATCCTTGCAACCATCACCGCCAGCCTAGAGAAAATGGTGAACCCACATGGAAACTCAGATATTGATATGCTCAACGTCGCCGGTGGTGGTGATGCTCATGAGATCCAAATTGATGATGACAACATCGTTGATGACGATAGTCAGACTCAAAATGAGACTTCAACAACTCCAGCAGGTAAACTTCACCAAAAGCCGGCGACGGCACCTGCCGCGGTCCCGAAGAAACCTCTTACATCAACAAGTGAAGTTTTAGACAGCTGGGAAGATGAGATGGTGGAAAATAATCCGGTGGAGCAGGACAACGAGCCCAAATCACGGCAGCAACAGAAGGAGGCGCGAAAGAAGGAGAATGAGGAGAGAACAGATAAGGCAGAACAAAAGAAGCACGACCAAAAATCCTTACTCTTGGTTTACAACGGATTCAACCTTCTCAAGAATGAGTTTGATACAAAGTTCAAAGAGATGTGGGCTTGAGAATGTAATGGCTTGATGCTGGTATGAATTGCGAGAAATGAAACAGAAGAACGGGGATAGATTTGCAGACAGGATCCTTGGGTGAGAAACAATACCTGAGACTGCAGTCCTATTGAGCTCGTTGCCCCTACTATTCCTTTACTGTATGTATGACGTCTGTCTAAGTTGCAAATGGCTTCATTATAATCGTAAACGCAACCTTTCACCTCTCCGTACTACTGAGTGAAAGGCTGATATTGACTGTACGTGCCCGGCAGGGCATGACTTCATTACATCAACATTACAGAGATACCATATTCATATCCCATTTCCATATCCGAAACTCACACATTACACCCATTAGCCAAATCCGATTTAGAGAATCCCTTACAGGACCATCATGGCAGCCAGACCGAGAACACCGAAAGCACCGGTGCCGACAGTGGCCATGGGGTGAGCAGCACCAGAGCTGGTAGACGGAGCAGATCCAGAACCAGTGGAGGAGGTCTCGGATCCGGAGCCAGAGTCAGAGCCGGTGGAGGTCTCGGTGCCAGTGACGGCGCTGGTCTCGGTGGTGAGGGTGCCAGAGACAGTGGTGGTGATCATGGTGGTACCGGTGGTCATGGAGTCAGTGATAGCCTTGGTCTCAGTGGTCAAGGTACCGGAGACCGAGGTGGTGATAGTGGTGGACTCGGCAGCGCTGCCGGTCTTGGTGCCAGTGCTGATGGCCTTGGTTTCGGTGGTCAGGGTACCATCAACGCTGGTGGTGATAGTGGTGTAGTCAGTGGTCTTGCTGATGGCCTTGGTCTCGGTGGTCAGAGTACCATCGACGCTGGTGGTCATGGTGGTGTAAGAAGTGGTGTCGCTGCCAGTGGAGGTGCCAGTCATGCTATCGGTCATGCTACCGGTTGAGCTGCTGCCAGAGGCAGAGCTGGTGGAGCTGGAACCAGAGCCAGTGCTGGAGCTAGTGGAGGAGCCTGCGTATCAATTGTTAATTATGTTTTCAATGTATTTTCCACCAGATGTACATACTAGGGCAGCTCTCCAGAGCCATGGAGAGGACAGTCGAGGCATTGTCGTCGGGGCAGGCCTCCTGGGTGCAGTCGCGGATACCGTTGGAGTAGTTCTCAGACTTGCAGAGGCAGTCCATGTCACCAGAAGTACATCCAAGCTCGGAGGCCTTGGCGTTCATGTTGGAGATGCACATTTGCTATCAGAGACATCAATTGTCAGTATAGGTCTCATAAAACCATGATGACATAGCTAGGCACCTACAGCGCAATCCGAGGCAGAAACACTGGCGGCGGAGGCCATACCAGTGGCGGCCAGCATGGCCATGGCAATAGAGAATGACTTCATTATGTCGGAGTGATGTGAAGATAGGGTATCTCAAGGAGCTTGGCAGGAGTCAAGGGTAGGAAATGGTTGGGAGTGAGAGACAAAAATCAATGCCTCCTGCGGTGTGATGGGTCCCTTTATAAGAAAGGGGAGCGGAATAATCCAGCTAAGAAGCTAAGCTGCATGTATCCACTGGAACTGCACTGGATGGGGAAATGACCAAGAGAATAAAGTGATATAGGCAACAAAAACAACAACATTCGGTCGAAAAGCCGTAATCCAGGCCGATCGGCCGTGTAATTTGCCTGGTCTGGCTCCACTTCCTCTATTTTGCTTTTTGGCTTTGCTGTCCTGCATAGGTGCTACCCAGCCAACGTGGCTGAAGCAAGAGGTTGGATGCGCCCACGGACCCTGTGGGGAGAAGAAATGAAATCATTAATATATGATCCAGATCCCGATTGGGGCGTGATCGGCAGCGGAGGTAGCTCGCTCTTCAATAGGCCCCACAGCAATCTCGCTCCCATAGGTGCGTCTGAACAAGCCAAAACCCCTGTGGAACCCTTTGGGCCCGGGATTTGACTTTCAGGGATTTTCCTGGACTTGGGCAAAGCTTTGCGAGCTATGATGTATCGTATAGGCGGCAGGATTCGATTCGACTACGAACCTCCTCAGCCTTTCAGCGCTGCATGGTGGACGCACCATCATCATTGGTCAACAGTCTGATTCTAATTACCATAAATGCGACCACTGGACAAAGGGAATGATCTCAAGTGGCGCTGGGCGTGATCGACAGTCCCAGATCGTCGGGCAAAGTAAAATTTTGGAACGAAGCCTAATAGTCGTTAGATAGATCAGGTCGGATGGTCCCCGATCGCACTATTGAATTTTCGACGTCACCGCTAGTGTGGCTGTGCGGACCCATGCTTTGCCACACTGTTGACTTTGCCGTATTGCACGCATGTTCTGAAGGCTTGTTCTGGGTTGTAAGAAACAGGGAACTCATTGGTTCAATCTGATATTGTTTTGTCTCAATTTTGTTCAACACTCTCCAGATACCGAGGTTCGTCAGATTATGATCATCTTCATAATCTGGCCCTCACATCGGAACACAAGCCTGTACTTGCTTTTGTCCCTGGTGTTATCCCTGTCCACAAGGAGGTAATTTCGAAATTAAAAGCTGACTGGACGTGCATGACCGTGTCCTCGCACGTTGATGCACTCTGAAAGACGTGCAGGCGTGTCTTCCCAACTGGCCAGAGTCCAGACGATTGGCTTTGACTGTACCAGCTGCAATGGCACAAAGCCACGCGTCCACAACGAGAGGTTCCCTGCAAGTATGTCACTCGACAGGAAGCAACAAGCAGAAACAAGCAAGAAGCTGCTAGCTCTGTACGCAAGAGGCTAGGTCTCTTCTGTTCGTCTGTCGGTAAAGCATAGCTCCCGCGGTTAATGCAAGGGGCTCAACTCACCGGTTCCTCTCAACTCGCACCAGCCGCTCCGCGCTTGATCAAATTCATAATATTATACTGGAAATAAATGCATTTGTCTAGTATTCAGCTGTGGTAATAGCCAAAGCTAATATGGCCCTAACTCTAAAGTAGGCTCAAAAATGTGATTGCTCCAAATTGTAACGCTATCGAAACTGCACCCGAAATTAAATGAGGAAATTGACAAAAGGAAAACCCGAATCCTTGAATGCTCGCTCGCGTCACCATATCTCTTGTATATATCAGATCCAAATCCATCTCATCCATAACGGATGTCCTAAAATGAATTTGCAGAGGGTGAATGCTTAAATATCTCCATAGGTTGAAGAGTTTAGTTTATACAAATCAACCCAAAGAAAAATTTGTGTGTGCATGTCTTGGGGTTGGGGGAAGTTGGGGTGGTGGGTATGGAGGTGGGTGGAGGAGTGATGGCATGAGCGTGGGTCGACTTGTCCCAGCATCCCCATATCAGACCTGGTTTGGCACATGATGAAGAGGCCGGTAGTTGATGCGTGTTCGTAGGTACTGAGGTGGGTGGAGGGGAGATGGCATGAGTACGAGTCGGCTCGTCCCAGCATCCCCATATCAGACCTGGAGTTGCGCACGTTGTAGATGCCGGTAGTTGATGCGTGGTCGTAGGATCATTGCATCCGAGCCACCCGGGATGATGACAGGTGGTTGAGGTTGCAGTCGGGATTGTCGTGACCATCGTAGGCCCTGGGGTCGCGGCAGCCGTAGTTGTTGTGGGGTCGTTACAGCCAAACCACCCGGGAGTCTTGCAAGTCGATGTGGTTGAGTATGCCGATGTCGTAGACATGGTTGTAGTGGTGGTAGGGTCGTTACACCCGAACCAGCCTGGTGTTTTACAAGTGGACGTGGAGGTAGAGGTAGTTGAGGTAGTCGTGATGGTGGTTGAATCATCCAGGCAGCCCCACCAGCCTGGCGTTTTACAAGTTTCAGTACGCGTAAAAGTAGGTGATGTGGTGGTTGCCGTGGTGGTCGTAGTGATCTCAGAGCCATTGCTGCGAAAGAACTTCCAGAGCACGCAATCATAGCACTCTTCCTCGGGCGCACACGGTGGAACATCGTCATATACTTCCAGAACATCCGAGATGACATTCCTGATCTTGTGGGTGCCAATCCCCACGCGCCAGCCCTTATCGGCCACCGTATCGTAAACACACATCTGACCCGTGTGACACGCAGATTCCATGGCATATCCACCCCATGTGCAGATTGAGTTGATGCCGTTGCAGGTGCCCATATACACCGGATCTGCCGTGTGTCCAAAATGAAAAGCTCCTGTGTGCTGCCGAGTCTGCGGAAGTCGTGAGTCATGACCTGGGGGGCTCGGAAGCCCCAAGCGAGCCGCTGGCAGCGCTTCAGGTACGGCCTCAAAGGTGACAGCCGGTAGTCCGAATGTGAGACCAAGCAAGCTAGTCATAGCACCACCCAGTGAATGTCCCGTCAACCACACATTTGCTCCCGGGTAAAGTGCGCTCGCATTGGTATAAAGATCAATGGAAGCTTTATAATATCGATTCTCATCGTTCATAGCCTCAACAATGCAAGTTACATTGGCCGTGTAAGTCGCATTTTGACAATCGCAGGCCTGCCTCCACAAGTACGATCCTCCTTGCCCGCAGCAGCAACTGAAGAAGATATTATCGTTTTCTTTGTCGTTCGTGGTGGTGCCGGCACCATCAAAAAGGGCTGGAGATGTGCCCTTCAAGGAGATCACGACCGTGCTATTCGTTTTATCGGCGTAAATATGTCCTCTGAGGCCATCTTTCTGCCATCCGAAACTTTGTGAGTAGTTAAATTGACCATGGATCATCTCCCATTCACCGGTACCAGGTACTTCAATATAATCATTTGCCGTCATCTTAGCAAAGGTGAGAACGGTCCGCTTGTCTGTAACGTTTGGACCTGGGATAGTATCCATCACCCATTCCGAGGGCGACATGGCCTCTACAGCACCCGACAATCGAGCGGCGGCCATGTGTTCTTCAATAACTGATCTGCGACGATCCGCCAGGCGATGTATAGTGAGCGGGTTGGAGCTAGCGACCAAGGGGGTGGGTGCCGTGATGGTTTCCTCTTCGATGCCATCTTCGGAGAGAGTCAACAAGCGGGTATCGGGGTGAATGTCTAATCGCGCATGGAGGTCAGGGTGTTCGAAGGAACCTCGATGGAAAATGTGGCGAAGAGACTAGGAAGCTATTAGAGCGTCTCCATATTATATCTTTCCAAATTACTTACAAACTCATGGGTTTCTGACGGGGGTTCAGCTTCCCCCAGCGGTATCTCTGGCGGTAGGATGGGAGCTTGCTGAAAGGGAAGGTGATAGTTAGCAGACACCGCCTCAGGAAGAAGCACTGCTGATAATAGGAGACCAGCCAGGGTCGAGCCCTTCCGGCCCCGAGATTTTGGTTTTGAACGCATGATGATATTATTGTAGGTTGAGAAGTGACTGGGGCTATGACGATGGGTGAAGGGCTATCAGCTTATCGCGGGGGTCCTTGCACGTGAGGCGTCACGTTATGACGCCCCTTGTCCCAAAGAGGACTAGTTCAGTGGATACAAGGTCTTCCATCTGCTCCATCGGAGTCCAGCCTCGGTCCTTGTAAATTGGTTCTTAGATTGTGGATCCTACTGGCTTGAATGCTAGCTAAATGGATAACCCGGTTCTTCTTCCATGTCCCTCCACTCTTTGTGCAACAATTACTCCGACTCGTGCGTGTGACCCGGAGCAGCACCTTCAATAACTATCTCCTGCTAATTTATCAGTCCATTTGCCTCGATATGAAATAATCACTTTCCACTTACTGGACCAACAAAAGTCTTTCTCTTCCCGCCAAACCAGAGAGCGAAAATAGCAGCTGAGATACCCACAAGTACCACACTCACATAATTCATGCTCTCGACCGTGGTTGGGTTTGTGGTTGGGAAGCAAAACATCACCGATATAAATGCTACCCATAGGGTGCTGAACCAATTACAGAACGTGCCAACATAACGTCCAAGACGGAATGGGCGCTCCGGAAGCACGCTATCACGTCCTCGCCAGACTGCGATCGCTTGGGGTGCAACGTAGGTGATGTTCAGTGACATGATCGACATTGAGATGAAGCTGTTGAACGCTGTGGTTGATCCGATATAGATCAGTCCATAAAGACTGACAAAGCCAAAGCATGCCAGAGTTGCATTGATGGGGACTTGGTTCCTCGAATCAACTCGACTGAAGAAAGAAGAAAAGGGAAGGCCACCATCACGGCTAAAGGCGTATGTGAGCCGCCCAGTGGTGACTACGCAGGAGACCAATGCCCCTGAATAGATGAAGAGAATCCACACGGTGAGAACAGTAGCTGCAGTCTCGCTGTTGGTCGCTTGGTTGTATACGGTATGGATCGGGATTGCTGAGCTGATAATTGCATCAATGTCGGTGAGAGTGAACAAAAAGGCGATCGTCCAGGGAATGACCGTAAACATGCCAATCAACATGGTCATCCCCATGGCCTTTGGGACATTCTTGGCTGGGCAAGGGACCTCTTCGGCAATGTGTGTTGCACCGTCGATGGCAAGGTAGGCATACATGCACGTTCCCAGTCCGACAATGAAAGACGTCCCATCATCCCAGCCAGATTCGTTCTTGTATTCGGTGAACACGGCTTTCGCAGATTGTGGGTGACGTTGGGTGGCCAAGACCGTAACAAAACTTGCCACGAAGCCGGCAACACTGCACCAGAGCAGGACGATTTCACCCCTGGGAATTACATTCGGACTGAAACAGACAATACACGTGGCAAGGATCATGATCAGCAGGTATATAAGGTATGTCTGCCAGGCTTCGGCCGTATACGAAGGATTGTAGATGCTAGCAAGACTGCCAGCCATTTGAGCTAGAAGGTAACAAGGGCGTTAGTGAGAGAGATTTTTCGTTGGTGTTTGATGTCTTACCGCACACGATGGCGGTCGAGGCGCTGGTCAAGCACCATGCGGCAATGCTCAGCCAGCCGATCACAAAGGCAACAAGCGAGCGATACTTGGGTGATGCCACCATGTACGCAAAATGATACTGACCACCACTGGATGGGAAAGCAGAGGCCAGCTCCGCCAATCCGGCAGCTGCATTTCAAAAGTCAACCTCTGGCTCAAAAATTATTGATTCAAATGACTCACTAATAATGCAGCATGCAATCGATGCGACGATGAGACCGAAGAACACCATTGGACTACCTCCCATGTCCAACGGTGTGATAAAAGTAGCAGAGTATCCCAGCCATGAGTTTGTCATACTAAACCCCAGAGCCAGAGTTGAAAGTATAGAGAACCGCTGAACCAGCTCGTGGTTCGAAGCTGGCTTCACGCTTTCCTGGTCGTCTGCGACAGTCTTCATAGTACTCGAACCCATTGTGAAGTATGAAAAGATATGATAGCCTCAAATTCTGGTGGTTCTCCTTTTCTTTAATATCAAGATTCAGCCATTCTTATGACGGATGATCGTTCCTCTGTTATCTCCTCCCCTTGCCACCCGGGGCTTCCAACCCATCATGTACTCTTGATAATCGGCTATAGTATTTTGAGTAAACCTTTATCCAATCACAGGCGTGGAAATAGCCAAATCAACGATTACGAGACGGGAATTGGGCTGATAAGGTGTTGGGGCTCAGTGGTAGCTTTACGTCCAACTCAGATATATACCCAAATGGGAATGGTTCGGTTTCCCCGGGTTCTCATTCACCTGCTCAACCCAGCATGTCTATCCGAGGCACTTATACCTGCGGGCTTATATAGACCTTATAAAAGGTTCGTTCTTATCAGGATATTGTCATCAGACTCTCGTTTTGGTCATATGCTCGTTATTTAATCCATCCCCATGGTCCAAAGGTACTTTCTACAAGACATGTGGGTTTAAACTTTCTTACTCCCGACGCTTAGTCAAATCCCAACGTTCACTCAGATATGCCCAAAAGGATAAAGTTCCAATCAGAGTCAATCCACGGCATCCGAATACAAAAATAACAAACAACAATGACATGGATCAGATGTGAGTCTCATCTCGTGGTATCACCTCTCTTTCGTGATATATATCGCCTGTCTACGGCACCCGTGGACACTGGCATAGTTTACACCACCCTCCATTACGAAATGAATCATGATACCGAGCAGAACTCTTCAAGATTATTGTCAATTGACAAACACAAATTTTAATCTTTCTACAATCTCGGAATCAGTAACTACATTCTTAGACAGTTCCAAAGTTCTAATGTTGATGGTTCCAATGCCAGCCGCCTAAAGCCGAGACAAAGCGAATTCCCTCAAATATCGAGGGGCTTCTAAAAAGGCAGGCAGCCGCTAGAAATAATCAAAATAATACAAATCATGTCTTCAAGACTACCAAATGACCCCGGAACATGGGGCAGAAACACCGATTACAAGGGAATACAGTCATCTGAAAGGGCAAAGTTCTTGCACCCTTCTCCAGGGCTATGGCAGGGCGGGGACGAAAATTACGTGACAGGTGTGAAATACAATAACGCCGATACGATAGAGCTCCTGCGGTGCATTTCTGCCGATAGCAGACAATTCCGAACGGCGTCACCTTTTTTTTATGGAGATGCTCCCATCTACGCCGCATAACCCAGCACGTTTGTTCGGACAGATGGAAAACTAATACGATATAATAGTTGACTGTCCGAATGCTGGAATCTGTCGACTTAATACAACCTCCTTTCTTTTATTTCTTGTGGCGCGTGCCGAGCTGCCTCGGCTTCTGGTGAGGTCATTGTCGCGACACAGCTCTTCGCCATCGACTGCATGCCACTTGGGATTCTTGAGTTTTAGACACACGAATAAATGCTCTGCATTTTTCTTTGAGCTTGAATTAGCTGCCTTCATTTCATCCTACCTCACACTTCCGCCAGCTCCGGCAACCATCCTCGCTGTCATGGCCGCCCCTCGATTGACCATGCAGCCGTTCTCACGGTCTGTCTGTACAGCAGTGTCTGTCGCCAGGACGGGCGCATTTCGCTTTGCTCATCGCCGACCCCAGACGAATACCTTCGCTCTCCGCTCGACGTCCCTCCTGTCTCCGTCTTCGTCGCTTTGCTCTCCTCAAATTCGATACAGCTCCTACTCTTCTCCAGACGCAGCTCCCAATACACGAAAGAAGGTCACCCTGCAAACAATAAAAAACCTTTATAAGAAGGGCGAGCCAATTGCCATGCTTACGGCCCATGACTTCCCAACCGCCCACGTTGCTGATGCGGCTGGTATTGATGTCGTGTTAGTCGGTGATAGCTTGGGAATGGTGTCGATGGGATTGGAGAACACAACCGAGGTCGTGATGGAGGAAATGATCATGCATTGTCGGAGTGTTGTCCGCGGCGCAAAGAGTGCATTCATTGTAAGTGAGCGCCGATCTTGCTTGGCACGAACTAGAGCTGACCTCTGCAGGTTGGTGATTTACCTATGGGCTCGTACGAGGTGAGTCCGGAACAGGCCGTCGAATCCTCCCTTCGCCTGGTAAAGGAGGGTCGTGTACATGGTGTGAAAATTGAAGGAGGCGAAGAGTTGGGTCCGACTATCAAGCGGATCACTCAAGCTGGTATCCCTGTCGTTGGCCATGTAGGCCTTACACCACAACGGCAAAATGCGCTCGGCGGCTTCCGGGTTCAAGGAAAGACATGTACCAGTGCGATGAAGCTGTTGCGCGATGCGTTAGTCATGCAAGAGGCCGGAGTGTGCATGTTTGTGCTTGAAGCAATGCCCGCGGAGGTGGCTACCCTTATTACGAGCAAGCTCAAGGTCCCGACGATCGGCATTGGTGCCGGTAACGGATGCTCAGGCCAGGTCCTTGTTCAAGTGGATATGAGCGGAAATTTCCAGCCCGGTCGGTTCGTGCCCAAGTTCGTTAAGAAATACGCCGATGTATGGGGCGAAGCCACCCGGGGAATCGTACAATATCGCGACGAAGTCAAGAGCCGCGCTTTCCCTTCGCAGGAATACACATATCCCATCTCACCGGAAGAGCTGGCGAAGTTCGAGAAGGAGGTGGATGCAAAATATCAAAAATAACGATTGTATAATGTCATGGTCATCATTTGTACATAAGCTCATTCATCAGTTCGTGCTGGGCGCTATGCTCAGCCGAATGCCGGCGTCATTGAATATGCGACAATCAATTGATCGTCTGATTTGAAACACTGAATACTTGTCAGATGTGACCGCGCGTTTCCGTAAAAATTGATGTAGATCTTACCCTCCAGAGCCCACCAACCCCCTCATCGAGGCCGGGCGCGAAGACGCTATTGACATAGCAGAAGACCGAGTCTGTGTCTTTGCAGTCTAGCTTCTTCCGAAGGAACTTGACGACCGTTTCGAACTTCTGCGATGCGCTGACCTTGAAAACCCTGGTTTTGAGCATCGGCGCCGAGGGTAACGGTTGAAATCGAACAGTGACTGAATTCGTGTCAATTATCAAGAACAGGCAGCGGGGTGTAAGAATTTCCTGGTGAATATGGCGTGGCGCACGGAGTTGGCGATGTGGGGGGCTGAACTTGAAAGATTGGGCGCATACCTTTGTGATTGTCGATATGTTCCACATCGGCGAGTGCCTGGTGGGCATCGCGAGGTAGACCAGTCAGCATGACTGAAGCGGTCATATTCATGGGTAAATCAGCCCCATGTTGATCGTCGGGGATCGGAGCATCCATGCTTGGCGATGAATCTTGAGGTTGACCGGAACTGGTGCGATAGCTTAGGCTACTGGAGGGGGAGTTACGCGGAGAGCGCTCTAGTGGAGACGAGGGATCCATGAGTTCCTTTTCAGGGGCTTATCAAATATGAAATGGCTGGCGATTTCGGTGGAGAAAGTAGTGGGGAAAGATTGTATTGCGAATCGCGACTCTATCCGCTCCCGATGACTGTAGCCCGAACTTAAATTTAGATCAACATTTCATGACACAACGGATATCGGTAGAATGGGGTACGAAAATGCCTACTCTTGACATCGATGTGCGCGTCTTGTCTACCAGATTAGTCATCAGCAATAGCGCATCTGTGAGGACATGAACATGAACATGAACATGAACATGCACTTCAGCTGGGGACTGCCTCGCTCATTCCGCCCACTCACGACAATGAGTCCGCGAGTTAACTATATATTCACATGTCATCAGCTGCCACTGCAGAGGCTCCGTAATCTCGATGCCCTGGTGCCATATCTGACTCATCCTATTCGTCAGTGGAAGAATTATAGGTGATCTAGAGCTGGCGGGAAGGTCACGTAAATCCATGGCCAAGCTCAAAAGCCTATGTTTGCCACCCGGACGCACCTACAATATTCGCATCAGAAAGACCATGACTTTAGATGCATAATATAGCACGGGGTTACTTTGGTATTTGCTCGATCTTGAAACAAACCATGTGAATCGGTCGGTTTGCTAACATGAACTGTGAAGCGATCAGTCGGTTACCTCATTAGCCGAAGTCTGACGTTTGAGAACCATGGATTGCAGAGGGAGTGCTTCCAATGGCGACACTCGAAATGTTTAGATCATCATATCCACCTTGTCACGAATACGGTATATGGCTAATGATACCATCATGGACTTGACAGTAAGTGATCGGTAATAATGTCTCGGGTTGTTATCGATGTATGTGGTCTTAATGAGTAAAGCTCAGCGACAAACGAGATCTCGGAAGGCTGTGGTAGCATAACCTTCTAATCATGGAAACGTCGCGGCGCTCGATCAGAAGTCGGATAAGAACAAGGTAGGTCGGCATCCGAATTCTGTATTTCGACTTTTCTAAGTCTGGCAGTCACTGGTGGGAAGCCACGACAGGATTTCCTGTCCTTGCGGTATGCCGATTATGCCTTATCAACCTACCTTATAGGCTACTGAATGATAGAAGGGCTCCCTCAGTGTGATGGCTTTCATGTTCAACATCTGCGCTCTTGTGAAGGGATGGCTTCAGAGTGAGTCAGCGGATGGCTCAATATCAGAGCTACCTACACCTAGCTGGTAAGAGTTTTCCACTTCCTCTATGTACTCACCTATCTTGCAGTTTCAAAAATACTAATACGTATTCAGGACTACTGGACTCAAAGCAGCTTCATTAGCTTTATCTACCGTCGCGTACATAGCGTACCTACTCACAATGATCACCCACATTGATCCGATCAAGGGATTTATGGTAACGGTGACCGGTTGGCTCGCCTCGGCGATTATTCTATTTAGCTTAATCGGCATCGAGGCTCGACAGCACCAAAAAGCCCAAGCCCAGCAAGCTCTCATATATACCCAGAACTTTTTCGCAGGAGTCATATCTGCCGGTCTCTACGTTCTGACAGCATTGCTACTTTCCATTTACGTGGTGAGCTTGAAGACATTCCCCTTCAGTTATGCAGACAGACGAAAGATCGAATGCACCAGTATTGTGCTTCGAGTCACTAGTTTTGCCATCTTGCTTCTCGGAGGAGCTGCAGTATACAGCGACATTGAAGGCTGGCCATTGATGGATTCTCTCTATTTCACCGACTATACGCTTTTGACAATTGGTATTGGGAATTTCGCCCCTATGACCCATTTAGGGCGCAGCTTGCTGTTTCCCTTTGCCACTATGGGGATCACTAGCTTGGGTCTAGTTATCACCAGTGTGGCATCTTTCACTGACAAGATGAGGGAAATTAAACTCAAGCGTAATATCAGAGAGGCTCGAAGAGACTTTCGTAATACAGACTCGAAAGAAACAACCGATGCATTATCAACAGTTGAAGGCGATCAATCTCGATCCCCTTCAGTCAAACGCCATATACCGAAATGCGAAGAGATCATCAAAATACGCAACGCCAGGTTTGAATTCTATCGAAGGACGAGATGGGCGGAGTTAGGATTATTCTTAGCTGCATGGTTTGTCCTGTGGCTTGCCAGTGCGGGCGTCTTCTACCACTCCGAGAAGGAAGCTAACTGGACCTACTTTGTGGCTCTATACTTCACCTATACATCACTCACCACAATCGGATATGGGGATCTATTCCCCACAAGCAATTTTGGCAAAGTCTTCTTCATCTTCTGGTCATTACTGGCCATTCCAGTCCTAACAAATCTGGTCACTGTGATTGGTAACATTTTCCACATATGGCTGGCTTCCTGCTCTGGTTGGATAAGGCGGCACGTCTTTCGCAGAGATGGCACGAGTGGACACAATCACGAGCATATGCGTCGCTCGGGCTTCGATGCGAACAAAGAACCTCTTAATCTGGCGCCACGGGATTCGGGAATTGGTATGGAGAGGCGGGACCAGCCTTATTTACAGACTAGGCAAGGCCTACCAGCTACGCATGTCAGCTTTGAAACAAAAGAGTCTTTGAAAAACGAACAATACCAGACCACGCCCAGGAGGGCTGTGACGCACTATCGGTTGTTGCTTCTGGAAGAGATCGAAGACCTCATTTCCGTGACGAGAGATGATTCAGTTGATCATCAAGAAGAGCTTTGTTGTAGATGGGCGAGATTGATTCCTATGCTTGAGTCCAAGAATGATGGCGGTAGCTTTTATAATCTACTGCTGCCCCTGTTTATGCCCCCGAAATCCGAAAGAATGACGGAGGGCATGTTTAAGGGCCATGAGAAGAAAATAGCGGAGAGGAACGTCGAGATTTTATGGATGGTGACCTTGTTAGTGGAGAAACTTTCTTTGGACTTACGCCAGGAGCTTCTTGAGAGGACCTAAATGAACTATAGCTTGTAACCTAGCTCAGTCTGAGGCGAAGTTCCATGAGAGCATGCATCCACCGATCTAAATCCTGTCATGTATTTCCTAGTTCCCTACGATCGTGTAGTTAAGAGCTTTCTGATGTGGGCCTCTTAACAAGGGTCAAGATTACCACGCTTCATATCCACTCCAATCGCGCTAGAGTGATTCAGTCAGGGAAGGACAGTCGTTATGTAACGTATATCGGGTAGAAGACTATATTCAGCGGGCTTCATGTCCATGCACCTGACCAAACGCTACTAACAGCACGTACAACCTATCGGAGCCCTCGACCCTACTGTTGTTGTCAAAGTAGGAGAGTCGGAGACTATAAGCGGGGAAAGTGCAAGATTCACGACTATTGAGGGAAAGTCTTTGGCAGTTTTGAGTTCCATGACTCCTCCAAATTCGGAGACGTAGTAATTTTCCCAGTGTTATTGTTTTTCTCTGCACAACATGTTAGGAAAAGGCATTAGCAGGATACATAGGGCAATGAAACAAAGGTCAAAGTTGATGGCGAAGAGCTTGTTATCCCCAGGGAGGAAGAGTAAGTCAATGCTTTTCGAAACTTTAGGATTTACATAATAGCAAACAAGTGTTATAATGGTGGTGCTTGATTAATCGGATGGCATGAGACGACCATGCGTGCCTGAGTCGCATCATGACCTGAGTGAATCCCCACGGATGATATGAAGCACCCTGCAACGAATAGGGCAAGGGTACCGGAAAATGGATATAGCGCTCGGTGTTGTCCTTAACCAGGAACATCCCATAGCAAATCAATTAATCCCTGAATAGAGAAAACTCTAAAACTTGGGACTTATGTGCGGTCCATAGTTGGAAAGTCGTGTATAACATTGGCTTGAGTGTCCATATACTTGTTTCCTATCTCTAACTACAGAGACTGGAAGTTGGCTTTAAGCTAGGTCAACCTAATCAAATCAGCCGCCCGTTCGGCAACCGCATATACTGTCGCCATCGGATTGGCGGGAGGAATCAAAGGTAATACACTCGCGTCAACAACCCGCACGTTTCTCGTTCCATAAACTCGGAGTTCCTCTGATACTACACCACCAGCTTCCCTGGGAAGCATAGCGGCAGTCCCACATGTGTGGTGAGCTGTTAAGGCGGTCGCCTGGCGTAAAATTTCCTTGGTCGCTGCTAGCTCCAGTGGTGGACTTGGCTGAAGGAACGACTCAAGAGCAGGGGAGGTAGTCAAGTCATGCAGCTTTTGCATATGGCGTGCCAAAATTTCAATGTCAATCTCATTTGTAAGGAACTGGGTATCAACGATCGGCTTTGCATCGGGATCAGACGATGGAATATGTATACTGCCCCGAGAGAACGGGAAGCTTGGAAGAATGGCTAGGAAGGCAACGCCCCCAGGCATGACGGCTAGGAGATTGAATGCAGATGCTTCATCGGGACTCCTGAGTATGGATTTAATCACATTTTCAGAGGTGTTGAATCCAGAGGTGCTGGGTTCCGAGGTTGCTGCGAATACCCGTTCCTGGTCATCTCGGTCGAGACGAGTGAATGCTAAGGTTTTGATACCAGGCGTGAGTCCTTCACTCTTGAGGGGAGTGGTCAAGATGCCCATAAGATGATTCTGTAAATTTTCGCCCACGCCAGGGTGATTGATGATGACGGGAATACCGAGTTTGTCAAGAAGATCTTTTTGTCCCACTCCTGATAACTCGAGCACCTTAGGTGTGTGGAAAGCACCCGCCGCAAGAATAATCTCCTTCTTTGCCTGGACATTCATAATTTTTCCATTCCACTCAACCTTCACTGCAGTGGCAACAGCATCCTCAGACCCCGAGGCAAAGATAATCTTGCGTACCGTTGCGTTAGTCACGATGCTTAAGTTTGCATGACTAGATCCCCGGTATTGACTGTCTGCGCTACTACGAAACCCGGAGACCGGGTCAATAGTGGCAGTGTAAGCCCTAGATCCGATCGACTTCTGGCCCCCGAGGGCGTCAGTTGTGTAGTCGTATCCTTGGTCCTGAAGCGCTTGGTTCCAAGCCTCAATAAGAGGCAAAGTGCCTTGCTCCTTAAGAGCAGGATAGCTCACTTGAATTGGACCTTGGCCTTCCTTAGAAGATTCGCCAGGAGGTGTGATGGTGTAAGATTTCTTGAGATAGGGCAACAAAGTTTCCCAATTCCAACTCGGGTTGCCTAGCTTTGCCCACGCATTGATCCCTGCGGGAGAGGGCGGGACCCACGCCAGTCCGTTGAGGGCCGAAGACCCACCGAGCATTCTCCCCGCGGGGTGCTCTTGTTCACGATTGTTCAGGCCGGCCTTGGCGAAAGCAAATGTCAGTTTGAGGCATGTTAAAACCCAATCGCATGATGAACGTACCTGGGGCTCAATCTTAAACTGCCAATCGAGTTCTGATCCACCCAAGGTGCGCCAAGCATTGGGATTCTGGACTCGAGGATCTGCCGTACGATCGGGGCCACTCTCCAAAACCACAACTTGCTTGTCTGGAAGTTCGGATGCTAGTCGGCTTGCAACGACCAGTCCTGCAGTCCCACCACCGATAATGAGATAATCCGCATTCTGAGGCAGTGTGTCTGCCATGATAATGTGTGGATGATAGATATAGGCAACCTTGGAAGGATTTCAACTTTCACAAGAAAAGAAACGAGATACAGTCAGATCAGAGTTCAGAGTTGTGGAAGAGGACAGGCGGCGATTTCAACCCCAAAAGATATCCCGTCCGACCCCGCTCTGTTATCATCACATTGATGATCAAGAAGATGTTGAGGTACGATCGTTATTCCATCACAAGTTGTTTGAGCTGCATTGGCCCCCACGGTGTGACTGCGGTACTTTTGGGCGAATCCCTCATGGCGCGGGCCGACGCGCAGTTGATTTGTCACAACCGCAAGCCATGACTTCTCTCAATCCTGGCAGGGCCATAGCTAGGCGTATTTGAGAATTCCCATCTTGTTAGGCCATTATAGCCCAGCCAACGCGTCTTTAAGACGACGGCAGTCATAGCATGGAGCTATAGCCCCTAAATGAACCAAAGATACCTGATCTATCATTGGGGGCGAAATATTGTGTCTCCGCTGATCGGCCTTTGCACTCCAGATTGAGCGTGTTACATAGTCTAGTCGCCGCTACATAGCCCTAATATCTAGCTTGCCTGGATTCTACCTCGCTTGCTTCAAGCCAACATGAAGAAGGAAGCTTCAAGTGAGTCGTGATATAAACTTGAATTTAATTCTAGGCAAGGTTAGGAAAGACACCGGCTCGATGGACATCATTCCTCAATCACCTTCATATTTCAGGGTAGCCTAGTGTGGGTAATTAGGTACATGAGATTATACTCGACAACATCACTACTCTGGATTATGCATGCTGTACCTTTGCTTAGTACCATTCATTTAGTTTTCAACTAACATTGCGCGGTGCTCAATCAACATTCGCCGATAGTATGTGTAATTTTAACCCCTATTGCCCCATCAGGGAAAGTGAGGCTAGGCGTTGATACAGTTAGCATGATTTAGTTGTAAGTTTCATCATGGAACAGACTGACTGGTTTCCGATGTTTCTAGTCGAGGCCGGCCATGTACGTGCAAGGTTCCACGATGACCACGAGCGCGCGCGAAACACCATTGATGAGTGTGTGGGCCACCATGCTGTCGTTTTTCTGCCTTATGATCGCCACATGGCCAGAGACGCGACAGATGCGACTGCCGGTGCTGGAGACGAGTCTCCATAGTAACTATAATCGGGTCCGTTATATACTATAGAGCCCCAGGGGGTGTCCACGGACCCTATTGCGACCTTGATTAGCCTTAGCTTCCCCTAGTCGGTGGCAATCAAAAATCCAATCTCTTGGCACGTAACGGTAGATCTATAGTCTGGTTTTTCTACTCTACTCCTCGTCTTCGTCGTTATCAGCACCGTCTAGTCGAATTTCAGTAGGTCTTCCGGATTATATTTCCTTAAACCCAATCTACTAATTTCTACAGGTCAACCAATCGTACGCCACGCCAAGTGCGTATACAAAGCGCTACTTATCTCTCAGTCACTCTAACCACCATAGCCATGACTGCCATAATGTGTAGTATAAATTGACATGATTTGCTCATTTAAGAGGCTCTACAACCCTGAGATATTTCTTTGGTATCTCGAGCAAAGAAAAACCGAGCGATCGAGCGAACTGGATAAATGATCGAAAGTGAATCTAGCGATTCAAAATAGGGTCACGCATAGATGGGATGAAGAGCTGATTGATATGATATGGATATGTTCCAAAGTTTGCAGGCTGTAGGGAAAGCTTGGAATTCGCAGGATAAGGTTCATTGCGTTCTCATCAGCTTCGGTCAAATGTAAAAACTTCGCCAGCTTGAACAAGATTCTTTACACGTGTTCATGGATTTGCACTAATGTGATACCTCTCTAAATATTATCCAAATGTATATTAATGAGCCTAGATCAGGATCCCAGTACTTCGCATAAAGGGGATTGGTATACATCGTCCATGATCCCCTAAAGTAGCAACAAGTTTTTCAGTTACTTTATTCATTGAAATTAAATTCCAAGGTAATGTCAATATGCTGCCTAGTCCCTCCAATCAATCAAGCTATTTACGCTAATCTAATGCCAAATTTGGAAGGTGTTCACCAAGCCAAAATCTCCTTCTGGGCCCCACAGCTTAGAGCAGCACAGATCTCCTCATCCTTGTCACTCACCTGAGAGTTACACGGCACCTTCTGTTTCGCCGGCCATATTTCCCGCCCTTGGGCCTTCTCACGCTCAAAATGCTCTGTAATAACCTCGCGAGCAGTGCTTTGGAAGAAGAGCGGAGCCTTCTCGAACTTAGGGTGCAGCTCACCACTGACGAACACGTTCCGGTCGAGGTTCTTTTGTGCATTGTCGCAGAGAACTTTGTCTTCTCTCATAACGCGCTCGTACATGTCACTGATCGCATGGAAATCGGCATCGCCGGAATTTTTGTTGCGGTAGATTTCGTAAGACATCTTAGAGGAGCTGGCGCTTTTGGGAAGAAATTTCTGGATCATGATAAAGTGTGGTCTGGTAGAGAGGATATTGTCAGCGAACCGCTCATTGAAAAACTCTCTAGCACTACAAGGGTAGGGAACGTACGAAACAACCATGGCAGAAATCGGGAAATAATATGTACTGGCAGTGTAAAGGCCCTTTGCCTTCTGCTCCGGCGTAGAGACGCAGTGGTGCTGGATATGTCCATCCTTGAGGTCACTGTCGAAGGAATCCAGGTTGAGAAAATCGGGGATGTCAGGGTGTGTTGTCGGACAGTGGTAGCATTCATTGAAGTTATCTGCCAGGATCTTCCAGTTATACTGGCCATCCAGCTCATATGTATGATCAAGGTCATATTCATCGAAGTTGTACTCCTTATATCGCTCCTGCGTATCGACGTCTCGGAAGTGCTCCTCCCATGGAATTTCTGGGACTTCATTTGCATCCAAATTGACCCAGATAAATCCATTCACGTCGACCTTGACATGTATCCGGAACAGACTGTTTTGGTCGTTATTGAAGTTTAGGTCTTTGTAGCCAGGCGCTTTGGCAAGTTTGCCATTCAATCCATAGGACCAGCCGTGATAACGACAGGATAGAATCTTGGAGTTTCCAGAACCCTCTTTCTCAACCACTGGATATGCGCGATGTCTGCAAACGTTGTGGAATGCATTCACATTCCCTTGTCGGTCTCGAGTTATGACGAAGTCAAAGCCCGCAATCTCATAACGGAGCCAATCGCCTGTTTCCTTGACTCGAGAGCTGTGGGTGATGAAAAGCCATCTTTTGGAGAAGATGGCTCGACGTTCTAGCTCGTACATCTCAGGAGATTTGTACCATGATGCAGGTAAAGCTCGGACAGGGGAATCTTTCGCTGGTTCGTTGGAGAGAGTCTTATGACCGAAGCCAAGATAGTGCAGCATAGTAGCCATGGCGGTACAAGATCTGGATGAAAATGTCTTTGAAGCTTTAATGTGCTCATGTCATTCATTGCAGCCCTTATATGTCTTATAGCTCATCTGATCTGAAACGGTGCCTACAATTTTGCTCCGATCAGGTGGGAAGCCCATTGTTTCGACATAGTAAAGCAACCCGCCGATAAGCACCAATATAGGTAACGGAACCCACAGATGAACGGATCATGTTCCCGAGATCAGAACATCAACCCATCCATTTTTCACAACATTGCAATTGCAATTTGAAATAAGGAGTAATTACTAAACATGCAGGATCACTTGTAATCGGCATATTTAAAGCATACTAGCCTTTATGTGAGTTTGTTGTGGATAATCGGGTCGATGAGAATGCAAATTTAATGATGAATAGATCTTGATTGCTGGTGGCTTGAACCTTAGAGCTTGATCACCTGCCACAGGAAGTGGCAAATCTAGATGAATCGATAAGAACATCCCAGTTAATCGCTAAGATTCATGTCAATGGGAATGATTGCCAAATTAGGGTGTATACCCATGGGTTCTCAAACCCGGGACCGTACCCGATTGGTTTCGAATATGTAGATAAACCCTATAGAAGATAGACCCTCTTTTTTTGCCAGCAGAGGGTTCAATCTCCCAAAGAAGTAGCTCGTTATTTGGTTTAATGTTGGTTTATCACCTGCGCAGCATATCTTGATGTCGCACAAAGAGTGACGGTTTGATAAGACTAATTGATCCTCCCACAGACTGTCGACCTTCTTTCACCCGAGTTGACGATGATTCCATTTGTGATAGGGAATTAATTAATTACAGACCGAGCAGTCTCAATACTTATCTCTGACAGCATTTGTAGTTGCTGATGGCCGAGGATTGGCTTTTGTAACTCTATTATCTGTTCAAGCCGCTGATCCGCTGGTCCCTATTCATATAGTTTTTCGTTCCTCAAAAACCCTCCATAATTCGGTTGCACAACCATTCCCACCGCCCTCTGCTGTTTTCGAGGCGTGCTGCAATTTCGCCGTCAGGACAAGGTGAAGTCGACCACACGGGACGACCTTTGAAGTATTGTGATTCTCCAAGCTCAGATTGGGCGAGAATCCCGCACATAGAAGGGTGTGGGCAGCCAAGAAAGGTCTGTGCAACAACGCCATGAAAGAAGCTTCATTATGTGTGAGTGTTTGCTGCTCCGGGGTTCTGTGCCACGCTGACAACACTCCTTTCACTATCTCAAAGTGTCATCTCCACGTCGATGAACTAATTGTAACCGACGAGGCAGTGTAGTTGGCGACGGAATTTTGAGGAATGCATCAGGCTCTCCATAATCAGGCCTTCTGGCGGGGCGACTCGAGAACCTTGTTGCTAATCCAGTTTACGCGAACAGAAACAGGGCTTGCGGTCGCGGCTGCAGCTATTAGATAAGGCAGTAGTAGACGGATACAGAGGTGTGGTCCTAGACAATTTGTTGCGAGTTGAAGCTCGACTATGTGTTTGGATATTCTGCCGACAGGAGGATGTGAGACATTTGCATTATTGAAGAGCAGGTCTATTTTGGACTCCTTTGCGTGGAAGGTATCCACAGTCTTTTTGATCGTCGTCAGGTCGTCCGGGTATGTCCCGGGGTAGAGAGACCAATCTATCTTCCCGGCGTGGGGAACTGCACGCTGTATAGTCTCTATTGAAACCTGGGCTTGTTCTTCGGATCAGCCCGCGATAAAAATTTTGGCATCTGTGTCATGAAAAGTAAGAGAGACATACCCCTAGGTCTTCTCGTATGGAATAATGTGGTCCCTAAGTCAGTCCTCGTCAATCTAGAGACATATAGATGGCTTACCGAGGAGCTCGAGAAAAACAATACGGCGAGATCACGAGATCACGAGATCACGAGGAAAGATTACTAGTGTAGTGTGGGCCTAAACATCGAAGGTTCCTATATCGACGTCATTGTCCCCACCTGTGTGACCGCGTGCGGCCATTTTTTCGTCCACTTCGGCTGCACTTAACAGCAACCTCTATTTCTAACCTTTATTTCGACATCAAATTTATCAATATTGACTGCATATATTCATCATCTATATCTAGCCTCTAGCAGGTCTATCGTGTATCGTTTATTCATTATATCGCACCTCTTAAGACGGGGCCTGATCTGGACGTCGCGGTCATACCTTCTCGCTCCATCCCCAGATCGACCACCAGCACTTGACTGCCAGCACATCTCCATCAGCACCCTCCCAGTCATCATATCCAAACTCTTCACCTTCCTCAACCACCGCCAGTCCAAGGTCCGCCATCCGCTGGCGGAACTCTCGCACCTGGGGTAGATACGGAGTGCGCAGTGGCATTTCTGCCAGAACTCGTGCACCAAGTCCCCGTCCGAGCCACGATCCAATGGTTTGGACAAGCCATTCGGGGTGACTCGGCGAGTACAGCGGGTCCGCTACGAGGATCACGTCGTATCGCTCTTCCGCTGTGGGCTGTGGCTCGGGAACAATAGACCAGTCCAACACACCAGTCGTTACCTTCGCTCCGGTCGAGTTGAGAAGTTCGATGTTCAGAGCACTGTTGTGTGCAATGTTGGGTACAATTTCGGGGAGATCGGTCAGGTGCACCGTTGCCGAGTTGCCTTGAAGGGCTGCGAAGGAAAGGCCGACCAATCCTGTGCCAGAACCAAGTTCAAGAGCCCGAATCAATTTCTGTGACTGATCGTGTGAAGGGAGGTCGGTGGGGCCCGATGGTACGAGGTCTGTGGGATCTTCGAGAATGTTATGGAGTCGGCGGGACAGGAGGTATGAAGATACCCAGGTCTTCATGCCGAGGTTGTCCGCCGTGAGGGATGGCTCGTGCAAGGTAATCGCGTAATCGTCGCCGGAGGCTCTGGGGACTGAGAAAACTCGCGACATGGCCGGCATGGCTAAATGGAAAGTTGACTGGTCAGCCTCGCAGACACCATTTGAGAACCACCCACACAGCACCTACCAGCACGGCCAGAGCGCTCGCTCAGGCGAGCAGCTGCAGCATCCCACACTGCCTCTCGTAGTTCATCGGTGTCGAGCCAGGATAGCGGGCTCGAAATGATCTGCGTGAGATAACGATTCACCCCCATCGGGTGCACAGCAGGGCCCTTGACTGCCTCGGGGCTAGTTCCAAACGCCTTAGGCTGTAACGCCAACAGGGCCAAGGTCTTGATGAGATCGGTGCCCGATGGTTTCTCGTAGATCTGGGGTAAGTCAAGCACTATGCAAGGGGTACATTCTTATCAGTTGCACAATCTAGAGGCTCATTTGTGAATTCTTGGACTCACCGTGAAGTGGCTCATCCTCTGTAGCACTAATCATGATCAGATATGATATTCTGGAGACTTCTCTCTTGAAACTGCAAAAAGAAATCGGAGATCTTTCGGCGGCAGACACGCCTCTTCGACGCCACTGCGGGAAAATAAAAATTCCCAAAGAGGAAAGGTTGGCTCCGGTTCCGCGGATATGTTGATGCCTCATAACACAGGCATGTATTCATGCAAGCCGATAAAACAGAACCAATCATATCGAACCTTTTGGCCGGTGTACATGTACCTTGGACTGTTCACCCTCTTTGTGTTTCAGCCTCACCTCTCGTTTCATTTTATCATGGTACCACATCTTACAAGCTGGGCTGAGTCTGCTCATGCCTTGGAGAAGACTGACTCAGGCGCCTCTGCAGCTCTCAAGAAAAGCCCAGGCCTCCATAAACCATTTTCAACTTGATCAGTACGATGTGTTCAAAAAGAAACAATGTGTCACATTGATTCGCCGAATCATTGCTGGAAGAGGCTGGTACAATGGAATGCCTGTCTGAATAGCCGCATTGCAATTTTGTCCGGTACTATGCTTGCCGCTTCCGGCCAGGCCACCTGACCGGACTTGTGCTTGACCGCCATTCCCATACCTTGGAGAAATATCTTTAAGCATCAAAGGATTGGAAGTATAGACAACAGAAAATTCATGTGCGCCCTGGATTCCGTTTGCCACCATCTGCATTTACTCGATTGGGCGCAGAAATGACCTTGACCCGACTATTGCAATGGTCGACGACTCTGAGGGGATTGAAATACCAGTCCTGATTGGCTTTGGCTCAATTAGAAATTTGGTACCTTGGAGATTTCTCGGGGTACAACGTGTTGGAGGGCGAATTGAGGATGACCACTAGGAAGAAGCATGACCTCCTTTGGGCTAGTTGAACGATCCGACCTTTCAAGCAGACTAATTTTGAAAAACAAAAATAAAATAAACCGTGATTAAGGGCTGTAGACACTGTTTATTGAAATTGAAGAAATTGGCAAACACTCAAGGTATCAGGTACATGTCAATCTATTCGTATCCATGGGTCAGGTGCTCGATAAGTTTTTTTCTAGAATCATGTGATCCAGAGGCAAACGGTCGCGAAGCAATTAAGTTGCCGGAGACGTCGCGCACGTTCCATGATCCACCGGATCGATCGATAGTTGCCTTGTTTACAAATATTGTTGACCTGAACTTGGTTCTGCGAACAATCTGAGAGGTCTAATTCATCCCGATTACTCCACAACGCCCCGGATAGTTCCCCACTTTATGATGTAAGATCACTCGCTGGACACTTTCCGGTTCTGTGCAGTGGCGGTGACCTACAGCTCATTTCGTCAGCTTAACGCCATTATTTTTTTTCTTTCCTTTTATTCCCACCTTCTCCTTTACATTCGCTCCTTGATCATTCAATTCAAACAATCATGCCTCCCCTCAAGCTCAACAACCAAAACCTCGCGCAGATTGCTGCGGCGGGTGAAGCGCAAGTCAAGGTTCCTACTTACTCCCGCGGTGGCGCTGTTAAGGAGGGAATTGTCCACGTCGGCGTGGGCGGTTTCCATCGCGCACACTTGGCTTACTATGTCGACCTGCTGATGCAGCAGGGTGTGACTGACTGGGCGATTTGCGGTGTTGGCCTGCAGCCCTTCGATGCCGGCATGAGAGATGTTTTGGCTGAGCAGGATCACCTTTACACCCTCATCGAACGATCCGCCCAAGGCAGTTTTTCACATGTCATTGGAAGCATCAATTCATACCTCTTCGCACCCGATAACCGCGAGGCCGTTATCGCGAAGATGGCACACCCGGACACCCACATCGTTTCCCTCACCATCACCGAAAGTGGGTACTACTACAACGAGAACACCCACGAGCTCCAGCGCGAGCACCCCGACATTCTGTTTGATCTTGATCCGGCGAACGAGAAAGCCCCTCGTACAACCTTTGGCTTCCTTTACGCTGCTATGGCCCGTCGCCGCGAGGCTGGTCTGAAGCCCTTCACCGTCATGTCGTGCGATAACATGCAGAAGAACGGTGCCATCACACGCAACATGCTTACATCATTTGCGCGCCTACGCGACCCTTCGCTCGCGGACTGGATCAACGAGAAAGGCCACTTCCCGAATGCCATGGTTGACCGTATCACACCTCAGACATCAGCTGCTGATAAAACGGCTCTCGCCGACAAATTCGGTATCCAAGATGGATGGCCCGTCGTCACCGAGCCCTTCACACAGTGGGTGATCGAGGATCATTTCTGCGATGGTCGCCCACCGTTCGAGAAGGTTGGTGTCCAGCTAGTTACCAACGTCCACAAGGTCGAGGAGTTCGAGAAGCACAAGTTGCGTCTGCTAAACGGTAGCCACTCCGCTATCGGTTACCCAGGTTCGCTTGCTGGCTTCAAATACGTGCACGAAGTCATGGAGAACCCCATCTTCCGTCGATTTGTGTGGCAAATGATGCAGGATGAGGTCAAGCCGCACTTGCCTGATATCCCAGGAGTTAACATCGATGAATATTGCAATACCCTTATGGAGAGATTCTCCAACCCAACCATCATGGACCAGCTGCCTCGCGTCTGCCTCAATGCCTCTGGCAAGATCCCCCAGTTCATCATGCCCTCGATCGCTGAAGCCATTTGGGATAACGGCCCATTCCGCCGCCTGTGCTTCGTCGCAGCTGCATGGTTCCGTTACCTTAATGGCGTTGACGACAGTGGCAAGTCTTTCGAGATTGAGGATCCCATGCGCGACGAGCTCCAGGCTAAGGCTCGTGCCGGTGGCACCAACCCAGCCGAGCTGTTGAGCATCAAGAATCTGTTCGGTGACGATCTTCGCAATGACCAACGGTTCATTACAGAGATAACGACCGCTATGGAGCTTATTGCCCGGGATGGCATCATGAACACACTTCCAAAGTACATTGATTAATAATCTTGACTGGGCTGTTCACGGTACATTCACATTTGCGAGCGAATTGTATTCTTTTAATATTGTGGTACGAGATATGATTTGAGAGTGATTTAGGCGAAAAGCACAACTTCGACCTGATAGATATCGATGATTCCAACTTTTGATAGTTGCAGATACACAAAATTTATTATTCCCCATTCATGATAGACCTTCGGGGTGAACTTTCCAAAAACTAGTCACACTAAGAAAACCTAATTACCATCAGCTCCACATAGGAGAACTCAACCTCGCGGTGGGCTACATTTTTTCAAATAACTAAATTTCATCGTCCTTCAGAATCAAGCAACACTTGATTGATAATACCGGCGATGATTGATGCCAAGGGATTAGAGTCAGATGTGTCAAGTGACGAAGGTATACGAAGTAGTAGAAGAGTAACTCGAAGAACAAAAAATGTGTAGTATTGAAATTCGAACACATAGAAGGTCATCTTATCCAGGCGCGCTCCTCTAAGACTCGCAAGAACGGAGAATCTTCGGCGCAAAAGCCATGCGATACTTAATGTTTGATAAGTCTCGTTTTCTTGAGGGTAAGGAAAAAGAGAAGAAATACGAATCGCGCCTGCATGAAGTATTTGTATTTTCCGACCAAGCTATTTGAATGCCTTTGGAAATGCAGATCTAATGTCTCCTCCTTTACCGTCCACTACTCTCTACCTCATTCTGTTTGACCCTTTTGCAGCATTGGCAAGAGATGTGGCCAAATTGGTTTCGTTTCGCTTTCACATCGTTGGTGGAGGATGACAGCTGCCAGAAGGTCCTGCTAAGATACCCCTAGAGAGAGGTAGCTGTCTTGTCATACATGGATGCCGTGCCATTCTATCGTGTAATATTTTTATGACTTTAAAATATTTTTCAGTTGTCAATCTCCCCAAGTACCTTTATTCGGTCATGGACCTAGCTTGTGATTCGTGAGCTAGATATGACAGCTTTTCGATAAAGGTATGGATCAGGAAAAATGGTGGGAAGCAATTCCTCTCAGGATCGTCGGATATTGTGAAATCGGCGAAGATTTGGGCCGTGGCGTCTATGATCTGAAGGTCTCGAGCAAAGGTTGGGGCCGAGGGGGCCATGATAAGGAACCGAAAAAGCGTGACAACAGCAGTGAGCAAGAAGTGGGCATGTATCCTATCGGACAAATGGAAATTTTGAGCAAATGCAATTTTGGAGACAAGGGTTTGCAACTTACCAGAATGTGTGAAAGTTAATGTAATGTTGCACTCGATGAATGTAGATCAAGGTGCAACGTGCTGCCTCATATGTTATCTGTGTGCTGGATAGCACAGGTGGTCCGGAACTCGAGGTGGGGATACTGTAAGAGTTGATAGACCCGTGGATTTTTCCAAGGCAATAGTAATACTCCAGGTGGATGCTGACACCGCGTATGCTGAGGTCGTGGAACAGATAGTTCGGAGCACCTTCGGTGGCAAATAGGTTGGGACGGCAATCCACAGGGAACTCTGATCTCAATTTGCTCAGTTCGTCATCCAGTTCTCTAATGAGTTGGAGCCTCCTTGCTTCGGAGTTCGGCGCATTCTTCTCAGAGTAAAGCATCGTCTGTATTTTTGTTTTGATGAGGTTCAATCGAAGGTCCGACGGATAGAGCAGCTCTTTCGACGACAGGGGCTTCCAGTAAAAGTGATGTTCCTTAGACTTTAAAGCGTAGTTGACAGGTAAATCCATATCACAATGAGCTTCATTGATCAATTGGGGTTGGCCTTTCCGGATACATAGTTCGCTATCCATGCCATAGCAAAGCCAGAACAATGCACGCAGGTGCTGGTTCTCCTGGGATCGACCGGGAGTCTTCGGTGTGGGTCGTATTTTATGCCCACCTAGGCTGTAGAGTGCTTGTATAGCAACTCCCAACAATAGATCTATTGACTGTGTCTGACCAATTGGAGCAATATATGTGGCCTAAAGAATGATTAGAAGCAAGTTATATGACCGGGATAGTGACCAGACTTACTAACATGATCACGGCCTCTAGGGTTCTCAGATCGGGCGTCTCCATCAGAATCGCAGGGAAAATACCAAGTGCTGCCTGAGCGTAAGCGTCCGGATCAGCATGGGCTAGCAAGGGGTCGTGGCGGTGCATCTGGGCGATATTCGCAGTGAAGGCAGCTAGGCAGGCAAGATTAGCAGCACGACTCGCTTGTGGATGACTCAACACTTCTGCATCGAGGAGAACTTGTAGCGCATTGACATCCGCAAAAGGTAACATAGAATATAGTCCACTTTTTGAATAATAATCTATGCAGCTTTGGACAAGGTCTGCTGGTGGCCATTGGGAACTGGTATGTTTCTTATTGGATCGGAAGCCCTGTTCCTCAAACGAGTATGCAGCGTCAAGCAAAAGTTCATCCAAGTCAAATTTGTGGCCAGTCTGTTGGAAAACAGCCGAGGAAAACGCTGCTCTTGCACTTGAAAGCGGACTTCCAAGTCCACAATTTGCAATGTGCCATTTGAATGTTGTTACAGCAGCCTCCAGGGAGCGGGTATCTGGAATGAAACTGGAGCTCGCAAAGGGTACCTGGCTTGTAGACGTAGGATCATCACATCTGCCCGAAGATAACGGTGTTGTCGAGTTAGAAGATTTTTCGTGAGTAGAACTTTGAATTGCAAGATTTAAAGCGTCTTCAAGCTCTCGCACACGCGCCTGGGTATCGGCAAGCTCTCTGCGCCAGTTAGTGAAGTTAAACTAAAGGGAAGAGAGAGAAAAACGAGTGCAAAAATGGAACATAATAAAATTACCAAAGCAAGATACTTACTGTCGAAGGCCTTTCCGTTCTCGGGTAGGTGGAGGAGTGAATACACAAGGCAACCCTGCAACATGGCAATTCTCACAAGCGGGTTGAGCCCGATCGCAACGAATCTGCGCAATTGGCCAACCAGAAAGCTGTTAGCGCCTTGTGGGTTGCGAATATTTGGCAGATCACGAATACCTTTCTAAGGCGACATAGATCACAAGCGGTTCTGATTTTCGAACCACGTGCCAGTGAATAAGCGTCCATGGAGGACATGCATATGCTGGGCAATCGTAATAGTAATCTCTAGGGTAGAGCGAGGCTCCGCTTTGGCTTCGGAAGAAGGAGTGATTAAGTTCTCCACATCTCGCCGGTACGTGACTGACGACTCCCGAGTGCCAAGCATCACGCCAAGGCTGAGTCAGCGGGGCTTGGTTTTCCGAGCTTTGGAGAAGATCTGCATCTATACAGTGAATCCCCAGCGGCAGGGGCTTCTCGTTTTACTAACCATCTCCACACTCTTTCTTGCGTATACCTGATTCTGCAAGTAGATCGTCACTGAATGCCGCGCAACTCACACTCTAGCCCCTAAAATATTGGCGAATGACATACAACGTATACGTACAAACTATACTGGCGGGGCCATTACCTCGATATTGGTCTGGTTGAGAAGGACGTGAAGCTGGAACTAGACTTACTGTCAGATCTCAAAATCGACTTCTCAAAGTTCATTCCAACCTATAAATAATTTCGTAGAGCTCGTAAATCTATGCAATATCGTTCGCTTTTTGTCCATTCGGGCTGCAACTTCCACAATGTCTAGGCAACAATTTTGGGTTGTTTTGTTGGCCTGGGGTCTTTGCCCCCACTATGAAACTCTTGGCTGCAGATCATTGAAGTTCCAAAAGCAGGTACAAAAGGATAATATGATCTAGACACAATGTTTGTTCTGCTTATGCGTCTTGTGTTCAATGGCAACAGCGTGATTCGCCCACGAAACACCACTGCAGATCTTGCGTCGTCATTTAAGCGGAGAGACCCTTCTCCTTCTAGTATGGCAGCTCTTGGTACTCTCTATTTACCCACGAATTGGCCGGAGGTCTTTCAAATCACTATCTGGGTGACGCTATTGCTGACGTGTCAGTGATTCTTTCTGATGCGCACTTTGATGAATAATTCCAGACCACTGTCGTGCGAAACGAGTACTTCAGAGATATAAATATGAGCCAATGCCTCACGATTGATGTCGTTCTTCAGCAGCTTCATCCAAATTTCAAAGATATCTCAAGACCTTTTGGCCTTCTCAGTCATCACCATGCACTTTACCAAGTTTACCGTTCTTGCCTTGGGTACCCTGGTCATTGCTCACCCTGGAGTCCACGAGCCTAATTCGTATTCATCTATGGCCAAGCGGGACTTCTTGAACGGTGCTCGTCGCTCCCTGGACCTCTGCGCGGAGCATCTGGAGAAGCGTGGAATCAATGACCGCGCTCGGGCTCGCCGTGCTGCCATCTTTGATGCCCACAAGAAACAAGTTTTGCAGACGCGCGACACCAACAAGACCGTTGGTACCAATCACAAATCATCTCTCCATGTGACTGCTTCCACCTCCGAGTCAGACCTCTTTTCGCAAAACCCGGTCTGTATCCTCGCCCCCGAGGGTGAGGTTGGGCCCTTCTGGGTTAAGGGTGAGCTCATCCGTAAGGATGTCTCCGACGGCCAAGCGGGTGTTCCTCTGATCATGGACGGCCAGTTTATCGACATTAACACGTGCGAGCCCATTGAGGCGCTGTACTGGGATGTCTGGAACTGCAACTCGACAGGTGTCTACTCCGGTGTCCAAAGTTCCATGAATGGCAATGGCAATGACGCCTCCAATCTCGACAAAACCTTCCTCCGTGGTATCCAGAAAACGGATTCGGATGGTGTGGCCCAGTTCAAGACTGTTTTCCCCGGGCACTATTCCGGTCGTGCTACTCACGTCCATGTCATTGGCCATACCAATGCCCACGTTCTTCCTAACAATACCCTTACTGGGGGTCATATTTCCCACGTCGGTCAGCTCTTCTTTGACCAGGATCTGATCAGCCAGGTTGAGGCTACCTACCCGTACAACACTAGCACTGTCGCTATTACCAAGAACATTAACGACCATGTTGTCCAGGATGAGACCGAAGACTCAGCCTCTGATCCTTTCTTCGAGTATGCCCTGCTTGGAGATTCTATTGAGGATGGTGTTTTTGGCTGGGTTACCCTGGGTGTCAATGTTTCTGCTAGCTATGATTCGGATGCTACTTATGCTGCATACCTTACTTCTAAGGGTGGTGTTAGCACCTAAGAAATTCACCACTTCAATCCGTGTCCCTTCAGACTCGCGGAAAGGAATGGGGCTTATTGGGTCGTTTGGCAAGGGACAAGACGAGGTTTGATCTGGTGAGCCAAATGTAATCCAATCTTCCCTGGGAGTGGATTTTATGCGTTTATATACCACTTCATATGCGCTTCGTGATTTTGTAACGATATTCATGGGCCTCAATAGACAATTAGAATTTGGTATACTACAAGGATCAAGAGAGGGGCATGGTGATATATCTGCCCTTGTTTTGCTTACCCAAATTCCCGAAAGTGTAAACAGTATCTTACATCTTCTCTTGGAGCCTTTTGGTTGAACGCCACAGAATCTTTTTTTTGGTGGGAACTCTGGTGGCCCTGGATATAGCAGTCTAAAGTATGGGCGTATAGCGGAATATCTGGGCAAAGGCTATCTCGCTCCTTAGGTGGATCAACAGTTAACAAGTTCTTGAAGTATTCTCTTGACTTCCCTACGCTTTCATTATAGTCCAAAATTGCCAATGCACCGGACTTGGGGGATATTGAGCATTCAATGGAATACGCAAGCGAGAAACAAAAGCGACTATGGCTGGATCCACTGTTGGACGGGACGATTCACTCTGCACTTTTGATGACAGAGCCGAATGTCCTGTCTAGTGATGCAAAGACTTTTGATCCTGAACTTATTCCTGACGGTGACGTATTGTTATATTGCGTGGAGTTACTGGAGTGCCGGCATGCTTTTGCTTTTTGAAGGAAGCGCCTATATTACCACGGCGATGACTTGCTAGGTAGCATTAGATTACTAGAGTATTATCATCATCATGACCATTCAAATTCGGTTTACTAGACGTAGTTCCCGGGGACTTTTATCATTCTCTGTGTTCAACTTTAGACCACTTGAGAAAGGCCCTACTCTACAACATGAGTGTCAAAAGGAGTCAAACTTTCGGGCTAAGTGCAGCGGCCTGTAAAATGAAATCTATCTTCCGCACATCAATTTCAGACCCAAAGGAGACAGTGCCTTGGGAAAGTCTTTCGGTTCGTCGAACCGAGGTGATTACCCCTTCAAGTAGATTGTGTTCCCGAGGGTGGAGTTGCTAAAAGGTATACCTCGGGCTACAAGGGCGTACCATGAATTTATCAAGCCACCCGCAACCCACGTTCTCAAGATTCAGAATGTCGGTATGCATTACCGCTCTAACAAAGAAACAGTCATTCATATCATTTTTGCTTAAGAGAATATATATATATATATACATCAGGAGCATATTAAACATGGCACTTATACTTGACCAGCCTCCGAGCGAGGAGAGAATCCATAAAAATGGCAAAGTCACCCGGATCAATGGAACTAACGTCAGATGGAACAATGGATAGGTAGGGGAAGAACCCAAGGATTCGAGAATTCCAGAGGCGTTTGGCATACCTCGGTGTTCTATTTGTTAAACGGGAGATTCATCCTGAGAAGCTAGACCCCGGCAGTTGGAGACCTTTCCCAAGGCTCGAGGGATGGTTCCCCAAGCTCTACGTACTGGGGCACTCGATCTTCTCAACCAAACATGCAGTCTCATGGGTACAAACCGGTAAAAAGGCTGCAAAGCTCACAAACTCATACCTAACCGCAATAATGACATTTCCTCGCTGGTCATACACTCCCCTACCAACCGCTCCATAGCTTCCTCTCGGGGTGTATATATTAAATTTGTGAAGGACCGAATCTCCCCTCCCACGGCCGATCCGGACCCCTGCCCGTAAATCGGCACCCCAGTTGCGTTTGCGGACTATGATTGTGTACATGGTGCCGGAGCACTTTTTGTCCTGTTCTCATCCATGCATGTCGGAGTTACATGTCTGATATTTTACTTGTGGATTAATACCTGGGCAGGGGATGGAATGTCTAAAACTATCACGAAGATTCGTTCATAGGGTGCTCATAATACATTATAATTCCTGGTTCAAAAATATGCGGCACATTTACCATGCAAATGACTCTTCCACATATTTGATACGGTATCCTTGTCGCATGGCGAGGTGAGCAGCAGCTCGGGCCTCGTCAGCCATTCCGACAGGACCGCATGCCAAAACAGCCAGTGATATTCCAGCAGAGGAGGCATCGCATGCTCGGCTCATGATGAGCGATTGCAAGTGGGGCCGGCCGGGGGTGATCTCATACCCAAGGCCAGTCACATCCTCCGGGGGTCTAGTGGAGGATCCCGTGATATAAAAAGAGGCTTGAAAGTCTTCGCGGAGTAGCAGGGGTTTGAGCTCCCTGCTGGCTACATCTTTGAGGAAAGGGGCTTGCTTTGCGGTCCATATCAGTTCGATATCTCGGATGCGGGTTTTTTCTTCAGATCCCTCTTCCCAGTCGTGTCCTGATCGCCGGAGATGATCTTGGAGGTATGGCACTGCTGATGCGATTCCTGTGCCACCCACGATGATCAATAGAGACTCGTACTTCCAAAGTGGGAAGTGATGTCCGTATGGCCCTTCGAGGAGGATTGTCGTGTTGACGGGCTGGGATTTTGCGCGGAGGCATTGTTGACGCAGATGTCGCGTCCAACCGTCATATGGGCGGATCCAGAAAATCGCCTTTAAACAGGGTACATTGTCATCTGTACTTGATTCCTCTGTGAGCATCATCTCTTCACGACCCTGGGATCCGCTGGGTAAAAGAGGCATCTGAGAGACACTCAAAGATTCGCTCGATTTTCTGAGCATTCTGGATGGTGATGAAATCGAGCCGAGATGGGATGACCAGGCGCCAACGGTGAAAGGGTGGCTTTCCCAGCCAGTCCAGCGAAAAGGTTGGTACAGGAAGAAATAGTCTCCTGGCGTGGGGTGGATGAGGGGAGTGGCAAGCGATACTTCCAACCTAACCACATCCGTTTCCTCATCATAGGTCATTTGACTCGAGGAAGTACGGATCAGATTACTTCCAGTGAGGCCGACGTGTATATTGCAGTAGCATAGTCGGACTATGCGTAAAAATCGGTCAAATGCCCAGATTCCGACGGAAGGCCATAGATACTGCCAGTATTCATGCCCTTCAAAGATGGTGGTATGACTACCGGGGTTAACCGTGGGGAAATTTGAGGCGGTGCAAAGTAACTCACTAGAAACATCCAACAAGTGTAAGGACCGAAAGCACAATGTGTATGATTAAGAATACCTCATAGCTACAGAAGCGAAGTCGATCTAATGATGTCAATAGTATGAAAAACATCACAAGGACGGCCTTTCATCATTAGTCTTTAATCTGACTTCAATTGGTCTCGGAAGATCTCACCATAATTCCCCAAAGTAAATAAGTTTTGTAAAAGACTTTCCACAATTTGTTGGCTGGATAATTTATGCTTAGCAAGTGATTGCTCAGGAGATCCAATGCCTGTCAACTCACCCTTGAAGTAGATTACCAGATATAAAGTGGCGTGTGCCAAGGCCTGGAAGGTGGCCACGCGGGCTACATGGCGATGGAAGATGTTATAGGTTGCAAAGCTCCAACCTGTAGCCCAGATCAAGATGTTGTTACGTCCGCCAAAGAGCCACAATAGGGGCAGATTGGCAAATGCCATAATGCCAGTCCGATCTGCTGAGTATCGGAGGATTTGACTTGTAACATCTGGCCAGCTGCATCTTGTCAGCAAATGCTATCCTAAGGTTGAGGTAATTTGGCAGTGCATACTAAATATTGCCCTCAAAAGTTCGGTACCCGACCAAGCTGAGGACGATGCTGAGGATCCAGAATCCGCCAACGGCGAGGGCCTCGGCTCGGTTCGAGAAAGTACATAGAAGCAGCTCTCGGCCTCGTGAGGCGAGTGGAGCTGACACGATCAGATGTGTCTGCAACCAATGTATAGAGCGTCCGACCCAGGGAATAGCCCGCCATGTATTGAGCAGCGGGTATGTCTGCGATTCGATTCCGCGTGGCATCCGAGGTTTTCGATGATACATGGCCCAACGGCATAATCGGTAGGACATCCCCAGTAAGATCAACACACCCCAGTACGCGTATCCAATATAACTAATCAAGTATAAGCAAGGCTTCATCGGCCCGGAGAAAATCCCCCGTCATATTACTCACCCAAATGCATGGTGGGACCAGCTCTCAAACTGCCAGGAATCGATAGTGTTGTACATCCGGTTGAAAAAGGATGTGGATATCATGATAGGCGCGTTTGCAACTTCATCCCGAGACATTTCTAAGTAGCTCACAGTCCGCATATTGCGGATCGCATCCTCGGTCAGATTTTCCGCGACAGCCTCTCTCGGAAGCAACTCCCGATGTCCGAACTCCTCACATTCACTAGCCATCTGCGCGAGACCCGCAGCCCGCTCTACATCACGACAGTATACTTCGGAGGCGGCATATATGGATGCCACCTTGAGGGAATTCTGGCACCGGGTATCCCACATACCGGTGGCCGGTTCCCCCGCAAAGGAGATGTAATTGTAGGCCGAGTAGATGGCCGTCACGCAGCGCTCATCTATGGGCAGGAAGTCGCCCCAAGCACACCGGGCGCTCAGGATGACTAGTAGCCATCCGAGACGCAACATGGCTGCGTTTTAGAGCCCGATGTCGATCTAGGGAGCGAAGTGAATGAGGAGAAAAAGGCGGAGCGGATGATCGTAACTTGGTCAGACGGGGACCCACATGCTATCGCCCCCCAACCACAGATGAGATTTCCGTGGGCAAGATCGAATCACTCGAAATGGACATTAGACCATTCGAAACTATCATTGATATCTTTCAGAACATACTGCAAGCCAAATGGCCGATGAAGTGAGCGATGACATTTCTTCAAGTTCGCTGCCGTTGAGCCGATCACATGCGCTTATCCTTATCGATCAGATAAGATGGAAATGTCTCTGCATCATTTTGATCAAAGTTCTTACTGTCCGGGTCGCTTACCATCAATGAATTTGGCGTTCGCCATTTTTAGATTTGATCATATATACTGATCAAGCCATATGTAACTAAGTCAATCCTTGATCGGTGTAGCCTGTCTCCAAGGTCATCTGTAAAGCTACGAGTGGGGCACTAGGAAATTCCCATGCATGAGAGGAATCCACTGCCCAGTTGACCCTGCATGCAACTTGGGAAGCCTAGTATCTAGGTCATCTAAATGTATATCTAAAGTGGCTGTATAGACGTCATAAATATATGGTGTGTAATTTTAAGGTATTGGCTCGGTCTTGGCAGGGCTTTCTACATGATGCGGTAAATTGAAGTTGACCATGGAAATGACCTGAATGGTGGAGTACACGGTACCTTGGTTCATTTCGTTGAGTTGATTGTGTAGATCCTATAGTTGATGCTGTAACAAGCCTGGATGGTCGTACTTTGCACGAGAATATTGATGCCTCTACCGGCGTGGATCATGGTGACTCGTGCCGGTACCCTTCACTTGTTGTATGCTTGTTCGAAATCCATATGTGATTCGTTTATGCGCCTGTAACCCTTTTGGTGCAGATCATAGAAAGAGCATGGAGATGGTGATTGGATACAGACAGGGAAGAAGTCGCGGAAAAGATATGCTTATTTTGGGTCGCGGTGTTGTGGTTTAGAGGAAGAAATATTCTTTGGATGAGACTCAGATTGGTTTCGTAGGCCGACCCACATCAGCATTTTGATGTCCTTGACAGCTGAAACGTTAAAGGCTAGGCAACATTGACACAAACATATGTATGAATGAACAGTGGAGTATTATTTACATATCGTCATCATCAGGGTCGTAGAGATCAAGATCAAGAGTCGCGCTTGGTTTTGGCTTGGGTGCTGGTGCAAAGCCTGACGGTGCAGGTCGTGGTGCTCCAGTAGCCGCTGATCCAGCTTGTACAGCCGCGTTGGCGGCCTCCTCTTGTCTGGTATCCACATGTGGTGCTGGTGCTGGAGGTTCCGCGGCTCCCAGACCCTCCGCTTCACGTATTAATCGTTCCACCTCTTTATCCGGGTCATCGCCCGCGGCAAGCTGGACCTGAGCCATCAACCCCATTCGTATCCGTTCCTCCATCGGGTATGGCAACATGTACACTTCGCGCGTGACATTCGCCGAGTCGTCCAGCCACTGCGTCGCGTTCTTTGTTACCGACGATACTGGCTCTGCGCCGTCTGCGGTCGGCTCTCCATTGGTGCCCGCCATCGTCACATCTTTGTCCATTATCTGTGGGCGCGACGCTTGCCCCTTTTCAGAGTTTGCAGCTCCGTTCGCAGCATCGGCGGCGGCTTCGTGGTTATATTTGCTGATTCGGCGGGCAAAGTCGAGGAGAAGCCTGTAGTCAATTTCCTTGCGGGGTGGTTTGTTGGTGGTCTCATCATCAGAATCGAGTTCGCTATCACTGTCTCCTTCGTCTCCGCAGGCGGTTCGGATCTCCCTGTCGAATTCCTCCACGTCCCTTACAATTCCCTTCACGCGATCTTCTAACCTTTCTGCCTCCGCGCGAAGTTGTAAAATCTTGGCGTAGTTTTCTTGGTGCTGGCGGAGGGTGACGATGGCGGAGGATAAGGAGTCATCGGCTTCGAGTAAGGCGATTGCAGCAGCTGGCGCGCCTGCTGCCGTGGGGGAGGTAGTGAGGGTGCTTAAAAGCGCATTGAGCTTGGACTCGACCTCCGACAAAGAGGATTGCACGACCGTGTTCATTGCGAAGCCCCCAGGCAGATTTGTCAATTCCCTGGTAGAGGTTTGGCGCAAAGGATTATAAGAAGCCCAGGTTGGTTGAGTGGTTTAAAAAACTTGGTCAATTCCCCGCGCGTCGAAGAGTTGAACGATCTGGAAGGTGGAGTCTGCGGAGTATTCATTCGGAATGTGTTATTCCGCCCGTTTACATGACTTGGATTATGGTACACATTTACACATTTCATTATTTTCTAAATATACAATGGAACCCGGAATTCAGGGCTGAAATATTTGCTTCACAGCTCATCGTGTTCAAATGGCCCCAATTTATCACACACGCTAGCATATTCTCGCATGTTATTCGGAATAGTCACCTCCCACAACTCATCGCCCTGCAAGAACTTATGTTGTTCCTTACATGCCGCGTCCGATGCCATAGGCAAGAGTATAGGCAGGTGCTTGATCGAAGCCTTGAGAAAGTTTTTCTTAAAGCAGTTTCCAAAATCAGACAAAGTGGTCGGGTCAGAGCAGATGTGTCGACCGTGTAGCATAGGCGCACATCGCTCTTTGATGATGACCGCCACATCGTCACCCATTTTGAGTAAAGCCTCTTCTTTATGAGGTACGTTCATGCGAGTCATCAGGCTGCGCACTGCCGGAACAAAGGAGTTGTTGCGGGTCCAGAGGTCCCAGTGTGGGATGGTAGGTTGACAACCGCGCTCGCAGATTTCACTTTGAAATTTATTGAACAAGTGACCTGGTCGCCCGACCAGGGCAGAGACAACTTTGAAGCATGAGGGACCGATGGCGGCGACGGGCGAAAGGAGGAGGCAGATGAGGAATAGGAGGCGATGGAGTGGGAGGCGCATTGTAATGACGATTGCAAATCGCCGAGCACCGAGGATCGGGGAGGAGGAAGACAGAAATATCAACGCAATCGATACGGGCGCAAGGAGTGAAAAAGAAGTTGTGATGAAGAGATTCCCCGCGATAGTGGAGTGCGGAGAAGGAACAGGGTCAAGGGGACTCGGCTCGGGTTCCACCTTATGTGATCTGTATGCACTAGAGCACATCTAGTACATCTATGTGGCACATCTAGCTCTTTCAGCTCTTTCAGCTCTTCAGTCAATCTTAATCTTGCTTCTTCATAATCTCGCCTGTAGAGGTTGAAATATCAACCTTCAGCAATGTCCAGGCCATATTTGTCAACCTCGGCATGTCCACGAGTCTTCCCTGCACATCTGGCACTATTGTACTATGTCCACTTCTGCCTGATCTACGGTGTTCCAAGCTCCTAATGTCCATATCACTGATAAAGGCAGGCTGGTCTTCGAGTAACTATGTGCATGCTCAGGTAACTTCTTGGGGACAAATGCATTATTCCAAGATTACAATCTACATTAATATTATATAGCTAAATAACCACTTTCGACATTATAAAGAAGTAGAAGAAGAAGAGGTAGAAGACGAAGCTGTACAGAATACAATTCCGAATTTCTACACGAGTCGTTTTCATTCTGTTCAGATTGTATTGCGGTTGGCTCACATGAGTGAAAATGCTTTGTCCGCCTTGAAGAGCTCCGTCAGTACCTGAATGCCCCCACTCTCAAACCACCAGACCAGCGCGAGACGGTGACTCTTCAACACTCAACCATGCAGCTTACCTGAACGAATGTTCCGCGCCCAGCGAATACCTTCAATATCGCACGCCCATCGCGGGGATGAGTGCGCCGCAATCAGGCTCCCAGAGCGACCGGGATGCACCTGCCGATGAGAACCCGACCGCGCCAGTGACGTCCACCCCCCATGCAGACCGAGACCCCAGCCTGAGCTCAGAGGGGGAGCGCCCTCCATTACCTCCACGACCAAATACCCTCAGCCTGCTAAATAATGAGTCCGCAACCCGGACAACATTGCAAGCGGGAGCCACAACGGCCGTGTCGCGGGCGGAGATCGACTCTCAGACATCAGAGGGGACAGGAAGTGCATATTCATCGCTAGCGATCCGCGGTTTGGCCCAGGGCTTAAAAGCGAAAGCAAGTCTCAGCCACCTGGCGAGCTCACGGGGCAGCGAAGCAGGGGACACGGCGAGTATTCGGAGCTCCGTTCAGAACGGCGATGTGGGAGATGTCGAGGCTCTGTTCAAGGACTTTGTCACGTCCGGCCCGGGGGTTCACTCGGGCGCAGGGAGCTTGCTTCATTTCCCGGAGTTTCCTGCTGACGATATGGATGACGATGGGTTTCTGACTGAATTCGAGCCGGTCGGGGAGATTGATGAAGATGCTGGGAACGAGGGTATGCTTTCAGTGCTGTCAAACACTCAGTGATATACAGTCGATGCTTATTCGTGATAGATCTACTCCTCCAGCGCTTCAAGGCTAAGCAAAAACACTATATGATTCTCTCCGCGGCTGGAAAGCCTATTTGGACACGTCACGGCGATGGGGGTTTGATATCCAGCTACGTCGGGGTGATTCAAACCATCATCTCATTTTACGAAGAAGATGATGACCGTTTACGAGCCTTCTCCGCTGGAGATGTCAAGTTTGTGATTGTGACTCATGGGCCCTTGCATCTGGTCGCAATCAGTCGGATGATGGAGAGTGAACACCAACTTGCCCTTCAACTCGAAGCGTTGTACATGCAAATTTTATCCACATTAACGCTGCCATCCCTCAATCATCTGTTCTCTGTACGACCTTCTACGGATCTGAAGCGACCACTCCAAGGATCAGAGACCCTTCTCTCTTCGCTGGCCGATAGTTTCACCCGTGGGTCGCCATCGACTTTGCTCTCGGCGTTGGAATGCCTCAGGATTCGCAAGCAACACCGCCAATCTATCAACAATGCCCTGCTGAAGACAAAAGTGAGCAATCTGCTCTATGGACTTGTAGTCGCTGGTGGACGGCTGGTCAGCGTGGTTAGACCGAAGAAGCACTCCCTGCACCCAGGCGACCTGCAACTTCTATTTAACATGGTCTTCGAGGCCGATGGAGTCAAGGCGGGAGGTGGAGAGAGCTGGATTCCCATCTGTCTTCCTGGCTTCAACAGCAGCGGCTATCTGTATATGTACGTCAGCTTTCTCGACCTCAGGGGTGACGTCAACGAAAATCAAGACATCCTGAAAGACGAATCCGTCGCCATTGTCCTAATTAGCCCGGACAAAGAGAGCTTCTTTGAAATGCAAGGGATGCGCGACGCTTTTGTCGAACAACTGGAGAAGAATGGCAGCCTCAAAGTAATAAGAGCGGCAATTGACAAAGGCCGACCAGCCACGACAGACATCGTGCCTGGTGCCGTTCTCCATCACTTCTTATACAAATCGAGGGCGAATGTGCAGTTCACCATGTCCTCTTTCGCTCCGACATTCTCTTCCATATCTCGACGTCGAAGGTCAGTACTGCTGCTCATGCGCTCTCCCTGTCCGTTCTTCTGTTCTTACAGGTCATAACGTTCCCCACAGACTAATGTCGATATACAATAACCTTCACTCGAGTATTCATGCCAAGAACACCCATGTGAAGGTGCATCATTGCGTATCTCGATCAGCGAGCTCATTCGGTTGGGTGACCCCGTTGTTCGAACTCTATTGTGTCGCCGAACCCAACGCAAACCGAAATGCCTTGGTACAGTGCGCCACTAAGATCGCCCAGTGGGTACAACAAGAAGAGGAACGGCTTTTCATTATTGGCGGAGCAGTAAGTCCACCTGTCTTAATTTTTACCTTCGCGTGAAGCTAACAGGCAGCCTAGGTCTTCTAAAGCCACTGTAGCTGCCATCTTGTGTAACGGAAATCAACAAATGGAAGATCACATGTATATATCTATCTCACTGCACATAAATCCTAAGAGATCGTTGATAGAATTTCTCATTTCGACATGTTTGTTGTTTCTCGCTAGCCCGAGTTTATATCGAGCCGATATTACCCAGGACACAATACGTAGGCGCTCAATGGAATGTCGACATCCATGGATACTTCAGTCAATGGTATCATCACGCAGGGCAAAGAGCTGGCGCATAACCTCCCCGGACTTGCTCCGCAGTGCATCATGGTACATTGTGTTGGTGATAAACTGCTTAATACCCTTGATCTTGGCAGCAGTCTGGGAAGCGAGATCATAGTGCACATACATATCATCAATATAGGTCGCAGCAAAGACCGGGACTTCATTCTGTGCCAGCACGTCTTCGTTGTAGAGGGCAGGCCAGTCCTCGGTCTTAGCCAGAATCTCCGCAGCCTCTCGGATTTCGTTAAGTTCCGAGTACGAGTCGAGCATGTCGGGGAAAACCTGAATATCATCGAATAATTAGACTTATCTAGTCTCACCTCGGTACGCCCATGTTTCGGTGAATTCTTACCATTTCTCCAGTGAAGTAGATCTCTGGCTGAGAGCCGTCGGTTTTGAACCGAATGTCTTGCTTGACCTTTCTGTCGGCAGACCACCGAGATGACCTCCTGCTTCTGTATTAGCAACTAATGATCAGGGTCAGATCACGAGGACATGCATGGGGCTTACCCTTGGCAGTAAATTGCCTCGTGCAGGATGGCGTAGATGATGTTATTGTCCATGCCACCATTGCCATCGATTGTGGCTAGAGTTGGCTGGGTGAAAGAATCGAAAATCTCCAGGTCACTGCAAGCGCGGAGAACAACATCTAAATGAAGTGAGAACAATGCCCCTGGCTGATTAGGGAAAGCAGAGAAAGAGTTAATTACCGTGAACGATATCGATTCCCCCTGCAAAATGTTAGAATCGGTGCATAAATTTCCTGGAAAGGCTTTTTTTACCGTGGAAACCGAACATAAGGCCAAGTTGCTGGAATCGAGCCGGGGTGAGCCATCCTGAAGGTAAAGCGACCTTGTTGGCGGTCAAGTACTTCATGATGGTCTTGACTCGATCAACATCTTCAGGGTATTTGCTGTAGTAAGCCTTGTTTCTCTCAAGAACCTTTTCTGTTCAATTGTAAGCAGAAGATCTAGTGGGCAGTTTAGAAGGCTCACCATAGGTCCGAGCGTAGACCGGATCTGGGTCACTAACCAGAGGAGGCAATCCAGCGCAGATGAAAGCTTCCTTCAGAGACTGAGGGCTTTAAAAGGTAGCGAAATATTAGCCGACAAGACAATAGCAGCGGAATAGGAACGATGCGGGCGTACTATTTCGAAAGATAAGTGGTGGCGCAGAAGCCACCGAAGCTCTGCCCCATAATACTCCATTTCCGCTGATCCTCTGGGTAGTCTTGGGTCAAGTACTGACGGATTGCCTCGCAGTCATTGACGATATTGTCTGCGCGGAAATGCTTGAGATACTCGGCCTGTTGGATTGGACTGCCTTGGCGCGCAAGAGTACCCGCTGTAATTGTTTGACTAAGACCAGTGCCACGCTGGTCCATGAACATCACCTAGTATTCAGTGTCAGTCATCGTTATCTAAATCTTGATGCCAACGGATAAGGCCTCCTAGTCAATGACTACATACTTGGTACCCCTTATTGAGCACTGGCTCAACCCAAGCGTAGTTTTGAGGGGGGCCACATCCAAAGCCTGGTCCACCCTGGAGGTAGAGAAGCCACGAGATGGGAGCCTTGCTCTCTTCTTTTGGCTGCTGCTCAACAGGAGTGTCCAAACGTGAGACACTCCGAGCAAACAGTCTCAGGGTGCTCCCGCCCTCTGAGGGTAACTTGTTGTAGTCGACTGGAACGTCGAAAAACCACTCAGCCACCCGCATCTTGCCTGTTTGTCAAGTCAGCGCTCAGTTCATGGAAGAATTATCGCAAAAGACTCGTACCGGGAACATTGTGGAGCCGTTTGTCAATGAGTTTTGCCGCCATTGTGGTTGTTGTTGATGGAGGAATTGAGGTGGAGCGCACGGAAGGCCAGTCAACCGCGGGTATCACACGTTCCTGAGCCAATCCCGCGCCAGCCCACTTAGCTTAACGACTGACGCGGCAAAAGGAACACTGCGATCTTGAGATCCAACCCTTTGTCCGCCTATGATACGCTAGACATACTTTTGGGAAGTCCAGCCGGAAGCTTGAACCTGAATCTCATTGCAGATCCCGAGTCTCTGGAAGATCCCGATCGCAACTATAAATGAACTCCGACACGTATCTTCTGAACTCCCTTATCCTATGAGTCAAACAAACACAATGCAAGATCAACTCCTTCAAAATCTATGGCGAGCTGCCCAAGGGACATGGGAATCTGGAGTTGTCCCTAGCGCGGAGAATTTATCCCGCGCCCGGTCGTCGCTTCCCTCCACACTACCCGATACCGGCTCCAGCCTGGAATCCGTCCAACGCCATTTGCTGGAGGACATTGTGCCCGCATTCAACGGTGGTAGTATCAGCCCCAATTATTATGGCTTCATCACCGGTGGAGTGACCCCTGCGGCGCTGTTCGCGGACAACATAGTTTCGGCCTACGATCAGAACGTCCAGGTACACCTTACTAACCACTCCATCGTCACCGATGTTGAGTATCATGCACTTGGCTTACTTGCCGACCTGTTCAATTTGCCCCGTGCTCAATGGCATAATGGCACTTTTACCACCGGTGCCACGGCGAGCAACATCCTTGGTCTAGCTTGCGGACGGGAATTCGTGCTGCAAAAGGCCGCGGAGAGAATGGGAAGCCAACTGAGCAGTGTCGGTGAACATGGTCTATTCGAGGTGCTTCACGCACTTAATCTTTCTGGAGTTCAGGTCCTCTCAACGCTGCCGCATTCCTCCTTGGTCAAGGCTGCCGGTATTTTGGGAATTGGACGCTCCAATGTTCGAAACATCTGCTGTGCTGATGACCCGCTCCGATTCGACATGGCGCAGCTCGAGAAAGAGCTAGCCAGAACGGACAAGGTCAGCATTGTGGCTATCTCGTGTGGAGAAGTCAATACTGGCCGGTTTGCGACATCTGGGATGGAGCAACTGGGACAGCTGCGCCAATTGTGTGATAAATATGGGGCATGGATGCATGCCGACGGTGCCTTTGGCATTTTCGCCCGGGTTTTAGGGGATAGCGAGGAGTTTGCCACAATCAAAAAGGGATGTGACGGAATTGAGCTGGTGGACTCCATCGCCGGAGATGGTCACAAACTACTTAACGTGCCTTATGACTGCGGTTTCTTCTTTTCCCGCCATCCGGAGCTGGCCGCCCAGGTCTTCCAGAATGCTAATGCCGCTTACCTGAGCGCAGGTGCGGCGGATGGTCCTGCTATCCCTTCGCCTCTGAATATTGGACTTGAGAATTCCCGCAGGTTCCGGGCGTTGCCAGTGTATGCCTCTCTGCTGTCTTACGGGAGAGAAGGGTACCAAGAGATGCTTGGGCGCCAAATTCATCTGGCGCGTGCTATCTATGAATGGATCTTTGACCATCCGGCATATACACCTTTGCCGGAAGCACATTCGAAAGCTGAGCTTGTGGATCAGGCATTCATAGGCGTTTTGTTCTGTGCCAAGGACGACGCGTTGAACCAGCAACTAACCGCGAAGATTAACGAAACCTCACGAATGTATGTTTCGGGAAGCAACTGGCAGGGTAGAACAGCTACTCGAATTGCTGTCTCCAATTGGCGGGTTGACGTCAAACGCGATGTGGCATTGGTAACTGATGTTCTGGCTCAAGTAGCCCAGTGAGATTTGACGACATTAATATGGGCTTTCATTTATGAAAGATTTCCTAAATAACATCTCGATCGCTCTATACAACTTTACTAGTGGTGGGTAATGTAGAAGGTTCATGATCGAAACAAAGTGCGAAATTATGAAGTTCATCAAATATATGTTTTTAAAGCATGTCTGTATGCAAGGCGAGATAGTGGTGCTTGACCTCAAGATTGGAACCAGAACATGCGAGGCTGCTTGCATAACCTTTATCTTTAGCCACAGGTAGTGGCACGCGTGGTTAGCACGTGACGGTCAACATCTTAACAATACGTATCATCATCTCACCGTCCATCTTCGTATAATTTCACGTTTTTGTCTTTTCCCGGAAACTGAATTCAATTCATCCAGCTTGAATTTCTGCTCCATCGCCTGGCCCATTGGATACAGTCTGCTGAAATGGACTTCCATTCTCCCGCCACACGCATTGATCCATTGCTCGATGCCTTCTATATATCGGATTTCATATCGGAAGATGAGGAGACCAGGTTGATCCAAAAGGTAGGTACCTAGTCCTCCAGAGGTCAGTAGCCCGATCATGGTTGACTCTTGATATGCAACATCACCCATCATGATTTTCCTTTCCAATGTTGCTTTCATTCATTCCATGTATGTAGGATTAACACTAATAACAGGTCCAATCAGCTCCCCTACCACGCTGGACTCATCTCTCTCATCGCCGCCTCCAAACGTGGCCATCAGCACTCACAAAATCCGACACTCTTCTCTTATCGCCACTACCACCATGGTTAACAGATCCTATCATTCACCGTTTTAATGATCTGAGCATCTTTGCTGCCACCCCACATGGCGCGCCGAATCATATCCTGGTCAACGAGTATCAGCCAGGACAGGGAATCATGCCCCACGAAGACGGCTCGGCCTATTACCCTCTGGTAGCTACTGTAAGCCTGGGCGCACCTATCGTGCTCGACTTATATGAGAAGAATGTTCATTGCAGTGGGAAAGAGAACCACCATTTAACAGATATGCCTTTTCATGGGCAGCCGCAATTTCGTATCCTCCAGGAACGACGAAGCCTATTAGTCATGAGAAAGCGCATATACACGAATTTCTTACACGGGATTGCGGAAACAGCTATAGACGAGGATCTGGGTCCACATTCTATTTGCAATTGGAGTTTGTTACGAGACAAAGACTTATATGATGCTGGCTGGTACAGGCGGGAAACAAGGACGAGCCTTACGTATCGGGACGTGCTAAAGGTTGCGAAGATCGGAGATACCTTGAAGTTCTTAGGGGTGCCAAATTGAGTGACATTCATTAACGATATCATCGAGACTTACTAGTTCTTTGGTTCATCACTAGAATTTTGTGATTATCGACTAAAGGCTCCGATCTTCCAGCCATTTTGGTTCCTATATACTGGGGTAAAGTCGGCGCTTTCAAATATCTTCGCTGCCACTATAGTATTTCACATTACTCCTCCTTTGACGACTCGTTCTTTTTCTTTTTCTTTGAGCTTTCTGATTGCGTCGCAGTGCGTTTTTTGCTCTTAGGGGAGTCAGAATTCTGCGATGCGCCACTCTTCTCACCATCCGCCTTATCCTGCAGTCTGCTAGATCTGCGCGTTTGTGTTCGAGTCTGATGTTGCTTGCCCTCTCCATTGGCTTTGGAATCCTCGTCCGGAGAATCGGCCGAATCACGACTAGCTTTCTTCCTGGCAGATTTGGCTTCGGTGGTATTGCCAACAAATTGCTTGCCTTTCTTAGATTCCTTGACTTTCTTGTCATCAGTCTTCTCCTTCTCATCGTCGCTCATCTGTTCCCATGCTTCTTTGGGCAGATATCTCTTGCGCGTTCCATCTTCTTTCTTCGCGGTGCCGGATCCTTCCTTGGTCTGCCAGTCTTCTTTAGACCATTGATCCAGATGCTTTTGTGATTCACTTTGATCTTCTTTCGATGTGTTGTAGCTCCCGCCGCGTTTTTTGTACTCCGAAGCCATCATTTGGGCCTGGTGAAATTAGCACAAGGATAGCATAGATATACGGATGAATTTAAATTATCAACATACCTTCCGTGCAGACCATTGACCAGGTTTGCCTCCCTTGTCGCCTTTGTGAATCTCTTCTTTGACTTCATCCCGAAGTTCCGGATTGGTGTACTTGTCCTTGGGAGCCATGGTGAAGAAAATGAAGATTTTGTCGCAATTGGATATAGATAAAAATCAGAAGCGATTTGTGTCAGTTTATCAGTGTATTTAAGGTTATCGATCTTGACGGATAGTCAATGACATCGAGATGGTGTCGTGGTGTGACATCATCACCCCTTTACAATAGACTCGCGAGCTGTGACAAAACCCGGTTTTATAGATCGGTTCCAGAATTTGGTATGTAGTATGTGGCACCAAGATTTTAATGATCCTATGGATTAAGCGACCGTTTGCATACGACGCTACCCACTTTTCAATTTGGGGCAAGTTTGGGAGAATCGAGTCGGTATTGGCACCATAATTTCATGGATCGAAATGAATCGAGTGTATCAATTGAAAGTTGCTGTAAAACATTTGTATATACACATAATATACCTGGTATCAAATTTGCATATCTCATATCGGCACATCACAAGGAATGCAGGATTCTCTCCCTTACGATTTCTTGTTCGCGGCCTCCGCAGCAGCCTTCTCCGCAAGGAGCTGGACATCACGCAAGACTTTCAACTTTTCGGACTCCTTGCCACGAATAAATTCCTGCAACCACAGAGGAAAGCCTCGTACCAGGCGGGCAACCGTCTTGCTGGCGGGCAGGATTACTTGTCCGCTGTTCTGGTTCAGGATCTGCTTGCAAATGGCGTCTGACACGGTCTGGACGCTCATGATAGGCTGACCGAATTCCTTCTCGTAATCGGTGAGAACTGTGATCATTGGAGTACGGACCCAGAAGGGGTGGATAATACTATAGGGGCATTAGTCTTGTGGGTAGCGGGTTAGACAGAAAGGAAATGACAACTCACCTTGTGCGCACTTTGGGTGCCTTATAGTAGAGACGCAACTCTTGGCGCAGAGACTCGTGGAATGCCAGGGCGCTGGCCTTGGTGCAGCAGTAGTCGGCCAATTCGCTCAGCCCGACGAAGCTGGCCATACTGGCCAGTGTCACGACGTGACCGTGGTTGGCACGGATCATAGCCGGGAGGAACTCACGCACCATGAGGAAATGCGAGATCGTGTTGACTTCAAATGTGTTCCGGATCTGCTGCTCAGACTCTTCGAGAATCGTGCACTCGTAACCAACGCCGGCATTGTTGATCAACACTGTTGGCTCGCCGTGGTCACTACGGATGGCCTTGGCGACCTCTGTGATATTTGCCGAGCTGGTGATGTTTGCCCGGTAGAAGGTGACGTTGGCGGGTAGCTTGAAATTGGGCTCGTTGATATCGAGAATGATTACGCGCACACCCGTCCGCGCTAGGTCCTCCATGACCTGCTTGCCGATACCACTGCATCCACCTGTCAGGAGAATGAGCTCCCGGGAAGGGTCCCATGGGTCGCTTGACACCCAGTTATTTAGGCTCCGTTGTGTTAGGAAGTTGTTGATTGAGCGCACCACTCCGAGGGCGACAACTGCCGCCGCAGCTTTCTGGGCGATCGGGTTCTGCAACAATTGCTGTGCCGGAACGGGTAGCTGCGTTAGCGCAGTCTGCGCATAGTGTTGGATCAGATCGAGGGAGGACGCCATATTGTTGAGAGGTCAAAGACTCGGGCAAACGAAAAACAAAAAGGGTGAAGGGTCCAGGTAGTGCGGTGTGGGAGAGTCTTTTATTTCCTGATCGTCGCCAGGTACCACGATGATCAACTCCCAAGCTGACAACAACCGAGGCCCATTCGAACCAATAAAACGGTGGACTGTTGACGTTAAACCGAAAGGGAAAGCAATGCGAATGAGATCCACAATCACCTGGAACTAGACCCAATGTATCTTGATGTGGGGCTTGGTTCGTCTCTTCACATGCATTACATGCACCTTCCCCGCATAGAATTCTTTCATTTATTCTTATACTTTCAGGAACTACACAGGACGAGCATTATCAGATGTCCTTTCACCGAGGCTAGAAGCGATCGTCATATCCGATGATCTCACTTGACACTCGTGCTACTCGCGGATCACCGGGATCTCTGTTTGTAACATGTATTGTCTCTGCTGATTTCCAGATCTCGAGATACTAGAGGTCATGGACATCAGATCTAAATACAACTTGCGTATCAATTGGCAAGACATACTACAACATGTACGAACTACCGAGGTCGTCCCTGGTATTTGGTCATTTGAGCGCCGATCACTTAGTGGGGTCAGAGTATATTACCCCGTAGTTGGGGCAAAACCGGGACAATCCCAAATCTGGGCAATTCTTCTCCCTTTTGCGTTTTTCCATCTCTCTCGTTCGGCGAGTTATATCTTGAATAGGACAATATTGAAATAACCAAGCACATTGGGTGATCAAGTCATGGCTGGCGAGAGCTTCCCGGCCCTCGTGGTCGGCACCCTAGTCGAGGCCTATCTCTTGCAGCGCACCATCTTTACAGAGGAGACCTTCCGCACAATTGGCTTGGGGGCCCTGGGATTCAACCTATTCGTCTTGGCTATTTGGAATGTAGTGGTCTGGCCTTTCTTCTTGAACCCCTTACGGCATCTCCCGACTATTCCGGTGTGTATCAAACGTACATCCAGACAATGGCAATGCTAATCGCATCACGTAGGGACTGATGAGCAATTTGACTATAATCTTTGACTCACCACGAGGTCGCACCCCGCTACATTGGATGAAAACAGTCCCCAATGATGGTCTTATCCATATGCGGGATCTCATCAGTCACAGTTACCTGGTAGCTACTAACCACCAGGCGTTGTTGGATATCATGAGTACGAACACCTATGACTTCGAAAAACCCAAGCGTATGCGCATCTTTCTGGCTCGCATCCTCGGGTTCGGAATGATTCTGTCCGAGGGGGCTGCGCATAAGAAGCAGCGCAAGGCGTTGACACCGGCTTTCAATATCAAGAATATCCGATCCATGTACTCACTTATGTGGGACAAGACCAATCAGATGTTGGAGGAGATGGAGAAAGAAATCAAGCTGAACCCGATGGAAGGAACCAATCCAGCCGAAGAAATCGGCAAGGTCGAAATGGGTGTATGGGGAAGGTGAGATAGATTCAGTCTTGATGGCTATAGCTGCTAACAGCTTGTCAGTCGCTTTACTCTCGACATCATTGGTCCGGCCGCCATGGGACGTGACTTTCGCTCGTTGCAGAACAGCGATAACAGAGTTGCCGAAAGTTTCCTAAACATCCTGGAGCCCACCCCCGAGAAGGTGGCATTCCTGGCCATGAATTTCATGTTGCCGCAGTCAATCGCCCAGCGCATTCCCTGGAAGATGAACGATCTGATTACTAGTGAAACTAATTTCCTACGGGATCTATGTAACGACATTGTCCTCGAGAAGCGCCAGAGTTTGACTGAATCCAAAGCCTCCGCCCAGGATCTGGAGGCCGATATTCTAGGAACAATGATCCTGGGGGGAGATTTTTCTGACAACGAACTAGTCGACCAGATGTTGACTTTCTTAGCAGCGGGGGTAAGCATTTTCTCCTAAAACCAATCCCTTGGCAGTTCTAATTCGTCAACAGCACGAAACAACAGCCGCTGCCCTAACGTGGGCCTGTTATCTTTTGACCCTATACCCAGATGTCCAGGAGCGTCTGCGCGTTGAGATTCGGGAGAAGATTCCTTCGGCCAGCAGCCCCATCACATATAGCGACCTGGAGTCGCTGCCGTTGCTCAACGGTGTGTGCCAAGAGGTGCTGCGTCTCTACCCAACAGTGCCCGCAACAATCCGTGAAGCCATTCGCGACACCATGGTCGCAGGCAAGCATGTCCCCAAGGGAACTAGAATCATCCTATGCCCTTACGCAATCAACCGTTGCCCCTTGTTTTGGGGCGAGAACGGTGAGGAATTCCTACCGGAGCGTTGGATCGATACAGACAAGAATGGCAATCTCGTGCCCAACAACAATGGTGGTGCATCGACGAATTTTGCCCAGATTACTTTCCTTCATGGGCAACGGTCCTGCATTGGGAAAGACTTTGCACGAGCTGAACTGCGGTGCGGAGTTGCCGGTTTGGTGGGTCGCTTTGCATTTGAGATGCAGGACCCGAAGCAAGAAATCCATATAGCAGGTGCAGTGACCACAAAGCCTGTTGAAGGTATGCATCTAAAGATGCAACGAGTAAGTGGATGGTAGGAGAAGGTACATTGCAAGCGCAAATAATGATTTAATGCCTTGATGATTTTTTCTCTTTGCTGTACTTTTGATAAAAATCACTCTTTGTCTATGCAGGTGTCTTGACATAGTACAATCACAAACAACTTCTTGACTCGGTTCCGCTCGAACATGCTCGCAAAGACCAAGGGCGGACTGTTTCAAGCTCTATTCGGTAATATGTACGTACAACGGTAAAAGTCACGGTTACTTGTAACGACATCGTTTTCTCCAGGCAGCGATTGATTTCAGGTGTCCATATGACTCAGCGACTCGGTGGGGTACATGAGCCACACGTGCCTCGGTCTAATCGGCATCCCCACGCTTTCCACGCTTCTCACACTCTCCCCGCGAATCTTCTTTTTATTTGAGTCGCAACCATTTCGACGTGTCATTTTGCATTTGTCATTGCTTGACACGTACAGAGGGCATCTTTGCAAGCGATTTTCACCAAAATTTCTCGAGTTCTCGACGTCCAGAAACGAATCCGCCATGGATTCGCTGTGCGGTCCTTCTAATGCACTGCAGAATGCTCAGAAGCATACTTCAGTTGACCGAACCCTTCAACAAGATCGACTAATCTCTCGGCAGCCACCAACACAGGTAAGTCGATTCCCTGGATCACAGGAGGTTCTCCCAGTAACATATTTCATCTATAGGGATTTCGATCGCAAGGCCAGGAAGGCATTTTGGACCCCGAGTTTGCCTCATTTGAGGCCAGCCGCGGGGTACCTGAATTGCCAGTTCTCGAGAATCCTGCTCAATTCGGAAGGCCAGCTCAGTTACCAGCCGCTGCTCACCAGAACGCTGGCTGGGCTCATGATTTCCAAAATCTCCACATCTCCGGACCGGCGCCGCCACAGTTACAACATCAGGCACAGGGCCCATCGGGATTTCAAACGCAAGGAGGGTGGCATGAAGAGTTTATGAGACAACAACAGAGCCAGCCAGCGGCCGCCTCAACTCATCTTGCCCGAAACCATCCAAGCACAAATTCCGCCTATCAATCCCCATTCGCTGCAGGATACCCTATGTACAATTCCAGTACATACCAAGCCCCTCAGGAAGCTCTTGTGCAACATCCTGCGCCAACGGAAAAGTTTGATGAGTCTGCGTTTGAGGCAGCCTTCAATCAAGCGCAAGCGGATTTGGAGCTTCAGGCAGCAGAGCCTGCGCCAGCCCCCCAAGCAAACGTTCACGACGCATCCCCCATTGACCCTCTTAACATGGCCGAACAAGACACCCAATTCGGATCGGATGATATTGTCCAGTCCGAGCAGCAGACTCAAGCTCGCGCTCAGGACGCGGATGCTCTTGCACGAGCAGCCGGACAAATTCTCACAAGCGTCAGTCATGACCAGAGCGAAAAGTTCCAACAAAGCAACTTTCTTGCTCTAATGCGCCGAATTCGGGATCGTGAGGTTGAGGTGAAGGGGGACGATTTTGCTGAAGTCAGTAGCGACCCGTGACCGATTTGACTCAAGCGGGACAGATACACCGGTATCGTCCTGCGAATCATGTATATATAGGGATCTGTCCTTACTCATCCATTTGCAGACAGCGCAGTCTCTTCACCCTGGTGGCCGTTACTATCCGAGCCAATCTCCTCCTCTGCAAGACCCCATTTCCTCCGACATCGGTAAGGAGTCTCCCTTTCCTGCCGACAGGACTTAGCTCCAAGAGGAGATGAAAATTATCTGCAAAGCATCTGACCCAGGTGTTACGGGCAGACGACCTGTCAGATCCGTCTCCAGATGATCTTCCCCGGCTGGGCACCAATCCATACAGCCCCGCCGACAATAACACACTCTACGAGGGCTTACTTCACGGCCATAAACTCGTTGACCGTCGACGCCTGACTTTTTGTTTCCGAAGTGAAGACGAAATTTGGCCCTAAGTGATGGTACGAAGGTGGTTCAGGGGAACAGTGAGATACATGCTGTATTCGGTCTGAAGCCAAATTCACCTCATCTCAAATCATCCGAGCCTTGCTTATGTGATTGGCGTTTGCCTCAAATTCTTTTCACTAATACCCCATTTTGCGATTGTTGTCTCTTGTGATTATTGCTGCATAGCGTCGAGAAAATAAAATTTTACAATCTCAAGATCACTACAAAGATGATTCAGAAATGCAGGGTATCATTGGCTGCTGGCAACCTTAATTAGATATATACTAGTACATCGGGTCCATACCCTGGGACTATGCCTTTTCTCCTAGGATAAGCTCGCGGAGAATCATCTCAGCCTTGGGCGCTTCCACACGACCTTTTTCGCCCATTCGCATCATCTGTCCTACAAACCAGCCTAATTTCCCCAGTTGTTTACCACGGATCTGCTCCACCATTTTCGGGTTCAGAGCAATTGCGGATTCTGCTAGTGAGATATATTCCTCACGCGACAAAGGCCGGAGTAGAAGGTTGTCTTCTTCTAGCAGCTGTGGCACTGGCCGACGATCTCCGTCGAAAATAGAGGCGAGGACTTGTTTAGCCGTAGGTCCAGTGACAAGGCCCCGTTGAAGATGGTCGATGAGGTCCGCCAGCGACTGTGCCGGCACAATGTCCGCGTGCCAGGTTTGGTCTGCTTTGGTTAAAAGACCACCCAATTCGTGGAGGACCCAGTTACCCGCCATTCGCGCGAGAACCGCTTTTGTGGGCTTATCTAGACCGTTCTTGTGGAGAATATCTACCACATCTTGATAGTACTCGAGACGAGCGCCGCCATCCAGTTCGATCAACGGTTTGGCGTCTTCGAGCGGGAGACCGTATTCCGGCCCGATAAGCTGCAGAAGTAATGTATCGGGAGCCATGGGAAGACTTTCTTGTAGGCGATTGATTAGATCTTCGCCAATAACCAGCGGGGGAATATCCGGATCTGGCATGTAGCGATAATCAACAGCACCCTCTTTGCCTCGAAGAAGATGGGTCTCGGTGCTACCAATCGTCCATCCACGTGTCTCACCCAAGACTTTGCCACCACTCTCCAGCACCGCGATTTGGCGATTTTTCTCCGCAATGATAGCATCCTCAACTGCCTTGAAACTGCTGAGATTCTTGATCTCAGTCCGCTGGCCTAGGCCACCGAGTACCTCGCTCCGTCGTCGGATCGAGACATTGATGTCGGCACGGAGGCCACCCAATTCCATACCGGTCGTCACGGCTCCGCATGCTTGTAAAATGGACTGTAATTTTCGAACGCAGGCCGCCGCTGTGGCGGGAGAATGGATCTGGGGTAAAGTGATAATCTCAATGAGGGGATGCGACACACGGTTGAAATCGAGGAGTTGCGTTGAAGTTGGGCCGGGATATTCCTGTGATTTAGCGGTATCCTGTTCTAACTGGACTTGTTGGATATCTATGCGAACCCGCTCTCCATCCTCCGGTGCGATCCCGTCGTAGTCAAATAGATCGATATAACCATTGCGCGCGAATGGCTCTGTGTTGTGTTAGCGAGGCTTGATCCTGGTGAAGTCAATGAAGGAGCTAAGCTCACCGTAGTATTGTGTAATCTGGTACCCGGAGGGCTGGTCTTGGTAGAAGTAATGTTTCCGGTCAAACCGGCTGACCGGTTGAATTTGGCAGTTCAAGGCAATTGCGGCGCGAAGGGCAGGAAGGAGAGTGGCAGCTTGGAATTTCGGTTGGCTACCTGGAAATGCCAGGTCGAACAAAGCGACATTGGAGTTCGGGGTAGCGCTAGTAGATGTGGCCGCTCCTGTTGAGGAAAACATCGTGTGTTAGCGACGCAAGCAAAGACTTTTTGTAGACATACTGGAGAAAAGCTTTGCAGCTGTGTCCAATTGCGCGTGGATCTCCACGCCAACAGTGAGCTCCCATTCTTGTCTTGAGGCCTCCTCGTTCTCCTTGCGCTGCTTCTTCTGGGCCTTGAGGCTCTTGGCATCCTGCTTGAGTTGTTTGCGGAGAGGAACGCGGTCTATTTGGAGGTTGGAAGCGGAGGAGAAATTATTGCGAGAAATCAACAATGGCCATGATAACCGAGGGGCCCTGGAGAGAGCGCGGACCGCGCCGCTGCTGAGCCATGGCCGAAGCATGAAGACGAGCTGCAAAGAGGATCAGGTTGAAGAGAGAAAGCGGAATCCGAGCGGGATGGAGCTAATCTGCCGATCGGGCTGATAGTTGCTGGGCCTCCGGACTCTCTGTATCGTCCAGCCCACAAATGTGCATCTATGGATAAAGATTCATGAGCATCCCTTTTTATCAAAAACTGGAAGAACAAAAAAAGCTTCAATTTTGATCAACTAACTGTGGTCACCAAGAAAGGTACATAGAGCCACATCCATGGGAATTAGGTGCAAAATAGCGCTGGGAGGAGACAAGGCGGTATCGTCCGCCGATCAAATACTATATAGGGCTTGGTTTAAGTAGGGTGCTCTCACACGGTGATCGGCAACATTTGGCATCGCATGATGTGCTTTGTTCATAACAAAACCCGGTACCGAAGAACCATAGAAGTAGTATACCAACATTCAGCACACCAAAAGCGTTCTAGATGATTATGAATAGTACTATAATTGTATTGTGAACTTTGTGGATGATTGTGGACACCATTTTCATGAAAGCCAAGTTTTTATCAAGAGCCTATCCACCCTAGCTAGGAAACAATACCACACGTTATATCCATCTTGGGTAGTAAGATTGCATTTCTTTTCCACCACCTGCTATACTAGGGAAGCTCTAGTATAATTACTGGGGCAAAACAACGATCCTGAAACCTGAGATCTAGATGCCTAAATAGGAAATCTGATATAGACCCCAACGCCACTAGGGTGGCTCCAGGGTCTTCATGATGATCTGGTATTGAGATAAATAGCCGGTAACTTCCTCAGAATATGTATCATCAACCATCAATCATTACTTTTACCAATTAATCAAAAAAACAACAACCCGATCTACCGATCAATCCACGTTCTCATCAAAATGCATTTCATCAACATCATCATCTCCCTCGCTGCACTCGGCGCCGTTGCCAATGCTCAATTCGAGAAGCGATCCTGCGTCGCAAGTATGTTGTTATTCTAGAGGACCATGATTCAACAATGATTTCGGCTGACTGTCTTTTCTCTAGACTACGATGTTGCCTGCACTTCCGGTGGCGACCCTTGCTGCGATGGCTGGCAATGTGTCGGCGCCACTGAGTGGAACGCCGGTGTCTGTATCCCCAACTATTAAGCGCTGGACTGGAGGTTTCGAAGCGGGCTTCGAAGAACAGCTTTGATGTTAGCATGTGTTCTGTATTCGTTACGATATCATTTGTTTTTCTGTCTACATTGATTGCATATACCTCGAGTCAGTTGGCAAATCGTCAATCAATCAATCAATCTTCTCCGAATTTTAGCAAGGTCTTGTAGTGGATTATAAAAGAAACAGTGGCAAAAGAAGCTATACTTCCAAGAATAAGGTGGTCTATGGTCATCCAAGCCCCACCAGAAGCTACCTCTTTAGGCAGGCATGGTCAGCCCCACATCTCCACATGGAGAAGCTGGTATAACTCATCTGCACGTCAGGGATCTTTGGAGAATACTCAAATCCAAAGGTTTAACTCAGTCCAGTGAGCAAGATGGCCGAGAAATCAGAGACCGTTCGTCCAGCATTCGCGGGTCGCGAACGTCCTCTACTTTCCTATGGGATTGACTTCCCCGCCGCTGCAGCTCGCCACGTTTCGGAGACATTTCAAGCCTCTCGGGTGTATGTGATCTGTTCGGGATCATTGTCGCGTAACACCGATGCGCTTGACCGCCTCACGCATGCATTGGGCTCGGAAAATGTCGTGGGGTGCCGCATCGGAATGCAGAGCCACACACTGTGGTCAGAAGTGCTGGAAATTGTTGACGATGCACGGAATGTGCAGGCGGATCTGATCATTACACTTGGGGCTGGCAGTTTGACTGATGGTGCAAAGATTATTGCTCTGGTTTGTGCATATCAGGATTTCTTCTTTGTCTACATCGATGTGCTGACAACCCATAGGCTCTGGCAAATCAAGTTCATATCGCTGGGGATCTCGAAACCTTAGCTGAAGGTCCCAATAAACGCGCTCAAATAAATGCTCCTACGGTCCCTATCATCTCTATCCCGACCTCTCTTTCAGCTGGAGAGTACTCGAACTTCGCCGGTGGCACGGATGACCGATCGCGCCGCAAGTTTAGCTTTCAGGCACCTCTACGTGGCCCACAGCTCATCATCCTGGACCCAAGATTGGCACAATCAACACCCGACTCGATATGGCTCAGCACAGGAGTGCGTGCTGTCGATCATTGTGTTGAGACGCTCTGCGCGATTGTTGGTGTAACACCGGAATCAGATGATTTGGCACAAAGGGCACTAGGCCGGTTGGTCCCTGGTCTACTGCAGTGCAAGCAAAATCGCGCCAATGACGACGCCTACCTCCAATGCCAGCTTGGCTCGGTGGACGCAATGGCAGCCTGTACAAGTGGGTCGGTAGAACTTGGAGCTAGTCATGGTATTGGTCACCAGGTAAGTATATCCACGTACTTTATTCTATTGATTGACGAGAATCCCAAGTTGACTGTTGTGATTAGCTTGGACCACTGGGCGTTGGTCATGGCGAGACTAGCTGTATTCTCCTACCTGCCGTTTGCAAGTTCAATGCTGCACATAACGCCAATCGAGAGCGCCAAGCGATCGTGCGTGACTTTTTGGTTCGCGATCCTGTTGTTTTGGAACTGCTCCAAACTCGCTCGCTGAGTGTAGAACAGTCGGACCTGGGGGATATCTTAGACGCTATCATTCGCGAACTTGGAATGCCGCGGTCTTTGAGCGATGTGCGAGTTGGTCGCGATAAACTTGACGGATTGGCGGCGCACAGTTTACACGATCGGTGGTGTCAATCAAATCCAGTGCCTCTGAAGGAGAAGTCACAGGTGCTGGAAATCCTCGAGATGGTTGTCTAATGCGAAAAGAATCTTTGATCAGGAATCAATTACATATCAATAAGACTGGTACATAGCTATTGCCAGCGAAAACGCTGCATGCTTGTATCTCTCGCTGATACATATACTGTATGTATGTATATTTTCCCAACCCATGTCATATGTAGAGTGAAATGACATCATAGGCTCGTGGGAACTGTCCTGGTCAACTTTTCCACCAGAGATTGGAAGGGCGACTTTGTAGAAAAAGCCAATACAAGACAAAAACCCCCTATTAGTGACAAGCGGAATAAAGCCGAATACTCTCAAACCATCCGATCCTAGAGGGTAATTCAGTTGTATGGGTCACGTGCCGTCCGAGCTGTAGTCTGCGGATTTTATCCGCAGAGAGCTCCCGCCTCACGCTTTGTATTCTCTCTGCCATATTCAATTCTTATACCTTTGCAGAATGGCCGGCTCACAAGACGGTCAACGTGAGCGCAGGCGCACACTTTCTCAATCCCCAGATCGAAGCCCCGGCCGACGACGAGACGATCGGAACAAAGAGCCAAGGAGCTCGCGCCGACAAGATGATGACCGTGAAAGCTCTCGCAAAGAAAGCCCGCGGCGAAGGTCATCTCGCAGCAGATCAGGGGATAGAAGGACCCGCGATGACCGTGGCCGACGACAACGAGAACGCAGAGAACGATCCACAAGCTCCGCAGACGAGCGCCGCCGAAAACGCAGCCACCGAAGCCACCGACACCGTGACGACCGTGATCGAGACGGAGAAAGATCTTCCAGAAGACATCGCAGCCCCCGTCTCCGATCGCGCTCCCCACGACCATCACGCAGCCCACAACGCGCATTACAACGAAGCGGCCCTCTACCATCACAATCCGATGCATTCACAGGCGAACTAGTACAATCCGGCGACGCCCCTCCACCAGAGAAGCAAAAGCCAAATTACAAGAATAGCGGTCGCCTCGCAGCCGAAACCAATACAGTACAAGTCGAAGGTGGCGAAGGAATTGTGTTGAAGTACCACGAACCCCCAGAGGCTCGCAAGCCACCAGCCAAGGAACCCTGGCGACTTTACGTGTTTAAGGGAGACGATTTGTTGGAAATGGTTGAGCTGAGCGAGCGGAGTTGCTGGTTGATCGGTCGTGAAAGGGCTGTGGTCGACTTTCCTCTGGATCACCCCAGTTGCTCAAAGCAGCACGCTGCGCTCCAGTTTCGATATGTGGAGAAACGAAATGAATATGGCGATCGCATCGGAAAGGTCAAGCCGTATCTGCTTGACCTCGAGAGTTCTAATGGGTCTACTGTGAATAAGGAACCCATTCCTGCCGGCCGTTATGTTGAAGTGATGGACAAAGACGTGCTGGGATTCGGTACCAGCACCCGCGAATATGTGCTCATGTTACCGAAATGATCCATCTCGAAGCACATATTCCAAAAGATCGAAAATAAACCTACAGAACGACACACCTATCCACCTGGTGTTTGCAGATCCATTGAGATTCCCAATGCTCTACATTAAAAACACTGTGCCTAGATATCCAATGGCATGATATTTTATTGCATGATTAACTAAATTATAACCTACGCCCATCCATTCAAAGATCATAGATATCAGTATCGCTGGAACAATCATTAGTTTCACGTCCAAGCAAAGCCGATTGGTCAACTCACAAAGGCCGAGCGAGGCTCTTTCTTCCCTTGGCCTTATCATTAACCCAAACACTGATACTCTTTGCAGCAACTGGAAAGATCCCATATCCACGATGGTCGATGACGACTGTCTCAATGCACCAGTCTAATATATCCGTCCATTCCTCTCCCATGTGCTTAACGCCGACATACATGCGCTTGTAGGTTGCAACTGTGTTGCTAATAATACAGGCGAGGCCCCATGGGTAGTGGACAGTGCCGTAGCGCACAAAACCTTTCAATGCTCAGTATAGTGACCTCTACCATGGAACAAGACTTACCTATGCAATGTCGCTTGTCGAAGTAGTCGCGCTGTTCTCCATAGGCGTAAAGCTTGCGAGCTTGCATCAGGATCGGGAGCTTGCCCGAGCATGCGGGTCGAAAAAGAGATGCTGGACCACCTCGGAGGCCGTACAAGTCTCCATAGAACACGCATGGCTGGCCTTGACTTCGAAGCAGAATCAAGCCGTAGGCTATTGGCTTGAAGAATGGTATGATGATTGTCTGTCCGGTATCGTTAGTGACTTTCAAATGTGTCAACGCGGATCACCACTCAATATACCTCTAAAGATTGGCCAGGTTGCTTTTCAATGTTGCCATCAGATCATGATCTAATAAGGAGCCTCGATCTCTGGAACTTACCGTGTCATGGTTGCCCACGAATGTCTGTCATTGTTTAGTATGAATTGATGTCATAGGAGTGTGGTGCCTTACTACTGCATGCTTGGGACTTCGCTCCACTAATGTGCCTTTGAACATTTTTCGCAGATCGGCCCCTTCGGTCTGTGAAGTAACTGCAAAACGGCCCAGGAGTGGTACATCAAACAAAGAGATTTCATAGTTCATAACTTGGAGGTATCTCAGAAGAAGGTTTACCTCCCCCCTCCAGTATTCTCCGACAAGAAAGTAGTTAGCCCCAACCGTGCGTCTTAGATGATTAACAAAGTCCCTCTGAAATGCGGCAGAGTAATGTTTAGCTGCATCAATTCGCATGCCGCTGATTGGTAGTTCAGTTCCAATCCATTCCGACCATTTAAAGATATCGGCCCGGACCTCCGGGTTGGTGTGATCCAGATTGGCAAACATCAGATAGTCATAGTTACCGTGCTCATCACTCACATCCTTGGCCCAGTCTTTCCGAGCTCCGGCAATCTTATAGATCGCAGTTTCCTTCCGGTTCTCGTTCCAATCGACACCGTTGAAATGCTGATAATGATATTTCATAGAACTATACTTCCCTTTGCGGCCGGAAAAATCGAATCGAACCCAACCAGAGATATCTTCGGGTGGTGAAATTGCAGCGTTTCGATCTAATTCAATATTAGTGAGATCCATCTTTCCAACCCGATGGACACAAATACCTTCGGGGTCCACTTTCGTTGCTTGGAAGGTTTCGGTCCTGTCTGCTCCGGCTTTGTGGTTTAGGATCGTGTCCCAACAGATCCCTATCCCAACTTCTTGTGCAGTTTGCATCATTTCTAAAAGATGCTCTTTGGGGCCCCACCGCGTTGCTCGAGACCCTTTTTGATGGAATTCTCCCAAGTCCCACAGATCGTAAAGATCGTAGCCGATCCCTGATGCGTCCATTCCTTTGCAGCCTGGAGGAATCCACATCTTGTCAACCCCAATATCTCGGAGGCCGGGCAATGCCTTTTGCAGACGCTTCCAATGGAGTTGATCAGCTGGGACATGCCATTCAAAGCCTTGCATCATCAAGGAATTGTGAGGAGCAATCCACGTGCGAGTTTTTTCCGATTCATTATTATCTAGAGGTAAATTTTGTCAGCCTGTCAACCTTGGCTATTCAATGGCTCCCAGAGTTGCATAAGAATTTCAACCTTCAATCTCTTTCCAGCTGTTCGCCTTTCTTCTCATTTTCAAACAACAGCTGAGAACAGACAACATCTGACCCGTCGCCACGTCTAATGACGATCAAATCAATTCTGCCCCGTACGTCGTCAGTGGTCCTTAGCGACAAGCCAGAAAATCCGTAAAGTATTCTTGAATGAACGATATATCAAATGCGAGATCAAAGCAAAGAGCAGGGCTGGACAGAACTGATAACAGTGACACTAGCAACCCCTGCTGTGCGATTATACTCTGACGTATACTGATGGATTGGTAACTCCCCAATGATTGGCCACCATGGTCTCAAGCACCACACTAAAGCGTGTATTTCATCAAAGCTTGTCTATCTTGGTTCCATCACGATGAACCGATCGTCGGGCGTTGCGTGTCGCCTCTCCCAAGGTTATTGTGCTAGTCAGGTCCATACGAAAAGAAGGTGTAGACAAGTCCTGGAGACCATATTGACAGCAAATCGACATTTCGTCAATGCTTTGAAACATTGTGTCTAAAAATGGTTCCAAGCGGCTGGAGCTCTGAGATATGAAGGGCCCGGTGCAAGTACTTGCGGTAAGCGCATTTGGATCCTGTGATCCGAAGCTGTTACCTGACCAATTAGATATCTTCTTTATGTAGCCTCGATGGACTGGTATGACCGGTAATTTGTGGGAACGGGGCGTCATATTTTAAATGAGTAGATAAGGGACCTGCTGCAGAGTGATACGACTCGTCAAACTAATTCGAGTTCTTGGCCCCGTTGCGATCGAAACTGGCGATCTGCATCTACACGATAGAGGCAATGGTTGGAGATGTGAGACCTAGTTATCTATGATGCACTCAGTCCACCGGAGTTTATACTCCTCTCGAGTAATGAATCCGGCAGCGCTGCCACCGAATAGCTAGTGAAGAGCTTATCGCACGTTTCGCTCTCAACAGCCAGCTTCCCAGTGAAATTACACCGTGAGATTGTGCAACCGGAGTTGCAAAAGCCATGTCAAGCTGACTTTGTCGTCGCAATCCATGCAGCAGATTTGCCACAAAGTCTACATGGTCAGAGGCTCTGTCAGGGTCTCAGATTGCATCTTGGATCACATAAGATCTGGAGATCCGGCTATGCCTTAACAATTTCCAATGAGATAGCCCAGCGGCATGCAATTTCCTATAGAATTTATATAACGAGGGTTCATCAATATGAAGTATATAGGTGGCAATTCTTTACTTGAGGATACCTGAACGCTGCATTCTGTCTTAGTTAGCTGTCGACTTTTCGTCTCCCTTTCTACTCTATTACCAACAGCCTTAGAACCCGGCTATTATTTTCAAGGGTCTGTCAATAATGTCATTGAATAGTAACCAACTTACTCTGCCTAAAGAGAAGTGCCGTTCGTGTTAACAAAATGCCGACTGTAACCCCATGCCCCGAGATCTGCGCCATGTTCCCCACAGCCGATGTGGTCGAAAGTGGTCCCGAGATGAGGGGAATCCCGATCATCATATAGATCAAGTACACATCGCTAAAATACTGCTCCTCATTGTCACAATCAAAGCCACCACACTCATTATGGCCGACCGACCTCCCAAAAACATTCGTTCACTCAACCGGTTCATCACCACCCACAACTCCACTGGCGAAGCAATCTTCTCCGATGCCCTGTCCGAAGATATGCCCATTCAGCGCGTGGGCGATGGCGCAGATTTTAGCCTTGCCTACACATCCTCCCACTTCCCCGCTCAATTGAACAAAGATGCCGATATCACCGAGTACAATGCATACCTCAACAGCCCACCGGGCATTACCATCTCAACCGGGAATGTCTGCCGAATCGTGGATATGCAGCCCGGTGCTACGAGCCCTATGCACCGCACCGTCTCGCTAGACTATGGTGTTGTTCTGGAGGGGGAAGTTGAGCTTATTCTGGACTCGGGCGAGACGAGGTTGATGAAGCGAGGTGATGTCGCTGTGCAGCGCGGAACTAACCACGCGTGGCGCAATGTCACACCTGATGTCGTTGATCCGGTTACTGGAGAAAAGACGGCGCAGTGGGCACGCATGCTCTATGTCCTTGCACCGGCGCAGGAGATGTTTATCGGGGATAAGAAGCTGGGAGAGGTTGTTGATGGTATTGGGGTCCGGGCTAGCACCTAGTTCTCTGAGTCTTTCTGTACTAAGTAGATGTCAATCTCGAAAGGTGGAAACTAAATTATGTATAGTTATAAACTAGAGATCAGACTAGGAATGGTGATTCGACTTTAAATCAATACAAAAAATCTCGCCGCTCAGAATACAGTATCATATTGATGTTAACTACCATTCTCCTCCAATTTCATAGTGAAATATCTTATCATTAACTCTTCCCCCAGTAAATCTCCATAGACGCGACGCAGTCTATAGATTTGTCAGTACATCGGACCTGCTTAGTGAGCATACGACATACCGCGTTGAGCCACACTCCGTGCAGCATGACTTGAATAAACACGTACTCCCCAGCGCTGGTGCCTGCCGTTCGCTCGTTGTAGTCGAGGTTATGGTTTGCAGGGCGATAAGCAGGCATGCGGCGGTGATCAGTTGGCCAGTCCGCTGGTTGTGGTGTATTCACGGATGGAGCTGGAGCAGGTGTAGACCGCTCTTCACCGCTGTGGTGTAATTCATAGTCGGCCAGGACCGACAGAGAGGTGGCAGTGGTAGTAGTAGTCGCCGACATGATGAAGTCGAAGATAGATAGAAGTGGATTAAACATGAGTATACAATGGAAATACTATGATATTCAGCTAGGGAGAGCTCCTCTGCGCCGCATGGTTTCCGCCCGCATTCTCCCCCACATCCCGAACGCCATGCGACTCGGAGAGCAGCTTAGCTCCGACAAGCAAGTAATCTGGAGAGTATGCTTTAGGGAAAGTGGGCGCGTCGAAATGTATTATCTTTTCTATTTTTTGTTTCTCGAGCTCTCATCCTCAATTACCATTAACGTAAATCGCGATCATGGATCTCTCACGCATACTTACCGCCAACATCGACGGCCGAACCCAGAACACGCGATACCGCCAAGCACAGTTCCAACGCCTCCAGTCTACCCTAGTTGAGCATCTCGCTGAAATCCAAGATGCGATCCGCGCCGACTCCGGTCATACACAGCAGGAAATTCGGGCGGAGGTTGTACTGGCCCTGCAGGAGCTTCGCACGCACTATACGTCGTTGAGCCTCGCGAAAGATCTAGAGGTCGAATATCGCATCGCGCAAGGAAGGGACAACGTGGATGGCTGGCGCAGTGCTGGTATCGTCTATATCGTGCCATGTGTCCATACTTTGTTTTTCTCCGTCATATCTGCTTTGACCGCAGCCCTTGCGGCAGGAAACTGTATCGTTCTTGAGGTAAGTAGATACATTGCTGCGTGGTCTATGAAGTCAAGCTAATACATGCAATATATAGCTTCCCCAAACTATGTTGGCTTTGCCTGCTCTTCTACGTCAAATTCTACCAGATGCGCTGGATCATGATACTTTTGCCATTACAACCCAACGGCCCGATAGCTCGTTCCTAAGCAAAGCACTGATGGTTATCCAGACCGATTCTGATGCACCCAGTGGTATCCTTTCGCCCGCGACAGCAAGGACTGTCGCGGTTGTCGATCGTACAGGTAAAGTCGCTGAAGCCGCGCAGGCACTTGTCGCGGCACGCTTTGCGTTGGGCGGTCGATCCCCGTACGCGCCCGATGTCGTACTGGTAAATGAGTTTGTGATGAAGCCTTTCGTGGAGTCAGTGATTCAGCATGCATCCAAGTATCTTGCTGGTGAGAATGGTGAGGCTCGGCAAGGATCGGGCTCGTCTCGACGATCGGGATTGCTTGATTCGATCACCAAGGACCGAAGTGCACGAGTGCTCGTTTCTGGAAGCAACTGGGGAATTGTCGAGGTCCAAGATCGGAACTCCTCTTTGCTTCTGAAGAAGATCGATGAGAAGGTCTTGCTAGTGCATCCCGTCACTAGCTTGGACGATGCCATTGATGTCAACTTGTTAGTCCCCCATTCTTCCCAATTATAAATTTGATCAGGATAATTTACTAATTAATGATAGCAATCAAACCTTGGCTGCCACTTATGCCTTTGCGGCGCCAGCCTCGGCCAAATACTTGACTCAATTTATCGATGCCGACATCTCGTGGGTCAACCACGTCCCGGCCCACATGCTAGGTATGACACTAAGGCAACTATCGGTCGATCAATCACTAACAAGCACTAGTTGGACCGGCGATTCCCCGAAACACACCGTACAATGCGCAAACTCGCTATTCGACCGCTCAATTCCAGCGACCGCGCCCCCAGCTGATCTCGGCTGCGACCCCAGCACAGGCGGCGCAGACTATTCTCGACGGTGCTAATATGGTCAAATCTGACTTACTCTGGCGGCAAGCTATTTCTCCATTACCCTCTACGAATCAGCGGCCGGGATTCAAGATTGGGTACTTTGAACAAGGCATCATCTCCGGTGGGTTGATCACGCTGGCATCGGTGGTGGCAACAGTGTCTACGCTGGGATATTATACATGGGTTTTTGTCCGGGCGCGATCATAGCTATGTCTTTTTGCATCTGTATAGTGTATTTAAATTGAATTTTGGAGCTTTAAAGCCTTTGCAACGTACAGCATAACATAGCATAATAGTGTAGCCGACCCCTCACATGGGTAGCGTGCGGGCCTCGGGCGCCTCGGCTGTGTACATGGTAGTGAACCCCCGCGTTCAACCGACGCAGCTATGTCACGAACAAAAGGACGATCTTACCGAAACTCGTATTCTTATTCTATTCATTCTTATTTTTTCTCCTTCAATATTCCCCTTGCACATACTTGTTGAGATTGAAGTTGACTTCATCGTCGTCAACCTCCTCTCCTTCTTTACTCCCCACATCTCACTCTCTCGCGGCCCCGCAATCTACCCCGGACCCATTAACAATCCACAATGGCCCTCAGCTTCAGAACAAGCCGCCATGCCTCCAAATTAGTCCAGGTAAGAATTTCCTGATATCCTAATCCCATTGAGTACTATTGAATGCAACCGGACTCCTTGGCTGACCTGAATTGCCAGGCGTCGCGCCCCTTGTTATCGGCCCGACGCTATGCGACCGCGGAGCCGGACCTGAAGACCACTCTGAAAGAAATTATCCCCGCCAAGCGGGAACTTCTCAAGCAGGTCAAGGCCCAGAGCGATGATGTTATTGGAGAAGTCAAGGTGGGCAATGTCATTGGTGGCATGCGCGGCCTCAAGGCCATGCTGTGGGAAGGCTCCGTTCTCGACGCCGACGAGGGTATCCGCTTCCACGGAAAGACAATCAAGGACTGTCAGAACGAGCTTCCCAAGGGCACAACAGGAACAGAGATGCTCCCCGAAGCCATGTTCTGGCTGCTCCTGACAGGCCAGGTCCCCTCGACCTCTCAAGTGCGCGCGTTCTCCAAGGAGCTCGCAGAGAAGTCACACTTGCCTCCTCACATATTGGACTTGATCAAGTCTTTCCCCAAGTCCATGCACCCCATGACTCAGTTGTCTATTGCGGTCGCCGCACTCAACACCGAGTCCCAATTTGCCCAGGCTTACGAGAAGGGTCTTAACAAGGCAGACTACTGGGAGCCTACTTTCGACGACAGTATCTCGCTACTCGCGAAGATTCCCCGTGTCGCGGCTCTGGTCTTCCGTCCCGATGAGATTGATCTCGTTGGAAACCAGAAGCTTGATGTGGCTCAGGATTGGTCATACAACTTTGCTGAGTTGCTGGGCAAGGGCGGCAAGGAGCACGAGGACTTCCACGACTTGCTCCGTCTGTACCTCGCTCTGCACGGTGACCACGAGGGTGGTAACGTCTCTGCTCACGCAACACACTTGGTTGGAAGTGCTCTGAGCGATCCCTTCCTTAGCTACAGTGCTGGTTTGCTGGGTCTTGCCGGTCCGCTGCACGGACTAGCAGCCCAGGAGGTCCTGCGCTGGATTCTGGCGATGCAGGAGAAGATTGGCACTAAATTCACCGATGAGGATGTTCGTAACTACCTCTGGACCACTCTCAAGTCCGGTCGTGTCGTTCCCGGCTATGGGCATGGTGTTCTCCGCAAGCCCGACCCCCGTTTCCAGGCACTGATGGACTTTGCCGATACCCGCCCCGATGTCCTTGCCAACCCGGTGTTCCAATTGGTCAAGAAGAACTCTGAGATCGCACCCAGTGTACTGACTGAGCATGGCAAGGTATGTTGTCCTGTTAAATATCATTCGTACACCATCACTGACTATTCTTGCAGACCAAGAACCCCCATCCCAACGTGGATGCCGCCTCCGGTGTTCTCTTCCACCACTACGGCTTCCAGCAACCCCTATACTACACCGTGACCTTTGGTGTGAGTCGTGCTCTGGGACCTCTTGTCCAACTTATTTGGGACCGTGCCTTGGGTATGCCCATTGAGCGCCCTAAGAGCATCAACCTTTTGGGTCTCTTGAAAAAATAATTTATGACAAGCGTGTCACTTACGGGCAACGGTTTGATTCGAATTATGAAAGGCGTCAGCGAGCCTAAATGGATTTTTTCTTTGGTTTGAGAAAAGAGTGCGATTTATAGATAGACATAGAATAGCATGCAAATGAATTGTCTATCGAATTTATTAAGAATGCTCCAGGTATGATTCATTCATTAGTCTGCACTTTCAAATGTTCAACGCCAACTAGATCGGCCTCCTTATTCAAGCTTGCAATCTCGGCCTCTGCAAAAGGAATCCCCTCCACCAATCTCTTCTCCTCGGTGATTATCTCCAATTCTCCAGGGAAATAGATCCTCTCCACACCGGCCATCTTTTCCGTCTCTACAACTCTTTTATACAGATAATCCATACGCCCCTGAAAGTCCTCCATACTCATGAACAAATCCGGCTTGATAGCGACAATGAAATGCCCAACATCAGCCGGCTTCGACGGATCATAAGGGTTAGTAACATGTCCCGCAAATGCCGCCCCAGAGAACACGCCCGAGAACACGTCCATCATGATCGACAACGCAGACCCCTTCGGTCCCCCCATAGGCAACATCACGCCCTCAAGCGCCTTCGCCGGATCATCCGTCCGATTCCCATCTTTATCTAGTGCCCAATCATCGGGAATCTTCTCCCCCCTCCTCAATGCCTTGTAAATCTTTCCTCGAGCCGCAATGGAAGGCGCCATATCCAAAATGAACGGCCTCGTTCCGTCTCCACTCGGAGCCCCACATGCAATCGGTGAAACTCCCATCAATTTCTCCCGGCCTCCCCAGACTGGTAACGCAGGCGAACTATTCGTGAAAACAAGCGACATCATCCCCGCTTCGAGCGCTTGCTTAACGAGCCAAGCGGACATCCCGAAATGATTCGAGTGTTTGACCGAGACCATTCCCATGCCGAAAGTCTGTGCCATCTCAATCGCGCGCTCCATGGCCATATGAGCAGCGACAAAACCGAAGCCATTGTGGCCGTTGACTTGAGCTGCGACGGGCGTTTTTTGTTCCAATGTGGGGAGTGCAGAGGCGTCGAGTGCCTTTTGTCGGATTCGCTCCATGTAGGAGGGGATTCGATTGCTGCCGTGGGTGTCTACCCCACGGAGATCAGCCGAGACAAGGCATTTGGAGACTATGTCTGCGTGTGTGCTGGAAGTGCCATTTGCGATGAGAATTTTGATGACGAAGTCTTGGAGGTCGGTTGGGTTTATGAGGTGTAGTTGTGACATGTTGGAATTGATAGTTCTTCCAAGGTTGAGGGATTCAGTTTGAACCTTCGGATCTTGAGCTTTAAAATTTGATGGTCTGGTAGATTTTATTTTTGTGGAGTGATGGTTTTGGCTTTATAGTGCTAGAAAGCGGATGTGTCCCGATAGACGGAGTTGCTCCCGACCGTGGATTCTGGTAGCTACGCCGTGGTTTCTGGGCTGGATGTATTCCCCAGATATTCATACATACTAAACCATCTACATCTGCAACTCTGATAGAAGTGCTCCAGGGTGATTCGCGATATGAGGCATATATCGATACAGTGGTCTAGTCTAGGTTTCCCGGTATGAGCTCGCCTGTCTGGCCTTACGCTCTGCGCTGCCCTTCGACATGATCCATCCACCTTTTAACACCGAACACCCACTGGCCACTGATTTCTATCTTGTCCATTTCAGCAAGTGGATGAAATGTTAGCTTGAAGTACTCTTGATAAAATCAATGGATCAAGCACCAAGCGTTCCTGCTCGCCTGGGCTGCGAGTTGTCCCGCTCCCGTCGGGCTCGGCTGTATCAGCAACAAAAGATATGACCTTTGAGGGACTTTGTCATTGAACTCGAAGACTATTGGCTAAATCTGACATGGATCAGTTGATCTTTGTGATTGAGGGAATTATTAATTATGGCAACATCCGCTGGAGTTTTGCATCTATATGCATCTGGTCCGTAAGACATCCTTTTGTACTATCAAGCCCTTCTACCGACTCAAAACCGCCAGATTGATTCTCACCGTGCGCACTATCGCCAAGGGGCAAGAGGCCAAAGAGTATATCTTGCGGAGTAACCCGCAGCGCTCCGACCCGGATACCATCGAGAAATGGTCGCTTGATCTCTCGAGTACCGAGTCAACGTTGGGCGTTTACTAGTCGTGCGAAGACAGGGCTGCTACTGGATGTTCTGATCAATAATGCAGGAATCTTATTAGTCACATACCCCGCACTTTGCTGGGCGCCTAACGTGAAACTAATTCGAGAGACTCCGTGAATTTACTTCCTGAATACTTTCTACAAAACAGTGGCTCAACAATAGCAAAATAATCGGACATCACACGTTATGTCTTGTACTGCTTCTTCTACTCATACCCACTATGGGGTAGACCCGGGAAACCATCCAGATCAAAAGGAATTAAGCGCTACTATGCAGAAGTTGCATAGGAACCCATTAGGCCGCCTGGAACTGGGCACTGATGGTGTTTTGCGCTCTGTCAACCTCGAAAGTGAAGTTATTGATGCTGTCGGTCTACCGCCTCGACTTATCAAGGCGCTTCTTGATCTTTCTCCATATAATGAGGAGCGGGAAGTTCGCTTCCGCAACTCCGATGGAACCTTGATACCTCAAGAGCAGTGGTTGGCACCAGATGCTTCCATACTACCACGCCGCTTTACAACAGAGCAAAAGGATGAAATTAGGAGGCACTATGAGGAGAACAAGGACATTATCGAAGAGAATATGCGGAAGAGGGCAAACGGGGAGATCCAAGGTTGTGGTGTTGTAATTCAGTCAAACTACAGGATTTAATCTAGATATCAAGAATCCACCTGAGTGGAAGTTCTATGGGGACAATGAACTGGCCGTTCAGGTTAACGTTTTTTATACCGTTTTGCTAGCATTACCTCCGTTACCAAACCTAGAGGCGAGTGGCCACGCTATTAGAGGAGAGGTCACAGCCACATCTAGTGATTGTGAGCTCCGAGGCACACCGGTTGAACAAATTACCCGAAATAAATGCGCCGGATCTATATGCGACGCTTAATGAGAAAAGCGATTTCAGCCAGCAGCCGAGGTTAATTTTATCTAGTGATCGCACGCCCGTAAGCAGGAAGAAGATGGCGTCCCTAACATCAGCCCCTTTCGTACAGATACCAATTTACGAAGCTCATGGAAAATAAATCCTTCGCACACGCGAGCTTATCGCTCGCCTTGGTTCCTCTACTCGCGTTATCATCAATCTTATGAATCCAGGTCTATGTACCTCCAACCTGGATCGCGACAGCAGTAAGCCCTCGGCGATGCTACGTCTGATACTATTTATCTTGACTCGCACTACTGAAGTCGGCAGCCGCATCCTTGTCCTCGCTGCATCGGCTCCCGCCAGCTCGCACGGCGAGTTACAAAGTGATGGAGCGAACGAGGATGTGGAGGGGTGGGTATATACAGAGGTCGGACAGCGGGCACAGAAGAAGGTGTTTGAGCAGACGCTGCAGATTCTGGAGGCAAGACAGGCGGGGATTGCGCGTGAGGCAGGGCTGCAGGATTAGTTCGAGGGAGAGGTTTCATACTGAATCCGGCCGAAGTACGTACCGTGTTGAAACTTGAGGCTGGCTTATTTCAAGCCTTATACCACAAGGGCAATAGTAGGATTTGCTTGCCTGATTTGAGATCTCGCGTTTCATGATGGGGAAATTCTCATTTTATTCTGATTCAAAAGACTACAAATCTCAACATTGCGATAGAACACATCCGTTCCGTCCAACCTTGCAAAACCTTGGCATGGATGATCGGCACGCCTTCATCTAAAAAGGGTCTAAAGAGTGGGGCCATTTTGGGGGCCATAACAATTCGCAATGTTCACGGCCAAAGCAATACGCAGTCAGGGCTCGTTTTGATCGCGAATACTTGGATAGTGATCATAGTAAAGCGCACAAAAGCTACAGTCTTACGTGTGATGGACACGTTGGAGGCGCTCTCACCACAAAAAGGTCTCAAAGTACACCGTCTGTTTGGGGAAAGGTGCGTGGAAATAAAATCGGGCTTGCAGGTTACAATGCCGAGTTTAGGTCTCGGTCTCTGCCCGAGCCTTCAAGTCTCGATTGAAAACCTCATAGTCGGCTCGCATCTTCTTTCCAAGTACCGATGGGCTGAAGAGAAAAGACAGGAATCCCTTAGAAGTTTCCGACTGCGTGAAGATGGTGCCGGCACCATCCTCCGCTGGCTCAATATGAAACTGGTGCAAGCCAGCAATGGTGAAAACAGGTGGACCTTGCCATGAGAAAAGAGTCTCGGTATTTGCCTGCTTTATCGTCAATATTGATACTGTCGCGCATGTGTTAAGAGTACGTACCACGACATCAGCAACGAATTTGTATCCTTCGATGTTCACTTGCACCTTGTCGCCATTGGTGAGAGATTCACTGGTCTTTTCATCTCCTTGAATCTCAATAGATTTGATCCACGCCGTATGCCATTCTGGGTAAGCAGAGAAATTGAGGAGCTGGGAATGGTGAGCATGGTATTGGCTTAACAGGGGTAAACGGCTACCTACAATTTCGCGCACTTTAGCTGGTGAGGCAGCTATCTCGATCTTGCTCTCGTTGAAAGGCATGTTGATATCGGTGCTTTTGGTGCAAAATGCAAAGTATTTGAGTCAAAGAAAGGGGTGAAATGCAAGATTTTGAGAAAGGGAAGCCGTAAGGTGCGTGGATGTAAAACGTTATATCACCAGACCCACCTGGTCGATTAATTGTCTCAGTTATGTTAGCAACCTCATTCTCAAGGCACCATATGACAGATCCACTCAAGCCTTCAGCTACTTCTCTGCTCTTGAGATACATCTTATTGGAAGTCCTTGCATCTACATTCAACGAAATTCCAATCAAGAAAACGAAAAATAAATCACATTGTTAAATGACATTTCTTCCATGTTTAATCAGAAACGAGGCTCTCCACATCCATCTGTTCTGTCCGATAAAAGCCAAGAGCTGTAATCATCGGCTTATCGTCAAAACGGTAGAAGTACACCGTTTCCCCCTCATTGGCAAAGTGCTGGTACTTGTACCATGAAGGAATGCAGAATGTGTCGCCAGTCTTCCATGTGAGGGTCTCGTCTCCAACCTGGGAAGTCCCACTTCCTGCGATAACATGGTAGACAGCGGAAGTCGTCTCGCGACGGGCGGGAGACGGGGTTGAAGCACCAAGCCTCTCTGCGCAGCCACCAATAATACGGCTCACTATTAGACTGTTAGCATCACAGGTAACAGAATTCCAACGGCTGGATGAAGTATAAGGCTAAAGGAGAAGAGTCAAATACCTTCACTTCCGTCCTCCTTCAGATATCGCTTTGTAGTCCAACTGCCCTCGTCCTGATCGAGCTGGGCCTTCATGCGAACCCAAGGGAACACGATTGGCGAAGCACTGGTATCAACATTGTCGGCAGGATATCTAGGTTGCTCAAAGTGCTCGACAAAATGGACGGGAAAATGGCGAAAGTTGGGCAAATCCAGCCCATCTAACCAGATCATGGGTCCGGAGCCATCCTTCCCATGATCGTGCCAGTTCCAGGTTGGGGTGAGGATCACATCTCCCTTCTGCATCTGAATTCTCTTGCCGTGCACGGCAGTGAAGCCCCCGTTGCCCTCGATAATGTAGCGCATAGCAAATGCAGTGTGCCTATGAGCAGGGGCAGTTTCATTGGGCATAACAAGCTGCAGGCCTGCGTAGAGGGTATCGGTTGTGTAGGGGGCATCTTCATATCGGGTATCAGCCAACTAGACAACATAAAGTTTCCCCTGGCCAAAATCGCAAGATATCAAGATATTCTCACGTACCTCTAGTGGGATTGATCAGCATCAACACCCGTCTCTCGGCCTGCTTCTCAGAAATGAGGTTCCCGGCTCGCAGCAAGTTGGGACGAATGCTATCGTACTCCCAGACGTAAGGTACCGCTGTCGGATTGGGCAAGGGTGGGTTAAGTCGAGTCATTTGAGTCCATAATGGAAGAGTCTTGCTGTCCTGCAGATGTTCAAGAAGTTGCTCCGGTGTGTCAACACTGGCCTTTTCTTCAAGGAACGGAGCCATGGAGATGTGTTTGGGAGATGACTGATTATACCGCGTGACAGTCAAGTACAAAGTTCAGGTGGACAGCACTGATGATTTAAGTCATTTCCCAAAATATCCCGCTTTCTTATATAGCGCATCTGTCAAAAGGGCTATATGCTATCTGGTTGGAGGAGACCGGGGCTGGACCGGGAAGGGCGGGAATGGTTACCCTGAACCGGGGAAGATGCGGGGAATGCAATCCGATAGAATTCATTATACCATGTCAGGGAGAATACTCTCACGATTCGTTTTGTCCATCTTTATTCTCTTCTGAGCCATCATGACTTCGAACGGAGTCTCGCGTAATCCCCATGATGCTACGGCACTCAGCGTGAGTCTTTTGCCCTGAAGATTTACATATACAGGAGCTTATTCACTGCAGATGCCAACGTACCCCAGCAACTGCCTAGAATTTGCGAGGCCTCTTTTAGCTCCAGGAACAAAAAGTTCTGATTGTGTGGACAAGGCCAACGTGCCTTTGAATATTCTCCTTGTTGGTGCTGGCTTGGGCGGCCTTACCACAGCCATTGCGCTCACGCAAAGTGGCCACAACGTAACAATCTTCGAGCAGACGTCCGTGCTTGGGGAGGTGGGAGCTGGAATCCAAGTGCCATCTAACTCTACCAAAATCCTTTTCAAGCTGGGGCTGACACCATACCTGAAGCCCTATGTCACTGAGCCTGAGTCTATATCTTTCAGAAGATGGCAGACTGGCAACGTTATTGGCAACACGAAATTAGTTCCGGACTTTACGAACAACTTTGATGCTCCATACTATGTGATTCACAGAGCTCACTTCCACTCCGCCCTCTGCCAAAAGGTGCAGGATATGGGAATTGAAATCAATTTGGGAGCGAGAATTGAGACTTACGACCCGGTCGCGGGAAGTATTATGCTTGCTGATGGAACGACCTTCACTGGAGATCTCGTGGTCGCTGCTGACGGTCGGTCAGTCATATAACTTTGACTTTTTACCTGACTAACATAACATAAGGAATCAAATCCGTTGCTCGCAAAATCGTCCTCGGCGGAGAGGATATGGCTTTCCGCAAGCCTGGGTTTGCGGCATATCGCGCTACAGTAGATGTGGAGCGGATGCGAAATGATCCCGAATTGTCATGGATTCTCGAGAGACCAGCTCTGAATATTTGGTATGACAAAGACTGAATCCACATTTTGCCCGTTCATCTCAATATTGACTTTATGACAGGATTGGGGATGCGAGACACGTCATGACCTACACTATCGGTGCGGGCAAGGCCTTCAATATGGTGCTATCTCATCCAGATGCCACTGATCCATCTACATGGGACCCTACCAAGGCTGTTGATGATATGAAGGCCGAGTTTGACGGCTGGGATCCAGTGTATGTTATAATGAACTTGGATCCATTTCTTTTTCCTGTGACGACTAAACTAATCCTCACCTCATAGTCTTACCAAAATCATTGGCATGGTAGAAAAAACCCTCAAATGGCCACTCATCAGTGGCTCCGTTCTTGACAAGTGGGTGTCGGACAAACTTGTCATACTTGGAGACGCTGCCCACGCGATGTTGCCATACATGTCACAAGGTATGTTTAATTGGATATTGCATCTCCGGTAATCCAGATTCAATCCAAAATACTAAACACTATGAACAGGGGCTGCAATGGCTGTTGAAGACGGACTGGCCCTATCCCGGGCCTTGTCTAAGATTCAAAATCCAGAGCAGCTAGGAAAATGCCTTTCCATTTTCGAGAAGGTCAGAATGCAACGTGCTGGTCATATGCAGGAGGCTAGTCTGCTCAACAGCCAACTCTGGCATTTTGCTGATGGCCCTCTGCAAGAGGCAAGAGACGCGGCAATGGTCCCCGAAGTAAAAGGACTGCCGTTCAGTCACAGCCCAAACCAGTGGAGCGACCCTGCCACTCAGATGTGGTGTTATAGATATGATACCGAGGAAGCCATTGATGAGGCATGGGAAAGTAGCCGACTCAACAATCTCCAGCTGTAATTTTATCATAGGATAGCTTTACTCTAATCGACGATTTAGAAAGTAATGCGTCAAGATTGCGTCGTATCACTTGCCCTCGCCTCATAGCTGATGTTGCCAGTCCGTTATGGGAAAGTAGCCGACATAACCGTTGTGGGTGGTAATCATCCTCCGGTATCTATCAGGATGGTCTTTGCAATGCGCCTGCCCCACATTCCCCACATTTGGAACTAGTCAGGACAGACGGGGAACCCGGAACACTGACCATACCAATCGCCGGGGAAACACCGGAAGCAGAAACTAATACGCATAGCGTCTGTTGCGGCCCGGTAATAGTGTAATCCATAGTGGTTTTGGTGGGTCAGCCAGAGGCGAAAACTATTCTATTTCATCTGATCGATCCTGCCCATTCTTATGGAAAAATATTCGACTTCGAATTCCTTCAGTCTTGCAGAAGTAGAAAATGGCATCTCCCGCCCCCAAGCATTTTCCTGATCGTCCTCAGTTCTCGGGCTTCATGAAGCCATGCCGATTTGAAGGAGAAGTTCAACATTTGGAGGTGCATGGAGATCTTCCTAGTGACATCAACGGTACTTTTTTCCGTGTCATGCCAGACCCTCAGTTGCCCCCCTTCATCGACAATGACCCTGTAAGTCTCCGCCTACCTTGACCATCCACCTCCGTTTGGTATCACTCTGACACTTAGAATTAGTGGTTCAATGGAGATGGAAATGTCAGCGCGTTTCGCATCAAGGATGGAGTAGCGACTTTCCAGCAAAAATATGTTCGCACCGAGAAGTTTGTACGCGAGAGAGAAGCCAACCGCGCGCTTATTGGTATGACTTTTCTATTCACGTGATAGGCATCTTCTGTTCAGCTACTTTGAAAGACGGGCTATTAACAAATAGCTTCAAAATCAGGGAAATATAGGAATAAATTCACTGATGCGGTGGATTTTACCGTCAGAACTACTGCCAACACGAATGTTGTCAGCTTCAACGGCCAGCTCTTGGCGCTCAAGGAGGATTCTCCCCCATATGCAATGGACCCGGAGACTCTGGAAACAAAGGGCTTGTATACCTTTGATGGCCAGCTTCCTAGCGTGACTTTCACTGCTCATCCGAAGACAGATCCAGCGACTGGGGAGTTGATTTGTTTCGGTTACGAAGCCAAGGGAGACGGCACCCCCGATATTTGTTATTACACGATTGGTCCCGATGGCAACTTTACCCAGACTTTGTGGTTAGTGAGCCCTGTCTGTGGAATGATCCATGACTTTGCAGTGACAGAGAACTGGGTGAGTGCTGCGCCTTGGTACCCATCGGCACGATGTCGCCATTTAACTGAGAGTTTTGGTCTTATTAGGTTCTTTTCCCCGTGATTCCCCAGTTATGTGATATTGAGCGAATGAAGCAGGGTGGAGAACACTGGCAATGGAGCCCTGAAACCCCTTTCTATATCGGAGTGATCCCTCGCTACGGTGCCAAATCTTCAGATGTCAAGGTAGGTGGATTTATGTAACCAATCCTGTCCGGTTTAAGCACTTTCTCACGTGGATTGCAGTGGTTTACATACAAGAATTCCTTCCCTGGCCATACGGCCAATGCCTATGAGCACGAAAACGGCAAAATTGTATTTGATCTTGGACTGAGTGACAAGAATGTCTTCTACTGGTGGCCTGATGCCCAGGGAAACTCGCCTGATCCCATGACGATCCACACCCAGCTAACACGCTTTACCTTCAATCCCAACGCTGAAGAAGGATGCCTCCCCGAACCAGAGGTCTTGCATGATGGAAATTCGGAATTCTATCGCATTGATGAGCGGTTTTCGGGAAAGCAGTATCGCCATAGCTACTTCGATCTCATGGACCCGCGCTTGGGAACAGACTTTGCAGCTATCGGCCCGGTCATGGGCGGCGGATACCCTCCTTACAACGCGCTGGCACATTACGACTGGAGCACGGGCAAAACGGAAGTTTACTTTCCGGGGCGCACACATCTCGTGCAAGAGCCAGTTTTCATTCCTCGGGTAGGCTCTACAGAAGAAGGGGATGGATATCTGATGGCATTGGTAAATAACTATCGCACCATGTCCAGTGAACTGCATCTTCTAGACTGCCGGGATTTCACCAAAGCCCGAGCGACTATTTTGCTTCCTTTGAGGCTCAGAGCCGGTCTGCACGGGAACTGGGTTGACAACTAAAGAGTGGGCGAGGCTTAGTATTCTTGTCATTTCTTATGAATGCAGTATAAAGATCAAGTCTTATACACGGGTGGCTCTGTCGTACACTTTGTAGATTTCTCTAAGATCGTAGGCTCAGCTTCGCTTGAGAAGAGGCCATTGTTTCTCTTGTCGTCTCTGGAAATGAGGTTATCAATATCAGTGGTCTACATCAACTTCGTCTTCTTTCTTGAGCTCGTAGCATCTGGGTTCTTCGGGATATTCATTACAAGTCTCGTTGTTGTTTCTGTTATTATTTTTCGTGGTATCACGAAATTTCGTCCACAATTTGCATAAAGGGGGACTGTGAAGGACATGTCAGGTGGATTTGGCGCGTGGACGCGTATATCTGCATCTCTGTTGCCGGGAACCTGTTGCCACCGGGAATTACGGGATCGATCCCGGCCTTTCCCCGCTTCCCCCCACTCATAGACTCAGTATTTCGCATGTGAGCTAATCTTTTTCTAAAGTATTGAATGGAACCCCCTCACTTCACTTCCTGTTTTCTAAAACTCAATCATGTCTCTTCCTTGGAAACGCCTAATCCGCTTCGAGGCCGCTGATGGCCGTGTCCTGCGTGGAGAGCCTGTGTTGCCCGAAGACAAGGACATTGATCTTGGGTTTGTCACCGAAGCTGATCAGATTGAAGCGAAGGTGCTTGTCGGAGATGATATCTACGACGTAACAGGAAATACCAGATTGACAGCCGAGACGGTATTGGTCAAGAAGATCCTCTCGCCTTTGGCCCAGAGCGATGTGCCTATCTTGCGTTGCGTTGGTCTGAATTATGCTAAGCACAGTATGTACAGACCATCAATTTCTGTACTCTTTCCTCCTTCACAATAATGCTAATTTCGGAATTCATGTCATAGTCAAAGAGGCCGGACGCAAGCCTCCCCCGTTCCCCTTCATCTTTTTTAAACCCACCACCACAATCCATGATCACGGTGAAGCTGTGGTGATCCCCAAAATTGCGCAAAATGACCAGGCCGACTACGAAGGAGAATTGGTTCGTCTTATACTTCCAACTAGCATTACTAATATTTTGGAAGCTGATCAATTTGATGTTAGTGCATTGTGATTGGAAAAGATGCCAAGGACGTTCCAGTGGAAGAAGCCTTGAATTATGTCGCCGCTTATACTGCCGGAAACGACGTTTCCTCCAGAAAGCTTCAGAGAGACCCTGCCTATGCTGGTGTGGTTCCTCAGTGGGGCTTCTCTAAAGGCTTCGATACCTTTGCCCCTCTCGGCCCGGTGTTAGTTGCTGCCTCCGAGATCGCAGACCCAAGCCTGCTACAATTAAAGACCATTATTGATGGTGAAGTCCGTCAAGAGGAGGGCGTCTCCGACCTTCTGTTCGATTGCAAGTATTTGATCTCGTATTTGTCCCAGGGTACTACTCTTCAGAAGGGCAGCGTCATCATGACTGGAACCCCCGGTGGTAAGTACACCAAGGCAGAGAGACCCCAAATAAGAGCCAACTAGGATCATTTTCTAACTTTCTCTCTCAGGTGTGGGTGCGGGCTTGAACCCTCCAAAGTACTTGATACCAGGAACCCAGATGGATGTTTTCATTTCACAGATTGGCACATTGCGGAATAACGTTGTATTTGCTTAGAAGCAGGGTTCAGATGAGAAAAGATATAAGGAAACAACAAGATAATAGGCTTCTCGATGATATGTACAGAAAATATACATTTTGCCTCTCAAATTACATTGTGTCAAAGATAGCACAGAATTCGCAACCGTGTTTTGCTGTTTTGATTGTGGTAGTAGGTCTAAATCGTTTTACTGCAGAACATATCTTGTGGACCAGAAAAACCTCCAAGTAACATCAACGAACACGTATGGTCCAAGGACAAACTTCATCTATAAAACCTCAAAAATATCAATCTCAACGTATCCTGGCCGGGTTGGAGGCTTCGAAACTCCCAAGAATACCGAGCTGGGCAGCCACTGGAACTTCTTGTTGTCCGTGGAAACCTCGAACTTGGGGATGGTGCGCGTGTACCAATCCTTTCCTCCGTTTGTCATCGACGCTGACGAGGGATCTTTGTTTTCAAAAACGGTTTTCATGGCTTTTTGACTAGCTCGGCCGTATCCTTCGTTGATAATACCAATCATGGTACCGTCATCGGCTTGTATCGAGTATCGTGCATAAACATGCACCACATCGTCTGAACGCACGGCATTCCAATCACCCCCTGAATTGGGTATGATCTTGCCGCTTAGCTTAGGTTTAGATACGCTACCACCGGTAATAGGGATGAATCTTCTATCACCAGATGCAGTGGAGCCAAAATCGAGAGGTTGATCCAAATCAACGCATAGAGTGAAGCTGTGCTCCAGCTGGGGAGCAATAGGCATTGTGGCGGCAGGGCAAGGTTTTTGAAATGTGAGTTGAGGAAGAGAATGGGGCGATCGTTTCCATCGATGGATAGTCTGGCTTTTATCATCGTCGATGGTGAATTAGAAAATGACATTGTTAGTGCTATTCGTTAATGCCGGTGTTTCTTCCGAGTTCCGAGATAGCCCCGGATGTATTGGTGGGGATTTGAGTTGCGTATTGAACAGGATATGGGAGACTTACGTTTCGACGTCAGCGCACTACAAGACTGACTCGAGGATTTAGTGATTCTCGATGCCGTTCTTCATTTCCTTCCCTGAAATGGCAGTCATATTCCAGGAGTATACAATTGCAATGTCAATCACATTAGTCGCGAAGAAACAGCTGAGGCATGTATGGTTACCCGATCCAAATCCCACGCATGGAGCGCTTCATCTTCGGCCCGGTGGGATCCCCTCTGTTTGAATTCTATCCGACATGCCGGATACCCGGTTCAAAGAATAATGTAAAGCCCTAATATGTGAGCAGGGAAAACGCATTACTACCAAGAGTACTGGCTTAGATGTTGACCTTACCTATATTGTTGAACAGCAGCATAAAGTTGTCGTGAGACGGGCAGAAGCCGACCAGCTTTTCTACGATGTGAGTTGAAAGTTTGATCTGAATCTTCAGCCTTAAAAGGTTTACCTTCCTCATCTCACTCACATGAAACTCATATCATAACCAAGCTTCATTGCCACCACTGAATAGCTGTCTATATAAAACTTATCGAAGCTACGGCCGACCCGATTGATAATCAAGAATTTTCTATCATCGTTCTTCCCACAGTCGATGCAAGTCATCCTATCAATGATAATTATTGGACCAAACTTTTCTCTTCTCTTCAACCGGTTTTATGATGCCCACGAGAACCGAGTGGTCGACGGTGGCCCCTCTCATAGCCTTGTCTTCGGCGGGAAACCTTCCGCGCCTCTGGTAAATAAGCAAAATGCGATGCGGTTAATTCCTCTAAAGAATGGAATCCCTTCCTAGGCTTTTTATGATACTATTGAGTCTGACCATCTACTGAAACAACCTACTTCTTCATGATAGATTAAGAACGATAACCTTGATGTGGCCTAAGGTATCTTTTTTGGAGAGGATCTCTAAGCTGCCCTAGCAGACCGCGAGCTTCTCCGCCTATCAGCATTAGACGGCTTTGATATGCGAAAGCGGCCAAAAAGATCGTAAGTAGTATGAACTAACCCTAAAGCTATTGACTAATGCTATGGCTTCTCAAGCTTTAATACGAATGGACTAGTGCTAAGTATGCTAGGGGGTGCGAAGGCAGAAGCCTCCACGGCCTTAAATTCATCTCAGTTCACGAAGAATTGCTGACTGTATGCTCGCGGATATCTGAATGATTATACCAGTGTATCACGCAACGGACTTGCCTTTGAGCATGTTGATGTTCCCTAAAAAAGCCCATTATAATTTCAATCAATGGAGTGATACTAGAGGGAACCGATACAATGAGATCATATGAAAGGTGGTGGCTAGGTTTCATTCCCGGTCCCGGGTTCCATAAAAGTACAAGGGCACAGCCAGGATCAATGTAAGCATGTTTAACATGAACATTATCATATAAACTTGAGTAAAGCCCTGGGAGGTGACCCAGGCAACAGCCTCATATAGAAATAGAAAGGCGATAATGTTTTTGAAAATGTTGATGAGAACAAGACACTGGGCGGCGTGTTTCTGATGGCGGTGAACGACATAAGTGAGGGCAATATTTGGTGTGTATACCTCTCCAAACGAAACTAGCCACTGTCAGATATATAGAACGATGAAGGTCAATGGTGACAAGAATCTGGAAAGAAAGACACTTACCCATTCCAAACCCAAAGGCTATTGCAACCCAATTGAGCTTGTTTTGACATGCAAATGCAAGGAGAATACAACCGGCTGGAGCAACTAGCATTCCTGGAAGCAACGAGACAAGTCGTTGCTCAGGTCTGATCACGCCGTTGCTTTTTCTCACGATGTGTTGGGTTATGACATCTGACATATACCCGCCACCAAAGCAGGCTATCACAAATCCGATTATCGCCGCTATCTCCATGAGACCTATATCGCTCGACGAAAAGTTGTATGGTGGTGGCATGAGGAGGGTAGTCATGGTGAATCTAGAAGAGAAGAGAAGCGTCAGTATCATTAGCTTGTGAAGGCCGGAGGCAAGGCGTACATCAAGATGATCTGCGGACTGAGAGAACATCCATATGCATAGATAGCCCACAGCACAGATGGATGGCGTAAAAGCCGAAGGGGTTCAATCAAGGCTTTCAAAAAGTGTATGCTAGTATCATATCGGATCAAGGAAAGGCGTTTCTTAAATGGCAAGAGAGTAATTGTGTACCTAGGGCTAGATGCAGACACGTTTTCGACAAAAGAGGAATCCGATTTTTCAGCTGCCTCTTCGTCCCTAGCGGAGACCAACTCTAGCTCTCTATCATTCTCGAATTCGGGTCGGCGGAAGTTGCTTTCTGGGCAGAAGAAGACCAGAAGGGCAAGGTTAGCAACGGCCAAGCCGACGCAGAGCCAAAAGTAACTCCTCCATGTTTGGGCAGTAAACTGAACCATAAACCCAGCAATGAGAGGACCAATAGCTGATCCCCCGGATATCATGATAACGTAACTAAGGGGGAATTAACCAAATTAGATGGGACGTAGAGTGAGACAATGGTCAGGTAATACTTACATGGCCATCATCGTGGCCCGTTCATGGAGGAAGAAGATATCTGCGACTAGTTCGGGAACAATGCTCTAGAGAGGGGACATCAGTGGAAAATGATCGCGTATCTGGGGTAGGCCCCCCTTTTCAGTAATTTAAGTCTTACCTCCCCAGCAGCGGCAGCAAAGCCAAGTACAATCCGAGCAGCGAGCAGGCTATCAAAGCTTTTGGCAAGCGCGCACCAGATCAGAGCGCCTAGCTGCAAGGCCATGGCCGCCAAAAGCGATGCTCTTTTGCCAAATTTCATGGCAAGTGGTACCCAGAATACGTTACCAAGACCAAGAAGAAGGAAGTTAAACTAACAATATCATTATGAGATTATCTCTGAGGACACAGTGCTGGCATAAAGGGGTAATTTACCGTCAAAAGTTGAGTCACTTGGTCTGAAGACTTTGAAAAGTCCTGCATGAAGTCCTGAGTAGCTACAGACGGACCGGCGCCTGCCATATTGGACACAAGGTTGGTAAGAGATGCTGTGAGCACTACCGAAAGCTTCAACCAACGTGGCCACCGCAGGGGATCATGTTTGTGGTCAGTTGGGGGGGGGATGAGATTCATCCCTGGGTGATGCATGGTTGAACACTTTCCTTCCTTTTGATACTCGGTGGGGAAGGCTAGGCTTTATATGAGTATACAGGAAGATGCGACAGATAAAGGAGCTCCTGAAAGTCGCCGAGATGAACTGATACAATGCTTGGATTGGAACAGAGGTTAGACAAGATCAAAAGGGTGATTTGGCTTTAAATAGGGATTAGAGACTGTCTAGGGTTAACGCCCCGCAGTTCGGCAACCCTACCCCAGATCGGGGACTTCATTCCGGGGTTTATATTACAAAGAATACCATTGGACACTTGATAGGTCATGATGAACGATAATTTCTTATGTTAGTCCTGTTTTGGCTCGCTGGAATCACTTGCGTAGCCTTCGAGCCAAGGCCAGAGAAGCAGTCATCTTCAGTTGAGATATGACTCTTCCTGCTGCATTACATGTAGCTGACAAATATCCGCAATTAAGGTACCAAGAATTGGGAGCTCCTGGTCATAAATAGCAAACGGTTGGGTTTCTTGTTTGTTAGGGTTCATATCATATCCTCAACGTAATGTTGGGTCACCTGACTTACCGGTATCTCCGGCCCTTCCACGGTCTCTCCGGTCTCTCCGGTCTCTTCGGTCCCCGGCCTTTCCCCTCGACCCGATGAAGCTGTCGTCCGCGTTTTCCCCACAACCCCAGACTCAGCGCAGGATTGATTATTATTATGGAGCCTTCAAAACGACCGACTCATGCTCACGGTATTAATGATAATGCGAGCGCACCAACCCCCGCGAAACGCCATCGAATATCGCTAGCTTGCCATGCATGCCGCACACGAAAATCAAAGGTATTCTACACATGCTTTTCTCCGTGAGACTGCACGGATCACTAATGAGGGAAAACAGTGCGACGGGTCTCGTCCTAAGTGTGCCGCGTGCACTCATCTGGAATTGGAATGCATCTACACCCCATCCAACACATCAACCAACGTCATTGTTCAAAAAGAGTATGTCTTGCCACCCTGTGCAGTCGGCTACCATGCCTAGTGATCTGCACTAACAGACAAAAGCTATCTGCAGAGTTTAGAGTCTCGGATGATTTCTTTGGAAGAGAGTCTGCACGTCGTCAAGAATCACATGAGTGAATTGTCTTATCGAGTGGATGGCAATATTGATGTCAATAACAGGCTCGATGCAGCACCAGAACCAGCTCAGAGAGCAGCCTTAGCCACAATTGCGGACATTGAGGATCCCGTGGATGCGATGGGCACTGTGGTTTTTGCTGATGAAGAAGACTGCGGGTATTTTGGTAGGATTGGAACATTCTTTTGCTGGAGAGAAACATGCAGCATTTGATATGAGAGATGGTATGGACTGACTTCTCGCAGGGCCATCATCAAATATCGCCTTCTTACGTCATTTGTCTCATGCAGTATCATATAACTCCAGCTCTCCAATGGTGGCCAGAGATTCTCCCGCCATCGGAAAGGTCTCATTGGATGGCGGCTTTATCAATGCATCTCGCCCTTCGTCTTCGCGGCCAGGCGGTATTGATCTCACATCTGCAAATCAACAAGAAACGGACATTTTCGCGCTTCCACCTCCCCAAGAAACTTCTCGACTTGTGTTCCAATACTTTAATGATTCAGGCCTACTTTTCCCCTACATTTATCCTCCTTCCTTCCTGGAAACATATCGGAGTATGACCGAAAATAGTTGCAAGGTTCGAAGAACCTGGCTCGGACTTCTCAACATGATGCTTGCGATGGCCAATATCACCGCTGCGCCTAATGGAGAGCCAGCAAAACAGCGCATTGCCGCCGCCGATGTGTTTTATAAGCGAGCTTTGAACTTATGTGGTAACGAGATGTTGCGGGGAACCACATTAGAAGTGGGTGGGTTGATTTCACTCTGCGTCCACAAACGGAATGATTCTTATATAGTAACATCATGCAGTGCAATATTTGTTGCTCATGGGTCAATACATGCAGGGCACCCAGAAATCGGTCCAAGCGTGGACTGTTCATGGGTTGGCTGTTAAAGCCGCCCTTCAGCTTGGCCTTCATTCTAAAGATGCTTCAGCGGTCTTTTCACCACAAGAAAAAGAAATACGCAAGAGGACTTGGTTTGCATGTGTGGTATTGGACAGGTAAGGCCTTCACATCCCATCAACAATGCACGACTTATCCTCTGTGTTCTCTGTCTTACAATTGACAACTGCCAGAACTTTGAGCATGACCCTAGGAAGGCCACCGGCAATACCTGACAGTTTTGTAAGGCTTGAACTTCCAACAAACAACATCAATGGCGATAGCGATGGTCCCACGCCTATAACGATCGTGGACAGCAAAACTTTCCAAATGAGCTTGGACTTCTTTAACTCCACAATGTAGGTTCATATTTGACACTTTTATTACTTATTTCCGCAATGCGCTAACTATTTACAAGTCTGCTATATAAGCAGCTTTTCGTCATTGTTGATCTACTTTATGGTCAAAATCTCGGCTGTGATCCACCACTCACAGTCAGTCAAGGTGTTGGACACATTCTTTCAGTCGAGCAGCAATTTGTTGCCTGGGAAAGATCACTTCCCCAGAATATCAACATTATAACAGTAGATCGAATTCGTGAAGCGAATGGCGACATGCCCGATCTGCCACAATTCTACTCTTTGAAATTCAGTGTCATTCTTACACTTCGATACCTTCATCTCCGCATCCTCCTGCATCGACCTATTCTTGTAAAGTTTATTGATGCTTGTGGGAAAGGAGGTATTGACGCTCACGAAGAAAGCTTACTACAACAGATTGGGTCTAACAGCATGCAAATTTGCATGGAATGTGCCATAAGTATTATCGATATCATTCATGAGGTGGTGCACTCATCTGGGTGGCAAAAAGGTCTTCAGGGTGCATGGTGGTTTTCTCTACATTACAGTGAGTGAGCGACTCCTTTCAAGCGATTCCGATTGCCTAGGACTGGTTTCTAATTTTTGACTTTTCTCAAGCATTCCACTCGGCCTTAATTATTCTTGGAACGATCTGGGTCGTCAGAGATGGCTCGCCTGCCAGAGCATCCCTGTCTTATGATCTTGATAGACTTCATATCTATCCCAGCCAAGCCGTGGCAGCACTGTACAAACTAGATTCCGGCAACCATATTGTGGACCGGTGCCGATATTATCTCGAACAGTTCAGCGATGCGGTAAACCCTAGAGGTAAGGTCTTTGGAGCAGCTGACATCATAATTTACTAAAAAGTTCAGTAGGGGAGGCAGGCTTGGCCAATATTGGAATCGGCAGTCATCCTGTGGGCATCTCCGGGTCGAACGCGAATACTTCGCCCCTCGGGCTGGAGTTTGGCGAATTTATGATGGATAAGGATCTTTGGACTTTGATAAATCGGTCGGAATTTTTACCAAGCGAGTAACTTTTATCATCACGTTTACATTCCCTTTTTGGTGGACCCGACATGGGGTTGCTTTTAATCACGGGGAATTAGTGTCGTGGTTCATGCTTGCACATGTTCTAAGATATCTTCGTATCGCCAAGACCACGCAATCCTCACTAATAAAACCGTTAATTCCTCGAAAGCGAAACTACTAGGTAACGAATACATTGAATCACGTAGTCGAACAGTGCTATAAATTGGCCTGCCATTTCAACCTTGGAACACCCTAGGGAATAAATAGACTTGTGAATGAAATCCTATGGTACGATTGATTGTACTTTACATTACTTCCCAATCATGGCTAGATCTTGATAGCGACCATAACATGATCTAAACCCCCTCTACCTTCTCCCCGGGCGCCAACATCTTGATATATCGATGTACACCAGTCTCCAACACAACAACCTCATCCCCAACTTTCATAACAAACTCCTCGATGGCAGGCACAAGCTGCATCCCAAGACATGCATTAGTGCGATCGCCATCATCAATTTTCCGATAGGACTTCAATGTACGATCTGGCTCTGCAGGATGCCTCACTCCTGTGACAGGGTCCACATTTGGCAACCTACACCGCACTGTCCGACAAGCAGCATGGATCTCAACACCGCCAACTGAGATTCTCTTCCAGTGATCTTCGGCAAAGGCACTGGGTCCCTGAATAATAATGTTTGCGCGGAAGCGCATGATGCTCAACTTTGGAATTGCGTAGGCACAGCGGGCAGCAACGTCTCTATGGCTTGAGAGACTGAGTAAATGGATGGGATAAGCGTCTGCAAATGCAGTATTAGGCTGGAATCCTAGAGCTTCATTGCGAGGTGCGTTGCGAAAAATTTGTCGGGTGTGATCAGGACTTGCACGAAAGAGAGCCAGGGGAGAGGCTGACGGACTGAAGCCTAAATATGTGTGCAGAGATGGTGGAACTAGGGCGCTGTAGTCATGTGCCAGTGGTTTGTCCTTCCATATTGTCACGGGAAGAAGCGGGTACTCTGAGACTGAGGCTTGTGGTGGGAGAAGAGGAACCTGAAATGAGTATCGGCATCTGAGGATGCCGATTGCCATTCCAATTTTTTGGCACATCATTTTCACCCGGCCTTGTGGCTGGGGACGAGGATAAGAGATGATCATAACACCCTGTGATATGATTTCTGGGAGCGAGGGATCGTAGTCCCGTGCAGAGGGGTCAGGGATCCAGATCTCTGTGTGGATGAGAGCGAGGCGCTGAAAGCCTGCGTTGCGGAGTGTACGAGTATTCCAGCCTTCCGTGCCATGCTCGGCGAAGACAAATTGGCGATCGAATTTGAGGCCTGTTGGCACGACATCAGATGTCTGCAACTCAATGCCGCCGCATGATTTCAGCGGGTAGGCGAAAAGGGCTTTGATGCGCCAGGCGGGGAGATCCCCATCCTTCTTTGTTGGTGAGACACCAGAGCTATACTTTGGGTCAAATTCATCATGTAAATTGCTCTTACCCGGTGGAAGACCGAGTCGTCGACATCCTTTCGGGCGAATCTGGCGAGGACGAGAACAGAAAAGAATGACGGGCAGACAGCAAATCAGTAGTATTAACCAGGATACGAGATCCCCCGAATACCTCAGCACTGACATTGAAAGCAAAACTTCTGCAAAAGTATGAAATTCCATCCGAGCCGAGATCAGCGTATGTCGGAGCGAGCGGTTCCGCAATCCACAAATCTTGGCACTCGCCAACATCCAATTTTCTTACAGAACATGAACGGTATTAAGAATGCGTTATGTACGGAGTACTATATATATAACACTATAGGCTACATACCCACCTATTTTTAAATACTCAGACTAGACTTCTTGAAATTGTGAAAGTGATTAAAGAGCCCCGGAGTAATACCCATTGACCTAGCGCCCTTTCTTACCTATATCCCGGCTCCAATAAAGAGTTAATCTGCATGTTGACTTAAATCAAGTGAGGTGATATGTATGCTCTTCAATGCTTAAGATATGTCCTGTTTTGTCTGAGTTACTACTGCGCTAATCTAAATCCGGTTACTGAGGTGCTCAACTAGAGTTGTGATCAAACAAAGGGGTTCATGTCATACCATAACCACGGTCACCTGGGTTCAGCAGCCCTCGAGACGGCTCCTTGACCATCTACTCACAGCTAGACCGAGACTTGAAACAATCATCACGGCCTTGTCTGGTCTGCCTGTGCTGAGGCTCGTCGTCGTCGCATAGAATTCACATATCCCACTGTCAATATATACAATACGCCAATGATTCCAGTTATCACTCCAACCGCAATTACCGCGCCCCGAGGAGCATCGGGATCGCCGACCCCCGTGAACTGATATCCTAGCCCCACATTGATCACTCCCAAAATGATCATGATCCGCCCAAACCAACGGTGCATGTAGGCAAAAGGTCCCTTTCCGCCAGTCTTGCGGAAGAACCGGTGCTGGAGAAGGCCCATGGCAGGCTGAAAAAGAGCCAAGCTGGCAATGACCACGATCCCAATTATGATATGGTAGTGCACCAAGTTGTGGATTTGCCGGGCCATCGAGACTCCCAGGCCAAGTCCCACGATGGCAACAGCCAAGGCAAACAGTTGCAGTCCTCCATGGATTTTCACGACGTTGGACGATGAAGAGAGATGAAGGAGCAGCGCAGAAAAAGGGAACAAGATGACGAAGGAAGCCACCATTAGTACCCCGTGAGCGATCTTTTTGCCATGGAAGACGGCCTCTGGAAAGGGATAGTCGGCGTTGGCATGCGCACTAGTGCTGATGATGTCGGTAAAGGGATTCACGCTGGTTTCACCAGTGGCTTTTGTCAAATCCACTGTCTCAACACCCATCACATCATGTTCGAGAATTTTCGCCGACAAACTACGTGACTGCAATGGCATTCCATAACGCACCCCCCAGATCCATGAACTGCTCGCGCTGGTCAAATTCATGCTGCCCTGTCCCCAATCAATGCAGCTATCACATTTTATATTGGCTGTGATCATTGGCCCATGGACTCCGCTACCATTCATGACTGTAATTCGCGCCTCAGGGTTATACAGGGGCTGCGTGTGTCCCGTACTGGATCGCGGGGAAACGGTCACATTGTCGCCGGACGTATAAACCACGAACATATTGGCCCCGGCCATGTGGTCTCCTTGGCCCAAGGCAAACCACTCTATGCGGCGAGTCGAATTCATTTGAAGATAGATGGGCCGCGAGGTGCTGGAGTTGACAGTGACGGCGGGGATATGGATACTATAGGTGAGTCCATTGGGTCCCAATGGAGAAAAGGTCTGGAATTGAGCCCCGACCAAGATGATCCAAACCAACCAACAGGTAAGATGAACAGTCATCATTGCAACGGTGGCTCATTGACTCTTTTTCTCCTTGGTGAATGGGAGATCACGTCTCCTAAATACATGGATGCCGGTGATTCCACACCTCTCGTTACACAGGATCCTTCAATGAACAGACCGGTTGGTATATCAACTGTGGATACCGCTGTGCCTCCCGATACCTAGGTTCTCCCTTCTATCTAGAGTTCTACAGTTGCTCGAGCCCCGGTTGGATTGGTGTGACCAACACCAGCTCAGCCAAACACCTTCTGGAAATGGTAGTACTCGACATGCCGGATCAAGTATGACAGATTGCAAATCCTCTATTCCAATCTCCCATTCGGCCTTGATGTGCAAATCTCACGCAACAGTCCATGTTGCACCTCCACACCTGCCGGCAGATTGGTTGGAGAATCTTCGCAACAGGTTTGATAGGCGGTGGACCTAGAGTTCACCAGCCACAATCTTCACGGTGTCTTCAAACAAAAGACGACACGCATTTGCTACTCTAGGGAAAGCGCCGTTCATGAGTCCAGAAATTAAGTCATTCCCCGAAGTTTCGTGTGGCCTAAGAGCTCGGCGACGAGGATCGTGGCTATGCAATTCAAACTTTACTTGACAAGTGGGCCTCCCATATTCGAGTCTACAACGAGCAAAAGGCATATCCTGTTGATTATAACTAGGCAACAATGACGAACATTGCTGAACATTTCAAATCAGATCAGATCAGCACCATGTTGAGTTATGAATCAAGACACGAATGAGTTGCTATACATCCCGTCAGGGAAAAGACTTTTATTTGCTTTCGTACAGGTACTAGTATCGTCGTGAGACCACAGCCAAGGCTGATTGTAGGTCTATTGCATAAGCTGTTAAACAAGGGGGGTGGAACATGGGGTGGTTTGAAAGGTACTGTGACCATGTGCCCGTCAGCTTAAATGATCAATGAAACTTGGTCGCTACGGGTAAGATTAGATTTAAATCAGACTGCGAAAGTAATTTTGCAGACAGAAGAAGCAATCGAGCATTACATGTTCCTCTCAAGGCTGTCATATCTAAACAGAAACGATGCAATGCTTTTAAACTGCAAGCACAGTAAGGCTGTGGCGACCTGTACCATCGTATCACGTGATCACGCGTTGAATTGGCGTCTTCAGTGTCTCGGCAACGCGAACTTCTCTTCCCTCTTGATAAACACTCGCCACGTCCAACTTTCCCCTCCACACAGCTCAGATTATTATATCATGATGGTTGTGGCAGACTAATTGATCACCATGGATTGTGGTCTCTTCAGGGATCTTCGCCCAACCAAAGGCTTGTTGATTCACCTTGTTCAGGAATTGTCTTGCGTCAAGCCGTCCAGTCTCTTGCCCTCCCAGGGCATTTTGTACAGCCCAACCCTCTTTTGATCCAACAGCTCCTACCTCGGTGGGAGCTGTTGGGGTCAACCACCCTAACCAGCCACTCAGTCGTGTGTGTCTTTCGAGACCAGTTTCGCGGGAATTGCATGCCGAGATCACGACCAGCTCCATCGATCCTGACGGAACGAAATGCCAAAGTTTTGTCGGTTCATCTGTCCGGATGGTTTACTATGCCAGTGTTCCTAGAGCGAGGCGTCAGTTTTCCAATGCTGGGCAGTATGCAGGTCGCAGGCGGATGGTCAACGTACGTTTGAGGACGGTCTTCAAGGAGAAAAAGCAGGTGGAGCACGTCGGACGCCTCGGCACGAGAGGTTGTCTTAGGGAGCATCAACAACAGATGGATTTATGCGACGTTCCGGTCTCGAATGTCCATGGGCATCCTTCTAAAATGGTTCAGAGATTCGGCGCCTAGAGCACGACGGACACTATTACACACGCTTCACTGGCTGCAATTTACCATGGCTCCCTCGTCGGAATCTATCCTTATCTTCGTGATACTGCCCAGGCAGCTTTCATAGTGAGGATCGTCGCGAAGTCATTTTGATTTGTCTGCAGTGATAGCCACATTATAGACCGTTGGCACGCTCCAGATGGCAATGCTTCTTCCCATGATAGTTGAATGTTTTCGAGCTTGTTCGCTTGTGCATCTCCGACGTTGTCAACCATCAGCCGTCCCGTACGTACTCTGACGATGGAGATACCTGGGTATCTTGCCCCTGCTTTTCACCTCTTCGAATCTGCTCCTGGCTCGAGGGCCACTACGTCCCTAGAATCCCGGCACCAGCCACCCCGATTCTACTTTCCCTATCTGAAAGATCCAGACCACCCGTGTTAGCCATCTCTTTGCAATGTAGTTTGTAAATTGATTGATGGGCGGCGACTATTCAACAATGAGCATTGTTCATTGTTCCTCCTCAAGGGAGAAGGAAGCGATTTTTTTCAGGATGTTCTTTGTGCGCTTCATACATAACTTCGCCTTCCCGCGTTGGAATGAAACAAAAACTTGTCCCTGAGGGTTCTGTACCACACACGAGAGACTGGCTTGATAGCAGCGGCTTTTTCTTCCAACTTTCTGGATCCACCAACCCGAGGAGCGAACGATTTCGTACCCCAATTCGATTAATTACGTTGCGCCTACACGTACGCCCAATATTGATTTATTTCCAACTGTGCCGGGTTGAAGATGTTGCGAGTCGTGTTCATTTGGCCTCGCCTTGACCTAATCGCTCTGCATCAAGTTCGCCATATCCACCACCTTTTCAAACTAATCACAGTCGTCCTGGCTAGATTTTCAAGTATATTTTCCTCTCTGTTTCTTCGATTTCCTTCACTCCTGATGATGCGGTTGTGGTCGGATCATACAGCACTATTCAGTGGATAGCGTGGGGCCTCTCTCGTGTGAGGATCAAAGCTTTGGCTTGTCCATGCTAACTTCTGGTGCGGTATTTTTCCGACTCGGTCTCTGTTTCCGGATTGAACGAAGCGACTGATGAAAATCATACCAAACTTCTGCTATCAAGGGACATCTGAGAGATTTTTGTTGCAAATCGGGCTTTGGGGGAACCTAGATGACAGCGTTTATGAGGGTGGGTGTGAATGACCAGCCGTTTCCTTTGCCTCGGCAAGGAAACGGCATCTTTTTTTTCTCTTATAAGTTGCCCCTCCTTCCACTCCATTCAACGCATCGCTAACTACGGCTTTCAGGGACGGTGTGATGCCGTGCTGGTTAGCTCCGCACGGGTAGCCCCACCCGGGGGGGGGATTCGGCAAGACGCAACTGTGATTGGTGGGCACATCGGTGCTCAGATGCCTGTATTGCTGAGAGCGGGATCCTTACGCGAGAGTCTCGGCCTTCTTTCTCTTTTTTCGCCTTTTACGCTTTTAGGCCCTTGATTTCTATTAGCCAACCGGCCATGCATCTCATCTATTCTATGGGCTATGACCGACTTGGCTTAGCCACCCGAGGTTGTAATGGCGGGTCCTTCCGCTGCGTCTAGGATTGGCAAGTTGGTGATGCCCCAGTCTTCTCGGAACTTTGGTAGACGAGTACCTCCACCATCCCGTATTTCGCGTAGCTTAACCTACTGGGGCCTACCAGGGCGTCGGTTTGGCGAAGGGCCCGTGGCCACTTTCCCTGGAAATCAGACGGTTACGTGGGCATGTCACGATAGCGGTCCAGTGGATCCCCCTGCTTGCTCTTTGACCAGGTACTACTGTGGGTTGATAAGCGACGTGAAATCTGAGGGTCCTACTTTGTGCCGGTCATCTCCTCGGAGCGTGGGAGGCCTTGTCCTCTTTTATGAAATAAAGTCGTCTAGGACCTCCTTTTCTTGCCAACTACATATCAACATGCATCTGTCCAATGTAGCAACTCGCCCTACCATTATATCCTCCGGGGGATCCAACATGGCCACTCCTCATAATTCAAGGACAGTCGACGTGGATGAATATCAGAAACTGAATAACATTCTCTCGTTACTGTTTCCCTCTACAGTCCATGTGCAACAGTCGCAAAACATCAATGCTCGAGTTCATACGCTCCGCCTTCTCACCCTCTCGAACGGTGGTCGACTGCTTTTAAAGGGCTCTCCTCTGCCAGGAACCCCCTCCTACGACACGAACGCTTTTTCCTTGAGACCGAAGCCCGTTTCCTGGTACTCCTGGGCCAGAGTGCCAATCCTTGCATTCCGCAACTCTATCATTATGACCCGCGAGGGTCCCTTCTCGGCTCCGCCTATCTAGTCCGACAGTATATAAAAGGACGAAATCTGACAGAGATGCAACATCTAATCAATGCCCAGCAAGGAAACGATATCGACCGCCACCTAGGGTTTTTAGCTAGCACCATCGGCCAGAATGTGGCTCCCAGTTTCGGCTCTTTGCAACAAGTCGCCATAGGCGCGGGAAAGCGCTCCTGGCGAGAGGCATTCTGTGCTCTCTTTGAAAGTGTACTCCGTGATGCCGAGGACATTTTCATTCACCTGCCCTACGCTGAAATTCGCCACGAGGTGGCCCGTCTGTCTAGTGCGCTCGCGGAGGTGACCTTACCCCGTCTTGTGGTTGTCGGCTTTGGCCGACCATGTCATGTCCTCCTGGACGAAGTTTCGCATCAACTTTCTGGTGTGGTGGACTTCAGCAGTGCTTTCTGGGGTGATGTCTTGATGGCAGAGATCTTTGAGAGTCCCACTCCGGCCGTCCTGGAAGGAGCAGGTCTACCTTTGTGCAGAACGAAAGGAGAGGAGATTCGCCTGTTAATGTCCGTGTCTATTCCTCCATAGTGCTTGCATTTCTATATGCTAACGATGGTTCTTTTCTTTACAGGTATTCATGTTATCGGCTGGTGTCACAGATCACCTTACAATATTATCGAAATCGCGACGAGGCGACAGAGTTTGATGCGCGTCGGAAACTACTGGCCACTATCACAAATTTGGTTGGCCTGGAGCCAATCTGAAAAGGGGTGACCGGGGATAGATGATGAAAATGTTTGGAACAAACATGATACCCTTGATTTTCAACTTTAGATCTGCATACCCATAAAAGGCTGCAAAAACCAGGCTCAGATGGGCCTGCTATATAATTCGATGATTCTAACGTGTTTCTAGCTCAAAATAAGCGGCAAACCTTTCATATTCAGATCATTATGAATTTTCCTGTAAAGTCGCGTGTTTCCAACGGGTGAAGAATTTTCAATAGCCTTACGTTTATTTCTCGATGAACTTTAGTCGTGAATGGTGCTGGGTGTTTGTGGCCCTATTCTTCAGGCATACACTCTCGGGCATCCACGCGTTTTCCAGTCCCGTGCCAGTGATTACTCATCTCATCCCATGACGTCGCGGTTCTTTTCCTCTTCATTCGGTTTTTGTAAAGATTTCATCCATGTTTGTCCTGCAAGACGATATGCTATTTTACCTTCTAAACCTCGAAATTTCATTTTATCAGAGCTCCATTCCTATAGGATAGATCTATTTCTCTTTCTCTCCACACTCCACACAAATCCTGAGAACTACCAACTTTTTTTTAAAACTTGAAACCTCCCTTCACCAAACCCATCATGCCTGATCTTCGTCGCCAGATCTTCGAGAGCGGCAAGACCACATCCCGCAAAGCAGCCTCCCGTGAAGCGTCCAGGGCCACCTCTCGCGCTAGTTCCAAGCAGACTTCACGCCAGTCTTCGCGAGCTGCAAGCAGGCAGCCATCCGACGATGAAGATGCAGGATATCTTTCTGATGAAACAGCTATGAGGTAAGCCCTCACTCGTCCTTATTTCTCGTTCCATCTCTTTTTTTTTTTCCATCTGTGGGCATTTCGAGTTATCCCCACAGTCCCACTTAGTGGCGGGATGATGTCACTGCCGTCGAGGGCTTTTTTTGAGCAAACATAAAGGCTACTTTACTAACTGAGTGAACCATATAGCATCGGCTCACTGGACGACGAGAATCCTGAGCAAGATAATGTAGATTGGCCCCAAGAACTCGCCGATCGGATTCAAGAAATACTCGACCGCAAGCGTTCCAGTGTGCAGGGTCGTGAGGAGGCCCTAGCAGCCTTCTGCCGGCTCACCAAATACCATTATGCGGTGGAAGAGATCTACGCGTCAGTTTCTGATCTACTGGCTGCGTTTTCCAAGAGTGTTCGGTCGGACTCTGTTCGAGAGGTGACCCTGGCACTGCGTGCGATCGAGCTGCTTGCCATCACAGCCAGTGACGATAAGGTCTTTGAAAATACCGAACCACTTTTGACTCGCGCAATTCAGGACTCGTCTTCCAATGCCGTCAAAGCTGCGGCCATCCAGTCTCTCGCTGCGTGTACTATCTTCGGTGGTGCAGGTGAAGATGGCATCCTCGACCAAATGACCTTCCTCCTGGATATTGTCGCCTCTGATGGGCAATCAATCAATGCGGCAGATGACCCACTCAGCGTGACGGCAGCATTGCAGGCTTGGGGATTCCTGGCAGCTGAGATAGAAGACTTCGAAGAAGAGAGCGAAGAATCAGTACAGATCCTCATGGATCAGCTCGAAAGCAGCGATTCGGCAGTACAGATTGCAGCGGGTGAGAACATCGCCTTACTCTATGAGAAGAGCTACACCCCACAAGAAGACGACGATGACGAGGACGAGGATAGCGAAGAAGATAGCGACGAGCATGAAACTGCTACCAACGGACCAAAGCTCGTCAAGCGTTATAACGCCTACCATAACACCCCGGAATTAGAGCGTCAATTGCAAGCTCTGGCACATGTGCACTCCAAGACAATCAGCAAGCGCGATAAGAAATCTCTCCACAGTAACTTCGCCTCGATACTCACCACCGTTGAGAACCCGCGCCGTGGACCTCGTTACAATATGGCTATCAACCAAGACACAAACCGACACTACGGTAGCACTTTGTCGGTCAAGATTGGTCGGCACGGCGTCATGAGTATCGATCGGTGGTGGAAGTGGACTCGCTTGACGGCACTACGCCGAATCCTCCAGGGTGGCTTCACTGAGCACTATTACCAGGGCAATCGTGCTGTTCTCAACAATTTGCCTGTAATGCTACGAAGCGCCGAATCCAGCCATGGAACGGCCGATCGACAAAGCGCGAAGAAGGCAGCAAAGATGCGGAACTCTCGACGATGGACTGCACAAGATTCCGATGATGAAGACTAAACTTTGTCTTTTTTTTCTGCGTTTCAATCGTTTACAAAAACTCGTTCAGTACATTTCACGATGCTCATGATGATGATATTGCCACCTATTGTTACCCGGTTAGAGTCGCAATGTTAAATAAGCGTTCTGTATACTGTTTGCATTGTCCATGCACATAAATTCTCTAAGTTAGTATAATCCTCCATAACCTGTAGTAGAACAGCGTATGAGTAGTTGCCTGTGGAATTATAAGTACCCAGAATGACTCTAATTATAAGCTAGAACAGTAGAACGCTTTCTCTTTTTGGTATTCTTAGATATGTACAATACAGTTTGGCAAATACCCCCGGGATCCAATGCATCATCCTAAAACTCCGTTCGAACCAACTTATGTCATCATATACTTGGGTCCCTCCCCACCCTGAGGGGTCTGCCAATTAATGTCTTGAGTGGGAACCTTAATATCGCATGTCTTGCAGTGGATACAGCTAGATCATCCGGTTAGAAAGAGGTCCAAAGTAGGCCAAGGGGATGAAGACTTACTTTTGCGAGTTGATCTGGAATCGGACTCCGTGCTCCTTGCTAGGGTCCTCGACGTACTCGTAGACTCCAGCAGGACAGAATCGGTTCTCGATACCCTTGTATACGGGCCATGCCAGATCCTTGTGCTTATCCCAGTCCTCCACCTGAAGGTGCACCGGCTGGTCCTCCTCGTGGTTGGTACCCGTGCGGCTGACGCTAGTTAGAATGTCGAAGCTGATCTCGCCGTCGGGCTTAGGGTATTCAATCTTGTTGTATTGCGAGGCGGGCTTGGTAGCCTCAGCATCAGTACCGTGGTGGCTGAGAGTCCAGGGCACGCGGCCCTTGAAAATATAGGCCTCCAGTCCGGAGTAGAGTAGTCCACCGAAGAAGCCAAGGGGGCTGTTGAAAGAAGGACGAATGTTGCGTACTTCGTATAGCTCCTTCCAGATGGACGAATCCCGGAGAGCTTGCTCGTAGTCGAACAGGAAGACTGTGCCCTTGTCTTCGCCCTTTAGAGCGGAGAATGCGGCCTCGGCGGCCAGCATACCTGACTTCATCGCGGTGTGCGTACCCTTGATCTTGGGGACGTTCAGAAATCCAGCGGTATCACCGATCAGGGCTCCTCCAGGGAACGCGCACTTGGGGATAGATTGGAAACCACCTTCATTGAGTGCGCGGGCACCGTATGAGATGCACTTGCCGCCTTCGAGAACGTCCTTGAACATGGGGTGGTGTTTCATCTTCTGAAACTCCCCGTACGGTGACAGCCACGGGTTAGGGTAATCCAAACCAACCACTAGACCAATGCTGACCATATTATCGCCAAAGTGGTACATCCAAGCACCACCGTAGGTATCCTTGGGCAACGGGTATCCCATCGAGTGGATGATCTCTCCGGAGCGGAACTTCTCCGGCTGAATCTCCCAGATTTCCTTAATACCCAGGCCGTATGTCTGGTTCTCGCTGTTCCGTCGTAGATCATATTTCTTGATCACCTGCTTTGTCAAACTTCCATGGCAACCCTCTGCCAGCAATGTGACTCGGGCGTGGAATTCCATTCCCCGTTCAAAGGTGTCCTTGGCCTTGCCCTCACGGTCCAAACCCAGGTCGTTGGTGGCCACACCCTTCACGGACCCGTCGGGCTTGTAGACCATTTCGCTGGCGGCGAAACCGGGGTAGACCTCCACGCCCACTTCCTCTGCTCTCTCGCCTAGCCACTGTGTCAACTCACTCAAACTGAGGATATAATTGCCGTCATTGTGCATCTGCGGTGGGACCGGAAGCGGGTATGATCCGTTCTTGGTGAGATATCGCATCTTTTCGCCCTTGGCGGGGGTTGCGCCTGTGAAGCGCGAGGGGTTGTCTTCGGACAACCAGTCTGGGAAGAGCTCGTTCATGGCGGTCGGCTGGAGAACATTGCCGGACACAATATGAGAACCAATCTCACCGGCCTTCTCCAATAGGATAACGCGGAAATCCTCATTGCCAGCTTCGTTCGCGAGTTTTTTCAATTTGATGGCAGCAGCAAGACCGGCGGGACCTATCGAATTCCGGTTACGTGTTAGAGCGGGAACTGAATGCCATGTGATCACCATGTGAAGATCGCCACATACCACCGCCCACAATGCATACATCCACCTCGTCATACTCGCGGTCCAATTTGCGGGGATCAAAATTGCCGTTCTCGTCGGTGAATCTCCGTGTTACTGACTGGGAAAAGGCACGGGTCTGGGGAGAGGTAAATGTTGTCCGGACGACACGGCGGTCGGAGGTCGAGAAGAGACGAGCTGAGCGAGCTGAAGAAGCGAGGGCGGAAGAGACGGAGGGGGCAGCTCGTGCGATTCGAATGGAAGATCGCATCTCGCGCCTCAACAGAGGCAAGATGGCGCTCCTGGACGCCATCGCGAACGGTAAGACGAAGAGGCGGGTAAGGGTAAGTATGGGCGGTTGGAGGACAAATCAGCTATAGGTGCAGGGCATGACCATTTGAGTTAAATGCTAACTCTCGAAGCTTATGTCAAGTCTCAGCACCTTCAATAGCCGAGTAGCTTTTGGTCTAGGGTTTTCGCTGGAAACGCCGAAAACCGCCTACCCGAGGCCCAGCAAGGTTGCCGTTCCACCAATCACAGCGAGTGTGATTGGCAATTCCCCGCCCATCCGGCTCGCCGAGTGCGGCTGTATAGAATGCAGTTATGATCGTCCGTACATGCTCGTGATGCCTTATTTTCTTCGTGAAACATTTCAGTGAAATCTCCCTACAGCATAGTAGATCTACTGGAACAGCTAGATCATGCGATCAGATGTTCACCCAAGAAACCCGGGAATGACGTGGAGAATAGGAGTGCGGAATTAACGCCGAAAAATGCCGCTTTCAGACCAGAAACCATCAATTTGATGAATATAGCATTACTTCGACGGTACGTAGTAGACCTGGCAGTATTTACACATCGTCTAGTCAGATAGCTTTGAGAATCGAAGGACCATGAGAACTCCAATATCTTACATATTACTACGCTTTGATTCGCTTGGTTCTGATCCGGGGTCAACCCCCGGCCGATTTCGGCGAACAGCTTTGCTTATGTGATGATTCTGCCGTAGGGCCCTGTTGGAGTAGGCGGTGTCCACTGGTGTAGGCATACAATAGGCTGTAGTTGATGTCTTATCTAGGACCAGGATTCCCCGAGAAGCTCAGCACTAGGTAACTCATAGACGTGTAGAAGTGGAATAACCTTGAAAGCAATGGAGCATGTTCTCTCCCCTCAAATTCCCAAAATTGGCTAGCGTGCGGTACCATCCGAGCATCGGGGAAATAAAGTTGTCAAATCCACTTGTATCGCTAGGATACAACGCCGGATAAAGGTACTCAAGCTATGTAAGATACCTACTTCCTAAGATGGAATTCGATTTCTAAATGTTCTGTGGTAAGGGAACAAAGGACTTGATCTCTTGCGTGAAATATGTACGATCTTATAGCTACAATTTCAAGGTACGATGTAGTACAGGTAGCCTCTCAAAATCGATTAATCCTAAAGTAGCGCTGGAACGCTCCATCAAGCGTATATAAGTCTCAAATCGCGATTGCGATTGCAATGCAAATACATTTTCAATTAAAATCCCGAACATTGTGCTCATGGCATAATCTCCCCAAATAATATTGTGGTCGAATCGTAAGCCAAGCGAGGACATCGTCCCCATAGATCAAGACTTGGGGGCCTCAGGGTCACCTTCGGCAACCAGCTTTCCCACAACCAGATACTTTTCATTGAACCGGTCCTCCCAAGATTGGAGATTCTCCAGCTGATCCGCATCTAGGTCCTTCAGCTCATCCAGAGGGGCCGACAAGTCCTTGGTCAGCATTTCCTCATCGAAGCTCTGGTGAGCCAATCCGCGGGACGCATCCCGACCCGCGAAGTTCTCGTAGGGACCACCCTGCAACCGTCACATGTCAGCCTTGGGGACTCGAAGACCCTGCGTCCTCACACATCCACCTACCGGTCCGTAGAAGTTCCTGCCGGGGCTCACGTCAAATACACGACCGCGCACAGCCAGGTAGACAGGCTTCTCATTCTCGCCGTTGAACTCGATCAGCGTTTTGGGGGTGTAGACACGGAAGACCGTTGGGGGCGGCCCGCGCGGGAGCTCGATCGCTTGCTTGGGGCGGAAGTGCCAGTACACCAGCACTATGAAGAGCGAGGCGAAGATGAGATTGATTGGGGAGGCGATCGACATACTATTTGCGACTAGATTAGCTGTGCGTCATTTAGGGAGGTATTAGCCGGGGAGATCACTAACACTTCGGCCTGGGGCGCGGAGTCCTCTGGAAATCCCCCTGTAAGTCAGCAAAATTCGCTTTAGGATTATGCAATCAGGATGTCAGTACCAGCAATGGTCATTGTGGATGAAGCAGAGGATTTGCGCGAGTAAAGTGATGAAAGAGTAGTGGTTGAAGGGAAATGGTTCGGGTTTTGCGGAGATCAATGACATCGGCTTCCCCGCCCCCACGTGATGCTTACTGGTGATTCACGCAGAACAAAGTCCTATTAAAACATACAAGTACCTACTGAATATTTGAATTGATATTTATGGCTGTCGCGGCAAGTTTACAAAGCACAAAGTGTGATGTTTATGGAAAAGCAAAGTCATTGATTGGTTGATCACGGAGGAACTTATTCCGCGATCAGATCACGTGCGATAAGACGATAAGCCCCTCGTCGAGCGATGAAAGCAACTTGCAACCTCGACCAACTTGCGACAATGACGAAATTCAGACCTTGCATTGACCTGCACTCGGGGCAGGTCAAGCAGATTGTGGGTGGCACCCTCAGCGACGTGGCTGGGGATCTCAAGACCAACTACGTGTCGAAGCTTCCAGCCAGCCACTATGCGGGATTATACCAAAAGCACAATTTGCGCGGAGGACATGTGGTAAAGCTTGGTCCGGGTAATGACGATGCTGCGAAGGAGTCATTAAGCACATGGAAAGATGGATTACAAGTTGCTGGAAGTATCACAGATCAGAATGCACAATATTGGATTGACCAAGGTGCAGAGAAGGTGAGTTCTCCCCACGTTGCAACAATCTATAGCACCATTGAACTCCCAATGTCTGACCATGTCCATTTCACTATGGTTTTAGGTGATCATCACATCTTTCCTCTTCCCGTCTGGCAAATTCTCGCTCGAACGCCTCCAATCCGTCCTTGCAGCACTAGGTGGTGACAAGTCCAAGCTGGTCTTGGACCTAAGTTGTCGCCGAAAAGATAACACATGGTTTGTGGCAATGGACCGTTGGCAGACCATTACTGAGATGGAGATTACCGCCGGTACGACTTGTGAATGCGAAGACTCGGGCTTGTTGTACTGATGAATCGATAGAATCTATCGCCTTCCTGGAGCCCTACTGCTCCGAGTTTTTGATTCATGCTGCGGACGTAGAGGGTTTGCAGCAGGGTGTAGACGAGGAACTGGTTTCAAAATTGGCCGAATGGTGCACCATTCCCGTCACCTATGCAGGTGGTGCTCGGAGCATTGAGGATCTGGAGAAAGTCCATGTTAGCAGCAATGGCAAAGTGGACTTGACCATCGGGAGTGCCTTGGATATCTTTGGCGGCTCCGGAGTCACATTCGATGAATGCATTAAGTGGAATGAGACCCACTGAGTCAATTGAATTAATGACAACCTCAAAGTTAGAATTCTATCTCATTTCAATAAACAGAATGACTTGGTTCCATTGCAATAAACATAGAATGTCGGCTTCATCTATGAAAGGCTGCACTATGATGCTGACTAAGCTGTAAATCTTTCCCCACGAAAAGACTCACATTTCTCAAGGTTTAAAGGCAAACTTGGGAAACACTGAGGAGCGCCAAGATGGTTTACTACTTCACTTCAAATGTGGTCAGTCCGGCCGCCTTCATTTATGTCGGAAAGGACAAATTCGAAAGTATGCCACTCACAATCTTGCCTGAAGCAACGCGCCTAACAGTCTCGCTAGATGAGGATTTGATCGAGTTTGGATTGGACTCAGATGTTTGGTACGGCCTCGCTGATTGATTTTCTTCTCTTAACACACTAACCACTCGCTACGATAGGGTCGGTCTCCTCTCGCGCTCGCGCAACAATTTCCTACCGTGATCCTCATTCTAACAGCACATCCAGTTCCACGTCGATAACTTGTCTAGCGCTCACGTCTACGTACGCCTACGGGATGGAGAAACATGGGACAACATTCCGGAGGAGCTTCTGGTGGATTGCGCACAGTTGACCAAAGCGAATTCGATCGAGGGTACGTCTCTACATCCCCTGCGCGTCCCCCTCTTTCGAGTCTAATTGTGGGGTATAGGAAACAAGAAGGACAATATAACCATTATCTACACACCATGGTCCAACCTCCAGAAGGACGGTTCGATGGCCACTGGACAGGTCTCCTTTCATAACCCCAAGCTTGTTCGCAAGGTGCTCGTGCGCGCGCGCGAAAACCCGATCGTCAACCGACTGAATAAGACTCGTGTCGAGAAGTTCCCCGACTTCCGTGCCGAGAAGGAGGAATTCTTGAAGAAAAAGCGCAATGGTGAGCGCAAGACTCGGGACCAGTTGAAGGAGAAGGAGAAGCTGGAGAAGAGAGAGCGGGAGCAGCTCAAGTGGCAGAAGGATCATGCATACGACGACTTCTTCAGTGAGGAGAACATGGAGGCGAGCAGCAATCAGGACCGAAACCCGGATTTCCTTGACGACTTTATGTGAAGGATGATTTGCCAGAGATCGGATATGAAATTATGAACTCATGTGTCATTTTCTTGTTATTGCATATAGTTGCAAGAACTCTATAAACCAGAGGAGAAGTCGCTCAAATCTTGTCCCTAGTACTGATAGCCTAAAAAAAAAAATTTACATAGAGTATAGGCCATATTCACGCGTTTCAAATGTCTCTTGCCTCTAAAGTCTCGCTCGGAAATCACGCCGTAAAGATTCAAGGCCTGAAGGCCCATCGAAAATCTGTTGTTCAGTCATGCGAGTGTTGATCTAGATAATAGATAATAGTCAGAATTTATCACAAAGGGACCAGGATAATTGGGACTTCATACGTATTGAGGTCCAAGTGCGTCCACTGTTTCCACTCCAAGCAGGCGCATGCATGCCTGACTCTCATCTGACAGAACTAATGAGATGGTTAGATTGAGACTGGAAGCAAGACGAGCCGGATAACATACTCTGCAATACCCGACGGACACCGTCCACACCACCGGCTCCCAATCCCCAAAGAGCAGCACGTCCAATGCCTACCGCTTTGGCACCCAGGCAAAGTGCCTTGACTATATCAGTACCGCGACGAATACCGCCGTCGACATAGACCTCGACTTTGTCGAAGACCTCAGGGCAGTATTTACGAATCTCTAGCAGAGTGTGTACTGCTGGTGGTGCTGTGTCCAATGCACGTCCACCATGGTTGGAGAGAATAATTCCTTTGACTTGCGGGGCGTGCAGTGATGCGAGATAGGCATCTTCGTGTGTCTGCAGGCCCTTGAGGACAACCGGTAGGTCAGTGTGTTTAGCCAACCAAGGCAAAGTCTCACGCCAGGTCAAGGTCGGGTCCGTGCCGGCAAATAGGGTTTTACCCACGCCCCCTGATGCTTCCGAAACATCAGGAGTACCTTTCGACCTGTCAGCCTCCTTCACAGCACCTGGTGCCGGTGCTCCAGCCATGCCAGCTCGCTCGTCGTCTTCACGTTTTCCAGGGACCGGAGCATCCAAAGTCAGGACAATGAACTTGATTGCCTTGAGCTTGTTGATTCGCGCCAACATGGCTGCGCTCTTCTTGCGCTCAATCTGAACATACAGCTGCCATCCAAATACTTGGTCAGGCGCCGCATCTTTCACGATCTGTTCCGGGGTCATCGATGCATTGTTTGAAATTATTTGCATCGCACCAAAGCTACGACATGCCTCTGCAATTCCTGCCTCGCCGGCAGGGTGACCGAGACGGGCCATAGCAGCAGGAGAAACATATATTGGCATTCCCAACTTATGACCCAGCACGGTGCTCGAGAAGTCACAGCGCTCACAGTCCCTAAACACTCTTGGTCGGAGGAGAATGGATCGATAGGCTTCATTGTTGAATTTCTTGGAGAATTTGTCGTCGGAGGCTGACCAGTAGTATGCCCATGCCTTCTTAGTGACCTGCTTGGTGGCAACCTCTTCGATTTCATCCAGATTGAGCAAGTTTTCCATGGGTGGTGGTCCTTGCGCGGGCTCCTGCGCCTCGACTGGGGCCTCTTCTTTGGGTAATGTGCCTACATCCACACTTCCAATGCACTGCTCTGGCTTGAGTTCTTCCTCTAGAATGCCCGGGGGGTGAATGGGATCATATTCCTCAGTGGCATCCTTGCCTGCCAGCTTTAAAATGATCTTGGCTCCACCGGGGTGACTTGATAGGAAATCAGTCACCTTGCATCTACGGGTCAGCTTTGTTCATGAAATTTCACAGCAGAGCATCGGACAACTCACATCATACACCTTTCCGTATAGCACTACCCAGCAGCTCTCCCGAGTATTATGCTTTGCGACTGGGATGTTCGTCAGAGACAGGAGGAGCAGCGACGTGGGGATACAACATACCTTCGGCCGCATCGAATACTTTTGCCATTGTGTAAAGAATGAGAAAAACACAAGACAGGGAAATGCCTTGCAAGAAATTAAGGAGGAAAGGAATGGAGATTACGATGCTCGGAGAAGGCGCCGACCATAAAGTGTGGGGAAATGACGGCAACTGGTTCTACGTCGGGTAAGTTCGATAGCCGACATAAGGCATTAGAAACCCTTTGACCTCATTGGTGGAGAAAATCATACGGTCTTTGCACTCAGCGGTGCAGTACCAGTCAAAATCCCCGGATTTGTGTACGGAATCCATTCTCCACTTGGAAACCTCTTGATTTTCAAGTTATTAACCCAGGCTTGATGCGGTCGTCACTTGGCCGATGCCATCCGGCATGCCGATGGTATGAGTGCTCACACGTGACTTGGAATCTGGTCAGTTTGATCCTTTGATCTGTACAGTACTGGTTATCATATTTTACTACCCTGAAAGCCAATAATGCAATCTAGATTGAACTGTGTAGTAATGCTCATTCTATGCTCAGAATATGAATGGCCCCCACGTCGGGGCAAACATGGATGAAGTACTATTTCGCATTACTCCCGAGGAATACAGTAGCCACTCTTCTAATAAGGGTGAAGCTAGAGATTTATCTGGTGCTGACTGTGATAAGGTGCGGGCTGAGGATGTCGCAGCATACTATGCTGGTGAGAACTTCAACGAAGAGCTTGAGAGGGCCGGCTACCCAGTGACAATAACCACTGATATGGCGATGGCTACTTTCGTGATATGAAAGATCACGTACATATATCCACTTCCAAATCTAGTTATTCGTCCATTCGTATTGTCTATCTCATGGGCTTCAACCCCAACAATGCTATGTCATCTATGTTTTGGGCACAACGGCTAATGGGGTCAGAATTGATCTTCAATACCATTCTTCTCCTCCTGTTTTAGCCTCTCCTCGTTCATCTCAAACCACCAGGCATGCGACGCATCTTTAGTCGTGGCTCCTGTCTTTCCGTCTGCCCATTCATCCCAGGGTTTCGGACTGAGAATGTAATGCACATTTTTCACACTTTCGTCTCGCCAGATGGCATCGTGCACCCCCTCCCACCGGAGAGTCTTCAACGCGTTGTAAATGTACGGAAGCGCCACCCAGCGCCCGTGGAAGAGATCTCCCAAAAGAGACTGATCTGCAAAATCGTAGTCTAATGTTGCCGAGGTATCAAGCTGACTCACAATCTTGTCGTAGATTTCCTTGGATGGGTTCACGACCTGGAGGCCTCCGTTGGGCATACCAAAAGCTGCATCCGGCGCTGGGCCTGTTCTTTGCGCAATTTCTGGGGTGGAGTGCTGTGTAGTGTAGGCGCAGTTGGCCGGGATCCTGTGGATAGTCAGCCTGAGTGAACATTGGCAATGGAAAATTAGGTTCGGTCATACCAGTTTGAGGGGTAATGAGGCTTCTTGAGCGGATTGCAAGCACAGGCGTGGCTAGCAGCAAAGACTCGATTGCCTGTGCCAGCTGCAGAGGGTGGGTCAAGTTTGAGCTCCATTAATTCATCCATGTTCTTAAGGACGAGCATATCGCTATCGAGCTGGACCACACGGTCATATTCCACGAGGGAGAATGGAGTGAGCTTAGACCAGCAATCATAGAAGCGCGGGTCATTGGTGTATTCTCTTGGTGTCGAGGGGAGTAGATAAGCGACATGTTGCTTTAGGATACCGCGTTCATCCAGGGCCGTATGACCCTCGGCCGGAAATGAATCCGTGTACAGGGCTACCAGTGGGTACTTGGAACCCACTTTCTTGAGTGAATAGTCTAGGGTCAGAAGGCCCGACAGGTAGGCGGTGTTGGTAATCAGAGTTGTCCAAACTGCGACTGTTACTTATAGAACATTGGGGGGTTTTGAGCTGTGTGTGTACCTTTGGACGGTCGTGCCTTGTTTCCGTCAGTCATGATGAACGTCGCTCTCAAACTGTTCCAAAGGGTTAGCTGGTGGATTAAGGAATTGCAATTGAGCACATCACCTTTTCTCGTAAGTAATCTGGGGCAACAGAAAGACTTTGAAGGTGTAATGTTGGAGAAAATCTTGGAGGTGACGATAGGAAGGAGGGCGGATGTGCCTGGCCGTTATCAATAATGTGGGGAACATTAGAGTTCCTTATCCAAGCACGTACATTAGATGACGTGATAAGCTCTTATAATGATCTATTTCTAAAGCTTTCAAGCTACTGATACTATCAAATCATGAAGAATGACAGTGCAGCGTCGATTTTGGATGGTTTGCGAAGCTTTTCCCGGGTTGTGAGAGACCGTGTTGTCGACACCATCTGCATATATATTTCGAGGCCAACCGCCCCACCAAGCACATGTAACGATTCACAGCATTTGCCATTGGTTTGCAATTTATAACGTATGGAATACGATTGACCTGATTATATTCCCAAAAGGGGTTTAAGTTAATCGCTGTCATCCTGAGTATATTAAATAACATAATAAAAGTAGAGAGAGAATCTATGCCAACAATGTACCAACGTGTTTCAGAGATCGTTTGATTTTTTTGACGCCTAAATGTTAGGATCATATAGCCAAAAAAGGTAAAATTACTCATCCAAGTCGCGTGGTCTAATGGTCATGATTTCTGATTCACATCATTTCTTTGATTGAATCACTCAGAAGGTTCCCGGTTCGATCCCGGGCGCGACTATATTTTTGCAATCTTTTTTGATCATTCATATGGATAGCCTTGAGGTATGTCAAGTAGCAGAATTGATGTGAATGACATTGAAGTTAAATCTTAGATAGTGCGTGTAATTATGACAATGATGTCGAGGTTTCGCTTTTTGACTATATAACTAAGTTGACTAGATGCTGCTAGCGTGAATCATTTGGCGGCCATTTGATGGAGGATCTTGTTGTCAATGAAAGAGAAATGTTACATAATCCAGTCGCGTGGTCTAATGGTCATGATTTCTGATTCACATCACCTAGTGTTTGAATCACTCAGAAGGTTCCCGGTTCGATCCCGGGCGCGACTATCTTTTTGCTTTTTATCTTTATCTTTAACGCTCATAGAGTTACTCAGTTACTCATAGGCGCGTAGCTGCCCATCTTAACCACCCTCAATAATAATCGACTTGTATGGACCAAAATACTCAAATGCCCAAACTAAATAATACAATTCCACAGGAGAAGGTATACGTTGCCTTTTAGGCAATAGAGAGAAAGGTTGGCACATGAGTAGTCATTGGATGAATTGATGTATTTGATGGTATCATGCCTATGTCTTGGATCAAGCCAAAGCAATAGGTAAAAGAGATAAAGAGAAAATCTATAATAAAGGTATGTAGGGAGAAAGGAAAGAGTATTCACACACACTGAAGGTCCAACAAGAATAGATCAGTGGAAGCCTAGATCTTGGAAAGCGGAGGTTTATCCTGCTTTAATCGCACAACACCCTATGACATCTGGTCAGCGTTGGTTAAAAGGAAGACAAAACAGAATTCATACCTCTTGGGTACATGTCGCAATCAATGTCCCGTTTTGCGACCAGAGCTTCTGAATGGCCAATCCGCGTCCCTCTCCAGCCCAAGGGCTCTCCGTTTCAACAAGCATCCACTCATCGGCGCGGAAGGCCAGTGGATTATGGAAGTAGATCGAATGATCAAGACTGACCATCATGCCTAATTCTTTATGGTCTTCCTTGTTGGCGTTGCTCAGGGCTCCTTCGAGTTGGCGTCGTAGATCTGCCGCTTCTTCTTCCTTTAACTCCTTGAGGGCCTTGGTGATGTCTTCGTCATCAAGGTCAGACGGGTTCTTCAGTGCCTTGAGAAGTTTTTGGAGGTCGGCTGGGGACGAGAAGCGAGGAATATCATGGACCCGAGAGACAGTCCCAATGAAGAAGCTGTCGGTAATATAAGCCAGAGCGGATAAGTGGGCCTGGAAACCCCCTTCGTCGGAGATTCGGTTACGCGCCCGAACGAACCGTCGAACTCTCTTATCTTCGGGGTTCTGGTTTCGGTTGATGATGCCCGCTTTCTTTGACTCAAATGGACCACCCCCTGCGTCGCTAAGAGCCTTGACAGTCCCTGGTACCGCATCCGCTGGGAGCGAGACATCGGGCATTGGTGTCGCATGGTTCAACGTCTTCTCACCCCCGCTGCCCACTCGGCTAAAACTCAACGTGGTCGTGAAGATTGGACGGCCACGTTGGCGCGCTTGTACGGTCCGAGTGATAAAGCTTCGTCCGTCGCGTACGCGTTCGACGTGGTACAGAATCGGTAGTTCAGAGTCACCTGCGAGGACGAAGTAACAGTGCATGCTGTGGACGGCAAAGTCCGCTGGTACGGTACGCATCGCAGCGGATAGGGACTGAGCGATAGCGGCGCCACCGTAGATTCCTCGGGCACCGGGAGGATGCCATAGTGGCCGAGTGTTTGTAAAGACATCCTAAGCGTGGTAGCCGTACGTTAGCCTTACAATCGGGAATATGACATGCGCAAGGGATGGGTGTTACTGGGCCGAGGTCCACCACTGGAGTCAAGTCGAGCACATTCTCGATTTGCGCTCTGGACTTGTCCTGTGGCGGAGGTTCAAAGAGTGTAATGTGTTTTGTCATGACTACCACAAGGTGTTGACTGAATGAAAATATGAAAAAGGGCGGAGTGTAGAAACGGGGTTCAAGCGGGTGACGGCGATCGGCGCTTTTTAGGCGGGTACAGCTTACATTAGAAGCCGAGGTCCATCATGCTTGGCACCACGACGACATCAGTGCCCCACCACAGTCTCTACTCCATTAATGTTATTGATCTATAAATCAGGTTGTAACCATGTCTGGAAAGACTGGGGGGCTAAATCAATGATGAGATATGATATATGCCGGAACGAAAGGATCCGTCTATAATGTCGTTGAAGGTTACATAGAGCTCAAGGCCTAGTGGATGTCGAAGTTGCAAGTATGATATGGTTGAACGGCGAAAACAATGCAAGCAAGTCATTAATCATCATAGAGATGCCTCGGTCCTTAGAGAGCCGGCGTCTCCCATGTATCGCGCTTGATCCTCATCACGGCGGACTGTTTGTGCGGGAAGCTGACCTCCCCTTCTTTATGAAAGCCAACTTGCTGCAGGTATCCGATAAGCCTACAATTTAGATTAGCATTCATCATTCAACCAGAGATGGTTGTGTCTTACTTTAGGTTATCAATTCGCGGCTCTAGCACAACTGATTCCGTTCTCATGTCACTCAAAAAGCAGTAGTGCACGAGAGCAGTCAACCAGATTGCCACTCGGTGTGGCCCTCGGAACTCCTGCTCGCCGACAAGAAGGTGAATACCCCGATCATAATTATCCACGCAGTCCAATAAACGGCCCAGTGAATCCTCTTTTACCCAGTAGAGCTCAAAGTAGCCGAACGGTTTCCCATCCCAGCATCCAATGACGGGGAAACTGTGTCGACTTGTCAGATTGTCCATGAGAAATTTCTCCTGCACTTCTTTGGGACCCCCAGCACCCCACATTGCTTCGACACGGGGATCATTCATCCACTTATGCAGGGTGTCCAAATCGGACGGGATGTCCTGGTTAAGATGCTGCTCAATACCCGTCACGGCCGAGCTGACCAGCTTGTTTGATGTGGAAGGTCGGCTATCACTGCTACCGGCTGCCACTCTGGGCTTCATCATAGGCAGGAACGGGATTCGGAAGGAGAGATACTGGGCCACACTAGGAATATACCGAGAATAGAATATTTCTCCTTGATGGGGTGGCTTTGGGCGGATCGGGTGCCGAACCCCATTGGTGAATTTATACTGCGTTGGTGCGGGCGGGTAATATGTTGGTAGATGGCTACCAGATGTGAATGGTCCAGCCGATGTGAAAGGGCTCACGTTGCCGGTATGGAATGTTGCCTCTGTAGGCGACAGCCCCGTCGAGACAGGAAGGCCATCCCGCGCCGGTGAAGCATGCCGAGATTGGAATGGGGTCAAGGAGGGAGATGGCGGTGCCCCTCGAGGGGTCAGCGTGAAGAGAAAGAGACGCGGGTCTATTTGCCAGAAGCTTCTTCGGCTCACAAACATGTTCGACCAATTGCTCGAGTCCCGTGTTTCAACAGGCTGCAGCCCGACCGACGAGTCCTCGCTAGCAATCAAACCCATGCGCTCCAGCTTCTGTAGTAAATTCCGGCCCTTGAAAATTCCCTCGCGTTTGATGTTCACCCGCCATTCGCCCTTCGGCCGTCCATCGTGCGGGGTCGCGCCGCATGCCGCGGTGTCCAGGTGGAGATCAGGTTCGGGCTCGTGAAAGTACCACCACAAGGTTGCCCAGAGCATCATTGCAATATGGCGGGTTGGCGAAGAAGCCGGTTTGAATTCGCTAGATGGTGGATTGACGATGTAGGAGATGTAAAGGCAGTCACGGCTTAGAGTGGGAGTGGTAAATCGGGAAATATTCTGGTCGCCATCGCTGGAAGTTGGACGTCCACTCTGCGAGCCAGTTCGACCTCGTTCATCCTCTGGCAGCTTGGCATTCTTTTCGCTGTGGATGATGATCGTCCATCCCGGCGGGAAAGTGGAGTTGTGAGCATTCAAATCGTTGGATTTGAAAGTGACCCCACCAAAGACAGGTGACACACTAAATGTCATGCCATTTGGGAGATGACAGGTGTTGTGTCGCATAGTGATCTCGCCAGGGGATTTTCCAATTCCAGAAAGACCTCAATGAAGCCTGGAGAAGGTGCGCACGAGACTCTTATCTTGTTGCCCCTCACTTGCGCGGGGAACTGATTCCAGGGCCCCACGAGCAATGGCACGACGTGACTTTGGCTCGAAAATCACTAAGATTGAATTAAATGAGACCAAATGACCAGTCACTGGGGAATATTTAGAGGAAGAAAGGTTGAGAATGGGGACGATAAAAATAATATGGTCAACGATAAAAATGAATGATGACGCAGACACTACTCCTGTCATGCCACTCCAAACGCACCATACAAACTGCAGCAGTTGGTCAGCGAAACCACTTCGTAGCTATAATTCAATTTAATTAACATGAGAGTAGTAACACCGTTTCTTTGATTGGTTCTCGCCTTCGCGAGACTTTTCTCAATGCTTTTTTTTATGGAGACAAATTGGAGAAAAATTGTCTGTGCGAGCGGTAAGAGCGCGCTATTAGATAAAAGAAACCGCCAAGAAGTAGTGCTGGAACCTTGGAAAACGCTCGGTAATGGCGCACTAAATTTAAGATTATGTCGATCATCTACTTCGTTAAATTCCATGCTACGCTAACAGTGTTGTGATCCTAGAGTGTGTGAGCTTGAATCGTGGTCTGCCATTTGCTAAGCAATAACTATGAAATGATAATCTGGCATTAATTCTCCGTCAACAGTCATTCTGAGCTCATCATGGCGTAGGTGCGGCTATTCGACCGATATATGCTTACACCAGTGTCTCTCCCAAGTGCAGCATAACCCAGCTCACACAATCAATCAAGGCCAAAACATGTCCGAGTTTCGCTATCGCCCAGAAATCCTCCAGGGAATACCAGATCACGAGACGGCTTATCTCAAGCAGTACGAACACTGGTTTATCCTCGAGCCAGAACAGCTGAAGCGCATCACAGACCAATTTGTAAGAGAATTAGAACAGGGACTTTCCAAAGAGGGAGGCAATATTGTTAGTCGTCTCTTGCACAAGCGTCATAAAGATTCCGGTATTGACTCCAGGATCCGTGATGGTATAGCCCATGAATCCCACTTGGGTGATGGGATTCCCCTCCGGTTATGAGACAGGCCGTATTTTGACACTGGATATGGGCGGTACAAACCTGCGCGTATGCAGAGTCTACCTGTCAAGCCGCAAGAGGCATTTTGAACAGATCCAACGGATATTCAAACTCCCAGAGGAAATTAAGACCGGGACGGGGGAGCAACTGTGGGATTTTATAGCCGATCGTCTGGAGTTGTTCCTAAGCGAGCACAATGTCACGAGTGAAAACGATGGAACCATGCCTTTGTCATTTACCTTTTCATTCCCCGTCAAGCAGAAGTCCATACGAAGCGGGATTCTACAACGCTGGACGAAGAACTTCAATGTATCTGGAGTGGAAGGACATGATGTGGTTCCGCAGCTTGAAGCCGCCTTTCTGAGACAAGTGAGTCTGACCAGAAGATGGGAGTGGAGCTGTGTTGCTGAAGCCACCCAGAAACTGCCGGTGAGAATAGTCGCGCTCCTCAACGACACCACGGGTACCTTGATTGCATCACACTATATAGACCCGAAGGTCAAGGTGGGCAGTATCTTCAGTACAGGCTGTAATGCGGCTTATATGGAGGAGTGTAGGTTGATCCCGAAACTTGAAGACGCCGCGCTACCAGACAAGGCCAGTGTTATCATCAACACCGAATATGGTGCATTTGATAACGACAGGAAAGTCTTGCCATTGAACCCGTTTGACTGGCAAATTGACGAAGAATCAGCGCGACCAGGCACCCAGATCTATGAGAAGATGGTCTCGGGCCTGTATATCGGTGAGATGCTACGTCTGATCCTCGTCACACTACACGAGCAAGGCAAACTCTTCAAGGGCCAGGATATCACGCGTCTTCGACATGAAAACTCCTTGGAAGCATCATTTCTGTCCGTTGCAGAGCTGGACGTTTCAGAGGATCTTGGTGACATGCGAAAAGAATTCACAGAAAGTCTGAGCCTTTCGCCCGATCTCAATGATTTGAAGGTGTGTCGGTATCTGATCGGCCTTGTGGCTACACGGGCAGCGCGTCTCTATGCTTGCGGAATAGCTGCTATTTGCAAGAAGAAAAACATCAAAAGGTGTCATGTTGGAGTGGATGGCTCCGTGTTCAACAAATATAGTGCGTTCAAGGGCCGTGCTGCACAAGGACTGCGCGATATCTTTGACTGGCCGCCCGACGAGCTGGAATTGATCGCGCTCAACCCGTCCGAGGATGGCTCAGGTGTAGGGGCAGCTTTAGCAGCGGCATTGGTTATTGAAGGCGAGCATAAAGCAAGACCATTGTGATATTTGAGCAGAATTAGAAAAGAAGGTTGACCAGAGCAATGAACTCATTTACTGCTACTACATTACATGTGACCGTGAGCCTTGGACAATCAAGCAAGTCATATATTCTTATTCAGGGCAAATGGATTGAATCGTCGAGAATGCTCCTTCTATTTCTGTTGCAATACCTCCTCGGTGGTGCGAACAATGATATCAAACGCATTGCGAACATACTTCTCCTCTGCCATCGGGTTGGCACTGACCACACGAATGACATAGACGCCATCAATCACGGTCGAGGTAATAAAAATCTCGCCCCGCGAGTTGATCAATTCATAAACCTTCTTAGTGATGCTATCGGCCACCTCGTCTTTGACGACCACACCATTAGTGCTGTTTGAGGTCGGGCCTTTGATGCGGAACACAGTTAGACAGAAACCTGGCTTGGTGACAATTTCGAACAGATCGGCACGACCGCGGACTAGATCAGCAAAGATGTTGCCCAGGCCGATTGTCTTGCGAATATGCGCTTTCATGCCGTTCAAGCCGTAGCTACGCATCACGAACCAGATCTTTAGCGCTCGAAAACGGCGACCGAGAGAGATGGACCAGTTACGGTAGTCGATCACAGTACCCATATCTGAATAAGGATTGCGGAGATAGGCGGGGGTGATGTCGAGGGCGTTTGTCAGATCGAGACGATTGCGGATAAAAAGGACACTGCAAGATGTCAATAAATGTGTAGGTATCTGTAGGTATCTGTAGGTTGGAAGGATGTACCTTGCATCGAAGTTGACCAGCAACCATTTGTGCATGTTCATGTTGAAACTGTCTACGCCCTCAGCAAAGTCCTTGGTAATGTACTGCCACTCATCCGCGACAAGGGAGGCCCCCGCATAGGCTGCATCCACATGCACCCAGATGCGCTGCCATGCAGGCTTCTCCTGCAGCACGGCCTTAATTTCGGCAAAGCGATCGACACTGCAGGTGTTGGTTGTACCAAAAGTCATGGTCAGATGATACGGAGTCAATCCGTCCTTGTCGCACTTCTCCAATACCTCTCGCAGACGTGCAGCCGTCATCTCCATATTCTCCTCCAATCCGGTCTTCACACTGCGAAAACGGGTACCGGCGATCAACGCTCCCTTGGCTGCACTGCTGTGTGTCTGATCACTGGCGATCGCCACCAACCGTGGCTGGAGATCCATTTTGCGTTCATCATATTCGTTGGTTCCCTCCTCCAAACCCTCGGCCAGCACCAACTCGCGCACCCGGCGTTCTCGGGCAGCGACCATGATGGTCGCAATGGCATCGCTCGCACTGTTCTGGATGACACCGCCACCTAGATTCTCTGAGGTGCTCAAGAAGCACTGCGGAAGTCCCAATGCCTTTGCCACCCAATCCATCACGATGGTTTCCAGCTCCGTACAGGCCGGCGAGCAGAGCCAGTTGAACGCTGGTGCGGTGAATGCCGCCGAATACATCTCACCCAGAATGCTCGGATATGTTACACTGGCGGGGTAGTACGCCATGAATTTCGGCGACTGCCAATGGGTCAGCCCCGGCTTGATCTTAGTGTCGACATCCTGCTGGATCTGGTCCCAGGCTTCCGGTTCAGTTGGGGGGTTCTCAGGGATTAGAGGGCGCAGGTATCCGGGGTCGAGGGCCGGGAGGACTCTCCGGTCGGGAACGCTGTCGAAATAGCCAAGGACTGAAGCACGGAGCAATTAGTAGTCTGATTGAGGGATCGATTTGGCAGTCCAATTTGCGGGGCTTACTATCGTCAATGGCTGAGTGAGCCGCTGTTCGGAACTCGTCGCGGTCCATTTTTCGCGTGAATGTGGAGTGTGCGTGCTTCCAGAGTGTCAATTGGGAACGGGGAATTTGGGGGATTTTTCAAAGAATTGAGCACGATTATATTCAGGTCGAAGGTGAGGCTTAAAAGACAGGGTTTGCATGTCGAGGAAAAGGCGTCGGAACAGTTCCGTCGTACCGAGAGAGTGGGGTCGGCTTCTAGAAAAGCGCTACGATAGCATCCTTGGACATCCTCAATTACCCGTCGAATATTAATTCACATCTGTGTGTACTAAGAGGTATCTAGAGTATACAAGTATGATTGGTCTGGACATTATCTTGGGGGGTCAGCCCATTTAGGCCAGTTCCTCATCGACTATGATCCTTTTTGAGGGTTTCTTATCCTATCCTCTTTAAAAAAAAAAAAAAAAAAAAAAAAAAAAAAAAAAGCAAGGACCAGTCGAGCAGCACAATTGGTACAAATCAGTCATTTTTCTGAGATGCCTTTCCACTACTACCTATAATATCCATCCAGCGCTTCATCTCCATCGTCAAGACCTCAATTCCCGTGTCCATCAACTCAGTCAGAGGGCGAGTCGCATTAGCTCGTAGATTATCGTGCCAGGGTTCCAACACCAGCTTGTTCACGTTGACCTTGGTCACTCCAGCCTGAATGCACGCTGAGGCCAATTCCGCCGGAAATTCATTGGTACCGTGTAGAACTAGGCGAACGCGGCCATTCATCGATTTGAAGATACCCTGTAGTCTAGATTGCAATCAAGAAGCTGTCAGTAAAATTCATGTGAGATCTTCAATTTCTATGCGCACCGTTCCATATCCAATTCAGGCCCTTTGGGCCCATAATCACCATGAACATTCCCAACGCTTGGAGCCAGGAAGTCAATCCCGGAGGCAATAAACTCCTCCACATCCTCCGGGTTCGTCAATATACCCGCAAGATCTCCGGTATCCATGATTCCATCTTCGCCACCTTCAATGCGACCAGTCTCCGCCTCCACCGAAATCCCACGAGCGTGACAATACTCGCGCAGGACCTTTGTCTTTGCCAAGTTCTCTTCCTTCTCGTAATGACTCATATCCACCATAATAGAATCAAAAGGCAGATTGTCTGCGACGTACTTGATCTGGTCATAGTCCTGGGCGTGGTCGAGATGCACTGAAACAGGGACCGAGGCACTCTTTGCAGCGGCAGCGGCAGCGAAAACTAGCGACGGGGTCTGTTTGAGGGATGAAGGGAATAATTGAATGATTAATGGGGAGCGACGCTGCTCAGCCGCTTGGACCATTGCAGTGATGTGTTCCACATTATACCTGACATTTGTCAGTATGGGGTATTTGCTTACAATTGCACTTGTTTACTCACACGATCGCAGCTAGAACACCATAGCCGCTTTTCTCGGCCGCAGTCAAAATCTGACAAGTCTTGTTACTATCGCGCCAGCTCATACTAAAGCAGCAACCTTGGAGCGATTTTTGGAATTTGTTCTTTTTCAATTGGATTGTTAGGTTATATATACATCGGAGTGCGGGGCTCATGGTTCCCCGCTCCTCGTCTCGAGGCACTCGGAACTTGGTGTGGGGTATCTTAAGCCACTTGACAACGGTTGTAATATTCCTTTTCAAGATCATGCATAACAGGGCTTCTAAGATTAGTTCCATTCTAGATTGATCGCCACATATTGATTTTCCTCCGACCTCGACGCGGTCATTGTTCGCTGCCCCAAAGCTTTACGTCATTGGAATAGTACAGGAAACCGATTCGGTATGCATAACATATATATATGTGATGGAAAAGAATATTTCAAGGTGTGGAAATCAATATTGAATGATTTTATACAGCTGTGCTAAAAGAAAGAAAAAAAAAAAATTCACCAGAACGATGCCAAAAGAAACAAAGGAAAAAGGGTATTCATGATCATCAAGTCCACATCATTTACAGCTTAGCAGCCGAGCCAGCCGAGGAGATCTCATTGTACAGCAAGCTGGTCAAGAAATCGGCATAATCCTCACCGGTAACCTGACCAGCGAAGTAACGTGCGGCAAGCTGGTACTTGTTGCCCTTAGCACCCTGGGATGCAAGGCTGTCGGCCTGCTCCTGCAACAAACGAAGCGCATATGCCTTGTCAACGCGCTTACCCTCAGCGGTGGAGACGTTGTGCTTCACCCACTGCCAGAGCTGCGAGCGGGAGACCTCGGCGGTGGCGGCATCCTCCATCAGGAAGTTGATGGGGACACAGCCGACTCCGCGGAGCCAGCCCTCCATGTAGCTCAGACCGATGTTCAAGTTCTTGCGGATACCCTCCTCGGTGATCTTGCCGGGGACGTTGGTGTTGAGGAGATCATTGGCGGTGATATTGACTTCCTCACGACGGATGAAGAGCTGGTTAGGGGTGGGCATGTACTTGTTGAAGACGTCGGAGGCGATGGCAGCGAGAGCGGGGTGAGCGACCCAGGTACCATCGTGGCCTGCACGGACCTCCCGGAGCTTATCAGCGCGCACACTCTCCATGGCCTTGTCGTTGGCGGCGGGATCGTTCTTCACGGGAATCTGAGCGGCCATACCACCCATGGCGTGGACACCGCGGCGGTGACATGTCTTAATGAGCAACTTGACGTAGGCATCCATGAAGGGCACGGTCATGGTGACATCGGAGCGATCGGGGAGGACGAAGTTGGGGTTCTGACGGAATTTCTTGATGAAGGAGAAGATGTAGTCCCAACGGCCACAGTTCAGACCAGAGCTGTGGTCGCGCAGCTCGTAGATGATTTCCTCCATCTCGAAAGCGGCGGTGATGGTCTCAATGAGAACGGTACCACGGATGGTGCCGCGGGGCATGCCGATGTAGTCTTGGGACAGGTTAAAGACGTCGTTCCAGAGACGGGCCTCGAGGTGAGACTCCATCTTGGGCAGGTAGAAGTAGGGGCCGGCGCCGCGGGCAACAAGCTCCTTGGCATTGTGGAAAAAGTACAGACCAAAGTCGAAGAGACTGCCAGAGATGGGCTCGCCGTTGACGGTGAAGTGCTTCTCCTCCAAGTGCCAGCCACGGGCACGGGCGATCAGGGTAGGCAGGGTACGATCGGTTCGAAGCTTGTATTCTTTGCCACCCTGGTTGAAGTCGACCTGGCGACGAATGGCATCGTACAGGTTGACCTGGCCGTTGATCATGTTGTCCCAGGTCGGGGCGGAGGAGTCTTCAAAGTCGGCCATGTATGTCCAGACGTCGGAGTTGAGGGCATTGACAACCATCTTGCGGTCGGTGGGACCTGTGATCTCGACACGGCGGTCCACCAGACCAGGGGCCGGGGGAGCACCCTTCCATGCATCATTCTCACGAATATGCTTGGTCTCGGGCAGGAAGTCGAGGAGGTTGCCCTTGTCAATTTCGGCCTGGCGGTCGATGCGGCGCTGCAGCAAGGCCTTACGGGTGGGGTTGAAGGTGCGGTGCAGGATAGCGAGGAAAGCGCACGCCTCCTTGGTCAGGATCTTGCGAGCGTCATTGGGGATGTTGCCGAGGATGGCAACATCCTTAAGTTGAGTTTCGACAGAGGACATTGTGTGAGGGGTATAGGAAGTATGTATTCGATGTTGAGAAAGAAGGATCAGATATGATTCTTATCCATCCAGGGTCTGCTAAAATTCACAGGATGGTTCACAAGTTCACACAGATATAAGAGAGAGAGAGAAGGAAGTCTCCTTACACCCGTGGTTCTACAAACGTTATATATAGAGCATCGCCATCCGACCGAAGGCGGAGATAAAGTCGAATAGAATACGTCAGAGCGAAGTTACCGCGGCTGTTGGCTCAGCCATGCTCCCGACCAATGATACGAGGAACGCGACTTTTCCGCCGGGAAACTCACGTTTCCTCCTCCACTCGGCCGACATCGCCCGTTTCCCGAAATCTGCCCTTGAAGAAAGGCGGTCGCGCGCGTCCATCGTGAACGGGATGCGCCGTATACCGAGTCTTATCGCCCCGCGAAATCCGATTCTCTATGAAAATTCTTCTCGGTCGGTTGAATGCTTTATATAAGTTTTCGGGGGCTTGGTTGTTGACTTATCGTGTTGATGATTGACGGCAAAACAAAGTTCAAAGTGATTATCATGTCGCCTCCCCTAACATACCCGAGAGTGGCTGCAGCTTATTCCTGCTCTCCCCGCCCGAACCCAAGCCGCGGTTCGACTACACAGCTCTTGGCTGGGATCGGTCATGTTCGGTAATCCATGAGTGCTGTAGATTGGCCGAATTGACCCGACTTGTGATGGTGGACGATCGACATGTGACGACATGTGATATTGATACGGTCCAGACCATTAGATTAACCTTGGAGAATGCGAAGCTTAAAAAGTAACATATGAGAGCTAATCTTGAATAGTCTAGCTGTTGACACGGCGATCCTCAAGTTTTCTATGGCCCTAGCTTAAAGCTAAATCCAGACAGCCAACTGAATTCTGGCTCCGACACTGTTACCGCTCGCTAATCCTCCATCTCCACCGAGTAGCAACAGAGAAGTCAACATGATTCCCGGAAGTCTTCCGTATCGCGGACGCTTCTTGCCCAAAGCCGGATATAAATTTTCGTCACTAAGGACATAGGCTTCGTTACCGGCCTTCTCAAGGTCTTACAGCTCTCGTCTTGTAAGACGGTTGAAGCCGTGCTCTATACTATCCTACAGCTATGGATCTTGTTACTAGGCAGATATGTGAGCATGAGGGAACAAGGACAATTAACATCATTACTATCATAAAGTCAACCACACGGCTAGCGTCAACAATTTGGTGACTACGGCAAACAAAATATAGAGCTACCAAGGTGGATTAGCTGCCAAGATGTCAATGTTCATCTTAAAAAGACTCTGCATCCACATGAGGTAACGCATTTGACAAGCATGAGTCGAGGCTCATACCCCGATGAACATGGAGGAAAAAACAAAGTGGCGATTAGTGAGCACCTGGCATCTTTAGATCAACACAAAGGACCTACGGTAACCCAACTCAGCCACTTCATGCTTTGATTTGGTGAGGTTTGATTTTTGCGCTTCAGAGATAGTCGTATGATTGAGCTGCTGCCATCGGTCAGCACTTATGATCTTTAGGAATTGATCAATACCAGTGGAATGAAATCCTTGAAGACCTCCATCAAATTTCTTATTCCATGCAACACCCACTTTCCAGTTTGTCGATTTCACCCTGAAAAGACTCTAGATCTTCATAGGACTCTTCTGGGAAACCTTCGCCTAGCACTTACCATGATTTACTCACGTAGCAATTTAGAAGTGCCCCCAGCGCGGGACTTTGTTCGTAGCAGTTCCGTTTGAGCTGATCCCATACTTGAGCACCGCTCAGCCGATTGTGAACCAAGAGCGGGTTTCTTCCATTTGCCCTTAGAAATTTCGTGCGTTAATTGTGGTTAGCAAAAGCCAGATCGTGATCCAAAATGACTCACGTTTATTACCAACTGCGCCTCTGCTGCCTGAAAGGTAGGGTTCCACTCTCAAGGAGTTTCTCCGCCAGTGGAGCAAAAACATTCGAAGCAATAAGCGGTACTCAAAGAAGTCGGACGTGCTAAAATATGTTCTTGATGCCAGATGCTCCCTTTGCTACCTACTCTCTGAGGCGTTTAGATCTCGGCGCTTGGTCATAATGCAGAGCATACCATGGGTCTTCTCGAAATCCTGTATATCTAACTCGGCGGTATTAGATATTCCAAGCCACTTGGAGTTCTCGGGGTAAGCAATGCGATTGCACAAGTGAAAAAGCAGCACTCTATGAATTTTGAGTATCAGAATGAAGATTCTGCTCTGAAAGGAGTTAAAAATCAACTTACAATCATCCATGAAAATTTGAGCCAGGGCCGCTCGACTGGGAACTGTACTGGACTGGACTTCCCAGACATATTTGACCTTCTCTCCGTATTTACCCTGTGGGAACTTTTGTCGCACTTTACGCCAACGATGGCGGTAACCATTTGAAGAAGGTGGAAATAGACCCCTGTCGTTTTTTTCTTTATAAAATACTACGCCAATTGTGAGCTTCGAGTCGATAGTGGCCCACCAGTGCATGCAAAGTACGTCTGGAACCAATGTCTGTTTCCATGAAATGATCGTGGGATGCGGGAACCTCCATAACCATTGAGAAAGAGCATAGCCCGTTTTGATTAGCTTGAATGACAGTGTCTGCACAATAGTAACTGATGTGCCGGTGGCCATTTCGAGATGCCATGCAGATTGAGGACGATGATCCGAAAAGAAGTCTCTCCACAGAGAAGCGTTAAATAGAGACTTCCAGTGCTCAAAGGAGTAGGATAGCTTCGTGGTGGCATTTTTGAAGCGCAAGTTAAAGTGGTTTTGCATCGATGAAATCTTATTTGAACAAGGTGCTCAGCAATGGCGGGTATTAATACTGCCTCTACTACAGGATGAAGTGGAGTCCATCCATAGCTACCTTCTTGAGCGTCAATGTCGCCGTTACTAAGAAGTAGTCACAATATATCTTTGTACCCCTCAAATAAGGTGATATGGAGGGCTGTTCTATCTAAGCCTCCCTGAGTGTTGACGTTGACGCCATGATCCAGCAGTACTCGCGCTATCTCAATATTGCATTGCGATGCGGCGAGCTGAATCGGTAGCAGTACCATATCCGTCTATCTAAGAACCAGCATTCGCTCTTTAGTCAAGATACATCTGCACCATCTCAGTTGCCTTTCGATACGACAACATGGAAAGCAATGTTACCATTGGCTCGAGTGTTAACTTCCGCACCGTTGCCAAGAAGCATTCGCACCATATCTAAGCTACCGTTCAATGTGGCAGCAAAAAGGGTACTTTGAGATGACCTGTCACTGCGGAGGTTCACGTCCGCGCCACTATAAAGAAACGTAAGCGAATCATTTATGTGCTTTACGTCGTGACGGCGAGATAGAGCGAAGTTCCCAGGAACTCACCTTGAGCGTTAACGTCCACATCGTCGGTAGGATGCAATCGCACCCTCTTAATCCAACCCTCCTGTATGTCCCGATGAAGGCCCACTTCTCTGTCATCGATTTCCATAGCCAGACTTGCGACAGAGTAATGGAGAAGGCAAGGCCATGTCAAGCGATAGCTCGGTGGATGTAAGCGAGACCCTACGAACTGATGTCGATAATAAAGTTAGATGCTAACATACAGTGTTGGGGCAAGTAATGTGGGCATCCAGTCACTGGGCAGATTCTAATCGCAAACTAGTGCTTACTTTATCATAACCCGGAGGACCCTGGATCCTAACCAGTCCATACTACCAACTATTATACGTTGATGGAACCGTGGCACTAAGCCAGATGAATAATGGTAAGAAGCATGGATTCAGGAAAGGTCAGGGACCGAGACTAAGACTAAGTAACTAACGTGGGTCATATAACGCGCCATAACAACTGGGGTCTCGCAGGAAAAGGCCATCGCCCTCGATAGAGAAAGAAAAAATAAAAACAAAGGAAATCGTCAGTGGTAGAGATCAATAGTCCTTGACGTAGTCTTCAAAACGATAGTCAGTCTCTGCTCGGGTCTCAACTTGGTTTTCGTCCATCCTTTCCTCAACATCCTTGAGCTGAGTGCTAAGGTCGGCTTAGGGGGTGTTTTCCTCATCAACCTCAGAGGTCATAGTATCAAGGTGTCCAGTGCTGAATTCCACATCAGTGGGCTCAGTGTCGATAGGCTCAGTTATTATGGCGCGTCACATGACCCACGTTAGTTACTTAGTCTTAGTCTCGGTCCCTGATCTTTCCTGAATCCATGCTTCTTACCATTATCCATCTAGCTTAGTGCCACGGTTCCATCAACGTATAACAGTTAGTAGCATGCCAACACCAAATTAACGGTATTAGGCAAAGTATTCTGAATACAAAGCAGTCACGTCATCGAGTACATACCCACGTACCTACCCTACTCCGTAAAATCCTCTTAATTATAAAGGTGACGAGGGAGTGTCACTGAACAGAGACGCCTTTTCTTACCAAATATTGAACGGTTAGTATAGCACCCGGCTCGAATAAAGCTTTATCATGCGTATTAACTTAAATCAAGCGAGGCTATATGCTCTTTGATACTTAGGAAATCAGGTACCGTACCTAACTTTTTACCTATATTACCGTTACTGCATGACATCAAAAGTGATTGGGAGCTGTTCAACTAATTCATGTATCCAAATTACCACAGCCCTACGTACTTTACTTTGAGATAATACTTTTATGCGCTCAAGACCTCAAAAATTTCTTATATCAATTTTGAAATGCAGTCTTTACGACCCGGAGAAACAAAGTAGCTGATGATCAGTCATAAGACTTACATAGCAAATGCGGATGGATTTTAAATATTGACGCCGGCATCGTATATACATATAAAATCCCCATCCTTGGTACTTGAGTAAATAATTGGTTGTCGCACTGCGCAAGATCAGATGACCTTCCCTATACGGTTTCAATGTAACGCTTCACCTCCCTGCAAAGTTATTAGCGACAGGACTCTACACAGTAAATATAGAGGTGGTGTTTTAACTTACCAGTCCGTGACAGCCTCCTCCCACAAGCGCACTTCATGCTCTCGTGTCCCACCAAAGTGATCCACGAAGTCATTTCCAAAGACCTCCCGCGCCATGCTATCAGGTCGCATAAACGTAGCAATAGCCTCCTTGAGTGTCTTGGCCAACCGGACTCCTTGATCGCTAGCACCACCCATATCATCACCCTTAGACAAAGGCGGTACAGGAATCTCGAGCTTCTTCTCAACACCGCGCCACCCCAGTGCCAGGATCGCCGCGAGCACAAAGTGCGGGTTCGCATCGGCACCAGGTACGCGGACCTCAAAGCGAGTCGCCTTGGCACTGGCTGTCGGTGGAGTAATTAACCGGATGGAAGCGGCCCGATGTTCTAGTCCCCAGGAGACGGTGACGGGAGCCCAAAAGTTCTCTACCAGACGTTTGTAGGAGTTGATCGTCGGGGCAAAGAGCGGCATGATGTCCGGCAAGCCGACCAGCAGACCTGCCAGGAAGTGTCGGCCCAGGTCCGACAAGTGTGCAACATCGGGATAAGGTGGGGATGGATCGGGAGTGTCGCGGATAAAGGCGTTCTTGCCATCAGCATTCACGAGCGAGATATGCATGTGACCACTGTTGCCTGGAAGTCCTTGGCGTGGTTTGGCCATGAAGCAGGGCGTGATACCATGCTTGATACCATAGGCTTTGACGACATATCTGCAAGCCGGTTAGTTTTGATGCTGATCTCCACCGAAAGTGTATCACTTACTTGAACAAGCCAGCCTTATCGGCCATATCCTTCGCTTCACCGAATTGTAATGCCTATTTTCCCAGCAGTTAGCTCAGATGCGACCACCGTCTTTTTCCTACCCAGCAATCTACTCACGGCTTCATAGACACCCGGTCCACTCTCGGTATGCCATCCCTCAATATCGCAGCGGAACTGCTCGCAGGCGTCGAAGATACCATAGTAATAATCTTGGTTGTGAAGAGGGCGAGTAATCGAGTATCCGAACATGCCCTCCGTTATGGGAGGAAGGCTCTCGGCTCTATTTGTTTGGAGGAATGCCGCGGTGTGTGAGGCGGTTCGCTCGGGTGTAGGGTGGTCTCCTGGGGCACGGAATTGGTAAAATTCATATTCCGCTATAAATGGTCAGTGAGGGATTGTATTATCTCCATGACATGTGATGGCTTACCTCCCGCCATGGCGCGGTATCCTGCAGCTTCTGCCTTTGCAGCGGCAGTCTTCAACAACCCTCGAGGGCACGCGCAGACCGGCTGGCGAGTCTCTGGGTCCAAAAAGCTGACTAGAAAGAATGGAATGTCCTTCTCCCAAGGGATGCGACGGAAGCTGCGCAGGTCCGGTACAGCCACTAGGTCGCGGTACCCGTTCTCCTTGTTACTGATAGAGAGCTCCTTGTAGTAGGTCTGATCGTGTTGATCCCAGCCAAAGATGACCGAACAGAAGCCAAAGCCCTCAGAAACAATCGATAGAAACTTGGACTTCTGCATCAACTTGCCGCGCAGCACTCCGTCCACATCAATGCCAGCTACCTTGACCATGCGGTCATCCTGGAGCACCTCAGCGACATTCTCCGCGGTGACCTCTTCTGCGCTGGACATAGTGAATAATGACAATGATATGACAAGGGGGTATATTGATAAAGGAAGTATAACACACAGGAATCCGGAGGAGAGATAAAGGTCAGCTTAGGATTCCTGACGCGAAAGGTGTACCGCTTATCAGGATGTTGATCATGGCGCTCTGAGCGCTCTGAGATAAGAGATAAGCCAGCGCGGTCCGGGACCGCGGTCACCGCCTCATGAGCTCCACCATGCCCCGCGTATACAGCTTGTGGGAACGAGCTGGACACTGTCAACTATCTGATCTGGTGAGTCCGCGCTGTTTCTACAAGAATAAGAGGAGCGAACAAAGCATTTGCTCTAGGCTTGTTCAAACTTTTTTTTTTTTTTCCCCATCTTCAATCTTTGCTAAGATACGCGTTACACAGTTGCTACCCAATCCCTCGTTAATCATTCACAATCATAATGGGTCGTCTCCAAGGAAAGAATGCTATAATTACCGGTGCCGCTGGGTATGTTACTCTGTGCCCTTACAAATCAATCATCACAAATCCCTGACAACGTGATTCCAGTGGCATCGGTCTTGAAACCACCATCCTCTTCGCTCGTGAGGGCGCCAGTGTCCTGATGGCCGATATCTCTGAGCCCGCATTGGCCAAGGCCATCGCTAAGGTCAAGGAGGTTGTGCCCAACGCTCCCCGTCTGGAGACTATCCGCTGCGATGTGTCTAAGGAAGCCGACGTGCAGGCTATGGTCGAGGCCCAGGATAGCTGGGGCGGTGTGGATGTGATCTTCAACAACGCGGGCATCATGCATGCAGACGACGCCGATGCTGTCGATACCAACGAGAAGATCTGGGATCTGACACAAAGCATCAACGTGAAGGGTGTCTGGTTTGGTTGCAAGCATGCTGTGTTGAGCTTGCGCCGCAACAAGAAGACCTGTGGCTCCGTGATCAACACTGCCAGTTTCGTTGCGTTGATGGGTGCTGCTACGCCCCAGTTGGCTTACACTGCATCCAAGGGTGCTGTCCTTGCCTTGACAAGAGAGCTGGCTGTTGTGCACGCCCGTGAGGGTTTCCGCTTCAACTCGCTCTGCCCTGGTCCTCTCAAGTAGGATATATCCTTGACATTCCTGTTTCCATTACCGTGATTAACCTACTTTCAATAGCACTTCTCTCCTCCAGGACTGGCTAGGCGATGACCAAGCCAAGCGATTCCGTCGCGAGGTGCACTTCCCCAGTGGCCGCTTCGGTGAGGCCGTTGAGCAGGCCCAGGCTGTCCTCTTCCTGGCCAGCGACGAGAGCAGCTTTGTAAACGGAACCGACTTTGTTGTCGACGGTGGATTGTCTAAGGTATGTTGAGGAGTGAGAGTGTGAGTGAGATTACAGAAGCGCTAACGCTAAACCCTAGGCGTACGTGACCCCGGAGGGCCCTGCGCCTGCCGCGCCCAAGAACAACGCCCCATAAATTGGTAAAGAGGTTTATAATATTTGAGGCATGAAGTTATGGACGTTCTTGATGTTACCTGTCCTTTGTTCGTTAATTCTCTTTTTTAATTTTTTTTTCTTATCTTTTTCTCGTGTCTTTTTGGTATAAAGCCGATATTCGGACAAAACAGTTTGAAATCGGAGGAAACTTGTTGGGCCTTTTAGAGTGGAGAACAGTGGAAGAGAATCTCGGCACTTCATTCATGCGGACAGAATACAGTATTTTGATCGCATGAGCAATGGAATACAGGTTATAATAAGGTCATGCAACATAGAAGAATTAAAGTAGTATGATCGGATCCATGGTCCAAGCAAAAACCATGTTACAGTGGCATGATTGATGTTTCGATTCTTTACGTCATGCAATCCCCGCATTACCACTCCCGCAATTCGCAGCCGATCTTTAAATTCCCGCTGGTCCGCCTTGACCTTCACCTTTCACATAGCCGAACTTCTTACACACTCCTTTACTTCACACATCACTCTATTATCATCAATCTATCTGAGATGTCTCAATACGCGTTCCCAGGCCCCAATAAGACCTACCGAAGTCATTCAAACGGCCCTAGCTTTAAGCCGAGGTATGGACGCTGGTACGTGAAAGCCCCTGGTCCCTGACTGGGATTCATCACTGATCTGATAAATATAGGTATCTTCCTCTGGTCGCAGCAATCGGTCTTGGTACGTCTTGTCAATATTATCCAGGAGCCTCGGCTCTATAGGCTTCGGTGGATACAACTGGGCCAATACTGACTTCACCCCTGGATAGGATTCGCCGGGTACAATTATTATAACGAAGTCCAAGTACGGCGCGAGAAGATGATCCGTGAAGAAGAAAAACGCCTCGCGAAGAACCAACAACTCATGGACGCATATGGAAACAAGGAGAGCTTGAATGATGTACAACAGGCTCTGGATGCCTATCACCGAGCATGAAGTGGGAATCCTCAGTGCGGAATATGAGTCTCGATTGGGCCCAGTCGTGATGCTGGCCATGACGACTAGGGCCTTATATATCATTACGGCGTTTAGGATATGTTCTCTTTCTATGGAACATGGGGACCTGCATGGGGTTCCGGATGGATTCTGGGGAGCTCTTGGCATTGGGCATGGCGTTTAATAACCACTCGATATCTTTTCAAATCTACATACTTTTCCTTTTTAACAATATGGAATGAGATCTAAACAACGATACATCACAGTCTAGACTCTCTGTTTGCTCCCTTCGCAGCAATGATCCCAGCAGCGGTCCTCCCAGCCCGTCGGCCAAAGACGGCGCCAGAGGTCAACCCACTTCCACCGGGATAATTATCATGGAAAAGCCCACCTAGCATCTCTCCAACAGAGTACAAACCCGGAATCTCTGCACCCGTGGTCTCGGAAATCACAGCCGCTGTTTCTGGATTGACAGCGAGCCCCCCAAACGTAAATGTAATTCCAGACGTCACTCGCACAGCTAGGAAAGGCCCCTTGTCAATCGGCAAGGCCCAATTCGACTTGGGAATACCCAACCCGACAGTCTCCAGCCCATCTCTCACAGCGGGATCCCACTTTCGATGTCCCTCCCGAGTAGCAGCATTATACTCGGCTAGGGTATCCAAGAACCGCTGACGATTCACCAATCCAACTTTCACACACGCATCTGCCAGCTCCTCAACCGACGATCCAGTCAGATGCTTAGTAACTTCGGGGCGGTATTCCTCGGATCGAAGCCAAGGCGTCGTCCGCGCATCCCAAATCTGAAATGCAATCTGCCCGGGTTGGGCCAAAATCCGTCGCCCAATCATCGCATAGGTGTAATTCCGCATGTCTGATCCTTCGTCGACAAACCGCTCCCCATCCCGGTTTACCATAATACCCAGTGGGTACCCTGATTTCGTGAACTCGTTGGAGATCTCTCGATCTCCAGCGTGCGCGGGGGAATCAGCATCCCAGGCGACACTGTGACAGCCGGACCAGTTCCCCACGGCCTTGGCAGATACATCGCGTTGTGCACTAATGAGGAGGTCCCCGGTGTTATATGGTGTTCCACGGACGCGCGCAGCATCCCACCCTGAGCCAAGGTATTGAGCTCGCAACTGAGGGTTGGCTTCGAAGCCACCGGCGGCGAGGATGACGGCAGCGGCACGGATGATGTGTTTTTGAGGAGCACCAGAGGATGAAAGAGGAAGGATTTCAACTCCGACCACTGCACCGGTGGTGGGATCTGTTAGAAGCTTCGTAGCGGGCGTGTCGAAGAACACACAAATGTTATGTTCCTTGGCGGCGGCGAGGTGGTCTTCCATAAGACCTTTGCCACCATCTTGTGTTTTTAATGCAAGACCACCCCAGAATTTGATCCGGCCATCGACCTCGTAAGCCTGTCTGTTGAAGGACAGCTGAAAGCGGATTCCGTTTTGGGCGAGCCAGCCGATGGCCGAGCGGGAGTCCTGGACCAGGATCTTTGATAAGGCAGGGTCAGTGCGGCCGCCGGTCATGCGGAGAAGGTCATTTGTGAAGTCTTGTTCGGAGTAGATGGGCATATCGATGCGGGATGCTTTCTCTGCAGAGGTGTTGTTGACTATGGGTAGGAGGTCGGAGAGCCCATTGTGCGTGGTACGAAATGCTCCGGCCGTGAAGTACGAGTTACCTCCGGCCCAGGCTGAAGGACATTTGTCGATTATTATCACGCTGGCTTTGGGATTTGTTTGTGCCGCTGAAAGGGCGGCGCTAAACCCGGCGTTGCCACTGCCTATCACTAGGATGTCGCAGCTCGCAGGTGGAGACATATTGAGAGCAGGACCTGAATTGTTGACGTGTGTGGAATGAGATGTGTAAAAATTGAGTGTCATCAGGTTGTCGAATTAGATATGCCATTGAACAAGGAATTGAGAGGAGTTGCTAGTTCATAAATAGCTCGGTACTAGATGTACATTTAGGGTTCTCGGAGAGTCTATCTCCGGCTTTTCTCCACAATCCCCGCAGGCGGGGTATCAAGCTCCGTCGGTTGTCAGGGCGGGTGGATATCATGCGTGAGCATTAGAATTTTGGAAAGTTTATGCCTTGCTGCTTTTCAAGCTCCAGGCCATGGATACCTCAAAGGACGCGTAGATACGTGCTGAGGGTCAAGTCAGACGTACGACACAGCGAAACTCTCTCGCTCGTGCTATACCACGTGACCCATGCATATAAATACCAACACTGGAACTCATCAGGCGTTTGGTTGATGACAAGGGGAATCGATATACAGATCACCTGAGAGCTCAACGAGCAACAATAAAGGGTGCGAGCCATTCAGGAATGTTGCCATTACCCAAGGTTCTCGGAATTGTCAGTTAAACTGCGGTATGGGAAACTCGAAATTTTGCAAGTAATCTATGGTCTAATCACATCCATATCCATAGGTGTTCTATTCACAAGTCATGATCTAGGTTTTAAGTAGCAGCATGGTGCACGACGTGTATTTCAAGGTTCGCCAAGCAACACATCTAGATCGAAAACCACTCGTAGACGTCTATGTCAGATGGCACCTCATGCCGTCTGCGAGTTCGCTGAGTGATCTCCGAGAAATGAGAAGGTGGAGACCATGCAGTATCCCATACGTTCGGGTCACTCAGGACACTGGTATTCTTGAGTAGACCAAATCGGAAATCCAACGGCTCGGTGCCATCGCCCGGCACCGAAGGTAGCCGCATGTAATACCGAACACTTTCAGGGATTTCCTCTTTGACATGGCTGATAATAACCAGCGCCTGATCTTCTGACAGACCCTTGTACCGGCAGAGTCCTTGACCTGAGGCCCGACTGGGCGAGGAGGGAGTATCGCCGTGGTCAATATAGTGCAGACATTTGTCACGCTGAGAAGCAGACAAGCCCGAGAAGGGCTCGTCGAGAACCACAATGTCTGGATTGTTGATGAGGGCCCTTAGAAAAAGCACAATACGCTGCTGTGCAGTAGTGAGTTGGCCGAAGGTCATATGGTCGGCGTATTCGATATCATAGTCAGACGGAATGTAAGGCTTGTTATTTCCGGTAGAGTTGAGCTTAGGGAAGATATCGGAGTTGGTTGTGATGGTAGGAGGCGCTTGCTCCTTTGTAGTATTTGCATTTGGATCAAGCTCAGCCTTGAAATACCGCAGCGCTGCGTTCACGTCCAGGTCCCGCTCATAGTTGAGCGCCGGCTTGGATAAGAAAGTCTCTGCAAAAGCTGATTCAAGGGCTTCTCGCACTGTTAATTGACGAGGAAAGAATGCATGGATCTCTGGAGACGAATGGCCAAGGCGAGACTGGAGCTCGAATATAGAGATAGCAGGTTTGCCTACCTCTGGGAGACGCGACCGGCCGAGGAACTTAATGGGCTGAGCGTATGCTTGCGGATGATCAGATGTAATAAGTGATAATAAAGTTGTCTTGCCAGATCCGTTAGCACCGAGAATCGCCCAGCGCTGGCCTCGACGCACGCGCCAATGAAGACCATCCTTGACTTCCTCATTCACTTTCTGAGTCCAATTGCCCAGAACCACTTTATCGCCATACTGCACACGAACACCGTCCATTTCTATCAGTGGCTCTCCTCCTAGCAAGGGGGTGATTTCCTTCCAATCAGGTTTTTCTACTTCTTTGGAAGTAAAGTCTTGGACCAATTGTGGATCAAGAGCACCAGACTTCAAATCCTTTCGAGCCTGTCGAAGAATGCCTTTCTCCTCGTCATCCAAGCCGCTGGCCGAATTATTGCCACTTATGAGTCGCTTCCAGATAGCCAGCGTTCGGCTAATTTCGGATCGCGATCCCTGCTTCATGACCTGGTGAGAATTGCCCACTACGATCAAATGGGTGATCCATTCTGGCACTTTATCCTGGGGGCGCAAGGCGAGAACCAATCGAGGTGAAGACTTTTCAGCAAGACGATGAAGCAATCCGGAAATACTTCGAACGGTAACAGGGTCCAGTCCCACTAGAGACCTCAAGTTAGCCAAAATCTCACCAGCGCAATATTCTTCAACATACTGAAAGGCTCGTCTAAAAGGAGCAACTCGGGTTTCCTGAGTAGAGCTTTTGCGATGCGAGCTCGTCTTGTTTGACCATTGCTAAGGTTTGCAACCGGCATGTCAAGCAACTCTGATAGATGTAGATCGGTAATCACCTCTTGTATGAGCTGCTCATCATGAATTGTTCCTTTTTCTTCTCCTTCCATAGGATTCAGCGACGTCTGGCCACGGAGAAACTGCTCCACTGTCCAATCAGTCTCCTCCCTAAGGCTCTCATAGCGAGCACTCAGGTATGCGCCGCGGGTGCCACCAATAGCCCCCGATCCTTCTCCACTGAAACCAATATACTGGATTGCATTTCCAACGTAGCGCAGTTGGGGATCCTTGGCGGCAAGTTCGTCTGTGAGGAGGTAGGGATAAGATCGCGCGGTAGGTGGAAGACAAATGTGCTGGCCACGGAAGATGTCTAGCAGATCAGTTCGTCCGGATGGGCCAATCACCGCCCAATGCTGCAAGGAAGATTCGCTACCGTTCGAAGGTGAGCCTTGAGAGGGTAGAGTAAAATTGAACTTGGAATACAGAGGTGGATTAGTCGCGGCATCATCTTGTGTCGGATATTGCCGGTAAAACGTGCCATTCTTGATTTGAATGAGCGGTGCAGATGATATCGAGCGAGCGATATAAGAGGACACCGGACGTGGTGCCCGGGACCTCAACGCCGTTCGAAGCAGCATCATAGCTCACAGGTTGGCAGCTGGTGCAGCTACGGAAATAAGCCGATCTCGGATCTGGAAACTGTGAAGCAAATATTACATAATTCTCCGCATTTCTGCCCCAGGCATATAAGTGTTTTCCCGAGGTTCTTACATTGTCAACATTAGAGTCTAAGTATTATGGCAATTTAATTACGAGACCGATCTGGGATTTGGCTGGATCCCAAATTACTGCGCTCGTCTGAACTTGACGATGCCTTCCTCCACTTCCTCTTCCCCGCGTCATCGCTTCATTCCAGTCCAGGCTGCCAATGTCCTCCTATTCCTGATCGGCTTTCGTCTCCTGAATGCGCTCACCGTCCGCACCTTTTTCCAGCCAGATGAATTCTTCCAATCTCTTGAGCCGGCTTGGCAGGTTGCCTTTGGGAAAAACCAGGGAACCTGGATAACGTGGGTGAGTGTGCGATGACTACATCACGCAATACCGGTGCTGATATTGGTTTGGGTAGGAATGGCAGCACCAACTTCGATCCTCACTACATCCCCTCCTTTTCGCCGCAATATATAAAGCTACTGACTTCTTCTCATCCATCTTGACTCTCCCATCCACGAGGCGTGCAGAGCTGTTGATCGCTAGCCCGAAAACTGCGCAGGCTGTGCTATCGGCAGTCAGTGATTTCTATACCTGGAAACTCGCGAGTCGTATCTATGGCAAAGGTTCTCGTGACGCTTGGGCAACAGTATGTGTCGCAAACAGGCCGATGAGGATCCCAGGCATGAAGTATATTGGCTGATTTCTTGAAAGTTAATTGTCACAATGATCAGTCCTTGGCAATGGTTCTGCTCAACAAGAACCCTATCGAATTGCCTGGAAACAACATTGACCATTGTAGCGTTGGACTTGTGGCCATGGACATGGTCGGCTAATTCCATGGCCAATAATACTCATGAAATCACTGGTCATGAGAAAACCGAAGCTAAAAATACTGAGCTCCTACGGAAGTAAGATTTGATCAATGCGAACTTTACTGTAGCCACCACTGACACACAAACCAGTCTTCGCCGATGTCTGTCGCTGGCGGCAGTTGCCTGTGTTCTTCGCCCAACTAACATCATAATATGGCTGGTTTTGGCCGCAGTCGCTTGGCTACAAAGTTCCTGGGATCAGCGCAAAATTCTCGTGCGTGAGGTTCTGTTTTGCGGGTTTGTCCCCCATCTTTGCCTTTTGTAGATCGTGAGTTGACTTGTGTCATAGATCCTCGACCTTGACAATTTCGGCTGTTGCGGATCGTTTTTTCTACGGATTATGGACTTTTCCTCCACTGCGCTTTCTATACTTCAATATTGCTCAGTCTCTCGCAGTGTTCTACGGGCGCAACAACTGGCATTACTATGTGACGGAGGGCTATCCGCTACTCCTCGCCACTTTGATTCCATTCGCTATTCCAGGTCTGTATCTCACATTGACTACTCGGGAGTCTCCAGCTTCCAATCGAGAGCAGACTAATATCAGAGTGCAATTGGCAATGATTTGCGCCTTCATGCCATTTGTCCTATCCTTTATCTCGCACAAGGAAGTCCGCTTCATCTACCCTTTACTACCATCCCTACATATATTGGCTGCGCCTCGCTTGGTGCAATTCTTCTGGCCAGCTTTTACCTCGAACTCCCACGCCTATACTCCGAAGCGGCTAACGCTTCTGTTCCTCGTATTCGTCAATGGATTTATTGCGCTATACATCTCTATATATCATGCCTCTGGGCCATTGAATGTTCTCGAATACATCCGTCGTCAGCACGAAACCCATATCTTATCACACAATATGGTCACTCCTTCATCCTCCGTGTCTCCCGCGCCTGAGTCTGGGATTACAGTTGGGTTTTTAATGCCTTGTCACAGCACTCCATGGCGCTCTCATATGGTCTACCCCTCCATCAATGCGTGGGCCCTCTCCTGCGAGCCCCCAATTGGCCTCAACGAGACACAAAAGGCCACCTACCGCGATGAAGCCGACCAGTTCTACGATGACCCCGATGCCTTTTTACGCCAGAATATGGTTGATGGACTTCGCCATCTACCTCACCGACCAAGCTATGTGACTGGGTCTCAATCCCTGGCTAGGTTTCCCGACAGTCCAACACTTCATGAGTGGCCTGATTACCTCGTCTTTTTTGCCCAGCTCGAGCCCACCATGCATGAGCTCATCGGATTCTCTTCTTATCGAGAATGCTGGCGCACCTGGAACACCGCCTGGCATGACGACTGGCGCCGTCGCGGGGACATTGTGGTTTGGTGCCTGGACCCTGCTGAGCAGGGAGCATGGCGTTCACAAACACAGCGTCATGCGCAGGAAATCCGGGATCGTCAGTTCGATCGCATCATGACCGCAATCAAACAAAACGCGGGTCCCCAACAAGAACGTGGATGGAAGTCTTCCATCACAGGTCTCCTTCCTTGGTCTTCACCGCATTGCCCTCTATCATTTGCGTCGCTGCAGCGCACTGCGCAGTCACTCTTCACATCCCGGTCCTCGAGTCCTTGGCCATGGGGTAAACGCTCTCGTATGGATTCTTTCCTAGCTAATTTTCGGCGTAAAAGCACAAGCTTACAAGATCTGATCCCGTCTCGGTCTCCCTCTCCCTCTCCCTCTCCCTCTCCCTGGTCCTGGCCGGAGTGGTTGGGTGGTCCAGTTAAGAGAAAAACCAGTAAACGAGAGCGTGGGCTATAGTCATGACTTTCCAGGTTGTTCAGGTCAGCTGATTCTGAAATTACAGAAATTGACCATTCATGGCTGGCCTCAAGGGCCGTATGGGTTTCTTTACCATTTGGCTTATGGCTATGATACGAAACCTTTGGATATTTATTTGGTACTAATTCTTTGCTTACAGAGCGAGGTTTGGAATGGTATACATACAGGCTCTTATCTAGTCAATTGATCAGCTAAGTTTGCAAATTGCCCGTTCCTGCGATAGTACACCTGGGCACGATGCTTACCAAAAGCATTACCCAGATGCAAAGGAGGCCATAAACTCTGTAATACCTGAGGAACGCTTGTCTGAATTTCTGGCCTAAGAGGTATATGGATGGGCCGCTTAAAGGTATTATCGTGAGCTAGTAGATAAATGCTTAGCAAATAAGTTGACGCCGTATTAACCCAGGCGATAGCGACGCCCTGTGAAAATCTTCGTCGGTGTCGACTTCAAAGAACAGCGGAGAAGAAGACGGAAGTTCGAAGGAAGTCGGAAGGGATCATCAGATGGTGAAATCACCATAGAAAACACACAATGCCTTGCTGTGACCCTCCACACAGTAGTGGATCACCATTGCCTGACGCCCATCTGGAACGTATTTTGCCATCTGTTGGACATCTGAGGTCCGTGGCAAGTACAATGCCATGTGCTTAGTGAAAGCCGCGTATTCCTTGTAAAGAGTGGTCAGGGAATACGGCTCCATGGTGCGCAGGTTGAACACTTCATCCGACCGATATCCAACACCTATCACGATTAGAAATAGTCACAATTCAAAAAGGCCAAATAAACGAAAACAAACCTCCCCAAGGTGGGCTTGCAAATATGACGCTGTACGGTGCAAGATCTTTGAGTTGTTTCTTCAGGATCTCAAAGCAGTCACCCTCGAACCAGGTGATCTTGTCGTCCACACCGTAGATCTTTGCGTTGTGCTTTGCGCATTGCAGAACGGCCGGATTTTTCTCAATTGCATACACTCGCTTCCATTTCCCGGACTTGGCAAACGCAATAGTGTTGCCACCTGCACCTGCAAAGGCATCGACCAGGATACTGCGGTCAGCAGGAGCTGAGTTGGCGAGATCAGCTGCTATTTTACTGGTCTCGGCGTAAGCAACGTACTCAAAAGAAAAACTTGGAGCTTGGGTCACTTACTTGGCAACAGGTTCTGGTGTCACTCCAAACCAGGCATCATCTGTTAGCCAGATGCCCTCATCGTACTTTGAGAAGATACGGTAGCGTTGGGCCCAATAACTGCAGAATGAATTAACAAGAGTTTCGCGGAAAGGGATAAGGAGAGCTGTGTTACTTCTGAATATCCCAAGGAACCTCATGAAGACTCTCATAATGGTGGACCTCTGGGGGTGCTTCCTCCAAATCCTCCATCGCAAAGGTGAATTCGGGCTAATACAAAAGCAAGTCTGCCGATAACGAGATAAAGGATAAGAGCGATTGTGTTTGTGTTTGCGGTGTTTGCACTGCCATTGGGCCAGCTCTCTGCCCGCGACAGCTTCACTTGAACACCCCAGAGCCGAACTCTCTTCATTTAATTCAACGGATCAGATCGCTTTGATGTTCGGTGCACTCAATCGATTTATTGGCCGGCTTGACGGTGAGCCCATCCAACAAGCTCGAAATGGACCTAGTGACAACGCCTTTGGATTTCAAGTGCTCCGCAACAAAGACCCAGAGCTACCTTTGGAGCCATGGTTCGATTTCATTGTGGGAATAAATGGCCATTCGATTGTATGCAGTTAATTAACACAAGCACATTGATATGGTTTTGCTAAACCACACCTGCAGGAAGATCCAGACCCAAATCTGTTTGCGACAGAGGTTCGCAACTGCGCCGGAACCAGCTTGACCCTGGAGGTCTGGAGTGCTAAAGTACGTGGACAACGGTCTTGTATCTCTCTCCTTGCAGGGTTTCGTCTAGCTAAAGCAATCACAATCCTCTGCGCAGGGTCAACGAACACATACCTTCAATGTCCCGATACCCTCCGCCAATCCATCCCTCGGTCTCGCGCTACAGCTTGCCCCTCTTAACTCTACGCAAAACATCTGGCATGTCCTTGCAATCCCATCGTCTCTGAGCCCTGCCTTCCGCGCAGGGCTTCTCCCCCATTCAGACTACATTATCGGAACCCCAAGCGGGACATTACGCGGGGAATCTGCGCTTGGGGAGCTAGTGGAGGACCACCTTGATCGGACTCTGATATTATGGGTCTATAACAGCGAATTTGATGTCGTTAGGGAAGTAGAGCTTGTTCCCACTCGTGGCTGGGGAGGTGAGGGTGCCGTGGGTGCTGAATTGGGATATGGTGCCTTGCACCGACTTCCCGTCGGGCTGGGAGAGGAGGTGGAAGGTCCTGGTGAGGTTGTTTTTGAGACGCGCGATGATGAAACCTCCTCGCCAGTGCCCAATCCTGCTGGTCCTGGGGTAGCCGCTGGAGCTGCTGAACACTTCTTAGTACCGGCAAACATGGCATCTATCCCGCCTCTCGCAGCTCAGACACAAGTCACTTCTCCTCCAGAAGGTAGATCACCTTCGAACCGCCGGGGCAAATCGCGCCACGGGGCGTCGCCCAACAATGCGTTTGATGATTACTTTGCCGAAGGTGAACAGAAGAGTCGGGAGCAGGACTTTGCGCCTTCGCGAAAGGGGACCCCTCTTCCACCACCCCCTAAAGTGGGTATACCACCCCACACCACCGGTACTCCAGCACCTGCAGCAGAAGAACCTGTGGAGGGATCTCCGGGGCCAACCCAATTTGCGTGATCAATCTAGCCCTGGAGGGCTGTATGACATTTTGGAAATATAGGAACATGTCGAATTTTAGCAATGGTAACAACTACATCAAATCCAATGTTTGACTTCGGAACACACATTCTGGCATATACTTTCTCCAGAGCTTCTCTCGGTGACTGTCGAGGCATACCTTACGAGCGCATACCCGCGTATATCCGAGTCTAACAACTCTTCTAATGAATGTGAGTGTGTATACCCTAGGTCCACGGGTACATATACTTTGGAAGGACAGTAGGATTGCATAATTGCAAGACTCTTAAAGATTACCTCGCACATAGCCCAAAAAAATCTTGAAAATTGACTCGAATACCTGCTTGCCCGGGCAGGTCTACAGTATTCTGGGAGCGGTCTTGTACATACATGGTACATAAATCCAAGAATAGCGTTTCAAAGCTGATAAAGATATTATAACTGGAATGTTTCAAGGTGCGTGTATATATAGCTGCAGTAGGTGCCGAAAAAGAACGTTGTCCACTCGAGAAGTAGAGAAAAAGACGAGTCATAGCTCAGTGATTTGAGCATAGAAAAGAGATTTACCCCATTGAATTAATGGGGAAAATGAGAAAAAAAGGAAACCTTGGAGTGTAGCTGCAAAGTTGCCACTATTTCTATGGATGCGAGCGAAGCTGCAGGCTTAGTTAGCTGCAGACCTTCCCGCCGATCTCCCGCCTCATCTTTCAACGCGACCACAACTTCATATCCTCCACCGTTTTTCTGTGATTTGGAGGATTCTAACAAAAATGTCCTCACGGATGCCAGGCCCAGGAGCAAGAAACGACCGCTCGCGCTCCCCAACATCCAGGCGCCCTCCCCGCGACAACAGAGAATGGCGCGACCGACAGGACAATCGGAGCCGGAACGACGACCGACAACCAACGCGGAACATGCGTGACCAGATGCGCATCAACCAGCTGCAAGAGGACGAGCAGGTACGGGAATGGGTCGCGCAGGAAGATATCTTCGTGCTGAAACAGGCCAAGAAGAAGGCGGAGATTCGGGTGAAGGATGGCCGCGCAAAGCCGATCGACTGGCTGACTGTGACGCTTCGTGTGATCGATCCTACGCGCGATCCGCTGGATGACGAGATTGCGGACTCAGAGCTTGACGTGGTGGATCCTGATGGGGTGTTTGAGGGGTTGTCGCAGTCTCAGCTGCAAGAACTAGAACACGATATCGAGACGTTTGTCAAATTGGAGACGAATGCGCGAAATCGGGATTACTGGCAGGTAAGTCACATCTCTGCTTCTTGCAGCTCCTTTGAGTCATTTTCTGAGCTGACCATGTCCTACAGACCATGAAAGTCATCTGTCGAGACCGCCTGAAATCTAATGCGTCGGAGGGTCGTGCCCTGAACTCTGTCGCCGCAGATATCAATCGACTGTTGAGCCCGAAGACATACGAACAGTTACAAACCCTAGAGGTACAAGTGAAGCGAAAGTTAAACTCGAATGAACCCATCGACACAGATTACTGGGAGGAACTGCTACGAAGCTTGACGGTCTGGAAGGCTCGTGCAAGATTGAGAAATGTATACCAGGCCGTCATCGACGAACGCGTTCGTGAGTTGAGGCAGCAGCAGAAGCAGGAGGCTGAGTCGATCCGGGAGAAGCTGGCACCTCTTGCGCCGGTGGCAACTGAGAATGGAAATCAAGTAGACCCAACTGAATTAACGGGACTGGATCCTGACCCATTACTCCAAGTGCGCGCAGAAGACAAAGGCCTCGAAATCATGGACGAGTCCTTGTTTCTTCGACACGTGGCCCGTGAGCGTCAGAAGATCATTCGCATGGGATTTGTGCCTCTCCGACAGCGATCAGCTGAAAAGCCGACTACGGCCATCATCAACCCAGAATCATCTAGCATGGCGGCTCCTGCCGTCTCCAGTCGTTTCTCGTCACTCCCCAATGACGATTTTTCACAAGCAACCAAGGCGTTGTACGAACGGGAACTGGCCAAGGGAGTCAGTGAAAATGAGGAGATCTTTACCGGTGAAGAGGCCGTGAGCACGGCGGCACAGCCTCAATGGGCGAGCAAGTACCGGCCTCGAAAGCCTCGGTATTTCAACCGCGTGCAGATGGGCTACGAATGGAATAAGTACAACCAGACCCATTACGACCATGACAATCCACCTCCCAAGGTTGTACAGGGTTACAAGTTCAACATCTTCTATCCTGACCTCATTGACAAGACCAAAGCGCCGACGTATCGGATTGAGCGAGAAAATGGTCGCAAGCGTGGTCAATCATTTGCCGAGGCTGGGGAGGAAGATACCTGTCTAATTCGATTCATGGCTGGTCCCCCTTATGAAGACATTGCCTTCCGAATTGTCGACAAAGAATGGGACTATAGTGCGAAGCGCGAGCGTGGTTTCAAGAGCACATTCGACAAGGTACGTACTTTTCTAACTCCCATAACGCCAAGGAACTAAGCTCTAATTCGTGATTATACAGGGCATTCTACAACTCCACTTCCAATTCAAGAGAGTAAGGATTAACACTACATTATCTTATTATTACAGACAATTGCTAACTAGAAACCTTAGATTTATTACCGGAAGTAACACCGACATAATCTTCTCTTTCACAAGGGTTTTATGTGGAGGCGGAGGGCAGCATCGTAATGTGTCATGAACGGAGTCCCGGAGTCCCGGTTTGATAGCAATATATAGCTCCCCACCGCACTGGTTGGGTTGTTCGAAATGATTTAACTCCAACTAGAACCTTCCTACGGGATATCTTGATTCCTGTGTCAATATAACCTCTACTTAAACATCAGCTACATCCAACCATCCAGAGCTTACGCCTAATGTAAATGCGGATTGAACTTGCAAACGAGATTATTCATGGAGTTTTTTGGGTCATGTATCTTCCTTTTTGCCTGAGCCCATAGTCTTGTGATGGGCGATTGATTAATCTAGATCTATGAAGCGGCTTATGATTTGCTGGATCTCTGAATCATGGCCTGACCGCCCAGTTGACGGGTTCACCGCCCGGAAAATTTACTGATCTTGCATCGCATGTTCGACTGTCACGATCACACAAATATGAAGCGCAAGACAGATGAGACAGGCTCTCAGGCCAATGGACTTCCTGAGTCCAAGAAACGTGCCCTGTCCAGTGAAGAAGCCACCGCCCGCTTCCGTGAGGGCTTGTTCACTCCCACGGAGCAGCAGAAGTACACTGACGCATATGCTAAGTCGAGCCCGTATGTTCTACACTTCTTAATAGCTTCTCATGGCCTGAAACTGACCAATTCGACCCAATTTAGCTACTACCATGGAGTGATCCACGAATTGATCGAACCATCGTTGTTGCGATCCGTCCGCGAAGAGATCCAAGCGCAGGTGGACTTCACCGAGAAAGAGACCGATATCTATAAAATTTTCCAGTCAGGCGACCTGGCCAACCTGGATGGCCTCGATGATTCCTCGCTGTCCAAGTTGCCATTCCTCCTGAAGCTCCGCGATGCGATGTACTCGGCCCGATTCCGGGAATACTTGTCTGCCGTGACCGGCTCCGGCAAGCTCAGCGGGCGCAAGACCGATATGGCCATCAATGTCTACACCGAAGGGTGCCACTTGTTGTGCCACGATGATGTCATTGGTAGCCGACGTGTCAGCTACATTCTCTATCTGACCGACCCCGACCAGCCATGGCAAGCGCAGTGGGGTGGTGCACTACGTCTTTACCCGACCAAGACCGAGAAGGACGCCAAGGGAGAGGCAGTCACCATCCCTAGCCCGGATTTCAGTCTCTCTATTCCTCCGGCATTCAACCAACTTAGTTTCTTCACTGTCCAGCCTGGCGAGAGCTTCCACGACGTCGAGGAGGTGTACCACCACGCCGAGGGGGAGGACAAATCCAAGAAGCGCGTCCGTATGGCCATTAGTGGATGGTTCCACATTCCTCAAGAAGGCGAGGATGGATACGAGGAAGGCCTCGAGGAAAAGTTAGCCGAACGCAGCAGTCTGGCGCAGCTTCAAGGCCGGGGCGATATTTACGATCTGCCTCAACCACAACCGATATCATGGGAGGAGCCCGAGGTGGAGGGCAAGGGCAAGGGTAAACTGGAAGAGCAGACTGAGGGGGCTGAGTTCAGTGAGACCGACCTGGAGTTCCTAGTGCAGTACCTCGCGCCGTCATACTTGACGCCCGACATTGCCGAGGAGATGTCCGACGCTTTCGCCAGCGAATCGTCACTCAGTCTTGAGTGCTTCCTCAATGAAAAGTTTGCTTCGCGTATCAGTGCCTATATCGAGGACCAGGAGAGACAAACCCTGCCGGCCTCGTCGGAAGAGATCCAAAAACAGACTGAGTGGACTGTAGCTCGGCCGCCACACAAGCATCGATACCTGTACCAGCAACCGTCGGGGGGTGATACCTCAAACCCCATCAAGGAACTGCTGAATGTCGTCTTCCCATCGCAGGCCTTCCGGAAGTGGCTTGCTCTGATCACCGGTGTCGACCACCTTAAGAGCCATAATTTCCTTGCCCGTCGCTTCCGTCGCGGCGCAGACTACACTTTGGCCAGTGGTTACACTGGCGAGGAGCCACGCCTAGAGTTCACTCTTGGTTTGACCCCGACGATTGGATGGGAGAAGCAAGAAGACAATGAAGAGGAATCCGATGATGACAATGAAAATGGAGAGGCACAGACTTCATCCAAGCCTAAAGAGAAGATAGAGGCCGAGGCTGCCGAGCACCCCTCCGTGGGCGGTTATGAGATTTACATGGCTGGCGATGACGATGATGACGATGACGACGAAGAGAACGCGGACCAAGTGCTCCGAAAGAAGACCAAGGCGGATCCTGCTATCTACCGGTCCGCCGGTGCCGACGAGGACGATGGGATTCTCTTCAGCACTCAGGCAGGATGGAACCGACTCAGCATTGTGCTTCGTGACAGTGGCACTTTGAAGTTTGTCAAGTATGTCAGTGCGTCCGCCAAAGGAGACCGGTGGGACATTAGTGCAGATATCGGAGTTGAGTTTGAGGAAGATGATGAAGATGAAGATGAAGATGACGATGAGATGGAAGATGACGAATAGTTGATCCCCGCTATCTCTATCTCTATCTCTGCTCGTTTAGTAGATACCGAACACATGTAGATGATCTGAATATGAAAATTCACGCCATATATATCTTGTTTACGATGTTGTTTCCGCAGTATTCATCTCATCGGTATTCAGATAAGGCGGTATCGGCTATTGCGGAGCAAAACCCGCGGCGGAGCTTTAGAGCCTGAAAACCCCGGACAACTCTTTGAACTATCCCTAAAGCTTTATTTAACTTACGCCAATTGGCCTTGAAGAATTCTGGAGTATGTCATTGAAGTAGCATATCCCTCATCCGTCAGCATTATGGCTCAGCAACTCGACGGGGAAGCCTTGATCTCTTCCCCATGGACAAGATCCCTACTTGTAAGCTATACCATCCCTACGTTCCTACGAAAGGACTTCTTGCTGATTGTTTCCACACCCTTGATAGTCCGGCGCGGTCGCAGGTCTCACCGTGGACTGCTCCCTTTACCCCCTTGACACCATCAAGACCCGGCTCCAAAAAGCACGCGACCACAGCGCACCCCAAGCTCCCCGCCCATCCCTCCGTCAAGCAGTTCGTGGTATTTATGCCGGTCTTCCCTCAGTTCTATTTGGCTCTGCGCCCTCGGCAGCCTCGTTCTTCATCGTGTACGATGGCGTGAAACGCTCCCTTCTCCCTCCGCCAGGCTCCACCGAGCCCCCCTCCCGCAGTCATATCATCTTCACCCACTCCATTGCCTCCTCGTTGGGTGAAATCGCCGCCTGCGCTGTGCGTGTACCCACGGAAGTGATTAAGCAACGCGCCCAAGCCGGTCTCTTCGGTGGCTCGAGTCTGCTCGCTCTCCAGGACATTCTATCCTTACGCCATGCCGCACCGCAAGGCGCTACAATCCAGCCCTCTGCTGCTGGTACCAACGCCTCTTTTAGGTCGGGACCCGCTCATCAGGTTCCGGTGAAACGAGGATATAGTCAGGTCCTTCGGGAACTCTATCGTGGTGCGGGCATTACTATCGCCCGCGAGATTCCATTCACAGTGCTTCAGTTCACAATGTGGGAATCCATGAAAGAGACCTACGTGAAGCGGTACCTTCAACCATCATCTACGTCGACGAGCCCTAGGTCTTTAGCTGAGACCCAAATTCCGGCATCCACAAGCGCTATGTTCGGTAGTGTTGCAGGTGCCATTGCGGCGGGTCTGACTACCCCACTGGATGTAATCAAGACTCGCGTGATGCTTACTCGTCGTGGAGATGGTGGAAATGCGCCTGTGCGGGTCAAGGAAATCATCCGCGGGATCGCACAGGAGGGCATGGGCGCCTTTTGGCGCGGCATTGGGCCAAGAGTGGCATGGATTGGCATTGGTGGTGCAGTCTTCTTGGGCAGTTACCAGTGGGCGTCGAATACGCTAGAGGGAAGAAGGGAGCAGCAGGCACAGGTTTGAAGTAGATGATAGTTTCTGTCGCTCCTGTAATCTCGTCAAGGTCCATGGACCTGTGTATATTATTCTTGCATGAAGATTCCCCAGCATATAGATTTAGAAAAATCCTTAATTACTGTCTCAATCACTCCAAATACGACTGTGATAATCAAAAACAAGAATTGATGCCCTGTATATACTCCCAAGCTGCAAAATCATATCTAGAAGACTAAGACGCATCGCAGATGCGTAGTCTCAGTCTCGATTTATCGCAGTACGAAGATGATAAATGAAAAGTATAGAGACCCCCATATTCAGTTGGTGTACTCTTTCTGCAACAGCTTCGCAATGGTCGTCAGTTGGATGTTGCTAGTGCCCTCATAGATGGCACCAATCTTGCTGTCACGGAACATCTTCTCGGCGATACCCTCGCGGACAAAGCCCATACCACCCATCCACTCGACAGCCAAACCAGAAACACGGCCTGCGACCTGCGAGGCATATAGCTTGGCCATGGCGGCATCTTGGACAAAGTCCTGGCCGGCTTCCTTCTTACGGGCAGCATTGTAAACAAGTGCTCGAGCGGCAGCGATCTCGGTGTAAGCCTGAGCGATCTGGTGCTGCATGCCTTGGAAGTTCCCAATCAACTGACCAAACTGCTTGCGGTCATTCCAGACGTAGCTATTTTGAAAAGAGTTAGATAGCTCCCAATGGACTATGTATTCGGACAATGGATGAGCTTACCGAGCAGCATTCTCCCAAGCGCCAAGAGCCAGACCCGTCATCTGGGCAGCAATACCAATCCGACCCTCGTTCAAGATATTGATGGCATATTTGTAACCTTGGCCTTCCTCGCCGAGCAGATTGCTCTTGGGGATCACGACGTCGTCAAAGTTCAGCACACAGGTGCTGCTGGCGCGGATACCAAGCTTCTTCTCCTTCTTTGCGACTGAGAATCCCGGTGTTCCCTTCTCAACGATAAAGGCCGTGATGCCCTTGTAACCCTGGCTGGGGTTCAAGTTCGCAAAAACGAGGAAGATACCAGACTCCATGGCATTCGTAATCCACATCTTTGAGCCATTCAGCTTGTAACCATCTGCAGTCTTCTCCGCCTTGGTCTGTAGCGCGAATGCGTCCGAACCAGACACGGGCTCAGAAAGACAAAAAGAGCCAACGGTACCGGTGCTGAGCTTAGGCAGCCAAGCGCGATGAGACTGGACATCTCCGTACCGCATAATCGCCGTGTTTACGAGGGTGTTGTGCACATCGACCATGACACTGACACTAGGGTCGACACGTGCAAGCTCCTCGATCGCCACGATTGCAGCAGTGAAATTCATGCCCGCACCACCGTATTCCTCAGGGATCTCAATTCCCATCAGACCCTGCTCAAAGAGCTGCTCCACAAGGGTCCCGTCCATAGTCTCAGCCTCATCCATGTCCCGGACTTTGGGGGCAATCTGCTCCGATGCGAATTTGGAGACCGAGTCGGCCATCATGGATTCGATATCGGATAAATGGCTGATCGGCGTTGGGGTGAGTGAAGAGAGGTCATCTCGCCGGCGGGGGGTGGTTGAGAAGGCATAGGCACTGGAAAGAAGAAGCACAGGTTAGTAGGTGAACCGAATCGACGGATCATATTGAAGGCAGCATACCTCTGAAGAGGCCGGTAAGTAGCTAGGCGTTTCGAGGGTAGGCGGACTGAGGGCGTACGCGACAAGGATCGCAAAGCGCGAGAAATAGAAGCCATTGCGACGGAAAATGAGTGGTGAATGGAGGAAGTGAGAAAGTCCAGAAGATGGGACAATCACAAGGAAGCTAGAGAGCCTCGGTTATCGGCGGGACTGGGGATCCGCGGGGGATGAGGTAAGTGGGGCCCATTGAACCTAGGCTATTATGCGACTCGGGAACATGGCTCGACCAAATTTTACTGTAAGAACAACTGTCTGGAAACAATGCATCATGGAAACCACCTGTTCCCTGTAATTTGAATATATAACGCCGGAATTGTAATGGGACAATAATGTACTTTGTAGAACCCCGTAAACAGATCGAAGCCGGACTATGGACGAACCAAAAGATTATATGCAATGGAACCTTTCAGGAACCAGACCTATGTACACAAAGAGAGAGAGAGAGAGTTCTATAAATCAGAGGAAACTTCACGTCCGTGACCTGCGCGGATCAGTGGCATCCTGTCGTCGCCACTCGCGAGACTCCTTCGACCCCAAGCTACCCACACCTCCCTCAAGCCGTCGCTCCCAGCCGCCAAGTCGAATGACAAGACAAGTGGCATTGTCACCCTCCTTGGTCACCTCGGTAGCAAAGCTGACAACATCACGGGCACCTTGCTCAGGGGTCTTGGCTTCTTTGATAATATCAACGACTTCCTGGTCGAGAAGCGTGCCGCTAATGCCATCAGACATCATGACCAGGAAAGAGAACTCGGCGGCACCCATCTCGATGCGGTTGATTTCGGGCTCGGCGGAGACACCGATCCGCTTAGACTGTACGTCACCGAAGGCGCGGGTGTTGGCAAGCCCGCTCATGCGCTCCTCGCCGAAAGAGTCAGTGACAAAGGTTGCGGCATAACGGCGGAGGCGAGCAGCCTCAATGGGTGAGGACGGATGGTGGTTGGCTGTCAGAGGAATAGCCTCGCCGGTGGCTGTTGAGCAGAGTAAGACCTTGGTGTCCCCCACGTGCGCAACAAGGAGACTGGAGGGACCTGCCGGGTGCCAAAAGGGGGGTTGGGCTGGGAGGGGAGATCATGGCAATGCTCCCAGTACTACCACCCTTGAAGCGCGAGCGGCCGCCAATCTTCGGTGTCCTAGTTAGGCTGGGGGAGTGGAGGATTTCGTCTTCATTGAGAGGCTTCTCAGCTAAAGCCAGATCATCATCCCGCTTGGCTGCTTGCGCTTTCACAAAGTCCAGATCAGCCCGCAAGAAGGCATATTCCATGACCTCCTCAATAGAGACGCGGTCTGAGGATGCGGCATCCTCGGAGTCGGCCCCATAGTAGGCGAAATGAGGCGGCTTGAACCGTTTGAAATAACCACCAACTAAGCGCCTCCAGCTATTCACCAAATTTTTCTCCAACTCTCCGATCCGACGTCGATTGCCCTTCTGCATTAGTGGCAATGAAACGGATGAATCAACTCCATTCGTCAATGGCTGATCCGGTCGTAGGCTTGATTGAAACTCGAAATTGGCGGCAGCATTCTGAATATACTCATGCAAATAATCTCTCAAGAATGCACTGCACTCCGCGCCTCCATGGCCATCAAAAATGCCAAAGTAAAAGATTTGTGGATCGCCGTTGGCGGTATCTGCGGCGCGAGATTCACGAGGAGAGGAGATTGAAGAGTGTCGATTGATCGTTACTGATGTTGGGGGTCGCTTTGCAAATGCCGGTATGTCAATTACACCGGCCTGGTACGTATCTTCATTGGCTGGTCGAGTGCCACGGGCGGTGACCGCGCCGAAGTGATGCTTCGCACTGCGCAGGGGAATCCGGACTACAGTGGTCTCGCGGTCAATGAACGCCTGGAATGACGTCGGTGAATGTGAAGTCTCCCCAGTATGTGGCACCGACTCGGAACGCGGGAGTTTGTGAAAGGGCGAGGTCGGCCCCCGAGGATCGGGATGAAGTGACGACGAAGGAAGGTGGGTAACAAAATAGTCGCGGAATTGGGGGCGCTTTTTCGGGGTAGGAGGCGTGTCGGGCGGCGTAACTTCTGAGCTGTATAGTCGCAATCTTCGAGGGCGGGAGAAGGGTGCTAGATTCAACATCAGCAACCTATCGGGGAACTTCCACCAAAGGGAATAGGTTGAGGTTCACATACTATAACAGCTAGCCAAGGTCCAGGCCCGGCCTGTTACTCGCCTCGCTGAAGTGACAATCATGAATGGCCCATGGATCGCGAGAGGTGTAAGATGAAAGGAGATGGGGGAAGCCAACATCGTGGGGGGAACCGGCTGGCCCGAGCGTCGGCAGATAAGGCGACACGTCCCGGCAGATCTATCAACCTATACTAGTATGAGCCTGCTCACCTTCAGCTTGAATTATCACTATAAAAGCCCTGAGAATCCTCCGTCTGAAAGTATAGCCACGGTGGAATACTCAATTTGTTAGTGCTAGCGGCTGTTCCGAATATCCATTTTCAAGCTAATTAGTCCAAATACTCTCCACTGAGTCCACTATTCTATAACTCTTTATATACAAACAATGTTCTATATCTAAAAAATCTGGGTTTAAATATGTTGATGAATGGACAGTCTGCCCCATACCATGAGATATTCTCCGTTGACCTGCCTTGCACTGTTTGTAGGGTTCATTGTCTGCATCCAGTTTGAATGGCGTTGCTAAACTTACGAAACTTCTTGATAGAGAAGTGATCCTACGACAGGTACCCATTTCAGCATTGGAATATGGTTTTAAGCTCCAAAACAGCAATTTTGGCCGGCTTAATGCAAAAGATTTATCAATCTCAGAATCAGTTCGTACCTCTGCACCGATGCACGCATTCTGATATGCCATTGAAGGCAGTTGATATAGTCTACTGTATGCTAATGCAGAATATTTGTCGAAATCTATATTTCCAATGTGATATGGCACTTTCAAGGTTGGGGATTCTGTTGAAATCATTTACTTCTCCCATGTTTTTGCCTTAAGGCATCAAACCACCCCACCGATAAGATAACCCCAAATTTTTTTCTTGGATGGAGGGGCACCCACACTCACTATGGCCGACGATTTTGATACTGGTGACTTGTTTCAGGACCCTGAGGGGTTCTACCCCGAAGAGAAGCAGCCCACATTCGCCGAACACCAGATGTTGTCCGGACAGACGGTGCGCGTGCGTCTTGTGGGCAGTCACCCACTTTACGTATGTTCCCCATGTGGAGGTCCAAATTGTTTCCTTTGGAACTCATGCTGACTCACTTTTGACGGTTTAGGGAAATCTGCTATGGAACGCTGGCCGAACAAGCGCACATTATATCGAAGAACGGGCCGATTCACTCATCCGCGGCAAGGATGTCCTGGAGATTGGTGCCGCGGCGGGCGTCCCCAGTATCGTCAGTGCGATCCTAGGGGCTCGCACCACAGTGATGACTGACTACCCAGACCTGGATCTGGTGTCTAATATGCAACATAATGCGGACCTGTCGGCTGGCATGATTCCGTCTGAGTCGCGACTGTACGTGGAGGGCTATGCATGGGGCAAGACCGTGGAACCGCTCCAGGCGCATATCCCTTCCGCCCAGGGGGACAGCCCTGCCAGCTTTGACGTATTGATCATGGCAGATGTGGTCTACGCCTGGCGTGAGCATGGGAATTTGATCAAGACCATGCAGATGACTCTGAAGAAAAGCCCCGCGGCTGTGGCTTTGGTCATCTTCACCCCCTATCAACCGTGGTTGTTGCCGCAGACCGAGAAGTTCTTTCCGCTGGCGGAGTCGAGCGGGTTCACAGTGACTAAGATCTTTGAGAAGCTCATGGATGATGTGTTGTTTGAAGATGACCCTGGTGTAAGTACCTCTCCACTCGCGTGGTTTCCTCAAATACTGAATATGTTGTAGGACGAAAGACTTCGGCGGACGGTGTTTGGATATGAACTCCGGTGGGCACCAGATCAATTGAAGGATAATGCTTGAATTTTAGCATGATACCCTAGTTTTTATAAAAGTATACAAATAGACAATGTTCAGCGCTGCAATTGAAGTTGACTTTTCAACAATTGAGACTAACCGACTAGATCCTTAAATACGTGATTGGACTAGACAAGGCGACATAGGAAAGGATAGATTGCTTTTCTTAAATCCTCTTTCGTTCCCATCTTGCTGTCGTACAAATGCTCTCTTTTTCATCTAGAAAGATGTGGCACCTCACACATCAGCAAATATGAACCAAGCATACGAGGACTTGGCCTATGATATGGCACGCCGCTACATTCAGCTAAGATTAACCAAATACAGCATCCAATAAATTTTGAAGGCCATACACCTCTATTGGAAACGTCACTGACGCGGGAAAAAGGTACGCCGCCCTAGATCAACCTGGGCAGCAGATCTCCACTTTATCAGACATGATTGGCTTTTGTCGGCAAGACCCCTTCTTTCAGAAGTCGGACCGAGTTCTGATTTCAGAAGTTCCCGACAGTACTACGTCAATATACTCCGCATTTTAAGAGCATTGAAATATAAAGTCCCATTGAACCCCCACAAAGAACATGTTGGAAATTTTCCCCTGAAAGAGAAAATCATGGGGTCTTCTAGACATCTCTCAAAATTGGCCATTCGCACAGCTTCAACAGCTGCCGCCCCTACGACCAAGGCTGCTGGCGATATCTCATCGGTGTTTCCTAGTCTACAACCAGGCTACCAACCGGAGCCTCTTCCGTCTCGATTCAAAGATCTGAAGCAAAGACTATTTGAAAAGAATGAGAACGCTCTGAGAGAAAGTTGGAAGAGACTTCTCCCGAGTTTAGAGGAGGAAGCGAAGAAAATCAAGTCCAAAGGAAGTGAAGTAAGTAGGAGCCATGATGGTTCAAGGTCGAAAACTAATGAACCAAGATCATTCCATCTGTGCAATATTCTGATATTGTGTCCGGCAAAGTCCCCGAGGCGACTCTGAAAGAAATCCGCCATCGAGGCAGCGTAGTCATTCGAAATGTGATACCTCGGAATACGGCCCTTGATTACAAACAAAGAATCCGTGACTATGTCACTGCAAATCAAGAGCGCGTCAAAGCCTTCCCACCGGATTCGCCGGCTGTTTATGAATTGTACTGGACTCCATCACAGGCGGAAGCTCGAGCGGATTCCAATGTGCTCGAAGCACAGCGATTCTTACAGCGACTATGGCACTCATCGGACCCAGACACAAAAGTCTCGACATCCAACCCACTCACGTACGCAGACCGACTGCGAATCCGAAATCCGGGAGATGCCAAGTTTACTCTGGGGCCCCATATAGATGGCGGATCTCTTGAGCGCTGGGAAGATCCTGAGTATGCCAGTGTATACAGTAAGATTCTCGAGGGTGACTGGGAACGGTATGACCCATGGGATGCCAAGCATCGTCTGTCGGCAAAGATGGATCTATACAATGGCGCCGGCGCCTGTTCAATGCTACGATTCTTCCAAGGATGGCTCTCCATGTCCGACACTGCACCCGGCGAGGGCTCTCTACACGTCTGCCCCATGGTCGTACATAGCACGGCCTATACCATTCTGCGCCCATTCTTTGATGTGCAAAGCCAAGAGCCTAACTTGGATGCTACTTTCCCCGGGTCTGTGCCAGGAGCCTGTCAAGAGTATAATCCGGTGACACACCCGCACCTTCAGCTTGAGACAACAATGGTACCGGTCCCTCGGGTTGAACCAGGTGACTTTGTCGCCTGGCACTGTGACTCGCTGCATTCAGTAGACAAGGAGCACCGAGGCACAGGAGACTCGAGTGTCATGTACATTCCGGCCACCCCTTTGTGCGATATGAATGTCGAGTACCTCCTTAAGCAACGTCAGGCAGCTCTTACCTATTCCCCGCCGTGGGACTTTCCCGGTGCTGGTGGCGATGGCGAAAGAGGATTTCATGGTGCATTGGACTGGTCTACCTTAAATCCTGAGGGACAAAGGGCGATGGGTCTCGGCATTACCCCTTGGAAGGTGGCGGAGGCGATGACGGAAGGCGAGAGACAGGCCGTGAGATCAGCCAACGAGATGTGTTTCAGAGCATAAGAAACTAATTTTGGGCGGTGGAAACAACCAGTGACTCGCAGTGTACTGGAAATAGCCGGGCCGAAGAAACACTCACACAACCTTCTATCATCACTATATCACTCGTCAGACTTTAAGTCTCCAAGCTCTACATCTTCAAGCTCTACATTAAACGAACTTGAATTGCGAAGATACAAAAGAAAGGAGCAAAATTCGTAAAGTAAGACTATTGCTGAAGAGAGAGAAGGGGGGGGGGGGGCAACAAAGATCTAGTTGTGGAGAGAAGCTCTGCCCAGTCTGGACCTAGATAAGAACACTGGTGTGACCGCACAAGGACGCAATTGTAATCTTTATGAAGAGGCATGAGGACTTGTGAACGTGTCTGGGTAGCCCCGCTCGAACTGATCTGACCCGACTCGCTTGCGGACCAGTCAACTGCTGGCAATTGTACAGCAGAATCTTTTGTAGCATCGTCCACTTAGTTCATCCATTCTATTCACGATCAATTTAAAAGGCTTTAGCTTATTACGTTATAACTTTTAGTTGCTAATAACCATTAATTTTGAACTCCCCATAAACCGACCAATTTGATTTAGAAGATCAACATAAGTTGAAGCGATTAAGTCCTATGCAATGACAAGGAAGTAACTAATAAGCCAAGATTAGGCAAGAAGCAGAAGGGTATATGCCCAGGTATTAGCTGACTTGCAGCCTATGCAAGTGGAGATCTCAATTTACACCTAGGATGCTCCAAACATCGGAACTTTTCAAGCGCCTGAAAAAAAGACGCAGCACACGGTAGTTCAACTCAATTCAATATGTAATATAGTCAATGAACGAATGGTTGAGCTGGTGATCAAACAACTCATGTTACCGCTTTTCTGCGGATGAGTGTCGTAGCGCTCCTTGTGCTATTTGGAGTCTGATGAAATATAGCATCTCGTAGTTGATACCATGAAGATTGTGTTCATGCTGCTTGAAGTTCTGATTGAGAAACTTAAACCTTGACTAAGCTTGCTTAAGGTAAGGCGTGAAGGTCGTATAGGTCTTCTCCCACCCCGCAGCTCCGGGAAAATCCAGCACAGGAGGAATGCCAAGCATTTATACTGCGGTCTGTGCCCACCTGTAGTTAATCCGGTTGTCGGAATTAGATTCGAGAGAGACGGGACTGATTTTGCAGTAGGGGTCTCTTTAGAGGCGGGGTCTACCATGATGCATCCAAGTTTTGGCCAAGTGCAGGGGGGCGTAGCATACGGGGGAACACTCCGCTGAATCCATCGAATGATTAATGCCAAGCTTCTCCGCAGGATAAGATTGGCGAATGGTTTACTCAAATTTCCCCTGATACGTTCAGGTCAAGGCTCCGTGTATCTGCCAGACCACATATAATGCTTCATTGGTGGAAGGTATGCAAACTACCACCTTGTCTCTTCCTGATCTCCAGGCTCCGTCAGGAGATGTCCACCTCAAAAATATTCATGCCAAGCAAGCCGGGTCCAAATACTCCGTCCTCTGAAACCTTGGCCATACTTGACGGACACGAAACACAATGTGGACATTGAACTCCTGTGAGGATAATTAGTGGAAATGAAATTTCTTGGCCGAGTCAGCTTCGCCCTTCATGGCTCCATTTAGCTGCTATGCTTGGCTGCTTGGCTGCATATGTTGAAGACTCCGAAAGTTGAGGGTGCTCGCTGGGACAATGTCAAAGCCTTAACTGAACACAGAAATGTTCCAAATTGACTTGTTTCATGTCTCTCAATCAGCCATGGAGTCAGCAAAGTAGCCTTTCTATTACGGAAAATTGCTGTCCACTAGTCGAAAATTGTTGTCTCCTCTTCAGTCAAGAGCCGGATATTTTTTTCCCCATTGCTTTTTGCCTATATAAAAAGCTGGGAACGGAACATGACCATGCAGACTTCCAAACCGGTTTTGTATTGCCATTGCTTTTCATCTTTCTTTCTGAGTATCTTTGCAAATATTTTGTAAAGCTCGAATCATAACTTATCGATTCCTTTCACCTCCATCATGATCACTACAAGAATTGTTTCTGCCGTCGTTGCTGGCTACTTTTGTAGCCTTGCTCTTGCTGCTCCTACTCTCACCACCGATGATGTGACCAAAGCCGTTGATAAGCGCGCCACCGTCAGCGATGCAGCCTTTGGCTACGCTAGTCTGAATGGTGGCACAACTGGTGGCACAGGTGGTACTACTACCACAGTATCTTCCTACGCGGCCTTCACCGCTGCTGTCTCTGGCGACAGTAAGAAGGTTGTTTACGTTTCTGGACCGATCACAGAGACCGCCGACCAGGTTAAGGTCGGAAGCAACACCAGCATCATTGGAAAGAGCTATACTGCTATCTTGACCGGTTTTGGCCTGTATGATCTATTCTTGGTTATCTAGGAGTTGAGGAGTGCATACTGACCTAGCCGCAGCCTGGTCAAAGAGGAGTCGAACGTTATTATCCGCAATCTAGGTGTCAAGAAGGTCCTTGCGGATAACGGCGATGCCATCGGTGTTCGTAAGTTTTTCTAGAACCTTGGAATGCAGAACGTTTCAAAGTAATGCAGAACTGACCACTATGTATTCCGTGCAGAATATTCCACCAACGTCTGGATTGACCACTGCGATGTTTCTTCCGACATGGACCACGATAAAGATTACTACGATGGTCTGATTGATGTAGGTGATCCTAAATTGAAAAAAATGCCCAATGCCCGATATAGCAGATTTAGACACTGACGGCCACAATCCCCATCACCAGCTCACCCACGCTGCCGACTATATCACCGTTTCTAACACATTCTTTCACGACCACTGGAAAGCGTCCCTGATTGGCCACTCTGACAGCAACGGCGATGAAGACACTGGACACCTCCGCGTTACTTATGCTAACAACTACTGGTACAACATTAACTCCCGTGCCCCCTCCATTCGCTTCGGAACAGGCCACTTCTACAACAGCTACTTCCTCTCCGTTAACGATGGTATCAATACCCGTGATGGCGCTCAGATTTTGGTTCAGTCTAACGTCTTTGATGGAGTTGACAACCCTCTCTACTCCACTGATGACGGCTATGCTGTCGCCACGGATAATGACTTCGGCGATGGTGAGAATACTGCGGAGACTGGCACCCTGACCACCGTTCCTTACTCCTACACTCTGCTTGGATCTGGAAATGTTAAGGCTGCTGTTTATGGCACTGCGGGACAGACCCTTACTTTCTAAGCAATGTTGATCCAGTGTTTAATACTGAAATATGTGAATGGAATGCAAGACTACTGGTATCTAGGTGATAGCCCTGGAGTACGAGGCCATGAAGGCAACAAAGGTAGTGGACAAGTACGAATCTGATCTAGATAATTTATCATTCATTCTTTCAAACGGTTCTCTGAGTACGCAGCTAGGAAGCCAATGCAGGCTAAGCTTCTTTTATTTGAACCCATGAACCACCTTAAAAGGTTTTCAGGTTAATGCTCAGTCTCCGGAGCATGTCATTCAGTCCAAATAATTCAAGAGACACACTACCCAGATTCAAGGTTTCAGAAAAAGTGACGCAGTGACCAGTGTATTTGTAGGGAATGCAGCCAGTGTTATTTTATACATTTAGAAATGACCAGTAATATAATATTTGAAGGCGAAGCCTAGACCTGTCGCAGTTTTAGCCTTAGTCACGCGGCCGGGAAGATGCGCTCTTGGCTCTCGTTCACACTTTCCGCCAAGATTGTTGTTCCCATGCCTAAACCATGGCTTTTATCCCTGATATGTTTTATATCACTCCCGCTCATGGCACCAAGCTCATGTGGCGTACCTCTGGCGGTGGACTCTTTGTACTTTGAGCCTGCGCTCGACCCGAAGCGGCGGAAGACGGGAAGCGGCTTTAGAGATGAGAGAGAGCCAGCAACAAGGCCTAAATTGAACTCGATCGCCATCCAGTATAAAGACGAAGCTGAGTCATCTGTATATGCCAGTCAGTATGCGTCTATGATTAGAGCAAGTTTTGGGAAGAATTTCTTACAGGTGAGGTCTGTGGTGCCTATTCGCAGGTAATCTAAAGTGCTGAAGCGAACGACGGGGGCGATACAAGCGATGATACCTGGAGTCATTATTAGCACTCCTCGAAAGCTCGAGCGTGGCATCGTGTCCACTAACCTGTCCCAAAGATTGCCATCAAGGCCACAATCTTCCTCGTGGGCATATTCAGTTGGCATAAAATCGGCATTGGCGCAAGCAAGATGATCACGTCCGAGACAAAAATAAGCACTGCTTGATATAATACAATTTGAAACAGTTTAAATTGAGAGTAACATGTCGCATTTGTCACGGTCATGTCGAAGGCAGCCCTGCCATTTTGCTAGTTAATATTTGCGGTAGGAACTGCATGGGAAAGAGCTGGTGACGTACCTTGGTGGGTCACATTGGGTAGCCAGAACGATAGAGCCAGAGAATGAGAATAAAAGTTGGAAAATCATCAAGCCAGCGGTAAGCCAATTCATCCAGGCTAACTGCAGTCAGCGCCAAGTCGGGAAGAGAGACAGGAGACGGCCATGGGGCATACTTTTCACGAAGATTCTTCGTAGAAATAGCAACAAGCTTATCTTAACTGACAAAGAGGCGTAAAGATAGAGACACATGGCCGTATAATAAAGCTATTCAAAAACGCACACTCAGCAACATGTCTGGATAAGAGCACGGAAGAAGAGCAAGAAGGGTGATAGTACCTTGAGCCAGATTGCTTTATCTTCAAGAGACAAGTTGTCGAAATGTCGGCCTTCGCCATAATACACGATAGCAATTCCTAATCCATTGAAAGATTGTGTGATGACCTATTATTTGATTCCTTTAGCGTTCACAGTGAAACCAGAGCTGCTATTGAGGGCCTGACTGGAACATACCAATGAGATGCAAACCGCGATATCATCCATTCCAAACCGCTTGAGGATGAATGCCCTTGCATAGAGCTGTAGTGGAGATTAGCTCATGCAGCGTGGCTGTTTGGACCCAATCTTAGCAGGGGTCCTACCCTTAAACTGCAAATTATGATGGACAGGAGTCCGGTGCTTATAATCAAGCCATATGTGAGCGATTGTCGATACTGCTCGTCTGCTGACAGACTCGGCTCTGTCTCTGAAGTAGTCATGGCTATTAAGATGGTCAGGGGCGTCTCAGCATAACGGCTGCGTCTCAGGCGTCGAGTGAATGAGAGGCTGTTGCAAAAATCGCATAAGGAGTGTTCGAGTGCCTAGTATGCCGGGAGAAAAAAAGCAGCAAAAGACTAAAAAGCTACGCTTTGGATCAGCATTTGCGGCATAAGTCAATTGTTCCCCGTTCTAGGCTTACCCAAAGCGCCGATCCTTATTTACTCATGAACTAAGTACAGATTCAACTAAGGCCAAAAATTAGGCGAGGTGAATGACTCCCAACCCGGGTGGACGGATGGTGGATCCCGACCACCAACGGGTATGTGTTGCTGAAAAGGGAAGGATCGGCGCTGTCAATAATCTGAGTTCTAATTCTGACTCTTCGCTTTCGTTGACAATTTCTGAATCTACGAGACAAATAAAAGACTGATGATAACCAATTAATTGGGAGCTATCTAATACCCCATTATAATGACATTTCGAAAGGAACATTAAGTTGTTCCACTTCCCAGACGTAGCCCGTGTTTAGTAGCCTAGACCTTGAGGTACTCCACCATGCGCTCGAACCCCGAATCAACGATGGGGCTAACCGTTAGCGCTTCCTGCCAGTTTCAAGACTTTTTCGGCATTAGCATTGCACAAAATAGGCTAGATACAGGGGCAAAACATAAAAAAAAAACATCCACTCAACTCGGGACTCCCGGGAACAAATTAGGGGGTCCACGAGTTCACGCCAAACGGTATATATCGTCTTTCCTCGGCAACTTGGGCGATGTTTTAGACTTGAAACCTGACCTGTATCTATTCCCCCACAGTAAAGGTCTTTTTTTTTTTCGACACTGAAACCCGTTAAACCTTGGCACAGACGTGATAATAGTGATGGCTTCGCCCAATCAAATGTCTGATGGGTTCAAGATCCTCATAGCTGGCGGGAGTCTCGTGGGTCTTGGCCTGGCCTTGTGTTTTGAGCGCGCTGGTATCGATTATGAGCTTTTTGAGAAGGGAGATTTTGCCCCGCAACTTGGGGCCTCTATAGGACTTCATCCGCATACGATAAGAATTCTGCAGCAGTTGGGGGTGTGGAAAGACATTGAGAAAGAGGTGGTTCCTCTACAGCACCGCAAACACTATGCCGGCGACGGTTCGTGTTTTGAGGACTCGCATGTGCTAGTCAACATTGAGGAAATGTAGGTGCATTTGATTCCAAAATTTGGCAGGCTGTCGAGAGCTCTATTCAGAAATAGATTGACCTTTGTTATCAACTATAGTCTCAAACGTCCCATTATTTTCATGGAGCGATGTAGGGCCTTGGAAATCCTGCATAGCCACGTGAAAGATAAATCGAAGCTGCATGCTCGAACTGCGGTCATTGGATATGAGGAAAACGCACAAGGAGTTATACTCACCACCGAAGATGGCGACCACCACCACGGCCACATCCTTATTGGCGCAGATGGAATCCACAGCAAAGTGCGAAAGTTGATGGCAGATAAAATCGAGCCAACCAACAAGACTCTCGCCAAGGATATCAACGAGGGTTTGTCCAGTCTCTTCTTAAATCCGAAAGCCGCCCAACTGACATACCTGGAAATCAGCCTTTACAAGTCAATATAGCTGCATTTTCTCTGTCTCTCGTAACGACCCCGAAAACCAATTCCTGCCTAATGCGATGGTCCACAACGTGTACTACGACGATTACTCTGCTATTGCAGCCGCTGGCGTTGAAGGGCTTGTGTTTTGGTTCCTGTTTATCAAGAATCTCGAATCCACCAGAACCCCTAATTGTCCACGCTTCACCGACGAGGATGCAGAGGAATATATCCAGAAGTATGGAAGCTCTCTTGTAGGTCCTGGTTACACCGTGAAGGACCTTTGGGATGCCCGAGTCAAAGCCACAATGGTCCCCTTGGAAGAGGGCGTTATCAAAAAGTGGAGTCATAATCGGGTGGTGTTGATGGGTGACTCAGTTCATAAGGTTCGTATTGCCTCTCAAACGTCAGACAAACATAATCTGAAGATCTGACTTCTTTTCAAATTGCGACAGGCGACAGTAAACCCTGGATTAGGTGGCAACCTAGCCTATGAGGGTATCGCTAGGCTCACCAATGGTCTTGTGCCTTTGCTGAAAGAGGACCCTTCACCGACACTTGAACAGTTGACCGAAGTTTTCGATCAGTATGTTGCCGGCCAGATGCCCCGAGCGGAAACAGTCGTTGGTATTTCCGGTCAAATTACGCGATACGAAGCCCAAGAGAGTTGGATTCTCAAATTTGCAGCCCGCCACATCGTCCCCTACGTCAGTGACGGACTCAAGGCCAAGCTGTACTCCAGTTTCTCTAAAGGCGGACCTTGGTTGGAATATCTTCCCTTGCCAGCAATAGATGCAGATCTGGTAAAAGCCGACAAGAATTCGAGCAGGGGCGTCGCTGGAAAGTGGATTGCTGGAACAATCATGGTGGGCACTGCTGCTATCCTCTGGCAAACATGCCGAGGTCTCTTCGTTGGCCAGATCACCACCTAAAGCGTTCTCAGCAAGGAGGAACTAGCAAGGGAAGAGAAGTAGGATTCAGTGGGATTAACAACCAAAACAGAGGGTTCGGCTCCCACGGCTTCCAGAGATTCTATTCATGCACTTCTCACTTGTATCAAATTTGGATGACTCTGGACCTGGAGAAATATGAATCGTTTGTTTTCTAGGTGTTGTTTGTTTGTGACAGCCCGGAAACACTCTCTACCTATTTCTGAATATTACATCAACGACCCTGATTAGTGTTTTCCGATAACGGCTTTATGACAGCTCGTGCCAGTGCTATTGGGTCAGGTGACTCATATGCCACTATATCCCTCCATTCAGAGCAGCTTAGACTTCTTCCTTCTTCATACCAAATGTTCACACCGCATAAATTCTGTACAACCTACCCGTACGTCCGTAGAAGTACCATAGGAAGTTGGCGTCAGATCATGTTTTCCGCCGCCCCATTCTCAGCGCCTTCCTTGAGCAGCATCTCAACAATGGCTCCATACCCCCTTCCCGGCGGCATATGATAGTTGTGTCAGATCTACCTTATTCTTCGCTTCAATATTGTCACCTCTCCCTATAAGAATCTTCAAAATAGCCCTTACCCCATTTGATAGCGTCGGAAATAAGTGTCCGGTTATCTTTTTTTTTAATCTAAATTCTTGCAACCTTTTCAGGCAGCAAGTCAATAATAGCCGTATACCTCACCTAGATTGTTCAAAATACTGGTCTGTTAAATCGCATTATCAGTTATGGTTGTAGGGCCTCGCTGAAAAGGCATTATAGCAATAGTCTCACACCCCAAATGATATAGAACTTCGGCTAACCGACCAATTCTCCACCAGTACATCATCGCAACTCTTCTCAGACGGCGAATGGGACGTCCATCACGACACCTTGGCACGTAATACTCCGAGCAGAACCTCGTCATCAATTATGGCTTGGTCGATGCTAATAAGATATCGCGGAAAGCTTCCCTACGGCCCAACCCGCCACCTCAACCCACCACCTGCATCAATCAAATGATTTAACGAATTCAAACAAGAAGCTGACACCACACTTCAAAGCTCAAGACACGGCCTCTCAGATGGTGCAAACAGCAGCTGTCTAAAAAATTGTATCACAGACCTGGGCGGGGGAATAACACCGGGTAATGCAGTACCTAATCGGCACAGAAACCGAGACATCAGCCAAGCTCGTAGAGATGCATGCGAGCGGCATCCGCGGCATAAGTGTCATTATACCCCAATACAGTGCATTGTATGATGTGGAATTTCAAGTCGCTGTATTGGCAGCCCACGCTCGGGCGTTGGGAGGCCCTTATACGAGCTGGAGTACCTTAATTCTGGGTTGAGTCGAAGCAGTCGAAGCCCGTCAATCCACGTGCAACAGTTCTGCAGGGGCCCTGGCTAGTCAGCTTTGTTTTGAATATATATTATGTTGCTCAAAAAGTATCAAAGTGATCTGAAGCGACAACTTAGGTCTGAGGACATCATAAATCTGGTAAGGACAGGCCATCTTTGTTTAAGTCAGTGCCCATGTTTTGTTAGTACGTAAGCGCCTGGCTCCGCGAAATACTTTGCGAGTTCTTTCTAATGCGATTCCACAGCAGATTCTGTGGGAGACTTATTGGCCTGTTTTTGGTTTCGTTGAATTGAGAGGTCTAGGTATGTAAAATGTGTTCCTCAGGCCACATAAGCTCTTGAAGGTTCGCACAGAAGAGGATGCGCCGACTGGAACCCTAAGCCTTGATGTTGATAACGCTGCTTTGTTGAGGAGTTTGTGATCGTCGTCATCTGATCATTAGTGGAGGACACTAATGGTTCAGAGTCCACAGAAACTGTACGACTGAGGCTTCATTCTGCACGAGCAAATCAATCGCTTTATCGTACTAGGCGACCATTCATTCATGCTCAAGCTCTCAAAATTTTCAAACCTCAGCTCCTAGCTCTTTCTCACTAACCAGGCTCATGTCACGCGCTAGGAGAAGGCAGCGAAAGCACTAAATTATTCCGTACTCACGAAACAACAAAGATAGGAGGTGAAGGATTTTTTAAGCCCAGAGGAATGTAAACATCCTAGAAGTTTTCATCTCGTCGCGACATGGCCGATGTTGTCCAGTTTCTCCACTAGTAATGTGATAGACATTGAATGATTGCTGTCAACCCCTCTTTTACAGATATTTTATTATGGGCATTATGATTAAATAAAGGGCACGCCAATTTCAAAGCATACCTAACAAGTTTGGCTTCGTTTCAAGATTGGGTTGCTTCGTAGTCTCAAGGTCTCTCGAACCAAGTGTAGATGACCCCCAAAACTCTAAAGCCGCGCTGTACGATTCTGGAAGCTCCAGACCGCGTCGCCTGAGAAAGTCTCCAACTCCTCGACATAATTATTCCACAAATTCTCTGAAGTCATAGGTGCAGTGCAATAAGGCTCTACCCCTGTTTCCTCCACCAATCTTTCTAATTCTGGAAGCACTGCATCTGCCGCTTGAGACTCCATCTTGCGCTGTTCTTGGCGGGTGAGGCCTCCCTGCTCAGAAAACCAAGCGGAGCATTCGCTGATAATTCCAGCTTGATACAAGGCTCGCAGCTTAGGGTCAATACCAACCTCGACAGCGGCTTCCATTGCCATCCGATATCCAACAGCTCGAACCAACGGAAGAGCAAGAGGAAGAATGCTTCGGTTGAAAGCCTCACTCCGATGTTTATTGCCAAAGAGTTCCATTGATTCCCTAGCCTCCGCAAATAAGCCTGCTTCGTGCCGTGCTAGAGCACTGTTGGGGTCTTTGGGCGGTGGTACCTGGTAGCGGCCAATCAGAAGTTCACTGGCAAGCCCTGTTGAGTGAAAAAATTAGCTGGCGTGCTTGCCTCAGATTAACTGCAATACGATATACTCACGGATAGCCAAGACTCTCACATCACCTTCGGCCGTTGCAATCGCACGGAACTCCAACTAGAGAGGTGCGGTTAGCATATATGCAATATCCTCTGGACGAAGAGAGTGGCTTACCTCGGCTTGGAGAATTTGATTACGGTCATAGTATCCGTGCCAGCCGCAGCCTTCATTCATAGATTTAAGGCTACTCTGGAAGTGATGGGTTGTAACTGCTTTGAACGCTGTTGCGAAGGCATGGCGGACCCGCGGATCAGTGTTCTGGTCACAAAATCCCATTCCAGCGTGAATCAGGAAAGCCTGAAGAACATGGGCTCTTGCAATAGCGTGAAGAATAGGAAGATGCTGGGTACGGAAGTTCATCACAGGCATAGGCTGCCCATCGTGGCCAAGGATGTGTCGCCGGAGACTGAATTTACTGGCGTTGTAAACACCCATTTTGATGAGTGGAATACACCCACCAGCCAGAAAAAGAGTCCCTGCAGGCATGCGGTGGATGGTAGCCAAGAAGTTATCACGTTCATTGCGTGACTCTTGGAGTTTACCGAGCAGGGCGGAGGATGGCAGCTGCACGCGGTTAAAGTAGGTTAACGCGTGATCAATTGGATTTGCACCCGGACGAGCTGGAAAAGCTCTGAATAACCATAGTTGTTAGTCTCAATATATATAGAAGTTGATTGGGTTAACACGTACTTTGAGGTAACACCAATACACATCTTAGAACCATCTGACATGGGAACGAGGAACGGTCGCACTCCCCGATCCTCTCCATCAACAATGAGTCGAGCAATGACGACTGCAATAACAGGAAGGCCACTGCGGACAGTATTCGGTGGCATACATCTGAAATTGCAGAGCATTAGTATCGAATTATATAAAACAGGTTCCATGGTTTCTTACTTAGCAGCAGCCGGAGACGGTGTGTGTAATTCAAAGCCGCCATTGGGTAAAAGAGTCGCGGTCGTTTCGAGATTGCGTGCATCTAGGCCATGTCCGAGCTCGGTAAGCATGAATTGTGCTCTGAAATAGGTCAATCAACTGCAACAAATCTGATGTAATCCGGGAATTAACTGGGAAACGCACGAGATATCGAAATTTATCGCTTGCTGGATAATGAACGCCAATTGGGGTTGCGTGTCGGCAAAAGGAGCAACTGTGCCGACGAAAAGATTATACTGAACGCTGACCAAATTGATTGCACCGCCATCCATTGCGGTGAGCATGTCTATATGGAGTTTCCAAAACTTTGGGGTTGTGTCCACAACATCCTTCAGCGTCAAGTCTTTCCCGTCACAATTAGTACGATACACCTAACGTGCCAGCTGTAGCAGGAAAACTTACTGTATGCACGTGCTAAAGCCCTTGCTCTTCGATATGTCAGTTGCGTCTGCTCCTCAAGAGTCAGAGCAAGTGATGCAGGCTTCATTAATGCCGACCGCGCCAGTTCCAGAGTCGGTGACGGCGAGTGCCATATTTCCTCATAAAGCGCACGGCACTCTGATACCACAGCTGTGTCTAGATTTGACAGCGGCATAATGGATGTTCGGATTTCCAAAGATGATGATATTGCGGCGGGGACACATCATGGCGGAAGGGTTTTATATATCCTTCTCGGTTCGCATGGCCTGGTAGAATATCAGGGGCTGAGCTGAATAGTCTCCACTTTGAGGATACACTAGAACTGTGATCACAGATAGTTGAGCGACTGCCCAACGTACGGGTAATAAATGCCGAATGCCCGGGCAATAATAGCCGACGCCCCACCGCCCAGACTACATGAGTATCCTATCAGCTGAAGTGAGTGCCAGCAGCCACGTGTCTGGGTGGCTTTCATTGGGATTTAGACTTGATCTGACAGCAACGGGCTGCCTGAACTACTCCTGGTTCTTCGGAACTAATCGCTGAGCTGGCATACAAGCAAAAGTTTAAGCCCGGCGGTATCCGTATCAGCGAGACTGGAACGTAAAATAGTAGCTGAGGCTGAAGACAATCCAAAATAGATTATGCTGGTAATCTCCCTTATGACATAAATCTCACAAATATGCTAGTGCGGCTTTGCAGCAGGTGGTGTGAGCATGCGAATGCCCTCATCAAGAAAGTATGTCACTAGTCATATCTGAGTAGTAGTAATACTCGCAGGCTATATAACCTAGCCAACACCAACAATTATCTAAGTAAAAAGCATTTCAGTCATGACTAAAGGAGGACCGAATTTGCTATTCGTCAAGAATGAGAAGATATTACTTCTCGTAAGGTTAATTCAGCTACTGGACGAGGCTGTGCTCTCACAACAGCACATGAAAAGAAGAAATATACGGGGGGTTTTGGTAACCAAATTTGACTCAGAGATAATAAGGAAACTCTGAGTCCTCAGCAGTGGAAGAAATTCAATCGGACACCGAATAGTGTCTGAACTGTAAACAAATGGTACAGCTAGATCTTTTAAAGATATCACCAATGTGGAAAAATGTGGACACACTGGGTCTTGGTTCTCATAATCAATGGTTCGTGGGCTAATTGTTAATCGTATATTCGAGAAAATTAATCTGACAATTGCTAACGCAATCTGGATATGGCCTTTCTCTAGTTCCTTGGCATTAGGCCCGTAAACGACTGTTTCCCCCTAACCGACCCTACCTCGACCCAAAATAAAGCCACGCCAACGGGAACTTCCTCCGACAATCTTCATCCTTATTTGGCTAATTCAAACGTCGGGGATCGTTCTTTGATTGATTATGGACTCGAATGTCTGCCAAAGTCCCATCATGAGAAATAAATCTGAGAGTTCGATATTTCCGTGTAACTCCGGCAGGAACACTATGATTCAAAAATGAGGGAGAGGTTGGACGAGACGTGATATCTCTGGGAAAGGTGAGGCACGGCTCGACTACCTCGCTTGCGCTACAGGATTGAAGGATTGCTCTACATTCTGCAAAGGCGCAAAGCGCTTGCCTTTCGAATGTTTGTGCCAACTCTCTGATACAGAAACGATGATGCGCTTCCTTTGCGTTTTCTAAAGGTACTGCAGAAGAAGATAGAGTAACACAGTGGGAGTTCTACGGAATGTTTTTCTATATGTAGATGACAATTGTGCAGCATTTGTTCCGGAAAACCGTTTAGTAGATGAGTTATGGATCTAGGCCGTCGACCCAGACTACGTTGCAGACACTGAAAACCAAAGCCGAGGGATATTTGCCCAGGCGTCTACTTTGGAAGTTGCAATAGCCCTTCCGTTAAGGAAGCGTGAGGTGTGAGGCTCTAATGGATTGTATGTATGAGAAGCCAATGGGAGATCCTTTTTGTGGAATATATATACAGTTCATGTTTCCAGTGTAGGTAGGTATAGGTCAAGAATTTTATATATCCTCCGTCTATCAGAATGCTACTTGTACCCTTCACCCCAGAAAAGTATCTAGAATCTTAGGACAACGAGAAGTATCATCATTCGGAAAGCGCAGATAGCTGATTACAAACGTGGAAAATCGTTCCAATACAATATGCGCCTTCGGGTATCAGCCCTTGGCATTCACCTTTCTTCGTGTTGAGGGCCGGGTTCATCTCGTAAAAGCAATCCAAGGAGACCCTTCTTCATTCGCCATGTCTTGAAAATATTTCCCATTATTTTACACCCATAATTATTGCTGGTATCTGGCATTCCAGTCTGATTAGGACCTGGAGCTTCCAGCCCAGTGCCATGTGAAGTAGAGATAGTGTCCGCAGTATTGGAGGTAGAGCTACGAGCAGTAGAGGCAGTCCTCGTGACCCCGCACTGCATACAGTAATATGCTTTGTTTTGACTAGTCTTGGTGTAAAAGAGTGCATTAAAGCAAGTCAGCCGGCATGAGTTCGGGGAGACTAACAGGTCCGAGCAATCTTCGTTCGGAGAAGGGTTTCAAGAATAGTGATCTTGAACAGGCACATCGAAAAAATGGAAATATCAACACATGAGTCATTGCCAGTAAATTCAAGGTAGTATTTCTTGTCAACGTGTTGCATAAGTTCTTGGAAGCCTCGATTCCTGAGTCAAACGGAGCATCGCAAAGCTGTGATGTATCGGGGTGGCTCCATCAATCATGCTAGAGGTGCTGTTACTGATCTTTTTCCCAGCCCCGTCACGAGATTTGAGGTTCCCTTCCGCGAATCATATCTTTCTCGCCTCAGCTAAATGATGGAATCTCCCTGCTTGGATCTGGTGAGATAGATGCAAAGTTCAACGCACATTTGACACTGGCACAGGCGTCGACTCGAGGACTCAAGCTCCTTCGTCGCTCGAAGAATTTGAAGGCAACTTATTAATTGGAACAGCGATTCGAGATCCAGTGACCGGCGCTCTAGACTTATTACCCGGGACATGGCTGATTCTACATACGTCCGTTGTTAAGGATATCTGATTGCGGTCTGCATATTGTTCCACTTAGGTCAGAGTAGGTATTTGCCGATCTACTATATACAACAGGATTGATATTTTAAAACCGAGTTTACCATTTTCACACAAAATCAACATCATGGCATATTGAGGTCTTATAGACTAGGTGATAGAGGTAAGAACGGGGTGAGAATTGAGTGAGTGGTATTACTGTAGAGAAAGTGGGAGACCGTTTCAAATTGACTAACCGAGAAGCTAGCTATTCACAGATTGCGTTGTTATCGCATTTCTAACTTTGGGTCTCCAGCTTCTTGCGAAAAGCTTCTTCTTTTCTAACAATCTCCAATGGAAGTGTTTGCCCAATGCCGAATAGGATGAAGAGCGCCCACTTCCAACGGAATGGATTGATCAAGACAAGGAACACGAACCAGTATAGCAACTCCGTGTACGTGAAAAAGTCGAATGCTCCTGGCGGTGCTCCTTGCTTCATCCAGCGAGTGAAGTCTATCCAGGTCTTCATTCGGCTCTCTGTAGGTTGCGTGAGTGGATCAGTCAGGAACATGAGTAAGAACCGGGTATAAATTCCGATATGAATATTTCCTACTGTTCCAATGGCGTTAACGTAGGTGCTGTTGTTGGCGCAAATGCTAAGATGTTTGGGAGGGAAAACTTGGAGATACCAGTCAGGAGGGGAGTAATTCTCCTCAAAGGAGTCGTTGGGAAGGAACGAAAGCGAGGGGCGTTTGAAACCAGTTGCCATAATAATGATATCGCCCGGAACGACCTTCTCGCAACCAGGTCCACCCTTGGGTACCTCCTTTGATCGGTGGTTGAAAAGGATACCGTTTTCTTTCACTGACGAGATGTCACCGCGTAGCCAACGTGCTTTGCCCTTTCGAATAAGCTTGAAGAGATCAGAGTTCGCCATAGGAGTCGTGGTGAATAGACCGCTCTCCGGAGCAATATCCTGTAGGTCGCGATAGAAGAACTTGTGGAGGAGCCACTCGGGTATCCACGCCAAAGTGGTCTCTTCTCCCCATATGTTACAGGCCAGCAAGCTTTGTACAAGGATATTGCGTGGAATGATCCATTTGTCTGAGCGCGAGAGAACGTCGATCTCGGCGGCTCCAGAGTTGACTGCGAATTCCAGTGCCTCAATAGCGCTTGCACCGCCTCCAATAATAAGAGCTCTCTTGCCTTTGATGTCCTTGCCGTCGAGATCTGACGAGTGGCAGATGTCACCCTTAAACTGGTCTTGATCGGGCAACCCAGGCATTTTAGGATCTCCACAAACCCCGACAGCTGTTATAACGCCGTCAAAGCTTCCGTATTTCTCTGGGTGATCATTGATGACCCACTTGCCAGACGACTTTGCTTTTTTGATGGATGTAACCGGTGTACCGAACTCAGTTCGCTCATTCAACCCATATCGGTTCCATAAATCGACGATCTGGTCGCGAATTTCGTGTTGGGTTGGATATGCGTGCTTGTATCGCACGGTCGGGTGAAACCGATACATGATGCTGTTGATTTGCAATGCTGATGTAGAGTTCACGCGCTGTTGACCATGAGCGACTGGTTGAAAGAGATAGCGGTCCATTGACTTACACTCCAAATACCCCCCAATCCCTTCTCTTTACCTCGTGCCTCAAAAATTTGCACCTCAAAGCCATGGCTGACGCAATGCGCTGCTGATGAGATGCCCGTCAGGCCTGCACCAATAATAGCAATTCTTCTTCTTGGCAGACCCTACAAGAATGTAGTACAACATAATCAGACTCGTGAAATACTTGTAGTTTTGATTTTGATGTCAAATCTTACCTCGAAAGACTTCGGCCGGTTCCATGACGGTCCGAAAATCCACGCAACGAAGGTTTGGGAGATATAATAGATTACCGAAAAAACATAGAGCAATGGGTTCGTGATGAACAGAGCCAGCAGTGATTGAGCCATGGCCTCGCTGGGGAGAGTTTTGACATGTAAAGCAAAAGGTGAGATTCTAACGGAGCACATCAATATAATCAAGACGAGCTTCTGACTAAGCCATACCTAAGAAAACAATGAACGGAATGACGTTTCCATACGATCATCACAGTTGTAGTTAAACCAGTTCGTACCGCCATGGATGACGTCACAAGGGGTTTCCCTAACCCCACATATTCATGTGATAATCATGTCAATTCTTGGCCTTCGACCCCCACGCATGTCGCGGCCAACTATGAACAACGTACAAGGCTGGGATTCGCAATCACCAAAGTTGGCATCTCCAGCTTCCACCAATTGAATAGATGCTCTAACTCAATACTGTACGTTTCTCAGGGTCTAGACTGATCACAAGCTTGCAACATAACATTCATTAATTTTAAAAGTCGAATATGATATGTTCCCTGGCGCTTTCTGTTCCAAGTGCTAACCTAAGGTACTTTTAATGTCGACTTTTTCTGTCGCATTCAGTCAGAGTTCTGACCGGGCTAGTATCTGCACAGACAAGCCTTCTTATTGGCCTGAACGCATATACAGTAGTAGCGAAAAAGGTACATTCATTCAGCTCCACCTAAAGATAAGCGTCTTGTAATGTATCACATGTTGGAAACTTAGCTTACGGCAAGCAATCTCACCGTAGTTGAGGCGTTAGACCAGCAGCTGGAGTACGAGATTAACTCCTACAGGCTACGTAGTCAGATTGGATGCCTCGGCCAATGCTGATAGACAATCAGATCTTAGAAGGGGGTCTTCTCTACTGTTGTCTCCGGAGTTTTAATTTAACAAGCATGACTTGCAACATTTCATGGACAAATGACTGTTGATTCGCGGTTCAAAATATTCCTGTTTGGCAGGATCAAGCCGTTTAAAAGGTGGCGTATGCTCGATACAATGTCAAACCAGCGTCAGTCGAGAATTTCAACTCTGCGTCAATGGCAGCGAAGTAGACGCTCCCTTCCTTTAACTCGTGGAAGGACCCATCGCTCACAGCCATCCCCCCGGAACCTTGAGTTACAACCAAAATGCTGGGGCTTTGGATTACGCGATGAGCTTCAATTTCCTTGGGACGCAGGGTGACGCCTAGAACATTGAACTCGCTAATTGGAGGCGAATATTCAGTAGTCCGTCCTTTCAAGCCAATTTGACTTGTCTTCTTTTCAAGCAAAGATTCTTCTGGGCTGTGTGGTTTAAATGAAAGAGCTTCCGCAAACAAGCCAACATCATCACGATCAGGTCGTGGGCAGAAGCCTGTGTTTAAGACATTGTCTGATCGCGCCATGCACTCCATGATGTCTCCAGATAGGTATGCATGGATGCTATCAGCCGGGACACATACTGCCTCCCCAGGCTGCAAGATCATGTAGTTCATTAGAAGTGTAGCGACTAGAATTCCATTGTCCGACGTGGGGTATTGCTCGTTAAGTCGACGGAGAAGTGAAGTGACTTCGTGATCATTTCCTGATGTGACTTTGTGGTCATTTCCAAACTCAGACAAAGGACTGTTTTGTAGTTTTGTGACTATGTCAGACACAGCCTCCGGGGATAAACTGAGCAGATTCGTGCAGAGCTGTCGTAATGTCTCGTCATTGAACTCAGTGTGCTCTGGCACCAGTGACTCCAATGGCTCCATTCGCACAAGCTCAGCAATGTCGGCGAGGGGTTTAAATCCAACAAATGCCTCAAAGCGAGACAATGCGATCGCGATCTCAGGCTTGTGATTTGTGTCGCCGAACTTTTCCGGGTTTTTCTTGTGCAACTGCTCGGCCAAAGCTTTGTCTGGATGGATTTGAAGAGGAAGTGCTTTTGCAAAAGACAAAATCTAGTGAAGATTAATCATTGGCGTGTTTACCCATCGTATAGTGAGTCTCACCTTCGGGAGGAAAGGTATATCGGCGCCGTATCTACTACGGCAAATTGACTCTCCGACAAGATCGGGATTCTTTTTGAGATGCTCTAAAAGCGATTCTCCTGTAGCACGAACTCGTGATGGTACAGTCGGATATGTACCCATCCACATCTTTATGATATTAGTGCCTATATGGATCAATGAGGAAGGCTACTGACCTCAGAATAGGTCTCGGAGTCGTCCAGCTCTCCTGCATCAGGCATGTGTGACCATAATCTACCCGCGAGAGAATCTTTCCCTAATTTACCCCATGGGTCATGCTAAATGTTTCTTAGAACTAGGCCAATAATCTCTTTTCGCGATGTGTCTTACCTTGCATTCGCAGACAAGTTCCAATACACCGTCCGCCATATTTTGGGCAAGTGAGTCGTCAGTTAATGATATTCGCCAAATTTCGTGTTACTGTCGTCGAAGACAATAAGATGCTATTTCACGAAAGGCTTTCTTGCTGGATGAAATATAATACAAACTCGGTAACAGGATCTATTACATATGTCTGGCGTCATTTGCCGTTTTCATAAGCAGGTCTCGGTAAGCCGGACCATCATTTGTCGAGAAACTTGATATTGGTAAATTAAATGCGGTCGGTCTTTTTAGGAGGATTTACCTAGATTTGAGATAATATCATTGACGGGTTAAAGAATCAACTTGTGGGTTATTAAATTACATCACCCTGATTTGATCTTTCCAAACCTGCCATTTCCCATAACTCACTACTAGGAAGTTAAAGCAGTCACTGATCTAGATTTGTCCCTGTCATCCAAAATTATCAAAAGGGAAAAGCTTCAACTCTTTGGGCTCAATCGTTCCTTGTTAGCAGTTGCCACGAGTAGCAGGCTGCGTTCATGGAGTGAGTAGACCCACAATCCCGCCAAGCCTGGAGGCCTGTCGCATGTAACGTTAGGAAGCTGTTTTACACGTCTCGAGGCCACGCATGTAAGACACTGAAAACATGATAATTGATCCAACAAATGGTCGGCTTCAATGGTCGGCTTCAATGGTCGGCCTCATCCAATTTTCCTCTTGACGATTCAAAATTGCCTTCTCATCGAATTTTGAGCCAATTGTATTATGGTGTTGAGGAAAATGGGGCTACCAAAGTCAAAGAGTATCAGATATACAGTACAGTAGTATGTGCAAAAGGATCGATATTTCTTTGCATCCACTCTTGTTTAGCATATCCCGAAATCGACCGAACGAGCCTTTGACGTCATGTATTAATCATTCAATCCTATGTGTATTGACTCGCGAATTTAGAATGTGTATGTCAAAACATTTCTGCCCAAATTAGCAGGAGGGACTTGAGCGTACCAAGAAAGTCCGGCAAGGTGGACCTTGGCCCCCTCTGTCCCGATGTGACTAACTTGCATATTCTAAAATGAAAAGTAGTAGCCAACCAAGATACTTGAACCAGGAAGTTATAGAAAACTTGCCAGTCTTTTAGCAGTTCAAGACGTCATACTGACGAGAGTGTCCGCTCTGCTCCAAAAACCGCTTATTATAGAAAGCCAGGAGAAAGCCATCCGAGTAGTCAACAATTTTATGTCGGATCTAAACTAGTATTTCCTGCAAAGATTATCACAAAAATGCAACAGGAAGTGGAAAAGCCATCCCGGGGGCCCCAATCCCAATTCCAGCAGGGTAAGCGGACTCCGTCGAACATAACAATTATCCCCATACTCAAGAGTAGCATAGGCCACCAGATCCCTGTTGAGCATCACAAAAAGCCTGGCTTACAGGCTGATATGGAGAATCCCAAGCCCACATCAAGCAAAATACCAACTGAAGACGGCGGATATCAGACCTACAAGGCGGCCGGCAAGCTGTCAGGGAAGAAAGCAATCATCACTGGTGGCGATTCTGGAATTGGTCGCGCCGTCGCGATTCTTTTTGCTATGGAAGGAGCGTCTAGCCTTATTACGTACCTTCCTGAAGAAGAAAAAGATGCGGTAGAGACAAAACGGCGGGTTGAAGAAGTCGGACAAGCCTGTCATTGCTTGGCCGTTGACCTCCGCGATAAGAAGAACTGTCAGAAAGTGGTTGACACGGCGGTTGAGACCTTAGGTGGTATTGATATCCTCGTCAATAATGCTGGGACTCAAACAATGATTGATGATATCAAAGATCTGGAAGAGTATGTTACTCCATCCTTCTATGAATCTTACGCTTTTACTAACATAATCACACAGGTCGCAATGGGAGAGCACATTTGACACTAACATTCATCCTATTTTTTATCTTTCGAAGTACGCACTGCCTCACATGAAAAGCGGCTCTACGATAATCAATTGCGCTTCCGTCAATCACTACATTGGCCGACCCGATTTGCTGGACTATACTTCGACAAAGGGGGCAATTGTTGCTTTTACTCGAGGATTATCCAACCAGCAGGTTAAAAATGGTATCCGAGTGAACTGTGTGTGCCCTGGGCCAAGTAAGTTGAAAAATTCTCTTGAAGGCTATTTCAATGCTGATCAATTGTAGTTTGGACCCCATTGATCCCGGCCACCATGACCACTTCCGCTGAAGAACAATTTAGTGGCACACCAATGGGTCGTCCGGGACAACCCAGCGAGGTCGCAACTTGTTTCGTCTTCCTTGCAAGCCAAGATAGTAGCTTCATCTCTGGTCAATGTTTGCATCCAAACGGAGGGGTTGTGGTTAATGGTTAAATCTCGCTAATCGTTTTCAAACGACTGGGAACTCACAACAAGATTGGCTCAAGATTAAATAAGATCCTGATATCATTGGAAAATCAAGTTCCATTCACGGTCAACCTTTGAAATACTGCTGTAGACTTCCGTAGAGCAAATTGAAAATTAGTATGTTATGCTGGACGATGATGCATCTCATCGTCTTTTATTCCTTTCCTTTTGAATTTTCGAATACTCGAATCAAAGTGGAGGCGTCAAAATGATCCCCTTCCGTGCCTTCCTATGATATGAGAAGGCGAATGGAGATTGCAGGAGATTCTTGTTTATGGCACGACGTTATTTAGACTATTCGCTCGTCCCGCTCTGACAATCCCGGTTTTCATATAGGGTCTATGTATACTTCACTGGTGACGGGATATTGCCTACTTCTTCCCAGATGTAGCGAAAACGAACGTGAGATTTCTATTATGGGACGGTACTCAACCCAACACTGCAAAGAACCTTCACATTTCCTTCCTCGGAAGAACCGAGCTTAAGGGAACCACGGGTCCTTTGTGAATGAATCAAACCACATGCGACGGGTATTCGGCAGGACGTTTAATTGAATCCATGATTGGTCCTTGCTTTACATATTGGTCTTGAGGTCTCTATGATTAATGAATGGTACGCAGGGACTTCTTGTTCACCTTTCAAGTCGTCTTGGATATACGCACGCTACAATGAGAGGCCCACGCGACGTTATACTAACTCGTTAACTAAATATGCGGACTCAAACCCCTTGAAAATTTCCATAAGTATGTGGCCTATCTGAGCTCTGCATCTCTAGAAACGGACATTCGCACACTTACCGTGAAACTCGAGTTAGCGCCATTTGCAGAGATGGGTCCATGTCTCACCTGCTTCGAATAAACATGGATATAAGCCTATTTAGGAGACGATGAGACAACCAAAGAAGATCGTACTAGACACGCTATACTTATAAAACTGTAAGCCTCTTCTTCACTCACGCAACTATGAAGCGCATATTTTCCCCAAATTTAGCGCTGCCAAGGCTCTTCTTGAGGCTGCTGAAACACGTATCTTGCTTTTCTAAGCGGAGAGGGAGAATTTGTGCCTCAAAGATGCAGTGGCAAAAGACGGCGCTCCAAATGATAAAGCGTACGCATGACACACGGCCTGATTTTCTTTTCTGCATTTAAGCCTTTTAAAATTACGGAATAGTCCTGCAATTTTCCTGTGCGGCTCAATATCTGGATTTAAGAGATCCTCGAATCTCCACAGTGATACCGGTCTCTAACCGATCGTCCCCGAGCCCTGCAACTTCTCCAACTGAACAGTCTCCAAGGCCTTCACGGACCGTTTTGCAATCATATTATTGCGTGCTTTCTAGACAACTAGCAAAACTCTTCATGCGCGATGCTCACTACATTAGCGCAGCAGTAAGCATAAAATATATCGCATATTCTTACTAACGTTTCTCAAGTGCAAAGATACCGTTCACTCGGGGATGTAGGTTGTCATGAATTTGGCGGTGAAGGAATAATCATAGAGTTGTTTGGTTGAATTTGAATCTTGCGAAAATCCCTTCCATAGCATTATATGCTGTGGAGGTTTAAGCCTGCACGTCTACCAGTATCTTACAGTGCTCGTCCTTATGCTCAAGTAATGTCTTGAAGCCTTTCTCCACAACTTCATCAAGCGTAATGCGCGAGGTAATCATGTCTTCAGGTCTAAGTTGGCCTACTCGTATATTAGCCGAAGTTCAGTAAGATGAGACCATCCAAACACCTGGAAAGGGGTAGAGTATAAAGACAAAAAGGGTATAGTTACCGTCATTCACCGCGCGGATCGTATCCAAAAACGACGTTTCGTCATACAGCGCCGCTCCCACGTACCGAAGCTCTTTGTACATCAGCTGATTTACTGGAATGGAAGGCGGTTTCTCCCAAACAGCAATGTTAACAATAGTACCTTGCACCCGACAAGCGGGTATAGCTCCGACCAATGCCTTCTCCACACCCGCAGCGTCGAAAATAACATCTGCACCGACACCACCCGTGATCTCACGCACGCCTTGCGCAATGTCGCCCTCTCGTGGATCTAAAATATGCGTTGCGCCGTACTTCCTGCAGAGGCGTTGGCGGTTATCCATTAATTCAGACACTATAATGTTCTTCGCTCCTTGCAGCTTGAGGACCTGCACGACGCTGACCCCAATAGGTCCGCCTCCAACGAGCAGGACGTTATCGCCTGATTTGAACGGCGACAAGCTAACTGCGTGCCAGGCGACGGCGAGTGGTTCTATAAGGGCTGCAGCTTCGAGGGATATGTTGTTTGTGATGGGGTAGAAGTGACCGGCTGGTGCGACGATCTTTTTGGACAAGCCCCCCCGTAGCCTGGGAAAAGCCATCAGATTATCACTCTCTTTTAAATATTGTTAGACCTCGGGATGACTGAGTAAGCCTTACCGCTTAATCCAATGAATCCAATATACTCGCAGCAGTGTTCCTGACCTTGCTTACAGGCAGAACATGTTCCGTCGAAAATAGTAGGGCGCACGACGGCACGCTGGCCCGGGGAGAGATGTGTTACACCGTCGCCAACTTCTTCGATAATGCCACCAAACTCATGGCCCATTGATAGAGGAAATGTCGAGCCCGTAATAGAATGAGGTGTCTGGGGTATCAACACCGGGCCCCCAATATATTCGTGGAGATCTAAAGTTGTTAGATCGATTTTGAAGATTGTTGAATGTAAAGAACCCACCGCTTCCACAGATTCCAACATAAGCTGGCCTCATCTGCATATCATTGATTTAGTACTGCAAACAGTGTCTGGTATTCCAATGCGAACCTTTACTTGACCTTTGCCACAAATTGGCTCTTCAATTGCATCTACACGGATATCGCCCGGTCCGTGAAAACGGGCAGACTTCATCAACGGCGCACTATTCAGCGTCGTGTGCAGTGTGTCTCCCGACTGAGTCGTTGTATTCAACATGCTGGCTGAGTATGAGCGCATAGGCCGTATCAGCATATGGTGAGCTTGAGCTTTTACTGAGAGAAATTTTAATGTCTTATCAGTTGAGTGACGTTAGGCCGTTAGGAAGACGGTATCTATATGGGCGTGAAAATAGGGGAACGAAATACGTTTGTCTTGATCTAACGATGTGGCAAGATCGACCGGTACAAGTAGAAAGCCATGACATCAGAGATCTTTCGAACATCATGAGAACTAATCAAACGAGGGACCAGGGTCAAGGATGGCATGTGAAACATTAGAGAGATAAAATGTGTTAGACGTCATCTATCGTGATTTCAGCTATGGGCGTATTATACTCGCTTCGATTGATGAAGGGAACGGGGTAACTGAGCCAACCCTGGGTTGAAGGCTGTCATTCCGTCGACTGCGGGAAGATTCCCAATTGGCTGGGTATATGAAGGAAGAGTAATCTATCGCCACTTTTTCTTTAGATGTTCCATTCCAAATATAGACTGGGATTCTAATTGGGGGAGGGGGGTTACTTGAAGACACGATAGACAGCTTCGATCACAAAGACAAGCCAAGTCCGAAGGCTGCGTAGTTGGTGTCATATTTGGCGAGACCGGTAGTTGCAGACTTCAGCGCAAGTTGGCGTAGCAAGGTAGAACGTACGGGGACAGGATTCAGCTTCCCAAGGGTTATTCGAAACCTGAGAGAGATTAGCATATGAACAGGCTTAAAACGCCACTACCATATCAACAAATTCACGGACAGAGACCAATCAATTAAGATGCCATACATCATCACTTGACTTGAGGTTGATTTGCCCAGAAAAGAATCCACCAATGAGCAGCCAGCCGTGTTGACATCACAGCAGAGCACTGAGGTATGATGGCAGGGTCGGGTACAAGACCAGCCACTCAAGAGCTCTCTGCGGGCTTCCTCTGCTCTTCTACGAAGGCACGTGCAATCAAGTCCGACCCCTCGTTGCGGCCAAGCAGCATCAAGTCATTACTTCCACCAGTTAATGGCCTGGTAAGCCTGATGCGGAAACACGATTAGCCATGGAACTTGCTAGAAGAACACCACCACCAGTCTACATCTGGTATAGCGCAGAAACTGCAGCTCAGATTGCAATACGGGGTTAATCTTGCTCCAGATTTCGAGGGATCATCACATGATCTTGCTTCAGTCAGCAAATATTGGAAACGTTAACTTAGCTCTTAATGGAAATGACGTCACTGGGCTGTGTTTGCCTTAAGCGTAGTACCTTCCTGGACATGGAGTCATTGCAGTTTGCAGGTTGCTTTTAGCAACAGCGCAAGGTCATGATCTCTGTGTATGACGTCATATGATATCTTCCAAGGAGTTCCCCGGTTTTATTGGGCGCCGATCAAGGCTCCCATGGACCAAGGCAGCAAAGTTAGCCTATCAGACGGCAGCCCACGTCATACAGATCGACAAATCAATGCCCGTCCCAGTTTCTTACTAGGTTCATCTGGCAGTATCCTCCGCCTATTAATTGCCATGATTCTGCTGCTCAAAAAGTTATTCTCAATCAGCTCTACAATTTGATTTGACACGTCGCTCACGATCACGCATCATATCTTCCCTTGCATTTCCAATACCTTCAACATGCTCAGACGAATCCCAGGCCCCACAGCACGATCTGCCAGACAGCACCTCCAACCCCAGTCTCGCTTCATCAAACAACGTTTTCAATCCACCGCCTCCAATGCGGCACCGGGTGGCAGTAATCCTGCTCTAATTGGTGGTCTTGCTGGTGGAGCTGTCGCCTTTGTGACGGGATACACCTGGTACCATTTCTCCGGAGCCAAGACGCTCGTGAATACTAGCAAGCAGACACAAGCATACATCGAGCAGGCCAAGCAGAAAGTTGCTGAGAAGACCCCTGAGCCAAACGAAGCATACCGCTGGTTGCGGGATACGGTCAAAAGCTATGCTGCCTTCATCCCTGGCGCGCGTAGCTACGTCGACACCGCATTTGACGACCTGGACAAGATCAGAAAGGATCACGGACAGGAATTTGATGAGGTGGTCAAGAATGCATATACTGAGTTGAATGCACTCCTCACGAAAGAGGGATTGAACACAGACTCGGCGGCCAAGTCTTTGGGCGTGCTACAAAAATATGCAAAGCAATTATTCGACCTTGCTGGCGACGCGGCGGAGAACGTTCTCGACAATCACCCTGAGATCAAAGAGAAAGTCGGTGGTAGTTTTGATCGTCTAAAGGAGATGGGTGACACTTATGGGCCCGAAGCGAAGGAAGAAGTTAATCGAACCTGGCAACAAATCTCCGGCATCGTGCAGCGCGGCGCAAGTATCGAGTCTGCCGACGAGATCAAGAATCTAATTCAAGAGAAGAAGACCAAGCTTGAGAAGTTAGGAGATGAGGCATGGCAGAAAGGTTTCAAGGAGTCCCAGCAATACCTTGAAAAGAGCCCCAAGCTCAAAAAATTGGTTGAAGACAATGCAGATACCTTGAAAAAGGGTAGTTCCAAAGATCTTTGGGGACTTGTCAAGGAGAGCGCTTCTTCTGGGAAGATGGAGGATGTGGAGAACTACATCAAGGAGCAGGCTACTCAAGTGAAAAGCAACTTGGGCGATTCGAGCGATCTGGATAACTGGTTGAAGAAAATACCTGGTGGTTCCAACATTCTTCCTCAGTTGAATTCACTACAGGAGATCGCGCAAAAGAGGGGCAGCGACGCGGAAAACGTCCTAAAAGAGACCTTCCAAGAAATCCAGGATGTTTTGAAGAAGCGAAAGGACCAGGTGGAGAAGATCGCAGAGGAAGCCAAAGAAGAAAGCAAATAAAGTTGGTTTCAATTACCGAGAAACCTATATGTACAATAGCCAGATCATCAATGCATTCACGGCCTCACGGCGACCATGAAAGCGTGTTAGCCCTAGACATATATTATTTGTATTTATAGATTCACTATCACCTGCATTGCCACCTCAAGTAACTTCAACAGAGCACATATTTGTGGCCGAGTGAAAAGCAAAGAAAATATAGGAATGCGGAAGAACACCACATGTGAGATTAATATGGCTATCGCCCTTTCCCCTAGAAGGTTTTTCGGCGATAGAGAGGAAGGTTATCGAATGGTGATTTGACTCATCAAAGACACATAACAAATGCAAGGATGCGGAGGTGTGTTTGAATATGGATTTGTATACATTTGGGGAATATTGGCAAATAAAGCGAGAAACATTTGGGGTTAATATTGATTTCAAGTATCATTGTGAACCAAGCATATACATTGAAACACTCCAGATAAGCGCCAATACTGTAGTGATGTACAATCACCTGTCAGGCCCCGCATCGATTGCCAATTAAGATTCTTCTGTAACCATCAGGGCTTGTGAACCCTCGCGAGCCAGTCATTCGTTTTGGTATTTTCACAAGGTAATGTCCGGTAGGGCCCCGGAGCGAAACCCCGAGACCCTTGGAATGCCAGCCGAAGAATGTTCAGTTACTCCGTTTGCCCAGGTCAATGGGAGCTACAACGTTTGGATGTGAGTCTGTGGTTGAGAGGAGTCCAAGGGAAGAGAATTCGACAAAGGATACGATGGGTCTGATTCATTACTTTCGTCGGCGGTCGTAAACATCTAAAAGGGGTGTGGTTGTGGAGGAGTCGGTGTTAGGTGCTTCTGGGTGACACGGAACATTGTCGTACCATCTGACATGGATGACGCTGTTTTCGGTCCCCCGGTGACACAAGCACTCTCCCAAGGTCGATAGAAGATAAAAGGCGACGTGGTCGGAAAATGTCTGAGCTAAAAATGGCGACAAAACTCCATGCGAAGGTCAACACGCGATAAGCAGAAGAATTTGCATCCTATCTGAGCGAATATCATTTTGGGGGGATTTGAGGGCAAGGCATTGAGCTTCAACGGAATAAATAACGGCTATTAAGACAAGCGAGCGCAATGAATTTCACGGAAAGTGGCCCTATAATGAGCCACAACTAATTGCGGAAAAACTCATTGTCGAAGATGAAGACATGAAAACAGCAATCATTTGAAACCCTTCGTGCGCAGAGAAGCCCTTCGCTGCTCCCTTAAACGACGCTCGGTTTCCATAAGTACATTTTGTATGGACCTCCCTGCTTTTGATCTTGGTTCGACTCTATCATCATTCAGAAGCTCAGTCGAAGCCGCCTTAAGTTGTTGACGGTAATCCCGGTTTCGCCCGTTCAGATCTTTGGTTATTGTAACCTTTTGCGAAGCGTCAGCAGCAAAAGTAGGATATGATGCTGAACGTATGACTGAAACAGTTGGAACCAATTTAGGGACTTTATTCGTCGATGATGCTCCTTGAGAGGCACGAGGTCGGTGGGTCATAGTGTAGATGAGATTCCAATTATCAGTGCCAGCTAATGAAGTGTGGGACGTAAAATTGCGAGTGCTCAAGGACACGGCGCGGCATTTAAACTAGGCCACCGATGAAATGAGTGAATTATCCATGGTTCTGATTGGTGGGTTGCTGTCCATATCTAGTTGGCCCTCTTAACTCATCATGACGTCTGATGCATGAGGACTTCAGCAAGGAGGCCGGTGGTGGCGCAATTACTATCTTACTACTGTACAGTCGCGAAATGGAATGCTGGAAACCCCAATATATTGCACTTTGAATAATACTTCTTTATTTTCCGGTAAAATTCCTGAGGTTCTAAAGTATTACAAGTTGCGCTCGGACATGTAGATCATGGCTGTAGTCGAACATGTAAATCTGGATACATGCAGCAAACTACTAACAATAACTATCATTCTTTCTTGAGAATCTACTTCTTGACTTATTTCGTATATTACAAGCCCCTTACATCCATAGACGGACCAGACTTGCGCTTTGCAAAAAGCGCAATCAAAAGACTGATCAACAATGAATAACTAAAATGCGAAATAAAAGAGCTCAATCAGCGCGATTCATCGTTTAAAGTATTTATATGGATTACAAATTTCATCTCGAATCTTTACTTACTTTTTCCCTTCTCGTTATCACCAACATAAGCAGGCGACTAACTGCATATACGCATATACGAATCCGATGGACTTATTTTTAATAAAAGCCATCCTATCTATGTAGTGAATACCAAAGTATAAACATTGAATACTCAGCGAATAGAGTTGTCTAGATCATGTAATTCAAAAATGAACAGTACATTATTCAATGATACCGATATCTAAACCAAATACTGATGGTATTCAACCTCTATACTACGCTATCATAGCCATATTTAAACGAAATAAACCATACATCATGCGTTATCCAATTGCTATGCTATGTAAGGCAAGGCTTGTTATAAGCAGCAAACATATTAGAATTTTAATCATATAAAATTTCGCAATGTCACGTCAGACAATGCCTCAAGGGTATGGGGCTAATATAAACCGACAGGTTAAGCTAGAGACTGACTCACTAAATGACGCCAAAACTAAGTAAGTATACTATCCATTTGCCGAACACTACATCTTTTAGCGGACTAAAACAGAGCAAGCGGACAATACAAACAATCACGAAGTAGGCACTAGTGACACCAGCAGGGCGGCAAAAGGAGATTTGGGGATGTTCCCAATATTTATAGCTGCACGGTATCTAACCAGGAGTCTATGCTACAGCTAAAAGTTCGGGTTCATTGTAATGGTGGCCCTACCGATTGAGGTATAGTCGATGAAAAGTCGACTAGGCGTCATTAGCTGAAGCTCATTATCTTTCGCCACCTGGGGTAGTCCCCCTTCTACTTTATTGGTTACGTTAAAATTCGAAAGTATACATATTGTCTCATGATAGCCAACAACGCCAAAGCCACGCTCATCGGTATGTTATTGGGCTATAAACAATTGGGTAGCGCAAGGCCGTGGTCTTGGATCCAGATGCCAATCGTCAAATGTTACTCAAATATAGTTTCGAAAACGAGAGCGTCGGCAATGGAAGATAAATATTTTCTTCGCCTTGCACTCGAAAGCTAAGTTACTCGCCTGGATCTTCCAGGGGCTTTCCACTATCATCCAGACGTTCGCTTTCCTCGTCAATCCCGCTCCATTTAGGGATACTATCGTGGATATCCCGCAACCGATATTCATAGAATATGTGGCACCTTATCATCATTATTAGACGTAATATCCCAATGAGATAAGAAATGATACTTACGATGGTAAAAACGTTTCAACCCGCTCCCGTTGCTCCTCCGGTGAGCTAGAAAAGTCAATCAATTGCGGAAACAACAGGCACATGTTGCGCCCTTCATCCATGATCGGAGTCCGACAAACAGCGCAAGAGACTTTGGTGGGTGTTTGATATTTGGTATTCTTTTCTCGAGCTGCGTAGAATGATAGACCGCTCGTTCCGTTGTCAAAGCGCACGTCCTCTTTCGGGAAGATGGCTGCCCATTGGAAGGGTGCGCCGTGCATGACTTGGCATCCGCGACAATGGCAGAACTTGGCCTTCAACGGTCGCTCGCGTCTCAACTTGTATGATACCTTGCCACACTGGCAATGGGCGCGCCACTTTACCTCGCCGAATTCATCCAAGGGCGGCCGGGAATACGGCGGGCGATTGCTTGGATCTTCGTCTTGGAAAGTGTATTCAAGACGTTGCTCGAGGGAGGGCTGGGAGTCAGGGCTATCGCCAGATTGATGCATACGTTTAGTCATACTGACTGGTGAGCACTATTGCGCTATTGATAGGATGGTGATGCGTATTCAGACAAGATCTGAATTTGAGAACCTATGGCTGGTCGAGTGCCTTTGGGGCATATTGTATTTGATTTATGGTCATGCGGACTGTTTCCTTGAGCAGACCTGCTTTCAGGAAAATCAGCGTCGCGAACCTTGTTTATTTTCTTTCGCCAATGAAAGCCTCTGAATCCCGAGCTGCTATGACTAACCTGCCCTGTATAGTATCGGTAATGTTGATGTCATGACTAGCAATATTGCTGGACATATGTGTACTATGTAGTGACCGGCCGCAGTTCTAAAGTAATTCAGGGAAAGGCCTACCATAACCACGTCGCAATTGGCCTGGTAGGTAAGGATGATGTTAGTGATGGGGCAATCAATGTCACTATGATGAGGTATGTAATGACGCGGTTGCTGAACTTACTTATGTGGCGATAATTTCTTTATGCCTGAGGCCAGACAAACCTAGAATTACAAGTGGCAGAGTACCGCAGCAAAACCCACTTATTAGACCGTTAGCTTCCATGTGAAGAGATCGCAGAAGAATAATTATCTGGGTATACTGAATCACCCCTCTGCGCAATGAGGCGAGAAATTAGACGGGCCAAAGAACGGGGTCCATTCCAAAGCAAGTTGTTAAGAAAGGGCGATCAAGTGAAATTACTTTTTCTCAGCGAGTTCTCAAATTTGCAATTTTTAAGCCAATAATCAGGTAAAAAATATCAATAATTACTATGGAACGTTTTTAAGTCAGTATTATCAGCAAGAGAAAGCAAGTACGGCATATGTCTATAACCTATTGATCAACATGTATATTACCTAATGGAACTACTAGATAGGCAGCACAAATTGACTTGATGGAGGGTCTGGGAGTTTACGTACTAGTATGATCGTGGTATCTGTCTCAGCAGATGAGAGTAACGCCCATAGTCTCGAGTAGAATTTATCATGGTATGTTTCCAGCAGTCGACCAGCCACACAATGTAAACGTTGAGGAAAGCCTCATCGAAAGACGTAGACCCGAAACTCCAAAAGAGCGACACCTAAGAGATTTTGGATGGATAGTCACATCAACATGCTGGTATGAGATATTAGTTGACCGGGAGAGCCTTCTGAGCCAGTTTGTTCGTCTGCGTTAATGCGAATCTCATTGACATCCCTTGGGAGGTAACAAATTGTACTTAGTCCAGCCCAGAGCGGTCAATCCAATTTCACTAGGCCTAGATTCACCATGGGAAAAAATTGGCTTAGGTTTCGCAATTTTCTCTGCAAAGATCTACCTGACGCTTGGCTCGGACATCGTGACCCTTGGTAGGTGTCTGTACTAGAAGAAGCATCATGAAAACCGGTCCCGGTGGCGAAAACAATTCGGGACCCTATACAATCAGTATCGCGGTTGATCATCAAAAATGTTGGAATGGCCAAATTGACAAGAAAAGACGTACATGAGAACCAAAAACCCGAAGGGTTACCGTAGTCTATTCGCATAGCCACGTGGCTCATCTTTGCTGAACAAACTTCTGCATCTCTGGGCACTGCGCATCCATTTACGTTTTTACCTGACATATCAAGAGCGAATGACGGTTCCAACTTAGTTACCTCAAAATTCCGTGTAAATACAACATTGAATTGATCCGTGGAACCTGGGATGTCGCGCGCCTATTCAAACAAAGGCGGCAGAGTCACGGAGCGGACCATTGGCCGCAATAGAGCGCGAAATATGAAACCAATTTCCACCCAAGACTCATGCATTATTTCTCGGCCCAAATACCCGAAACGACGGCAGACAATGTAAAGTCACTATGGGAAGCAATCCCATTTAAGTAGTCTTCGATCCACGGAAAGCTTCATAAATGCGCATTGTTATACAACTGAACTCTAAGTTGGCAAGAAATAATGCTTTTCATTTAGATTTGCTGTCCAGGTGAGACAAATTTATGCTGACCGATGGTTACCAAGAACAATCGTGTCCTCACTTTTGCGTTCTCAATACCAGATTTATCTTTTATACCAGATTTATCTTTTTCTCTTGAAGGAAGCTATACAAAGAAGCCAGAGGAACACTGGCATGCGCAAAAAAGAGCAAAGTGTACAACATCCAGGGGAAGGCTTGTATTGATGCCTATCGCAAGGAAGTGGATGTGTACGAGAATGAACCCAGGCCTTTAAATACCCGCGGCATCTACTAGTGAGCTGCGTCTCTTTTACTTTCTATGCTATTAAATAACCGACGCCGAAGTTATTTCAGCTCATAGAATCTACAATTTCAAACCACTTGACTGGATTTAATTATATTGAGCAAAAGTTTCAATCAAGCAGAAGACATGGCGCAAACTTGGGGTCTGTAATGGCTTCTTGAAGAATGAATTTGGACTCAGGTAGAGAAAAAGCTTCGAAATAGAATCCCCAGCACTAACGCACCATCAGCCTGTGAACCAACAGCCTCATCACCCAGTTCTCGCAGCCATTCTGTTTTTCAAGTCTGTCTAGATCATTGTATACATCTGTCTCCAGCCTTTCCAAAGTCTTCATAGTATAGCCCATACTGCCCGCATTACGCAAACGACTCAAAACGGTTTTCTTATGGGGGACAGACAACGATCCAGATACTTTCCTCTCTTGTAGTATGCCGCGCAATATGAGGTCAGATGGCTGAGAATGCCATGCATGGACGATCGGGAACGAAAATTTCCCTTCGTCCAGATCCTCACAGAATCCTTTTTCGCTCGTATACTGATTTCACATTAGAATGCATTGTGGTATTCTGAAGGGGGTATTGTACTTCTTCATCCATTAAATTCATGTAGTCATCGCGAATTTGGAAGTATTTTCCGATCAAAGACATAAAATCTGCGGAGATGGCTCTGATCAAATTTTGTCAGTCCCATGACTATATATTTTGTTTTGGAATAGGGAAGGAGTACCTTTCACCGAGCGAACACGCGCTCTGTGACATTAATCGTACAATTAGTCTGAACAGTCCACCTGTCTCTAGACACATCATCTTAGTATCACATATTCGTAAAAAGTTGGCAGTTGCTTTGAAGAGACCTTACTTTGGCTGACCATCTCCAGGTATTCTTCTTCCGAAGGGCACTCGCCCTCTCGCGTCCAGTGTAAGTCAAAGCTTTGGCCAATGAACAGATTTCGAAGTTCATCTATAAGTATAGCCATGCATTGAGGGTCATCGAGTTTGCGGACTTCGTCCATGACATCGATGAGCATGTAATTCGCACAATTGATAGTTGACGCAGCGCCAAATACTGTGTGAGTAGCAGGGTTGCCACGCCGAAGAGGCGAAGAATCTTCGATGTCATCCAACCTATGATATTTAGCAACTATTTACTATCCTCAGAACAAGCTCAACTTACATAAGAGACGAGCTATGTAGCTTCTGCGCTATCAATTTCACTGCCTTGACTGTACGGTTTGGAAGGCCCAGCCAAACATTTAAAGCGTCGATCAGGGCTTCACGGACACCCTTTGAGGGAAGAGAGTTGATGTACTCAAAGGGAGCAAGTAGAATCTGAAAGAACAGGCATTGTTAGCACAAAGTGGAACATATATTATTTAACGAGAATAGGAGGCCAGACCTCAGTACCCAGATGTATTTGCTTTTGATCTTCGGAGCCATTGGTGAATGTGTCTAATGACGCAACTGAAGATCTGCTTGAAGGGCTGGATTTGGGGGTTCCCGTGGATGAAGGACTGCTGGACTCAGAATCTGAGTATTCTTGAGTAAGATCCTCCGAGTTTGCGATCAAGTGTGTTCTGTCCTGTTCGTTTTGCGGATTTTTTTGGCTGTTGGCGGCGCCACATTTCAACAGAGCCTCTCCTTCAACACAGAGCTCTGGATGGTATCGCGGGCACCAGAGACTCCAAACAATGTTCCCTGGAATTTGGAAAGCCAGGGCTGTCAAGTACTCGCGTAGATTCGGAGTGCATTGTTCTTGGTCTGCAACGAAGATATTCATTCGTTGCTGGAAGTCTGTTTCATAGTCGCGTACGACTTGTCGAACTCTCTCCTTCGCCTCATCCATGGAAATGTTTTCCCACTTCATGTATAGCCACACCGCATTTGTCATAGTGGGCGTTTTGTCGGTATCATCCATTTGTTGAAACTCATTCCACTCGATGTCAAAGGAATAAAAGTCATTAGCCAGCCCAAGAGCCGCGAAGCATGGTTTAACTATTGAGACAACTCGTTTCTCTTCTTCATTCGTCAAGATAATTCCCATGCCAAAACGCATCACGGTATCAACAAAACTAGAAACTCGTCAAAATTTTGGAACACTTGCTTTTGGCTCAAAGACACTTGTGGGAAAAGAACTCACGGGGCACCAGTGTCAATGATCCGATAATCAACATATTCTTCAATGCCATTGAAAATGCAGGACTTATCACGAGACGCGGTCGTCGCAACCATTTCCTTCCAGGCTGTGATCACGACTTCAGCACATGGCTTGTCAATTTCCAGGAGCTCCAACAGCATCTTAGACTGTATTTGTTTGGTTCCAGTCGTTGATCGTACGGTGCGATATTCGGTCTCGTTCAAAACAATATTATCGTTTCCTTCATCCAACTTCATTAACATTAGCATATGTTGCTATTCATCTCGAGATCGAGAGGATGAATTCTTACCGACACCTTTGATACAGATTCCAATACATTGTCGTACAGAAAAGCATCTAGAAAAAAAACAAACGTCCGTGTCAATTTCCGCTTTCCCAAACTTGCACAGGCCACTGTGTGCCACAATCACTTACATTCAAAAACATATGAGACCAGTGCTAATCTCTCGGGCTTGCACAGCGGTAGGACTACCGATGCAAAGTGCCCATCAAATGGATTGCAGCTGCCCCAACGCTCAATGGGGCCAATGTATTTCCTCCAATCATCACGACAGCGAGAAGACCCTTCGTTGGCATTTTGCTCATACTTATGACGGCGAAGTGTGTAGTTATGGCAAAACCCATCTATGTCGGGCACTGGTCGGCTCACTAGGTAAGAAGTCTCTTCTTGTTCTGTTTGAGCGTTTTGGTAATCCATGGCTTCGGAATTCGTGGTTGGCGGTGTGATATAGGGCAGGTTCTGTTCTCCAGTAGATTTCCACTTGCTATCTATATCTACGGCTAGCGTCGATGATATATACCCTGACAAGGACTTGAGAGCGTGGGTCACGCATGACTTCATTTGGCGGCAACCTTGGAACCACAGTGTAATGCTCATAATTCAGTTCAGTTCGTGCGTAGTGGGTCTGAACAGGGGTCATCGCGGCATATCATAATGCCATGGCCATATTTAGAGGCCTTGTTCAAACGATGGCGAAGAACAAGCCGATATATGTGACATCAGATTCATGTCATCTAGACGAATTTCCGGTCGCAAAACGAGAACTCAATGGCCATGGAGCTGCGGTCGAGATTAGGCGTGAGTAGGAGTGGATCTTGTTACATTCAGCACGAATGGAGCGCGAACAGGTTCGTTCCAAGGTTTTGGGTCCCAGTTCGTGGCACAATTATCTGGGAGCGATCTCGATTGGAATCAAGAACACCCTCGTGATTCGCTGGGTAACAACGAGCTTCGTTTCCATTCGCCAGCATGTCTGACACTACCGATTGGACCCACTTTGAACCAAACAATCGGGACAGAACTCAAATTGTTATCTGCGTCACCCTGCATATTTGCGTCACGTCGCATATTTCGATCGCCAAGCGGATTCCTGTTCAACTGCATCCCTACTTTAACATAACTTGATCACCAAACCCCTCTTGCTTCTTTCTCAAGGGCCATAAAAGCTGGAAAGACCTGGTCTCACTGCCGGGATCCAATCCTTACATAATCCTGCACAACAATTGGCAGTAAGATAGCGAACATGGTCACTTCTCCAGAATGCGATGATTCGCTCAAGGCGTTTATCCAGTTATGCGCTGAACATGATCTTTTGACTGAACCCGAGGGCCTTGAAAAGGGAGATCTCTACGACGGGTTATCAGACCCGTCCACTCTCTTGTATGTTGCTCTGACACCCCTTGGCTCCTTGCTTTGCTCTTTGTGGTGTTCACATCAACAGACGATTTTTAACAGCCCGTCGATTCAACGCCGACGGTGCCCTCAAGCAGTTCCAAGAAGCATCACAGTTCCGCCGAGAGAAGCACATCGTGAGACTTTACGACATCGTTGAAATTGCTGATTTTGAGCAAGCTCGTCAATTTGTAATTTAACCCTTTCCTCATTCAAGTCCAAGTTTAGAGACTAACTTGGCAATACAGTATCCACATTGGACAGGTCGTAGAGGCAAAAGCGGTCTACCGATATGCATGTTTGATCTTTCCTTTTATAATAAAAAGAATCTAGCGTGTTGGGAACAGACACGCCATACAGCACCTTGGTCAGATTCACAGTCTCATGCAAACCTACCACCAAAACCCGATATGTTGCAGCTGGCTTCTGTGTACCACGATAGTATCGCTCGCCTGGTCTTTCCTCTCTGCTCTATGATGACTGACAGGCCGAATCCTTCGGTAGCAATCACCAGCTCCATATATCTTGTGGACGCATCAGACCTAGGGTTAAAGCAGGGATGGAGCTTGAGATACTTTGCTCAAAGTATCAGTTGGCTGCTATCAACATGTTATCCGGAAACCATCCAGCGGGTCTTCGTAGGTAGCGAGGTGATATGGTCTGAACGTGTTGTACGCATATTGACATTCGCTGTAATAGGTATGTAATGCTCCCTCGTATTTCTCCACGATCTGGAAATACCTGAAAGCATGGGTCGATACAAATACGGCAGAGAAGATCGTGGTGCTGAGTAGCACAGAGGTTTTGCCCGCCCTTGAGGAGTACATCGATAATGCGAACATACCAACTACATTCGGCGGTTGCTTTCCCTTCAAACATGGCATGCTCCCTGAGCTAGATGATAACATATGGCAGCATTTCGGCTGGAGGCTCCCAAGTCGCTCTCTGCCTCCTGGGCCCATCAAGTGGACCGAGGATGTGTATGGTCGGAAGATCGCACTAGCTGTTGGTGGCGAAGCAGGGTCTAAGAGAAACGAAAAGATTGCAGTCTTAGATACTATCAAGGAATGATACGGCTGATTGAGGACCGAGCTGATAGGCTCATGAGCATTTGGCACCAATGGAATATATACCATATGTTACTTAAGGGGAATGTGCTTTTGTCAAATAGACTTGAAAGAAAAATGGGTCGAGAAGCTTCAGACCGAGAAATGGGGAGAAGGGTGCGATGCACACAGAAAGAAATTTGACAAGGACGCCGGACCCCTGCAATTTCCCTTCGACGATCTGAACCTTCAAGTCACGCTCCCAGTCGGCGAAGCACATGAATGGCATACGCAGATCCATCAGAATGTGTTTTTCTTTGGCGCGGTCCCACCTGCAATTGATACACGCACCATCGGTTGTCTCCGATGATTCGGTGAGGCCGAGCCGAATTAGAAAACCGAGTCAAATCCTCGAAAAAGCTCACCGACGCATATGGCATGCCCCAGCCCACATTCTTCTACAAGTCTGACGAAGAAGACCGCCTTAAGAGTCAGGACATGATGAAGGACATGGAAAAACTAGCAGGCGCAATAGGAGGTCACTTTCCAGGCCCAGAGCCACAATTTCTTTCTCACGGCTTAGGCCTTCACGTCTGCGGTACAACCCAGTCTTAAACGAGATTTCCGAACAAAAAAGACAATCAAAAAAGAGACAATTTCTATTGTGATGAGACTCCTAAGATATGGTATATGAAAGACTTTTCCGTTATTTCAACCTTAACAGCGGTGTGTCATGCAATCAAGGGAGCTGAAGCTATACGTCATAAACTTGGGTGGAAGATATAATCCTCTAGTTATACGGCACTGGCTAAGGGTAGCAATAGATATGGTCTAGTATGGGCGATCGAGGTTCATCGAGAAAGGTGAGTAGGCACCTAGGTATGTACTTAGTAGTATTTATGTCCCTAATTAGATGCAGCTGACGGGAATACTTAATGTTGTAGCTCAAAATTACATAAATTATATATCTATAGAAAGTTATAGGTTCTATAGAAGCCTATTTCCTCTTTAAGCCCTCTTTTCGCCACTTATCTATTACTTTTACGTTAAGCCGTCTTTACCCACTATAGATATCATTTAAGCTTGACATAAGTGAGATAGTTTCGAGGCTTCCTGCTTATTTTACATATTTCAAAAGAATAATTAGAATTTAAATGGCTATGCGAAAAGAGAAGAATGAGATCCTTAAACAAATAGATCAAGACTATTTCTTAAAAGTGAGAGTAAGGGATCCTATGATACTCCGTAGATCTCTGTGAAATAGAATCCGTGCCCATAAGCGAATCGGGCGGGGTACAGGGCCCCTATGCCAGTACCCCAGTCCATGCCCCAAAAAGTTAGAGACCCCGGGTTCTCTCGTCTAGTAGCTGGACTACATGAAAAAGGCGATGACTAGTCCAATGATCCCGGTTAGACTGGGAGAAAATGTAGAGAGAGCCCCATTCAAGACAGGAGCAATTGTGGCGGTAGTGCCAGCCGTCGTGGTTAACGACAAGGAAGTCGAAGGCGAAGATGCTTGCACACCACCTACACTCGAAGCTACCACGGTGAACGACGACGGTAATGAGGGGGATGATACCCGCAATTCGGTAGGCCTAGTGGCGCTAGGCGAGCTGGTCTTACTTGTCGCGCCTGATGCACCAGCAGCAACTGTAACTCCGGCAGTAGTGGAAAGGGCGGATCCAGCTCCAGCGGCACTGGTAGTGAGGGATTCGACGGTGTTGGGTAGCGTGAAAATGGAATCTTTACCCTCTGTGGTGGCCGAGATGGGTGAGCTGGTCGAAGTGTTCACGAGAGTGTCGATTGATCCAGCTGCATTAGCTGTGTTAGTGGAGCTGCGCAGAGTAGATATATAATCCGTGTTCTTCGAGCCGGAGAAGCCAGCGGAGCTGGTCAAGTCAATGGCAACAGCCTCGGTCACAGTTCCCGTGAAGAGGGTTGTGTAAGAAGACACCGTATCAATGGTGGGAAAAGTAGCTTTTATAGTATTCTCAGATCCAAATCTAGAGCTGGAGCTGGAGCTGGAGCTGGAGCTGGAGCTACCAGAACTGACGGTATAAACGGTGGTTCCAGCAACAAGGGTCTCAGTGGTAGTCTCAGTGGTCTTCTCACTCGCGGGGCAGTTAGTCACGGTGACCGGGCACTTGTAAATAGTGGAGATGTGAGTTGTCAGGACAGTCTCAGTGGTAACGTAAGGGGGGTTTACTGTTATGCCAGTAGGAACGGAAGTCGTTGTGGCCCCGGCCTCCGGGGCAGCAGAGCAGATAGAAGTAGACATAGCAACTGTCTCGTTCTTGACATGGGCAGTCTTCTCACGAGCTGGGCAATCGGTGACAGCGGATTGAAAAGCTGTATTTGTGGAAGTGCGAGTGCTGAACAGAGTAGAACTGGTGTATTTGCCGGAGCCAGAGCCAGAGGGTATGGCAGATCCAGTGCTAATCCGAACGGCAGATTGAGAATAAGAGGCGAAAGCAGAGAGGCTAGGTCTCGTGCTATGGGTGCTAGCAGGTGTATATATAAGAGACTTTAAAAACATAGAGCGATGAGGGGATGTGGCAGATGTGGAAGCAAATGAGCTCGAAGTAGCAGTAGTAGAAGCCCCGCACTCCTCTGCCGCAGAGGAATTCGAGTCGACGGTCAGGTTGGATACCTCGATGGTTGCTCCAGAACCAGAGCATATGGCGAGGAGCTCGACGCGTTCTAACGAATCCGCTGCAAGGCAAGCGGCAAATGCAGCGTGGGATCCGGCATCTACGATCGTGGTGGAGATCACCTCTGAGCCCTGTGAGATGTAAAGAGTACACGAAGGGCTTGCTGCTCGCTTTCGCTTTGAGGCGGTGGTATCGGTTACTGAAACGGTACCAGAGACTGCGCTAGTCGAGTCATCAGAGTCAACTGATACAATCGCTGACAGCGAGTCACCATCGGTAGTGCTGGCAGTCAATGTGGTAGTTCCATCGTCGTCCGACACGGTTGTACCAGTAGATGCAGTCACCGTTGAGGAAGTCGTAGAGGACGCGGTGGCGGACGTAGAGCTAGGGGATACAGTACTACCCGCCTCCAGAGTGTTGGGAGCATCTGTGCTGATCAGGTTTGCGCCGTCACTCGTAGATGAAATGGCTGCAGTGGTAGTAGCAGTGGAGGCCTCGGAGCTGGACCCTGACTCCAGGGTGCTGAGACTATCAGGGACGATCCAGTTGCCGCCGCTACTAGAAGACGAACTCGTAGTGGTAGAAACAGCGCTAGAAGTGGTAGATGCAGTCGTCCAAGGCACCTCGCTAATCGTAGTCGCCGTGCTGGGTGTCGATGAGGCCATTGTAGAGGTAGAAGTGGTACAGCTCGAAGAGATCATCGAAATGTCCGCCAAACCGATAATCGGGCTGTCAGATGATTGCCCCTCGGAACAACTGACGGTGATCACAAAGGGAATGCCCGTCGATGCTGTTGGCGTGTAGGCCGCCGTGGCTGTCTCCCATGAGCCAGTGACAGCGCGGACACCGCTGGCGGATGCCCCGGCCTCAAGAATGGTCGTGGAATCGACCGAAACAGCCAGAATACAGCTCGCTGCATCACTCGAGGTATTCGTTGACATTGACCAGGCTAGAGACACTTCATATGCTCCCCCCACGTTCATGGAAGCAATGTTCTGGCGGACAGTAACGTAGTCATACTCAAAGTCGGAAATTTCCCTGGTCATCTAGTAAGTTTTCTCTCCCTAAATTTGACGCATCATCTTAACTCACAGCCATGTACTATCGTCTGCAGGACCGCCCGTAGTCATCACTGGAAAGTGGGCGACCTCCGGACCGGCACTCATTGACCAGTACGACGAGTAGCCTGATGTACCGCCCATGATCACATCGACCATCGAGCAAGCGATTGAGGAGCTCATGATGACGACCACAGGGCTTGATCTATCAATTAATGAAGATAGTGGTTTGAAGACGAAAGTGATCCGGGGGGCCGCACCAAGGCCATCGGTTTATACATAAGCCAAGGAGTGGATATGGCGGATCCACGAGACCGTTTTTTTTTCTGCGCAAGATGCTGAAAACAAGGTCGTAGTGGAGGCAAAAGGAGTTATTGACTGGGGAGGGTGAAAGCAAGCGACAGGGGCCCGGGTTTAAGCTTTCCGGAGATGATGACAGACTTTTACGGCTTTACCATGAACAGGATAAAATAGAAAAATCAAAAAAAAAATCGGATAAGTCCGAGCTAAGGAGAAAATTCAGAAAGTGTCATCGCCTGTATATACTCCCCACGACTGTAGAGCAGGATTCAGTCGGCTAAATTATCCCGACGGAGCCTCCACAATCGCTAGTTTCCCTGACTAGTCCATATCGGGTGCCATATGGCTTTTTACTTTGCAGAAGCTTAGCTGCATTGGACCTTATCTTAAATTAGCGATCCTTTCACACCGAGAGGGAGTCTGGAGCCGATGAACAATATTTAAGAATATCCAACATCAACCGGGACGACCTGGGATTCCTAGCCAGACTCCTCCTTCACTCCTCTTCCTCTTTTGATAATTTAGTCCTAATCCCGTCATTCTTTGTGAATATTTGTCTTCTGAACCTCTGCAGAAGAGGTCGTTGCCATAATGAGACTATCTGCTTCGCCACTGCTCCTTGCCGGGCTGTTGGCACAAAGTATCCACGCCAGGGCGAAGGATATCGAGGTCTGCACTCAAGTAACGAAGCAATACGTCACTAATGGCGACTTCGTGACTGATTCTGACTGGACCAGCTCGGACGATTATACCATCGTCACTAAGTCTGAATCGGAAAGCGGGTATATGTAAGTCTCCGACTTGCCGTCCCTTTCAGTCCAATCTAACGATAAGGGCAATAGCGAAATACCTTTTACAGAGAGTTCCATTGGCTACTCTGTGAGCACTTTCCAGCAGACCGTGTCGAGCACTCTAGTCGGGCCATATTACCAGATGGACTTCTACTGGAATGTGATAACGGATGACGATGATGTCGTTTGTGACTTGAACGTTCTTGCGCTCTTTGATGATGATGATGATGATGACGATGATAGTGAGTACGGATTCATCACCGATGGCTATCTCCGTATCACGACAGGAGAGTCCGGATGGACAAATGTACTAGGACAGTGGAAGGCTACCGAGACCGATATCACGCTGGAGTTCAAGACCACCTGCACTGGCGGCTCGGGAACTATCCAGGTCAAGGACATATCCTATAAGGGACCCGAGATCGTCTGTACCTCTCAGTGTGACTCTTCTGTGCTCAGAGCCTCTGGCGAGCTTCTCAAAGACGGCGATTTTACATCAAGTCACTTTGACGATATCTGGGATGGCGACTCTTTTGGAGTTGCGGTCGACGATGATGCTCCGGGTGGTGGCCAATGTATGTGAGTAACGGCAATACTTAACGCAGTGACGACTTCGAACATGCTAATAATGACTATAGGTATATTGCTAGCGAATTCAGTTACTATGAATTGAACCAAACCATTGCGGACGCTCAGGTTGGTCAGACATACCATGCTAGTGCGATGTGGAGGCTGAAGTCGTCTTCGGCCGACGCGGAAAGCTACCCGACTTGTACCTTCGACATCAGGGTCATCAATCTCGACGAAGAGCTCCTCCTGGATCTGGCGCACATGTCATACACCCTGAAAACCGATGACAGTGGGTGGATGTCCATAAATGGCACCTGGAACGCAACAGTATCATCGGCAATTGTCAACATATACATGAATTGTGACAGCGAACAGTCAGAATACTATCCGGATGTGGAGATTGCCGACGTCCACTTGCGTTTCCAGAGAGTGGTTTGTATCGCCCCTTCATCCTCAGCCATCGCCAGCTCCACACCGTTGAAAACTTCGGTTAGTTCGACTCCTTTAGTCCACTTTACTACAGTCTCTCGATCCATTTCTGCTTCTTCTGCTCCAAACTCCACGTCTTACAGCACCCCGCTAACGACTCATACCACCATCCCAATATCGATTCCCAAGTCGACTCAGAGCTCTTCAGTCTTCGTCTCTCCGGTCTCTTCTTCGGTGATCACCCCCTCAGTGTCGGTCCCAGCGGCGTCGGTGTCCTCTCGAGCGGGCCCTTCGCCACCGGTTCCCTCGGCACCTGGCTCTCGATCTCCTGGCTCTGGATCTTCTGGCTCCTCGCCATTGGCAGCGACAATATCTACGTCGGCCAAAGATATCACCCTTTCCGAATATGGTAGTCATTCGGCCACTTCGACTGTCTTTGCCACTCAGACAAGCATTATCACTGCATGCCCGTCAAATGTGCCTAGTTGTCCGGCCACCGCCAAAACCACATACTTGACGACCGAGACCATCTTGGTTTCAACCATTGTCTGCCCGGTTACTGCGGCTGAAAGATTGCACACAACTACTGCTTTGACTGCTGACGATGGCTCATACATATCTACAATCCTGACAGCCAGAACGGTCACTATGACCTCGTGTGCTGCCTCAGTCCCCAACTGTCCTGCACGCTCTCAGACCACATACACTAGTATCCAGACTGTCGTCGCGGGTACCACTGTTGTTTTCGCTAGAGTCCTCCCCACGACGTCTAGCTCTACCACCACTGAGACCGGTCTAGAGGCTACAAAGCCTACCATTCCTCCCTACCGGGCTGGCACTACTATCTCGGCTGATCACGAGCATATCAACACAGCAAACGCTGCGATTTCTATCTCGGCAGAAACGACAGGCGCCTCTTATTCGAACATTATCCCCATGGGGAGCAGTGGCTCTGATACCGCGCCTACAGCGATCACCGACGAACAAGTCAGCACGGCGACCTTGAACAATGATGCCTCGCAATCAAACAAGGTCTCCACAGGCGGCAGTGACTCTGATAGCGCTTCTACTGAATCCACTGAGAGCGACAACAATGACAGTAAAATCCCACAAGGCGCACCTCAGACTCTCCCTGGTGGAATGGTAACCGCTTCATCTTCCATTGTAGACTCTGGTGCATACGCGATTGCCACTGGATCGAATGGTGGCACTGGCACTTCGAATGTTTCCTCTGGACCTTTTCATACATCTTCTAGAGTTTCGCGTGCTTCCAGCTCCCTAAAAACACCATCCCCATCCTCGACCCTAGCCATGTCCGCTAGTGCTTCTAAGTATCATGCTTCCACGGGTGTTAATGCTGCTCCTGATTTGAGTGGGGCTGCTTCTGTCCAGGTTGCTCAATTGGCATCGCTTGGATTTGTTATGTGGAGCCTCGCTGCCATGTTTTTATAAGTAGCGTTTTATGATACATAGCTTTAACTCGTGTAACTTATCTATTCATGAGTATTATTATATATGTTATCATCTTAATTACTAGACTCTAATACAGCCTATACCATAGTGGTTCATTGCACTCGATTCTATTATATCTCTTCAAAACCTTACTAGCCCATTCTACGTATACCCATCGCCCGTGGTATATGTCTATCAGCCTAGAAACTCTATCTAAATCCTTGAGCTCTCAATGGTTTTGAGCTTGTTATTCTTAATAGCTTTCAAGTAGGAATGGACCGAAGAAAAGTATAGATTTAATAGTAAGTACTTCTATAGTATAATTAGTATCAATATAGAGGTAGCTACTGATTTTATAAGGTAGTAGGTAGAAACGATAAGATGTGCTAAAGTAGTATTGGAATAAAGGTTATTCAGCAGTCTCACGAGAAGCTCTTCTCTTCTTCATTCCATTTCAGACTTGTTTCCATCCTGAACTCCATCTGCCTTCCGTAATCTTCCTTTCCAAGACGCAATCAAGTAAAGCTATTGCGGAAATTCTACTGCAACTTTCATAAGATGTATTCATATTACTAGTTTGACGACCTCCATTTGACGACGGAGGGGACGAACATCTCGGGAAAGGCTAAATCTGCGTGGGGCGTTCGGCCGGACGCGCTCAACCTGTTCGGGTGTAACTTACCTTTAGACATCTGACAAGATAAGAATTGGAGCGCTCGTATACATAAGTAGAAGCATATTCTAATTAAGAGCTATAGGCGAGTCACGAAATAGCCCCTATATAATAATAATGGGTCTTGAGGAGTGGATGCAAGTTGAACCAAGTTATTGTTTTCATCCTTTTAGTAAAATCTTCCCAAACAGAGCCTTAGGGTCACGAGTATGCATACATGCAGAATGCAGATCTTCTTACAATTTCTTGCCGCTGCATCTGTCGTGCTTGCACATCCAACGAACGGCAGCACTGCATTAAGAGAGTGCGTCTCAGGGGTGTTTGAATCTACTATATAGCTCCGCATCGTCGATCCATCTAATGACGCTCACATCGATGCAAGAATCGGGGAAAGATCCAGTGGTTTTCTTTGTCTCCATGAACATGCAAAATTCAACTATAGGCATATTGATGGTTGGCTCATTCTATACAATTTGAACTGTATGGAGCTCTCTATACGGGTTATTCTAGTATAAACTTTCTGCCAGGTGAAAAATACTGACCAACACCAAAATTTCTTCAGACGATGCCCCTTATAAGCTTGCGTGAATTGACACTGCCGTCCTAACATACCCAGACTGAGTTTTCATGCATTTGTTTCGACCACTCTTTAGCCGTAGATAACCTGCTGAATGCAGGCGTCTATAGAGAAGTAGACCTGATCAAAAGGGCGTTGAAAAAATAGGTTTGTTTCATTCAAGAGATTGTGCGCAATGTAGGATGAGAAGCATATAAATTTACCGAGGATAAACTCTATCATAACTTAATTCGAACTATTCTCACGCGGTAATGACTGTCGTTCATTCCCTATTTCCATTCGATTATCCTCAGATACTAACCCTGCCACAGTCTCTGGGTAGCCAGGTAAAATGTCACACTCATTGTACGATCCGCCTACCTGTATCACACTGAAGATCTTGTGCTAAACTAATTCTGCTTTCCTCGCATTTTCGATGTGATCCGAATCAACTTTCATCGCCTCGCTACTGTTCCCCATGTCCGGAAACTGTAAGGCCTTGCCGTTATCGAGATCTGATTGGAAGACAGCGACCGTGTCTTTATCCCCAAACAATGCGCCCACTTCTTCGAGAGGCTTCCCTTGTGTATCGGGATAGAACCAGACAACAACCATGGCAAGAGCATCAAAAACAATGAATATGATATAAAACTTCCAACCAATTGTGTCGAACGCTGTGGGCGACGACTGTAGCCAAATGATGCTCGTCACACAAAGAGTGCACATTCCAAGAGCGTATCCCTCTCCACGAGCGTACGTCGGCCATATCTCAGCGACATAACAAAACCCTGCGCCCTCGACAAAGAGGCCAAAGAAAATGACGTTCAGAAAGAGCATTGCGGCGCTCGCGCCTAGTCCTGCATGGTTGGTCGTTCCTAGATAGTATTTCTGCAGGACGGCTTCTATAACGACAGTGACCCCACAGGTAAAGTAGCCGAACGACATCAACTTATTTCTTGGAAATCTGTCTATAAAGAACATGCAGGCGGTATTCATGACCCATCCGCACAATTGGTAGCCGCCTTGAATTTGGAGAACAGCGGCGCTGTCGAATCCAAGGCTTTTATAAATGAGACCACCGTAGTCTAAAAGAAAGGATCAGTCTAGGCTCAGTTGTAGACTATAAGGAAAGCCACGCGGGATTTTGAGAAATTTGATAAAATCAAATATAAGCCTGGACATAAATTTAGGGAAAAGCTCACTGTTGATGACCAGAGCACCTGAACTCATTTGCGAAAATGTTAAGAACATAGCAATGAAGGCACGCTTCCTCAAAGATTTTTTTTTAAGATATTCAGGTAACCGGATTTAAAATCCACCGACTGTGCATCGTCCAATTGCAGTTGTTGATGGATCTGATACAACTCTTTCTTTGCAAAAAGATGTTCAGGGTCCCTAGGGTTTGAATGAAGTCGACGAAGAATATCCCATGCTTCATCTGATCGACCGTTGGATATAAGGAATCGAGGCGATTCCGGAATCCAATAAAGTCCGATCAAGAACAAGAAAGGGAATAATCCGGCAAGTCCTATCGGACCGCGCCACCGGTTATCGCCGCCACCACTGTAGTAATAAAATCCAATACCAGTGTAAGTGGCGGCTGTACAACCAAAATTGATCATGGCAGGGTGAACCTGCACTAGCAGACCCCTTCTCTTGGGCGGAACCAGTTCGGCCATCCACAAGGGAATGGTTGATAGCATTTGGAATGAACCCCAACCTTGAAAGAACCTGAATGTGATGAACATGCCGATGTGTTGGGAAGCTGTCACAAGAGCACTAGCAATAAGAATAATAAGTGCTGCGAGAGCGGCGCATTTCTTCCGCCCATATTTGTGCACAATGAAACCGCTGAAGAGTGACCCAAAGGCGCCTCCGGTATAAAATAGGGCGTTGGTAGCGCCGATAAGCGCCGTAGAACTTGATGCGGTGTATAGATGCAGGCTCTGGTACCACGACGGCTGAGAGAGTGTTGTCGCGATGATTGAACTAGCATATCCCATGCTGGTCGAGCCAAATCCGAGGAACACGAGTATGAATATCACACGTGGATTCATGCCGGTAGCGATCATAGCATCATCTACTACTGGGGCTCTGGCTTCACGCCCCTGATGGAGCTCGTCAGTTTCTTGGGGTTGGGCCATGAGGCCCAGAGAAAGCAGATTGTCTAAGTGGTTGTGAACTGGCTTGAACGTTCTGAGGTAGCGAACAAGGAGAAAAAGGATGGAATTACTATAGAGTTGTCAAATTGTTTTATTTCTCTCAATACTTGAAAGCAGTGGGCTATGTATGGGTTTCCATAAAGTTAGATTTTAGTTCAAGTGGCCGAGGTGAGCCATAACCTCGGGCCAGGATCTGGGGAAATGGAAAGCCTTTGGGATATTCATTTCGAATGCCAAAAGAGCCCGAGGCCAGTCAACCCGACTTATTTTGATTCCTATGGCTTGGATCACATAGGAATGCATGGGATTCCAGGTAGGCCTCTCCACGTAGGAAAGTAGGCTATGTGGGACTTGCTAAGTAGGAAAACGGTCTACATGGGAGTATCTTTATCGCAATTTAGCTAGATATTTTTAGGAAAGTTGAACTGCTCAATGCGCCAAGTAATCAAGCCCAAAACCTACAATACACCGGGTGACTGGAGATCTTGTCATCTGTCTGCAGGCTCACGTCGCCTCGGTAACTTGACTTACGGCAGGCAATCAACAGCCAATGGGATACATCTGAAATATATATGGCTTGCCGCGAAACGTAACGGCTGAAAGACCATGCATAGCTATAAAAATTCCAGAATGCATGGACTGTTAGACCATCAAGGCTATTAAGTATTCTGCCACCATCTTCGAAAGACCTACCTACCTGTTCACATGACTGCCATCTACCCGGAAGTTCAAGTCAAGGCGATCGTTGTCACCGGTGCGTCCTCCGGCATCGAACGCAAATTAGCTATACAACTTGCCCAGCAGGGGGCAAATGTCGGGTTATTGGATATCGTAAAATCCGACGAAGTTGCCGACGAAATCCAGAAGCTCACCAAACAGGCACGAGCATCTCATTAGCCGCAGATGTCACAAAGGCCGACCAAGTAGACACTGCTATCCAGCAAGCATTGAGCACATTTGATCGCCTAGACGGGGCAGCCATTGTGGCCGGGATCGTGGGTGACAGGCAGGTATGGGATAACTCGCACGGACTTGAAAATCTGAAAGATGCGGATTGGGACAAGATTATGAGAGTCAATCTGGACGGCGTGAAGAATTTTTTGCGTGCCAAATTCAGCGCCATAAAGGGTCCTAGCGCTTTTGTAAACGCGGCCTCCATCTCAGGCCATATGGCCAACCCCTCACCGCATATTCAGGTAGCAAATAGGGAGTAATCGGGCTTATCTAGGCTTCGGCACCATGGGTTGGGCCCATTCAAGCCCATTGTTATGGGTCTAAATTATGTGTATTCTTGAATAGAATCCGCAGAAAATTTGGTTTTGGAGGGGGTATAATAAGCTTATACTAAGCTACATTACATATAGTTACAATGTGTATAGTAGACGATAGGAAAGAAAGTGGTTGCTATACATATGTACACCAGAATGGATGTAATTAAAAAAAAGTCTTGGCAAAGAATCGGACATCAGTTTTCAAAACGTAGACCCATTCGGGGCCCGTGATTTTTTGGGCTCGGCTGGGACCTGGAATTCCAAAATGGGGGCCTATTTGCCGAAGCCTACCATTGATCGTACAACAAACGTCTTGCACACTTTCGCCCGCATGGTCACATGACACGATCGTTCTTCTGCCTTTTCGGCCTCATAGGTCGGGGATCTCGACAAGCAGTGACGAGGATACCAAGCTCAAGGTCTCAGCTATTCTCCAGCGGATGGAAGGCATGCTTCCATATAAATCAAACAAAAAATAAATTGTTCCGCTGAAGACGAGTTTTCTCTCTTCGATTGATTTGCTGTCAACCCCAAGCTGGAGGTCCCTGCATGTTCCAGGCTCGTGCCTCAAACTTGCCCGGTTAAGCAGCCAAAAATCACTCTGAAAAGTACACCTTCTCGTCGTCCCGTAGCCAAAGGCAGACTCCACTTACTTAGAGCGAGTTCACAAAAGCGCACTAGTACCAGCCATGTAGAGTATAGTGGCGGCCATTATTGCCTTCCACATCAGAAACATGAGTAGTTCTACCTCGTTACTCATATGATCGGAAAAGCCAATTCAAGTGACTTCTTAGTTAAGTTAATCTGAAATTACGCTGTGACATACTTGGATTTCACCTGATGCTGAACCCAAGATGATCATTTATAATCTCTGGCAATCATAATTATAGCTAAGTTTGAAAGCTTTCACCAACTATTCTTTCACTGAACTTCCACCGTTTCTCCGCATCAATAGGGCCTCTTCCCTAATAACAGATTTTTGCAATGGGCACCATATGATAATCATCGAAATATCTGCCGTTGTATTCTGCAGCAATAAAGTAAGAATTGTCCATCAATCCGGCAAAAACATAGTACTTTCTGGGAACTGAATCGTGAAAGACAGCATACATATGAGTAGCAATGCCTTGAGAAATGCTCTTATCGATTGAAAAGAAGTCGTCAAGCCAGTATTGGCTATGTCCCTGGGCACGATCCTTTGCCACTGCCGAGAACTGGTAGCATACCCGACCGTCTCATACTTAGCTCTTTGAGATAGTCCTCACTCAGTGTAGTAACTCCATTGTCGCCCATGGTACCAAAAAGATTGGTTGGAATCGCATCGGGATGCAGGCTAACGGAGACCAAGCCTTTCCTGGCCAACTTGGATGTCAACGAGATAGAAAAAAGCATGTTGGCCGTTTTTGATTGTCTATACGCAAGCCATTGGTCATATGTTTTGCCATCCTAAGTATTGGAGTTATCAGTGGAGATTATCACCAGCATTGACGACGGTAAAAAAGGAGCTCGCGTCAAAGTTCCAGTCGCCGAATCTCACAGGTCCGAGCCGATAGCCATTGCTAGAGACGTTGACCACACGGCCATTCCACCTGCCATCCTCAGAGGTAAGCTTCTTCATAATGAGGTTCGTGAAGAGGAATTGTCCAATGTGGTTTGTCGCGAATTGGTGCTCGATATCATTCAAAAGACTTCGTGTGGGGGCCGGCCATGATTCCGGCATTATTTATAAGCATATTTATCTTTTCCTCGTAGCCAAGAACCTCTGCGGCGGCTTCCCTAACCTGCCTTTGTGACTCCAGGTCTAATTTGTAGGCACGAGTGGATACGCTTAGAGAGACCACGTTGATCCTCTTTGCAGTATCGTTAGCCCGTTCGATATTGCGGTTCGCAAGAATGAGAAGGGCAGGCGAATGTTTTGAAATTGTCATAGCAAACTCCGCACCGAGGCCATCTGGGAAATCCCAGTGAACAAAATAATCTTTCCCTGGATCTGCGCTGATAGATCGGCAGCGACTTCGTCGCCAGTTGAATGAAAAGAGTATACCATTGTTGAACGTGGAGGTAATGCAAATATCTTTACGAAGACTAAGCGTTTTCAAATTGAAGGTTTTTAGGCACATTTATATATTCATCATCTGTTCTTTGCTATTCCATTCCTACTCCTTATCATCGTCGATGACGAGCCGCTGAATAATGTTCGTGTAGAAGTCTATGGATCGACATATGAATCTTCCTCATTGGGCCAGTTTTCGAGTTGCACTTGCGACCTAAGTAGCGCAGAAGCTATGCCTACGTTGTGTCCAAACTGACTAACAGAAGCCCCCCAAAATGGGGAAAGTAATCATAATCAAGTCCAACGCGGGGTACCCGATCTTCAGAATACGTCGGTCCTAAGGGCACACCAAATTAAATACTGGTGTCTCTGAGAGAGTCGCCGCCCTTTGGCTTGTCTCGGAATCCACACGCTGGACGCATTGACTAGAGTTGTGGAAAGTTTTCTTCCAATCTGCGAGGTTCGTTGTCAGGAAGTTGGCACATGTATCAGGCGCCGTGTCAGCAAAATACTGTATCGAAGAGGGAAATTCACAGCGAGCCGACGCTTGCCTGGGAAGGAATCAGTAGCCCGGCAGTTATCTTTTCCTACGACGATCTATGATTATTGTAATAAGTAGGAGTGAAGGTGATGCATTTTATTTGGAATTCAGTCTCCCAGATGGCGAATTACTGACTGGCCGAAACGCTAGAAGAGGTGCTACTCTGCAACAGCGCGCAAATAGCAGGAGCAAAGCGAGAAATACAGCAGGTAGGGGCAGATAGAAAGAATTCTTGCTTCTTCAGTCACTTTCACAACCACATATACTTGGCTTGGACCCTTTTTCTGTGATCATACATGGATTCAGGAGCTATGCTATTTTGGGCTGAACCATGTGTTGCCCCGGATCGATATTAAGGATTCCAGCTTCAAGTTGCGTGCGTAATCTTTACCTAAGATATTCCTTTGGCGCTATAGTGCCTCGGCCTGAAAGTACGGTCGATGACTCAGTTTTGTAGCATGAACAAATCAAAGAAAGGTTTGGAACGCCAGGTGTATTTGTTGTTAGAACCTCAACTGTCATCAACATGCCGGGGGCCGCCAGTAAGAAGGTTTGATATAAATTGCAAGCACGTTGAGCGAGTAAATACAACTTCCGTTCTCAACATTCGATGAGAGTAGTTCATCGCATCCACCGCCGAAATAACACATGAATGATCCCATGCTAACATTGAGGCTTGCCGCTGTTGGCCACAAAAACTCCTGAACGCCATTTCAACGCCTTTGAACACGACAGGAACTCTTGCTAGCATGTGCGCAATTCTTTCGATTGAACAGTCGTAGCAGGATTAACATTAAAGAAGCCGTTTTTCCAGCCCAAAAAGAATTATGACTTCGCTCCTCAAACTCTGACATAGTGTCCCTCTCTTGCCTATAGACTTTAGTCTGCAGATTTCAGTCTCCGTGCCCATTCTAGTCATAGCTATCGCTAGATTGAGCCTAGCGATGTAAGGCAAGCGCTTGCCCACAGCATGAGCTCTTTGTTATCAACTATGCTTCGCAGGAGATAGCTGCGAAACCAAGTCACTCTAGCGAGGCGCAGGCACCTCTTCGTGGTGCTAGCTACTAGTATTCAAATGTCGTTCCGGCAACTAATGAAGCCAAGACCTACATGACCCAATCATGGATACGCTATGTAGGCCCGGACCACGGGAGAAGACTAATAGTAGTTCAATGAGAAGCCTTTCTGGGTATTTGTTCTCAAATTCAAGGTATCAAAACGTAGCAATAAATATTGGTAGTCTTTACATTGCAGATTTCAATTTGAAAAAGCCAATATAATATGTCTACAACATATATGCACACGGGGAACAAGAACATACATAAAAGACTGTCTGCTTGGAAGAAGACGATTAGCTACAGGCGACTCCTCAGTAGAAACAGCGTACTGTTCACGTTTTTTTCTCACGTCGTTTATGGATACTAAGATGTCTATTGGTATTGATGTTGGCGCTGCGTTAGTGGATGGAAGTGTTAAAATTAACGGTGTTGAAGTTGACTACTGGAATTGCTGGTAATAAGGAAGGCGTCAACGCTGCTTTAATATACGGAAGGTGAATCGTTTGTGGTGAATCACGGGCGGTGGGTCACCGGACCTATAGGTCGCACACATCTTTGCCCGAATTAAGTGGAAACTCCACCCGCACTATTTGCTTTCCATTCGCAGGTCCATAAAGTCCATATCTACTGGAAACATTTTGACAGCGAGATCACATACGTGACCTTTGAGCCACTCTAGTGACCACAAAGTATTACTACCAGTGCAGAGTATACACCGGTTCCCCTCCTTTGAAGAACGACTCTGGTACATCGTTCATGAAACAGAACTTGACTTTGCATGATTCAAAAGTGTCAATTGAAGCCATATATTGCATACAATATGAGGATGAAGTTAATATCAAGCAACTCCACTCTTCACAACATAAAGGTCTTCCTAATTTAACTCATTGATGCTGCACCAGTTTCAGATCAATACAACTTGACACTGTGCAAATCAGTATGCAATTTGTGTCTTTATTGTGAGCTCCTATCTACGTATGTCCGACAAAGTGAGAAGACTGCCCCTCTATCTCTGACTTTCAACGACAATATACACCGGCATTGGTCTCAACAAACTCACAGTCAGCGGTCCACGGGGGTATAAAAGGTATCTCCAAATGACCTAATAGAACGGCTACTAGGGCAGTTGAAGGGATCCAAGCACCCTGGAGATTGGGATTTGAGAACTTAATTCGCTTGCTCCTCGATCACCCTGAGGTGGATGCCAACTCCAAAGATAACGACGACTATGCGCCTCTCGCCTGAGCAGTGCGAAGAGGCCACGCTACGCTTGTTAAAGCGATTATTGAAAGGCAATATTGAGACGAAGTCTCCAAAGATGAAGATGGTTGAACGCCATTTAGACATGCAGTTGATGAAGGGCACGATAATGTTATCAGAGTGCTCGTTAACTCGGTCAAAAATGGAGCAGGACAAGAATGTCAACTGTACCATTGACAAAAGAACCGCACTAATAGGTAGCTCCCGCACTAAAAGTTGCCTCGGCTTGTCATTTGCTAAGCCTTTCCGTCATCTGGTACAATCCGCTTGAATTTTCCCGAGATAACGGAACGTCAAGCATATATCGCTCCTTTTCTTTCATTCATGTCCCATTAGACGCTCTGTTGCACTCAATTTGGGGACTTTTGCTTCCGTGCTCAGTGCAGGATCTCAATAGCAACGCGGACAGCCTACCTTCGAGCCGTACAACCCAACCAATCTCCACGACCTTGACAGCGTAGTGAAAACTTTCCTTGTGCAGATTTCTTTGGAGTGTATGTATTTCGTGTCCAAGAAGGAAGGATACTGTATAAACCGGTGACTGGCTTCGGAATGGAGCAGTTGTCATTCAATAATCCCAGTCGGATGCCATGGGCTTCTTGTACTCGAAGCGCCCGGTTGGAAGCCACATTCGATAACGTCAAGGAGCTCGTGACAGCATAGAGGCCTTCTAAAATATTGACGTGGTTGGGTTTATCGTAGTCATGGCCGGTCACAACAGAAAGTCTTTCAATTTTCTTGTAGAGGTACTTTCCAAGATTTCGAGCCAAAATATTACCCCGCTCACACAGTGAATCCAATACCCGAAGACCTGGAAAATGATGATAAGTTTTTGGATGCACCTGATAGGCGTCCATAATATGGTCAGCTACTTCAGCTGTATTACTGCATTCAGCACCAAGTTGGCAATGCTGGAGTTAGACATGTAATTTGGACCTGCCACATTCCCCAGCATCCCGCAAGCTTGTGGTTATGAGCTTGAGGCTGTTGCGGAAGTGGTGGTTTGTCGTGGTTGATAGCTTCCGTTTGCATGAAGCGGTGGCGCTCGGTGCTGTAAATACAATGCAAGTGCATAACAAGACAGCGCGTCAGAAAATAGTATATCTGGCGCTGCTTAGGATGCATGTCTAAACTTTTTGAACCTAACAATAGGTCACTGTTGTTGTTAGCCTCAGGGACTAAGTTTTCAGTATTCAATCAACAATGCGCAAGCCCTGGGTATTACCGACGGTGAGTTCAGAGATTGTAAAATTGAAATGACATGTAGGAAAATACTATGTCCGTGACTTGAGCATTCGAAGCGTGGCAGTTTCCTGAAGACTGGAGATTGGTTGTCAGCAGCACTTTCAATCGTATCTCATCTGGATTTTGATTAGTGTGATGCGTGGTGGGTATAATGCAATTGGTATGACGCGGTCTTATATTCTGCGGGAATGTGGTCGGGGGCGTATTTGGACGATCTGTTTTGCGCTGTACAAAATGGTATGAGAACGTCTGAATCTTGTTCCGAAGACCCAACTCATTTTATATACAGTAGCTCGCGGAGAACATCGTGGAATAACTATGAAATTAGCTCTGCGCATCGAACCGATCTCAGAGAATTTGTCAGCCTCCTTATATGTCCGAAGCGTCTGCAATTGTTGCTTGGGTTGTCGATGGCATCCATTCTGCGAAGTTTTCCGAGGATGATCAATTTCGTGAGCTTCTATACGAATACTTGCAGACTTGACGTGAAGGCAACGCTTCTGCCTGCCATCTCCTATATTCTTTCGGTTTTATAGAACCGCAATGGGCTCATTCTGCTGGACTGAGCATCCGTATATCCGGCGGGGTCAATGCAAGCCCCTGGAGATAGGCCAGATTTTAGGCAACCCATAAGGCTGCGGTACAGAGCGATGGGAAAACAGAGGAGCATATCGTATATTCCAAGCTCAGAAAGCCATCGTTATTCATCTAAAGGGCCATTTATCTATGACGAATGGAAGAGGACCAATGACTTAGATACGCTGACGGTAGGGCTGATGTCGGGGCGTGGTTTGCCATGAAAAGTCTAAAGGCTCTGGAATCTGAGCCGGTCACTGATGCATGGAATGCCGAGATGTCTGCATGTCTGCCATGGAGGGCGCTCCACATTTTTGGAGTCTGTTGAGTTCCTATGCCTCAAGGAAATCCCGATACGTATCAAGGAATGCACGAACTCAATATCTGCGGGTTTATGGAGCTAAGAATACCTGATAAACACCATTTTTCGGCTGTATGGAGTCCACCCACGTCTTATCGCCCCCATTTCTTAATACAGTAAAGATCGCCTCGTACGACTAAATTGAACTAATTATTAGCTTACTGGGGGCCAACCGGTTTTAGAAGCGTAAGTTACTCGACGCGCGTTGTACTAGATCAGATCTAAGCTTTTTTTTTGTCAAGACTAATTATTGGAAAGCACAGTAAGGATACAGTATGCACGTAAGCTTCTATTAGCAAACGCGCGAAGCTCTGTGTTGACAATCCCTTTTCTATCTCTAGAACCTCCTCCCGATGTCCATCCCATGCTACGGGCATTGAACTGCCTCCTATTAACCTGGGTTTGGGTAGAAATACCCCTGAAGACTAGTGCTTACAGTGGAAGTGTCGATTTTCTCTAGACTTAGCTGAATGAGGTCATGATCTACAGTTCTGTTGACGAAGGAGCCCACTCGGAAAAAAACGAATCTCCACCTCTAAGAATTTAGTAGTGTGTAGATCTACCTATTGAGGAAGGAGTGTTGTTCCACTGTGGCGGAATGAAGCGACTTGAATTAACATAAATTGTTCGTCGCCCTAGGGCTTCTATATAGGTCAGTTACACAAGAACTGTTTCAAGAACATATTCTCCATTCTTCAAACCACTTACCATGTTCACCAAGCGTGTTCTCGCCGTTGCTACCATCGCCACCACGGCTATTGCAACGAACAATCTCAATTTCCTTTACTCAACTTCTTCTTACGACGACATTCAGGGGGCTGGCAGCGGCTACTCCACCGGATTCACTATCAAGGATACCAGCGGCAACACGCTGTGGAGCGCTTCCGACCCCGACGGCTATGCTCCCTGCATGGACAACAGCGAGAAATTCACCATGACCTCCGACTGTTGGAGCGGCACCTGGACCTTTGGTTGCGAGTCCAACTTTGCTGGTAACCCCAAGCTGTGTGCTGCTTACGGCCCCGATGGTACTAAGTACTCAGGCGCGGTCGATTCCAGCAAGGACTTCATTGGAATTAGCTCTGGCTCGTCTGGCACTTGTGGTGGGAGCTTCTATGCCGCGGACGAGACCTGTACCTCTGGTAGCACTTTCACTGTCACTGGACGTTACCGCGGCAATTACAAGAGCACCTAAAGGGGTGGTCAAATCTCATAGGTTGTTTCGCAGAAGCCATAGAGTAGTCTCTTGTCTTCTGTCTCTTTCTGTATTCGATGATGATTGTTCGATATGTATTTGTCATTTGGTACTGCTTGCAATATCTCATGTTTTGCTCTCCTAGTCTTGATGTCTTGCTCTATGGATTCATTCGAAGATGTCCCTGTTATGTATATAGTCAATCTCACTAAGTGTTGGAACACCCCCTACCCCTAGCGCCCCTAACCGCCTAGGTTAACTACCTATTATAGTCTTTCTTCGTTTTCTAGATAACGTAGAGATACATAGATAAATATTAATATATTGATATTAGAATAACCAGAATGTAGTATTATAGTATTTTATAGGTATAATTGGGTGGTTTAGGGTGGCTAAGTGAGGCGATCGCCCCTGGTGCTACATGGACTCAGGTACGAGATCCGCAATTTCATTGCAGACCGACAATACCAGCCTGATGTGCCGTGCTTGGCGTTTCACGTGATATGGCTTGGTTGTAGATCGTTGGGGCTTTCTTTCTTTCTGTTTCTTTTCCTTCTTCTTCTTCGCTAACTTGGAGTCCCGTCATCCATAGCACTCAAATTGAATACCTTCATTGTTTTCTTTTCTGATCTGGCTGCCCGGTCACACCCATGACGATCTCGATTGGCTCCTGAATATAGGGATGCCATCCTGTGTTTAGTACATCTGCAATGGACTGAAGCAATTTCGCTGGTCTCCCTTCAAAATACCAGCAGTTCTCCATATCTTTCAGTATGACACAGTAATACGCAAGTAGAATAAGCGCTCCGGGATGCCGCTCAGATATCAGAGAAAAAAACGCTACCTCCAAACGTACCGGCCACACGCCGAGAATATTCCATGGGTTAACATGGGACTTCCTCTTTGCACGTCCATGGAGGGCAAATGACTCAGTCAATATATTTGCAGCAGACTGATAAATTTCGATAGATTCGTCTGACCAGGACCCGTCACCTGGAACGAGAGACTTGAAGTAGTCCAAGTACGGCAGATCCTCGCGTCCATCTTCGAACTTATTCGCCTCCGGATCGTCCCATGCAGAAGCCAGCGCGCTTGCCGGGCCATTTTCGATTCGGTCCCAGACATCGTAGAGCATTGAACAACCGGTGCGAAGGAAATGCAGCCATTGAGGGAGAATTAGTTCCGTTTTGTCCGAGTTGGCGTAGGTATCTTCCACAATGAGAAGTGAGTTGATGGTGTTTTGAGTATCCATCGCAAAGGAATAAATGATCAGTATGTAGGCAAACGACAATATTGCGTCGCAGTTCTTTTCGTCTGGATGGTGAATTGCATGACGAAATCGTGGAAGTGCCGATTCTTGGTGAGCATATGCGTGAAGGGTGTATATCTGTCGCTTTGTAGAATGTACGTATCCCATATGTAATAGCGTACAAGCTAAGATGCCTTGTAGCAGGAATAAATGGTTGTATGCCAGATCCGGCACGACGTCAAGCCAGATTCTCTCTGTCTGGTCATTTGTCATGAAGCTCTTGTAAGAATAAGAGAAGTAATGGTCTAGGGCTTCGGCATCCAATGTATTCAAGTTGTGCTTTTTCTGGATTCGTCGTATATGGTCTCGTTTCCTAGACATGCTGGCCATGTTGCCCATTAGTTTTGTTGACGAATCCGTGTTGGTAAAGTACCGCAGCTTATTCCCTCGGAAGAAAGACTGCAAGGGAGCAGCACTCCAATCACGATTCGAACAGCCCTTTCGACCGTGCTGAGCAGACCAGTGGGCTTCCATTCGCTTGACCGATGCGCAAAGGTAGTTGCATCCTGGCGCCTCGCAGCGCCACCCCTGCTCAAGCGGCAGGTAGGGCAGAGGGAATTCGCCAGCACTAGGTGGCCTCACTTCCTCTGAATTTCTCAACTTGAGAGTTTTTGCAAAAGTGACGAACGGGCGCCGCTTGTTGCTATGGATGTGATGGATATCCTTCAAGTGCCGAGGAATGGCTGCTGGCTGGACTGCGTAGTGGCAGGCGGTGCATATTAAGACTTGATGGGTGGGGCAATAGTGAAATAGTCTCTCTGGGAGTATAGATGCCGTGCTTTCAGCCTCCATTATTTCTTCATGGCTGTGATGATGATGATGATGATGATGATGATGATGATGAAAGTAAGGTGAGTTTGTCTCGCTTTGGATGATGCGCTAACCGGAACGGGACCGTCCAGCATTTTCTCCACTTCATTCCGCGCTAACCCCGAACAGTACCGTCGCTTTTTCCGCAGGTCATAATTTACTGGATTCGAGTCCATCAGATTCTATCCCGGAAGCCCGTCCGGCAGATAATTGGACCGGTATGAAATAATAAGTCGTATGCTTGACTGAGCTCGTAGGTATAAATGCTACAACTGCTCCCTAATTCTCCTACAGTCCACATTCTGTATCAACCTTCTATACTTCGATCCTTCACTTCCCGAGCACTCCTCAACCTATGTCTTCCAAACTCCAACGCAGCGTCCTCGTCACCGGTGGCACTGATGGACTAGGCTATCATTGTGCATTAACCATAGCTCGTGAATTTCCTCACTACCAAGTCATAATCGCATCACGCTCAGACCCCAAGGCCTCCGCCGAAGGCATGAACAAGCTCCTCAATCAAGAGAATGTTAAGTTCCTACGTCTCGATCTGTCCTCTCTTTCCCAAGTCCGTGCCTTTGCAGCAGACTGGGAAACCAATCAGTTCCCGCCAATCCAATCCCTTGTCTTCAACGCAGCCCTACAGTTTCCTGGGAGAGTGGAGTACACTGAAGATGGATTCGAGAAAACCTTCGCAGTCAGCCACATTGGGCACGCACTCCTGTTCTCCCTCCTTCAGCGCCATCTCGCCGAAAATGCACGCATCGTGATCGTATCTAGTGGAACACACGATCCTGCTCAGAAATCCGGTCTATCTGACGCGAAGTATACATCCGCCGAAGACCTCGCGCACCCGTCTCCCCTCTCAGCAAAAGAGAACGGGCGCCAGAGATATGCCAGCACTAAGCTAGCTAACATTCTCTATATGTATGCTCTACACAGACGCTTTTCTTCCGTCAATGAGAAGAGCGGGAAGCATTGGACGGTCACATCGCTGGATCCTGGTCTTATGCCGGGGACTGGCCTGGCACGAGAAGCGAACATAATAATAAAGTTTCTCTGGCTGCGTGTCTTGCCGAACATTATTCCGCTTTTGCGGCTGCTTATTTCGCCGAATACCCATACTCCTCAGGAGTCTGGGGCCGCGCTGGCTAGGTTGGCTGTGGCCGATGACGTTGAGGGGGTTAGTGGCGTGTACTATGAGGGTTTGAAGGAGATTAAATCTAGTGAGGTGAGCTATGATCGGGCAAAGCAGGACGATCTGTGGGGGTGGACAGTTGATACTATGGCCCGTGATGATCGGGAGAGGATGGCTTTTATGTTGGATTAGTGTTACGAAAGAAAAGATGGATACCCATTTTTCTAAGGCAGAAACCATGGGATACTTTAGATATCCCGAAACGGTACTGAATCACTTCTGATTCAGCATCTAGATCAAGAGTGAGCTCTAGGCTTGCCTAGAGCTAGTCCATGACGAAGAGATATTTAAAGTGAGATCATTATGAACCATTCATCTAGTTCTCACTTAGCTCTCACTTCCTCTATATTAAGGAAGAAGAAGAATCTCTCTCTTTTTGATTCTTCCCTTCCTTAAGAATTAGTTTTGAAACTAATATGATCTATATTGCCTTGGACCTTAAATCCATACCATATTAGTACTGTTTTATATTCCTCTTAGATTCCTTTTACTATCTTCTTACCTAGCCCTTTTATTCCTTATAATTAGGTAGTTTATAAGGAGTTTTTGCCCTGTCCTTAACTATGTTACTAATGTTTAGTTTCATCCAACCCCCTAATAAATTTTTAATAGAATATATTATTTCTATTTTAGTATACTATTCTTATTATAAAGGAAATATATAATATTATAGGTAAAAACTATATAATTAATATAAAGAAAAAAAGTTATAAGTCTTAGTAAATCTATTATATTTATAGCCTAAGTTAGGGGCCTAGACCTAGACTAGATTAGAGCTCTAGGCCTAGAGCCTAGTACTAGATTAGAGTTCTAGGGTATGTAATTTCTATAAGATAGATTAGTATGATAACTATAGTTTAATCTATACTAAGTCTAGTAATAAACTAACTAGCGTAAATAGCTCCTAGGTAGGCTTTGGCAAATGGGTTAGGCCCGATGGGCTAGGTTGGGTTGGGCCTAAAAATGGGGGCCCATTTGCCTTTAAAATAGGCCCAGCAAAACCCATGGGCCCCTATTTAGGCCCATTGTAGTAGGTCTAAATTATGTGTAATTTTCATAAAATATGCAGAAACTTTGGTTTTAGAGGGGTAAAATACCACTTTTAATATAATATCTAATAAGATTCTTAGGAAATAATAGCTTATAAGCTTATATATAAGGTATTCGCCTTATAATATAGCTTTTTCTTAATTTAAATAATATATAAAGGGTAGTTAGGGTAGAGATATATATATATAGTTATTAAGGTAGTAAAGCTCTAATCTATAAGGGTAATTATAATATATTATATTATATTTAGGGTAGATTTCTTAAGTATAGGGAAAAAGAAGTGGGTTAGGGTATATTATATTAAATATACTCTTTTATATATTATATTAATATTCTAGGCTCTAATAAGGCTAAAATTTATATATATTCTTAATTAATACTCTAATTATCCTCTATTTAATTTTTAGGGTATTTAGTATAGTAAAAAGTATAGTTACTAGGGTATAAAGTTAGTATATTTTTTTAATAGAGTAACTCTCTTCTTATATTATCCTTAATTAAAATATAGTTTATTTATTTACTCTAAGAAAACTAATAGTTAGATATATTAGTAAATTAAGGATTTTATTTAATTAAAGTTAATAAGTAGGGTAATTATAGTTAGTAGAATCTCTATACCTTTTTTTAGAGTAATTTAACTATATTTAACTTATCTAGTAGTTTTTAATAGCTAGAAGTACTAGACTATATTAAATATATATTTCTATATTTACTATTAAGTTTACTTCTACTCTAATTTTATCTAATTCTATTCTTTATTTTAATTCTAATTAATTTAATATATTTTATCTTAATTTACTTTAATTTAATTTAAACTAATTTTATTTAATTTTATTTAATTTACTAGAGTATACTTATTTATTATAATATTTACTATAATATTTATTATAATATTTATTATAATATTTATTATAATATTTACTATAAGAGATAGATATATAAACTATCTCTTTCTCTCTTTCTCTTCTTCTTTTATTATCTTTATTAATCTATAGCTTCTTATCTTTATCTAGCTTAGCCTATTCTACTTTTTACTAGAAGCTCTCTTATAGTACCCTTTATCTTTTAGTTTTATTAAAGTAATCTTTAGTCTTCTAGGAAGAACTTTCCCTAATCTATTATCTACTACTCTAGTAGCTCTTACTCCTAATCTATATTAAGGTAGGTCCCTCTTATATATCTCCTCTATCTATAACTAACTATATCTTAGATATCTATTCTTTAGACTATTAATAGTCCTAGATTATATAATAATCTTAATAATCTCTAGATTAATTATTCTAATATCTATATTATAGTAATTAGGGCTAAATAGGATCTATAGACTAACTAGTAGTATATATCCCTTATTAAAGACCTTTATCTTACTATAAGATCTCTTCTTATTAATATCTTTATTAGGGATAATATCTTTTTTACTAATATCTAAACTCTAGTAAATTAGATAGGGGGCCCCTTTAAGACCTTAATAGAGACTATCTATAGTCTTATTAATCTATCCTATACTAGGGACTTCCCTAAACTCCTTTACTTTTTATATTTAGTAGTACTTTTCTATATACTATAGATTCCTTAGTATACTCTTAATTAATATTAGTATATAAATAATTCTTTATATTATTATATATATTATAAGTATAAGGGCTATATACTCTACTATTAGCTAATTAGTTTAGTATCTATCTCTATTATAGTAGCCCTAATTACTATATTTCGCTCTAAGTTTAGAAGGAACTATTTACTCTTAGTAATATTCTATATCTAGTATTATACTAGTAATAATACTTATTAACTAATTATCTTCTTTATATATCTAGAATATTAGTATATAGCCTAGATAGAGTACCTTTATTATATCTCTAATACTTATACTAAGCTAGTATTTATTCTAGGCTCTAATATTTATACGCTAGTTCTAGAGTAAGAATATCTAAATTAATAATTAGAGATAGAGATAGTTAATAATAGTACTAATAATAAAGACTATATTTAATTAGTTTCTCTTAGGCTTATTTTTTTCTTAATCTTTTTACTAAGATATTATTTAAATATAGTTCTTTATAGGATTATCTTCTAAGATATTACTCTAATATAGTTCTTTATAAGATTCTTTTTAGAAATATTTTATTAATATAGCTATCTATTAAAATTTTTATTAGATATATTTATTCTTATTAGATTTTTTAATTATAGTACTTATTAGATTTTTTAATTATAACTTATATTAGATTTCTTAGATTTAGTATTTATTAACCCTTTTTAATATAGTATACTTTAACCTTTTTATAATTAGAATTAGGGCTTATAAGTCTAACTAATTTATACTCTACCTTATTAGGGGATATTAGGGTGGTTAGGGTGGTTAGGGTGGTTAGGGTGGTTAGGGTGGTTAGGGTGGTTAGGGTGGTTAG